TTGAATTTAATCGGACCTCAAGAGGCAAGGGGTCACCCCTTGTTAAAACACTTGAGCTATTACCAACGAACCATATACGTCAAGAAAGTTTTCTTCGTAATTCACAATATAATTTCATCTATAATAATTGTAGATAATACGTTTTTTATTATCTTTTTCTTTGCAACGTTGAATCGTTTCTTTGCGAATAAAGACGACCACCCAACTGAATACATATGTAAAATAGAAAGTGCAACGTCCTGTATAATAAAATATTAATTAGAAACACGTTTTCCGTTTAGCAATTGTCGGCGTTAGTAGATACGCCGCTAAAGAGGAAATATTAATTTCCCCGTCTGAATATTAATGTTCCTGTTGGTTTCACATCAATATATTAATTGCAATTTTTTTTATAATTTTTAACATTTCTTTTTGTTGATCATTTTCAATAAACACGTTGCTTGGATTATCTGGTTGTTCGGATCTGGTTTAATCGTTCCATATTTAGATAAATCGGTTTTGCCGCGACGACGTTCGGGGTCGGCCCCGGGCGACTCTTTATCACCGCGTTGCGCCAAGCTACGAGGTCCCACCGCGATCGATAAATTCTAAATGATATAATGGGATGGCTATAAAGCACCGGTGTTCATGCGTTATCTGTCAAAAAGCTCGTATACAGAGAGAGAGTCGTCTCGGTGTTGAGATCCGGTCCTGAGATCTTAGTAGCCTTTGGGCGTCTCGTTCACGTCAATCGACGCCCTTAAACAATCTTCGTCCTTCAAGATAATGTAAAAATTATTAATGAGCAACAATTTTTTTCTTCAAAAAAATCAAACTTAACTAAAATTTACATAAAAATGAGGTTAGGTATTTAAAAATATTTATGCCATTGAATGTGGGATAACGGTAATTCAATTTTTGACCATCCTGTATGAGAAACTCTGATACAAAGAATGACAATCAATTTGACAGCATTTGAAGAGTAATCGTGCCAATTTAGAGCTTTTTTGAATGAAAGTCTCGAAAACGAAAAACGCTAGGGATCAATAACTGTTATCAAAGTCAACATATTTTTTGTGCATAATTAAAAGGTGTAATAAAAACTATAGCATCCCATTTAAATCAATGAAGTTATGGTCTACTTCCGGTCGACCGGATGTGGCGCCATCTTGGAAGTATTTTAGATCGAAAGTTCCGGATGATCGATTCATATTACCAAAATTTCGAAGCTATAGGATTAGTGGAACCTGAAAAAGCTCTAACGAATCGTTACAAGTTAGGTGGGACACCTGTATATTAAAAATGTTATTTTTGACGTTTCTTTACCAATTTTACGATTATTTGACAAGCTTAAATGTTAAAATATCATTTTATGTAAATTTTAAATGATAATCTTGTTATTTATTTATTTTTGAAGGAAACAAAAAGTTAAATTTGACGTTTTGAACTGTCACTTTTTGACTTAAACGTCATAAACCCCATTATTTAACTGGGTGCGGATCTGGATTTAAACCTACACTGTTCGTGCAAATCGTTAACGGTAATATTCATATTTATTGTGTCAAATTTGACGTTTTAATGTCAACTGTCAGAAGTAAATATCACATTTGACGCTCAAACTTTTTTTAACGATTAAATGTCATTTCTTAAAGTGAAGTTTCAACACATGATGTTTCAGAAAGTGAGGTTAACATAAAAAAGCAAAATTTTAGAAATAAATTTAAATTAGATTGAGGTTATGAATCAATCTTAACAAAAATTAATTTTAAATTAAATAAAAAATTATTCACAATAATAGTTATAAAAATTATTAAGGAACTTATTTATAATAAAATAAATGTATCTAGAGAAATTTGTTTTTTTGAGGTTGGTAACTAAAACCAACTAATGACTTGACGTTAGTTTTGACAGAAAAAGAAACAATTTTATGAAAGTGAGGATAATGTAGATTTTTAATTAAAATGAAGGAAATAAATAATTTTTTTCTCATACGGTTGCGTTAAAAAGATGAAAATATGATCTTCTCAAAGGAACTTACTTATAATAAAGTAAATGTATCTGGGGAAATTTGTTTTTTGAGGTTGGTAAATAAAAAACAAGTTGACGTTAGTTTTGACAGAAGAAAAACTAATAAAATAATGATTAAGGTAATAAATAATTTTTTTCTTTTACGGTGGCGTTAAAAAAGTGAAAATATGATCTTCTCAAAAAAGAGAGAGAGAAAGAGAGGTTATGGTCGTTTGCTGGACCTGACTGGGTCTCGTTTTCTTGTTTATTTTGAAGTGTTATGGAGGGTAATTTTGTAAATTACCGCCGCGAGCGCTGAATTTGTAACTAAACTACGTATTAGCGGCGGATCGACCGGTCTCGGCTAATTCCTATCATTAGGCCGTTAAGGTTTCGATTCGTGATGTTTGGATACTGTCCGAACAGGACCGTACTCGAGCTCGGTTTCGAGCCCGGTAAAAGCATAAAAGTGTCGACTCCGAATCGAGATTTTTCCCTCGATACGGCCACTACTGAATCGTTCAAGTATTTCATTACAGGTCGAAAACGTGTAATTATATTTTCAAAATATCAGAAAACCGGTCTCCGATATATTATCGCATCATCAGAATGTGAATGAATAAATTAGTCATTCGGGATGGGGTATCACATTCTAACCTTAACCCGATATTAACGTACATTAGTTAGGTAGTTTTCTCAACTTTACTTAATGCGAGTAATTACAAAACTCTTTCTTTTACTTTAACCTCACTTTACGGATTTAAATAGTTCTTTCTCTAGATATCAACTACATTTCAACTATTAAATTTTCGAAAGGGATCAGTATCTTAAACGAATTCTTTGAAACACCCGTTTTATACCTGACCGCGAAAAGACGTTTAGGGATGAGAAAAAAAAGACAGGGAGAAAAGATTATTGAAGAATTTAATTTTATTTTTATTTTTAAATTCAGGTATATCAGAGACACACTGCGGACATAACCGCAAACTAATTAAATTAAAATACCACCGGTCTGAGCGTAGATAATTGATTGTCGAAACAAAAGACTACCGATAGCATCTCGACGGCCATCTGGGGACGAAGCCCTCATCAATAACATTAAAATGACAAACTAAACAGATCCGGATTTTAAATTATTTTAATCGACTCTATATTAATTTAATTATTCTTTTAGATTTTTTATTATAATTTTAATACTTTATTATCTAATTAATTTTTTAGTACTTAATTTATTTTGAATCATTATTTTCGTTTATATTGCTAAACAATATTTTATTTTAAGTACGGTTCTGTTAATTATCCGAAAGAAATCTAAACTTATATTAAAACGAGTCGCTTGTCAATTGTCTTGAGGACCCTCTTCGTGAAATGTTGTCATACAAGTCCTTTATCGGATGTCGTTTTTTTTTTGATAGTCATTTCGAAAAATTAAAGAGCCCTACAAAGGTTTATGTCTTCGTTAAAATGTTTCTCTTAAAATAATTATAAAAAAAAAATTTTTTAACGTCAGTTTGACATTTAAATTTCGTTTACAAAGAATACAGTGAAGTTAGGCACTGTAAATTATTTAAAATGTCCAAAAATTATTAATTATTTAGAAATTTGTTTAAAATTTTTAATGGAAAATGGACGTTTCAATGGGGTATGCAAACTTTAAACTAATTTTTTCTTCAAGTTCTTATAATTGGTTTAACTGAGTCGTTACTAGCTCATATTTGCGTAATTACCAATTGCTATTTATGTATTATCTGTTAAATACACATTCCTTTTACGTTCCGGTTCATTTTTAACGCGCCTTAACTGTGCAAAATAACAACAAAAATTATTGGAAAATTTACTTAAAAATAAAAAAAAATTCATATCAGAAGATATTTCATTTTGACAGTTACACATTTTTTATTGCTTAAATTTTGAGTGTAACTTATTCTACAAGATTAATTCATATTTTTTTATTTATAAATAAAAGTTAATGAATTAGGTAAATTATATAAATAATGGTATAGTATTACCATCTCGGTGAAAACAGCTCAACTAATTTAGCCAAAACACAGATTTCTGTAATTTTATGGTCAACAATTTTTATTTCTTTCAGAATGTCAAATTGTTTCTTCTTAGAAAATAGATAATAATTTATTATTTTTCTCCAAATCACCAGCAATTGTATAAAATCATTTCTAAACTAGTCATCTTAAAAAAAAACAAGGAAATTTATTATTTTAAGGTTATGTTGTGTTTACCTTAGAAAATGTGTGGAATTAAATACATATAATGTAATTGAAGCTTTTAACATTTTTTTATAATAATTTCGGTTATAAATTTATAATAATTATTTAATTATGGTTGTTAAAATTTTTTTGAAGTTTAACTGTCAAATTGACAATTTAAAATTAACAAACTTGAAATCTATTTTGTTTACTTTTATTAATACCAGCTTATTAATAAATTATATATTATTATTTTTGTTAATAATAATTTATTTATTTTTCTTAAAAATATGTATTAATAATTGGATAATTGTGATTTTCATTTGTAAAGCGACATCTTTGGAAATAAAGCGCAATTTAATTAAAATTTTATTAAATTAATTTTAATTATGAATTTCTAAATTTTAATCTTATTTATTTTATTGTGATGAAGAATAAATGTGTATATTTACCAATAAAATTATTATAATAAATACAATAAAAACAAACTAATTTTTCTTGACTTTTAATTCATTCAATTAGACAATAGATGGCAATATTGTCTATATGCGCTAAATTATTTATAATGAATTATTTGTTTAAAAAACATTTTTTATATCAAATAGCACCGATATAATATTTAAATCATTTATATACCTAAATATCATAAAATCTAGCTTATATTCCAGATAAATAAAGATTTAAATATTTTTTTTAAAGAAAGGTCATAATCTTATCACAAAGATAAAGTTTTTTTGTTTTTATGAGATGCTTTTGTTTTTATCTTAACCTTTTTATCTTAAATTTTAAAAGATGTTTCAATGATTTTAAAAGAAAGTTGGAAACCGGCGAAAAACGAATTAATTTTCATGAAGAATGAAAAATTTGGAGAAATTTCGTTTAAGCTGTTGGCAAGAATGCCCTGAAGATGTCAACGAACCGGTGGTAGACCGTACAACAAGTAAAATGGCGTAAAATAATACATAAAATTAATATTTTTCCGTGTTTCGTGTTCACGTTTTTGTTTCTCTTTTTTTATTGCTCACTGGTATTTTTGGTTAAAATTGGTTCAGAATTGGGGAAAGGATGAGCAGCAGGGCGAAGTCCCGACCTACAAATACGGACGTTTGTGCCGATTGTGGTGCTAACGGTACCAAAATTTAATTCAAATTGAAATGAAATAATCACCCCCTTTTTTTAAGATCCCACTTGGGCTTCCGTTAATCGAGGTATATTATTATGCGTCGAATGTTGTTGTATTCACCGTAATCTTGGTAGACACATTTCTCAAGTGAAATCGTTACATCAAAGTACATGGAATGGAAATTTATTAACGGTAACGAAAAAATGTGACAAAAACGTTATTTATTAATAAATTAAATATTTTTAGATGGTCCAAACTTTAAATAATAGTGGAGTAAATAATATGTGGGAACATACATTATTAGAAAATGGATCAAAACTGAACAAAAAGAAACCAAATCCAAGAGATCCTTTAGAGTAATTATCGCAAACCTAACCTTAAAATTATCTGTCAAAATTTTAACCTAAAATGTTTTTATATTCGTCATTTTAAGAATTGCTATTAAATAATTCGTATTTTTTTTTAGTACGAAAGCCGTTTTTATTAATGAAAAGCATGAACAATGTTTATTTGTATTCCGTCCTAATAATGAAGATGGTCTTTTATGCGTCGAAAATGAATTGGGTAAACAACTTCATGCTAGTGTTCGCACTAACAATTTGGATACATCATTCAGACTATTAATCCAAGGGGCTGACCCAAATTTTTTTCATGATGTAATAAATAAACGTTTAACTAATATTTTATAACTAATAAAGTTGTTTTAAGGAAAAAGGAACCACACCTTTGCACGTAGCAGCTAAGAAAAATCAAGTTTTACAAGCAGAATTATTAGTCGTTTATGGAGCAGACCCTACATACCCCGATTTACATGGAAAAACCCCTATAGATTATGCAAAGTAGATTAATTTTTAAATCACCTTTAAATTTTTTTTTAATAATATTTGTTTAAGGCAAAAGGGTCATAAAGATTTAATGATTCGTTTAATGGAAATGCAATATGAAGTCACTGATAAATTGAGTGTTTATTTGTGCCAGCGGAAACCAGATCATCAAAATGGAGTTCATTTTCTTATTCCAAATAATGGACCAAAATCTGATCAAATTATTAATAATAAACTTAAAAAAGCAAGTTGTTTTTACAGGATAATCTCGATATAACAGACAAAATATTTTTAAGTTATAACATTATCTAAACTCTGGGTATTCCCTGAGTTGTCTATATGATGTATCAATTAAGGATGATAGTTCTGCATTTTTATTGAACTAAAAGTATAACTAACACTAGAACTAGAAACATTCAGGTTTAACTGTCTTAAGACGTTCGCCTAAACTTGAATGTTTTTAGTTTTAAGTCTAGTGTTGGTTCTAGTGCTAGCTTTAGTTTTAGTTGTTTTGCAGCATTCGATTGTTGTCTATTTTTATTGAACTAACACTACTATCCATGCAAAAAGCCAAGGCTCCTCACATTAGGGGTCAATATCTTGAAAACTCAATGAAACTCTCAATGAAAAAAATTGCGTTAAAGTTTATTGTAATCAGTGAACATTTCTGCGTATCACATGTTAATTTGAAAATTTTCGGGTCCGCGGTTTTTCTTTTATCGCGAGTTAAGTGAAAAAACTACCCGATTTTTGAGAATGCCAGCAAATTTGTCTACTTTGTGATTTTTTTTCTCCAAAACTATTTGATGAAAAAATTTCAAATTTGAACTGGTGGTAAATCGATGTGTTCTTAATGTGGGGCATATTTTATTTTTTCGATATTCCATATAGTTTTGCGGAAAATCGCGGTTTAGTAGGATGCGGTTTTTTTTAAAAATGACCTGGCGGATTTTACCAAAATATGTCAAATCATGTCGGTTGTCGGATTCAGGTCGAATTCCGATGTCAGTTTTTCAAAATTAGGACTTCCTAATTTTCTAAGGGCGACTTAATTTAATTACAAATTAAAGAGAAACAGAAATAAGCCATGCGGGTAGAGGGGGGTTTCGGCCAATCGGAACAGAGTTGAAGAGTTGTTGCTGTTTGCCCAACTCAACCAAAAAAATCAACCATCGATAGCACTATTTTTAAAGAAATGTGGCAGAACAATCAATTTATCTATTGTTTTATCTCCTAAACGAGATCTAAATTTTGTGTTCAAGAGAAGCACGTTCCAATTCCACACTTGCTGGTGGAATAGTTTTCAAACATTCAAAAGCGAATTGAAGATTTTTTATCCATACTACCGCCATTATTGAATATATCAATTTCCTGGATCAATGTAATGAAGAATGCATTCTTAGTTAACTGGACAGGTGGCTTTGTTGTCTTTATTTAGACATTTTCAAACATATTTTGTTCTTCTATCTCATTTATTATAAATTGTGAAGCTATATCTGCTTTTCCTAGTGCAATACACCGCTAATATAAGGCTTTTACAGTTAGCTTTGCCGGTTCCAATATGGTTACTAAGGCTTTAATAAGTTCGTACTCTGAATCTACAAGGAAGGGCTCTTTTATGTCAAACATTGCTTTACGTGCGCATTTTTCTAATAATATGAATCGCTCCAACATAACAAACAGTGTACTTGTAGTCTGACAATTTAATATTAATTTAATTTCTTTTTCGTGGTCTTTTTTTATATAATTTTGTAATATCGAATGTGTGCTTGCAGTGTCAACCGATAGATCGAGTCTTATTCTTCAAAAAATAGTAAATTCATGACACAAACATATAACATATTCATAAACATATTTTAGTCGTCTTAAGAGACGTTCAGCTAAATCGGAATATTAGTTCTAGGCTAGTGTTAGCCCTAGTTTTAGTTGTTACTAAGCGTTAGATAGTTGTATATTTCTATTGAACTAAAACCAATCTAGAAAGATTCTTTAACGCACTTTTGGTTATAACAGACACTCCCTTCGCCATATTAATCCGTTATATCGAGATTTTACTGTATTTCTATCCCATAGATTATTAATATTGTATTAATTTTAGTTACCAAACCGACTATTTGAAGAATTAGTTGCCGATGTTTACGACGAAATCGATCGGAGAGAAATCGAAGCGAGTAAGTATCATTTAAAATTTGATTGATTTACATTAAACCGAAAAATAAAATCATTTTTGCTTACTAAATGGAAATAACATTCGTAAGTACAAAAAGAAATGTAACAAAAAAATTCTAACTTAACTTTTTTTTATTATTAGTTTGGTTAAGTAGCTCAGATTCGGTTAAATTAAACGCAACACCGTTTCTTCCTGTTGATAAAACATTATCGAGAACTCGAAATCAAAGCAGACAAAAATTAGGTAAATTTCTGTCCCCCGAATTAAGGGCTTTAGTTTACGATATTTTGGTTGACACGCAACGGCGAATAATTGCATCGGAACGAGGTGAGTTTATTTCAAAATTAATAAAGAAAATAATTAATTTTAACATTTAGTTTCGTTAATTAACAAAGGAATTAATTTACCGAAATTGAGAGAAGTTTCGCAATTAACTGATGATGATCCACTTTATGATTCAGTCGCATCAGATGATGATTACGCCATAGTTGCTGATAATGAAGACGTAAAAAATTTTTAAAGTCTAATAATTAATTAATAAAAATAAATAATTTTTTTGTAGAAAAATGATATTGATGGAAAAAATTTAATAAGAAAAGACGATAACGACAATATGTTTTGCTTAAAAGAAGAAAAAGTTGAAGTGGTTGAATTAACGAAGAAATTAGAAATGTCTGATACAAAAATTTCAACTCTTCAACAAGAAGTGGTGAATTTAAAGGCGGTTATTGAGAAATTAAATTCGGAAAATACTGAATTAAGAACGCGATTATCGCACGCCGAAACGAATTCGTTACATAGTTTTAATGGAATTGATAGTGGGTGTAGTTCCTTGGACGGGTTTTTAAGTGAATCTAAATTCGTTAACGGTCAAATTCCAGCATCTCCCGTTGATTTAAGAAATCGTAGACAAATCCGTCCGTTAAGTATGTACGAAACTCGCGAAGGCTTAAAAACCCCAAATTGGCAGAATATAAAAAATCAATTAAAACATAACACAGAAAATCAAATGCGGACAACAACGAGTTTATACAACACAAATTCATACGGAAATCCGATTTTATATTGTACAGAACAAATAACGAAAGCAATTCAACAATTGATGCAAAGTGCTCAAGATACAAATGCTCGAGATCAATGTTTAACGCAATCTGAGAAGATTAAAGTGGCTGTTTTAGCGTTAGTTGCAAATATTCCGGTTGAAAATAAAACTGAGGCAACTCGAAATTTATTGGATAATGTTTATCGTTTACAGAGTGCTTGTTCAAATTTTGTTAAAGCTAATAAAACGGGGGATCAACAACAATCACAGTTATGTTTTCAAGGGATTAGAGAATGGGCTTATGAAATAGCTAAAGAAACAAAACAGATTGTTACAAAATATAATAGTGGTTAAGGTGTAATTAACATAAAGAAATAAGGAGGTGCAATAAAAATGAAGAAAGGAAGAATCGATAACGTTATAGTATTCTTTTTAATAATTTAATAACAGTTTTATTAAGTAATGAGTCGCAAAATTTGACTCAAATAATATTCAATTTAATTTAAACAAATTAAATAAGGTTTTATATACACTGACTGAATAATTAATAGAAATCTATATTATTATTTACAAAATATATTATGTATAAAGAAAGAGAAAAAAGTTAAAGTATTTTTATGAATATTAATCCTATTTTTTCTTCTTTCCGTAGTGTTGTTATAAAAATATTTAAAAATTTATTAAAAATATATTTCACTCCATACACGTTTTTTATTATTTTTGACTCTTGTTTAAATTTTGTTTAACATTTCCATATAACCACTGCTAAATTTCCTCCAAAAAACATGTACAATAAATTTTTAGCTTCATAACTGATTTCAAAACCGAATCCTTCTCCTATTACCACATTAAAAGGGGGACCGAGTTTTTTATCCATTTGTTCTTTTACCATTTTTGCTGCTGCCTAATTATAAATGTGAAATTAAAAAAAAATTGTCATCAAACATTTATTGCTATAAGGACCTGATATGCTGCTACTATTAACAAAAATTTTTGCCTTATTTGGCAGAAGTACCTTATATTAATAAAATTTTACATTTCATGAGTTTTTAAATAAATAATTGTAACTTACTTCATTGTTATCCGCAAATTTTTCACATGCTGTAACAACTAATTCCACAATTTCTTGTTTAGCTTCTTCGGACATATCACAATACTACAATACAACAATTTATTATTAATTTTACGTTATTATTTTTTCGAGAAATCCTAATTTAGATGTTCTGTTATAAAAAAATCGATAAACCGAAAAATGACTCACCCTTACTAAAGGGTATGTATGAACGACCTTTTTAACTTCACCTTCTTTCGCTTCATCTCCCATTCTTTATAAGTTTTTTTATATGTTAGTTTCTAACAAAATATTAAGTTGTTTTTATAAATCTTATCATGTATAATTTCGAATTGTGACAGATTAAATTTCTTTGGAGCTTTCAGGCGTTATTGAGCAAACAAATAAATGTTGCCAACATAAAATTTCAAAAAAATAAAAGCTTGAAATTATTAAAAATTAAAAAAAAACTAGTTTTAATTGAACAAATACGTTTATTATCAATATAATTCTATGCTCAAAATATTTAAATGTTACTTTTTAACTCCCAACATTCATCCCAAAATGTTTTTAACCTATTTTCATAATTCAAACAAAAATGTCGAAAATCTTTTAACAACTTAGTTTGGAAATTGTTATCGATGGCTGGATTAGTTCTCCATCGACGACTAATCATGTGATTCCAAGACCATAAAAATCCCATCTAAAAATTTTAAAAAATAAAAAAAAAACATAACCAAAAAAATTTTTGACATCACCCTTTTTGAATTATCATAATCATCTTTATTTTTCCCACTAACGTGTCTAGTAATATACGCCTCGTGAGGACTGGGCATCACATCAATAGCACCATATTTCCGATCGGTTTGTTCCGCACTCCTAACCGTTAAATTATTACATCTATTTGACGTCATCGGACTTGAAATTAATATAAAAACAGTTCCAGTTGCGTGAACGTATTGTCGATCCTGAGTATATTCCTTTTCCGTTTCAGTTAAACACGGAATAAAACCAAATTTACAAATAATCGCCTCTTGAAATAAAAATAAACGTTCAATTTGCCGAGGCGAACGTAACTCTCGGAATAAAAATTCACGTTTTCCCAGACAATTCAAATTTAATGGGATAAAAATTGGCCCTCGTAACGGATCTGATTTACTTGAATACGGTAAAGCTAATGGATCATGTGGAATTGGTACTATTTGTAAAGCACATGATCCTTGAGCTTTTCTCGACCAACCACTTAACTAAAAATAAAATAACAACATAACTATATTTTTATTATTAAAATTAATTACTAATTCGGAAACGATTGATCCCGAAGATGTTAACCATTCAACAATAATTTCATAAGCTTGATCTGGCCGAAATAACGTTTGATATTTAACGTGACCCCATTCAACACGATCACTTTTACTTGAAACATCAATATCCAAGTACATCCTTTTATATAAAGGACCTAAAAATAAATTGATACAAAATATGTACGTGTGTTAATTATCGTACTCGATGTCATCATTGCAAGTATGCAACCAATATCACAGTATTGGTATTGCAATACGCGATTTGTCTATTTGGTTGCATACTTGTAATAATGACATCGAGTACGATAATTAATTAACATATTTTTTACCATCAATGTCTGTTTGTAAATAACCAACATCAACATCGTCCATTAAAAAATGTGGAATCCCTTCGTTATCGTTGTTTAATGGTGCAGAGGGGATATTTAAAGCATTCGTAACATCAGATAATCCCCAATTTAGTGCTGGTTTTACTTCAACTTCCATCCATTCGTTTTCAAAACTTTGAATATCATAACACGGTGAGTCCCCGTCTCTTTCATCAATCGATGATTTTCCGGTTTGTTGAATTAAATATAAATAAAAACCGTAAAGAAATGGTTTTGTTGGTTCACCAGAAGCGTGACAAATAAATCGCTCACGTTGGAGATTTATAAAAATCTATAATCAACAAAATTTGTATTAAAATTGGTAACTGCCAAAAAAGTGAAGTTAGATTTTCTGAATTAAGAGTTAATAAAGAATTAATAAGATTAATAACGCACTTGAACTGATTGATCTAAAGTTGTTACACCCTCCATGTGATTCATCAACCAATTTACAGCATCCGAAGCAATAAATGTATTTTGGGGTAAATTTGGATGATTTAAAATAAGTCCACTTTGGGGATGTTTTAAGTTTTCAATGATTTCTGAGAAATTCGCTGTTGATTTTAACATTAAATCGGTGGAAACTCTACAAAAATGTTTGATTTAATAAATTAAATATGAGATATTTAGGAGTACAAATAAGTTTCCGCTGTTTTCTATAAAAAATTAGGAATGTATCGTATGGTACATTACTTTTTATTAAAAGTATTGTCCATCATTAGCCACTACCAGAGAATAACAGAAATGACATTCACGTCGATTCGTTTGATGTTGGCGGCACCTCGTTTTGTGACCTCGAGTCCGTCATCTTATCGCGAGTTACCAAAAGCACTGAATCAAAGTCTATTGATTAAATATACTGCATAAGGTTATCCAATTCCTTCTGAACGCTGTTGTTATGAACTCACTTAAAGCTAGTGCAAGTCACTACAAGCAATCGATGCGCCTCAACTACAGTTTTCTTCAAATTAAAGAAATGTATCAAAAATTCCCACAAATGACGCTTACTCAGTACAAAACTTTGTGATGCTCATACGGAGTCACTAATACTGTAAGGTTTTTTCACCATAACTTTCTGGTGGAGCCTTCTTTTGTCAAACGACGAAAACTTATTTATACTCCTTAAATAAAGAATTATTACAGTTCATCATTGTTGGTATCTTGAGATTGAGAGTTTTCCAACAAATGTTGTTGCAAAATTTCAATAGCAGGTGAAGCTCGTCCTCTTTCCATTACTTTCGAACCTGATCTGTATTTAAAAAAATTAATAAAGTAATGTTGAATGAAAAGATAGATTTAACCACAACTCAAAGCGTCTACATTAAATAAAAAACTACAAAAGCTTTGAATCAATCAATTCTTTTTTAAATGCATACTAAAGCTTTATTCCGCAAAAAATACCAACCTAAGACCACTAGCAACGTACCGCTCAGTAGAGCGAATGGAAGTATTCTGTAAAAACCAAGCAATTTAAACAACATAACCAAAAAAATAATTCAACAACGTCAAAAATGTGATTTAAAATAACAATTTAAAAAAATTATGTTAGAGTAACCCTTTAAAGCACCACTTCAATGAATTCGTTGAATTTTAACTCAAATTATATCAAATATTTAGGTTATGTAAAAGCTTCTTTTAATATAAAACTTAACAAAAACGAATTAATTATGATTAAAAAAGAATTAAAGTGCGTTAAAGGGTAAATATATAAAAAAAGTCCCCATTAACATGCTCCCTTTTTCTTTCTCCGCCATTAAACCGCATTAGAAAGTTATAATAATAAAATACAAACAACGCAAGCTGCAAGAAATTATTAACATAAAACTCAAAAAAAACCGGTAGCTTTATTAAAAACGTTTTCCAACCTGGGCCGCGGTCTTTCCGGGAGCCGATTGCTACCCAAACGTTCCCTGAACGGTGAATTAGTAGACGATGTCTGAAATAAAATTGATTAGAGACACAAAAAAATATTAGTGACACAATATTGTTAATAAATTAAAAAATAATTCAAAAAATAAATAGACTGAGAAATATTTAAGAATTAATTAATGATCATTTTCAAAGCTTCTAACTGTGCAACAAAAAGAAAGACTTAAAAATACGTAAAATTAAGCGTGTAAATAAATATTATGATATTTAAGCAAAATTTTTTGTGGTTAAACCAATTTTGACGTTTAAATCGCCAAAGAAAAAGTTTGACGTTTCAAATGTCAAAATGATTAAAAAAAATTTCTTTAAGAAACTTTTTCTTTTAAGAGATTTTAAAATATTTCCAAATCTTTGTATAAATTAGTGTAAAAAGTACCTGGTTAACGGCGCTCATGCTATAACGGCGCGGTTGCGCCAACGGCACGCTGCAGTTTATAACGCTCAGAGACATCTACAACAACATGCAAAAAAATGTGGGGGGTGGCAACGTTCTCATGCAGATCTAAATCTAGATGGAATTGTTGCTAAATTAATAATAAAACTATTTCGATTAAACAGGGTAACTAAGAGTAATGAAAACAAAGCTTTCTAAAAAAAGAAAACATAAAAATGTGTAAAGAAGAAGGAAGAAAATAGATTATAGAAGCACATTTAGACAAACCCTAGGTTTCTTCGTCGCGCTGTGTCTCTTAATTTTATTAACAACGGCTTCTGTGAATTTTAAAAATCCTTCCACCATTAATTGGTGTTCAGAGGGTGTTAATGGAGTGTAAATGTCGCAACGTTGCGATCCTTCCAATATACGTTTAGTTGCAGCGTTGTTTAAAGGCAACAAAAAAATTTTAAACCTATAAATAAATAATTTTAAATTAACTTAATCTCAAAATAAAACATATTTACCTCCAAAATTTTAACGAACAATCCAAAGGAAAATCAGTATCCCCACGAGTACAAATGTAATGATCAACGTAATTCCAATTATAATGTTCCAATTTTTCCGTTGTAAATGATGCATATGATTCCTCGTAATTATCATGATGAGGAGCATAAAATCGATATTGATATTGGTATTTAAAACCAGGATAAGGATGCCTGGAGGTTAAGTTTCAATTCATTTTTAATATTTAAAATAAAATTATTTACCTTGGTCTATATCTAGTTACTTCAATATTCTTCCCAGATAACGCAATTTTATGAAATAATCTTCCAATCGATAAAATATAAGTTTGATCCCCATCCGAAGCTTTTCTCCGTAAAACCGAAGAACAACTTTTCTTCATACTCGGCATTAACACCAATTGAAATCCTTGCGCTAATCGTTGCGAGATCAACTCGTTAAACACTTCATTTGTTGTTAGAGGTTTCTTATAACCGACTCTTTGCTGGGAAAAATCCGCATTTACATCGTCCGGTAAAAGGTTGTACAACGAAACAACGTAATCAAATTGTAAAGATCGTCCATCCGGGAAATAATCCGTTGTTATCGGAAGGCAAGCAGGAATTGTTAACGACTTCCAATCAACACCTTATTGTTGAAATAATAATAGTATATTATTATACGAGCATTATAGGCTATTATATATGAGTAGAATACTATACTTTGTCAACGACTACTGTTGAAATTGATTCCATAAATTAATTTTTTTAAATAAATTTTTGAATATAGTTTAAACGTCAATGTGACACAAATTCAATGTTACCAACTGTAACCAACTTCACAACAATTTGTCAAAATTAAATGTCAATTTTATGAAACGTCATTTTACGAAAATTAATTAATTTATGCTTAAATCATACAAAAAAGGGATTTGTTTACGTTTTTTTAATGTTAAACCTTTAGAAAGTCCTAAAAAATTAAATTAAATTGACGTTTTTTTGAAATTTTGATGTTTGTCAAGTTGATTACCCATGAATAATGATTATTCTCCGCTATTATTCACTCCGTGAAAAACCCTGTTGTTTTGTAAAACTCATTTACAAGGTATATATTATTTATAAGGTAGTCGTGGACAAATTAATTATTGAAATAAATAATAAAAAAGAAGTAATATTTTGACAGCTAAATCTAACCCTAAAAAAATCTAACTAAAATAGCTGTCAGAATATTAAAAGTTAGGTTAGTTTAAGGAAAGCGTTATTTTAAGCAAGAAATTAGAAAAACCAAGAAATAAATAAACACAAAAAGTTATTTGAACTAATTTTCTAATGACTTCACCTATAAGTACTTCATTAACTGCTTGCAGATGTTGTGTCCAGTAGTCGAGAGCCATGAGGTTAACCGAAAAAAGACAATTGTATCATGAATAACCCGGCAAAAAAATTAAATACACCAGTTCAACTCCTATAAAAACATTTGAGTTGAAATGAAATTAATTAGTATTAAAAATGGAATATTGCACGATTTCAAGCCCCCATATACACATTTTCTTAAATTGATTTCGATCATTTTCTCATGTAAATACACCAAGTACCTGTCGTTAAAGCCGGCGTCCATTCTTGTTCCCCTGTAACACCCCAAAGTAAAGTTTTCGATGTATTTTTTGGTGGAATTGGAATTTTCCTATGTCCAATACTATGTTGTAACAAAGATTTTTCTTTTTTGCAATCTAAAAAATGTTAAAAATGTAATAATTTTATATTTAATCGAATTAAGTGATTATTTTACACTCTTGTAATGCTGGGGTCACAATCAATTTCGAATTTGAATTATTTTTAATGTTTACGAATTGGTGGTTATTCTCAGAAGATAGAGATTTCGCTGGAACTGCTTGATAATGATGTTGTTGCATTAAAACACCACTTGGACCTGAAAATTTTATTTACTAATCACATTTTATGATTTGGTTATTTTATTAACCTTTCGGAAAAATATGCGTCCAACGTCTTCTATTTGATGTTAATTTAATGGTTACATGAGAAGGATCAAAAGGATTTATTAGAGCTCTTGATTCTAAAGGTGGTGATCCTTCCGATCCAACAACCATACGTAACGGAGGTGATAAATCCCGATCAGCAATCGTTAAAGATTTATCATCATTATGTGGGGAAATTAAAGGACTCGCTGTTGCTGAAGGAATAGCAATAGGCTGAGATTCCCGGTTCACACAATCACTGTTATGATTATACTCAATATCAGGATTCGAAAGTTTTCTACGTAACCCTCTAAGTTCGTGAGGTTCTAAAAGCCCCCCAGAACTCCTTTTATAACGTCCCGTCGTTTTATGAAACCTAAAAAAAACCTTAAAGAATTAACCTCCTAAATTTAATTTGTATTTCCGTACTCAAATTCGTGAACACCATGTGATGCTGGGGGTTGAAAAATTTGCGCATCATAAGCATCATAATCAAAAAACGTGTTATGAATATAATCATCATCACAAGTTAACATAGGTTGAGTATGTTTTGCATCTTCAGCATCTTCAATAAAACACGGTGGTAATTTTATCCTTGGTACGAAATCAGAATATGCTACTTTTCGATTTGTTGAATAAAACGATAAATTTATCCAATGCGGCATTGAATAGTCATCAGGAACTTTTAAATGTGTATCTTTATTGTGAAACTACAAAAAATATTTTGAGGTTGTTGTAAATATAAATGATAAATAAGTAATTTAATGAAAACAAAAGTTACAATAGTATATTATTATACGAGCATTGTATAATGAGGGCTATTATATGTGAGTAGACTACTATAGTTTGTCCACGACTATTATTGAAATAGATTCCATAAATTTATTTTTTTAAATACATTTTTGAATAAAGTTTAAACGTCAATCTGACACAAATTCAATGTTACCAACTGTAACTAACTTCACAACTTTGTCAAAATTAAATGTCAATTTTATGAAACGTAATGTTTTTTAAGAAAATTAATTAATTTATGCTTAAAAAGAAATTTGTTTACGTTGTTTTAATATCAAACCTTTAGAAAGTTCTAAAACAATTAAATTAAATTGACATTTTTTGAAATTGTGACGTAATTTAAATTTTTTTCAGTAACTAAATAGTTGAGGTTAAAATACTAACAAATTTTTAGATAAATACGATCTTAACTAAATACATATTTATTGTAAAAACATGCTACAAACTAAAGAAATAGAACAAAACACCTTTTCTATGTAAACAAATGGAAAATAAACACCCCAAAAAATTTTTTATGTACCGTTTTCATCATTGACGTCAGTGTGACGTATTTATTTCAAAACATGATAAAACAAAACTCCCTTTTAATTTTGCCAACTTTACAATAAAAAACTTGACAGGTGTTATAGATAAAAAAACCAACTTATAAATCACAACAGAGGTTATGTTATTAATTTTGAGGTTATATATAAACGTCAAACTTACTTTTAATAAAGGTACAGCATGCAAAGGTTGTTCCCCAACGCAAACTAAATCACTTCCAACACCATTATCAATGATTCTTTGCTTGGTGATATTTGCTAATTCACGATCAACTTCAAAAACTCCAACTCCTGGAGTGATAACAACACTTAATTGACCAGTTCGATCGAAACTTCTATCTAAATAATGTTTTTCGAAAACTAAAAATTTAATATCATTAGAATTTTGTATTGAATAACTTAATTTTATATTTTCTTCACCGTTCAAAGACATATTTAGAACCTCCAAGAAATTTCCTTGCGAAGCAGAACTATTTGTAGCCCGAGGAATTAATTCATCATCCTTTGAGTGATACTCTAAAACAAATTTTAAATATTCAGAGAACAAACGGCGTAATTGAACGATAATTCCACTCCAATCCTCGTATTTTTCATTTTGAATTGCAACCCTTAAAAAAATAATTACGTACTAATAATAGAAATTAATTTTTTTGATTATTTACCGATAAAAATCTTCATAATACCTTCCACGATAATCTTTTTGTAAGCATTCCCTCATACACAAAGGAAACTCTTCTAAACAATTAGCTTCATAAAACGTCCTTGAAAACAAAACAATCGTAACTTCGTGATTACTACCGTTTTTCTTCCATTTTGAAAATAAATCCGATAAAAACCCATTAACAGCTTTCTCAAAATATAAATCACCGTAAATATCAAAATCCCACATTTCTGAACTCATTTGTAAGAAAAGATACACCATTGAAGTTGAAGATCGAAAAACGATTTTTGTGTCATCCGTTATCACTCCGCAAGCAACTCTATCACCTTGAGACCACATTTCGTACACTTGACATCGAACAGCCCCATTACAAAATTCAATTTTTTTATTAATATAAACACAAGAATAAATCAAATTGTTTTTTAAACGCCACATTTCGGAACGACCCATGTATTGATCTTTAAATGTTAACTCAATGGAATCTAATGCTACATCATTTGGATCTACAATTCTTATACAGATATCTTTTTCTTTTCGGAGATTAAAAGTGTTTGCTATCGTCTGTTCAACACTTATTGTATCTTTCGTAAGGTTAAATTCATCTTTAAATAATTTTATTTGGAGAAGAAGTCTGGGATTTTCATCTTCGCTTGGGTGGTGAATTTCGACGATATCACCCTCTTTTGCTTCTAAGAAATCTTTTGGGTTTATCAGGAGATCGTCACTGCTGAAGTTCTTTTGGTGTACTTTTAAACGGAACGATTTCATGTTGATTTTTGTATCAATTTTAAAATATTTTCAACATAACATAACCTATAAATTATTGAAAAAGTTAAGTCATTATTGTATACGATCTTTATGCTTACTGTAATTAATAAATATAATTTGTTTTTGTTTAATTGTTATACTTTTCTACATTATTTCGTATTTTTTTAACAATTAATTAAATTCCTTTGTGTATTTTGACTTTGACAGATGACACTTAAAAATTTAATCGGGAGAATATCTAATATATTTACAATAAATGTTAATATTAACTAATAAACATAATGAATCCTTTTTATTGTAACTCACTAATTAAAAATATAAGCTAAATTATTTATTAGTAACTTATTACAAATCAAAAATAATTTTTTTTGACAGGTTAATGTTTGTAAACATATCAATAGATGGGGCTACGCAGTTTACTTTTAACCTATAAATTGCTGTTTTCTCTTTGTTCTAATATTATTAAGTAAAAGAAAGTATTAAAAATGGAACAAGAACATAAAGATATTTTAAGAAAAAATCACACTTCACTTATGAAGATGAATTTTAATGCAATGTATCCTAAATTAGTTGAAAATAAAGTTTTTACTCGCGAATTAGTTGATTATTACAAAGGACTTGGAGGTGAGGATGGAAAACGACAACTTTTATTTGCTTTAGATGGTCGTGGACCAAACGCTTTTAAGCGTTTCATAAGTTGCTTGAGACAAACTAATCAATATGATTTGGTGAATAAATTATCTGGAATTCGTGGTAAAAAAAGATTTAAATTGTTTATATCTAATGTACAACAATTTAATTTGCAGATACAACTGTTTATAATAATACAATTCCATTACATGAACCTGTTATAAATACTGAACCAGAACACATTGAAATAAAAGTCCACATTGCCAACGAGTTTAAAGATGATTTTTCTTCTGATTTAAAGCCTTATACAATGCGAAATCAGTTTCGTGGTGCTGTATTAATAATAAACAACACAAATTTTAGTAATAAAAAAGAAAGACGTGGTGCTGAAATCGATCAACAAAAACTTGTTCAATTGTTTACTCAAATGGGAGGTTATAATCTTGTGGAATTAAAAAATCTCACAAATAAGGTGAATTTTTTACATTATAATTATATTTTTTTAATTTAATATTAATTAGGAATTAACCGAAAGTATTCAAAATTTTGTAACAAATCCAATTCTAAAATCGGCAAATGTTTGTTTCTTATTTATTATGAGTCATGGATTAGAAATGCACAATGAATCTTATGTTGAATGTGTTAATGGCGTTTCTGTGTCTACCACTTGGATAGAAAATCAATTTTATCGAGATAATTGTCCTTATATGCAGAATAAACCGAAAATTATTGTTTATCAAATTTGCAGGTAATTTTTTTTCTATTTTATGATTTTATTTTTGCGTATAATAATAATTAATTTGTTTTAGAGGTTTACGTGAAGATAACGTTGTTAAACTTATGGATAACTTAGAAATTAATGAAAAACAAACTGAAATTGATGGAACGGCAAATGTTCCAGTTCGAAATCATTCCGATATGTTAGTTTGCCATTCAACAACAAAAGGTTAAATGATAATTTATATATTAGATGATTTTAATAAATAATTTAAATTATATAGGTTATACTTCTCATCGTCACACTGCAAAAGGTTCTTGGTATATTCAATCGATTTGTAAAGTTTTTATGTTGCATGCTTGGGAGTATGATGTAGAAAGATTATTGCACATGGTTGATAAAGAACTGAGTATGTGGCAATCGGAAGTGAATAGAACAATGCAAACGACTGGATTTTATAATTCCGGGTTTAGATTGTGTTATTTAAATCCTGGGATTTATGAACATAATGGGCATATGCACAGATTCGATCAAACTTAATCTTTTTTTATATTTTAAATTTATATTTTATTCTTTTTTATATTCCTTTTATACTCTTATACTAATATATAATAATAAAGTATTCAATTATATTCAATTTTGGTGTTTATTTTAAAAAAATAATTTTTTTAACCTAAAAATTTTTTTAGATTATGTTCTTGAAAATTTATTTAAATAAAACCCAATCTAATATTTATGTATATCGTATAATTACATGACTTACGAACAACAATACATAAAATATTCCATTATAATCAATTTTGGTGTTTATTTTAAAAAATTATTTTTTATAACCTAAAAAAAAATTGTAGGTTATGTTTTTGGAAATTTATTTAAATAAAACCCAATCTTATATTTATGTATATCGTATAATTTCATGAGTTAAGAACAATAATACATAAAATATTCAATTATACTCAATTTTGGTGTTTATTTTAAAAATATTGTTTATAACCTAAAAAAAAATTAGGTTATGTTCTTGGAAATTTATTTAAACAAAACCCAATCGTATATTTATGTATATCGTATAACAACACTCAAGATAAATTAAAAATTAAGACATGCAGGTAAATTTCCTTTTTTCTTATCATTTTCAAAACCATTTATAAAATCGGTGAAATCAACATATGCATCAATTTCAGTTACATCATCCATATCATTATCATTTCTTAACGTAGATGTTGTCGAAGTAGCCGCGGTAGAACATAAGGTATTTCGAATGTCTGTATTCATAATTGTGCCTTGCGGTGTACATATTGGCGTTGTATTATTACTAATTACAATTGAATTTATTCCAACAGAAGGACTCTTTTTTGCGTTCAACATTGGAAAATTAAAATTTCTCACTAATAACGTAATATCTTCCCTTATAACAGGATTATTTGATGGTTTTGACATGAACCAATCGTGATGTAGTCGAACTACTTTGTCAACAACTGCTTGAGCAACACTCGGTAAGGTGTTTTGTTCGCGAAATTGTTCAACAACATATTGTGCAATACATTTGTTAACTAAATCGGTACCAGTTGCTTCTTCTATTGATTGATAGAAACCGCTTGACATTAATATTAAAAATTGGCATGTTTCATCGATTGGACCAGCTACGATTATATCTGGCTCGCTTATAATGGGTTCTTGTAAAGCATTTTTAAGATCTTCAAATTCTTTATAACCGCCTTTTACTAAATAATTTCCAAAACATCTTGTACTTCGTTGATTTCCAAGAAGAGTACCTTAAAAAACGAAATTTAAATCTTTTTGCACTTTCACTTTTGAATTAAATACATTTTCTTAAGTTATTAATATTAATTCCAAGTTGAGATAGCCTTAAAACTTCATCTTCATTCTGTAAAACATGATCAGTGCTTAATTGAACAACTTTAAGTACACCATTAGAATCTGTTTGACATAAAAGTACTCTACAAGATCCAACATTTGCAACATACAATTTATTATTATGTATTAAAGCTACAGCTGCTGTAGCACTAGCTGATAAACATAAATTAGTTTTTTTTATTTGGTCAACAACTTCCGGTTTCTTTTGATAAGCTTCATATTCACTTAGTCCTTGAATTTCTTCTTGTAAACCAGCTAAATAAGCTAATAAATCATACATCGAGTCCATATAACCTTTTTCTACGGATACAAAAGCTTGTCTATGTAAAAAGAAATAAATTAAACAATGTAAATAAATTGAGGTTATGTCAACAACCTTAAAACCTCTTTAATTTCTTCATCAGTTTTCTTATCTTTTAATTGCCCAAACACAAGCTCAGCAGGCATTCTTTGACAACAAAAATCAACAGCTTTTGATCCTTCCGATCCATCAAAAAGGGCATAAATTGAGGAGTTATCATCAAATTTATAATGAAACGTTCTATCTTCGAAACTGTGAGCTTCTTGCCGATTTCCATCTTCCCTATATATTTGATTTGTTGCGGAACCAACTCCTGATTGTTTGCATACTGGTAAATCGTCCGTCCAACTTTTAGACGTTTGAAAAGGGGTATCTGCTCGTAAAGATCTCATCTGACAGAATTTCTAACCGCAAAATAAAAAAAATTAAAATGATGACGAATTGATGTAATTGAAAACTTACATTAATTGTTATAAATTAAAAAAGTGTATTTAAAATATTAGATAAAATCATAACCTATAAAATCAAGAGTCTGTCATTATTGTCAAGTTAATAACAAATAAATTAAAAAGGAATCTGTATTATCAACATCAAAAAAATAAAGGTAAAAAAATTAATTGTTTATAAATGTGTCCCTCAAAACAATTTGTAATATTTCTATCATGTAAATAACATTTATAACTGTTACTTAATACTAAATTATAGAAATTATTTAAATTTTTGAACGCACTCTATCGAGAATAAAAGTAAACGAAAGTAAAATAAAGGCGCGCAAGAAGAATGCAATAACACGTTGTATGCCTTTTAAGTTTTTTACCGTCCAAAATGACAACAAAAAGTGTTTTACAGCCGATCGACATAAATAGTCCTAACATGGAGCGATCACCAGCCAGGTATTTAAACTTTTCGCGTACATAAACTGTATTATAACCTCAAAAGTTGTTTTTGTAGGAAAAAAGCGAGATATGATTCTCCTGCGAAAGAACGATGGTCGTTGGCAAGGAAAAGCGTACCTGCTTACGACGATTTAAATGGAGTAGAACTTCTTTGTGATTCAGACTCGGAACAATCAGAAGTAACTGCTGATGAAGTTTTGTCCAATCTTAATAGTTATTTTGGGAATCGATTAAGTGATCTTCCAGTAGAAAAATACAGCTCAGAACCTGAATGTTCACATGGAAGTGATGAAAAAGAATATTGTGTCCCTTTAAATAGCAAGTCAGAATCAATTATAAGTAAGAATTTGACAGTAAACTTTTTTTTGCATTATTAATGTCGTTTTTTTTTAGATTACTTTGAAGATATAAGTGATGAAGTAATGCTTCATATATTCCACTTCCTTCCAAAACGTTTTTTAAGTACAGCTGCTTTAGTTTGTAAAAGGTGGCATCGTTTAAGTGAAGATGAAAGTTTATGGGCTCGAATGGATTTAGGCTCAAAACAATTACAAGCAGGAGCGATGGGCCATATTATGAGTCGGCAAGCTTTAGTTTTACGTTTAGCCCAAGCAGAAATATCTCATCCGCCAATTCTAGATGGTTGTTATGCATACCCAGAGGATTTTCGTGCACGTCTTCTTTATCTTGATTTAAGTATGGCTCATGTAGCTCCAGAAAGTCTTGTTGAAATTTTTAAACGATGTTGTCGTTTAAAAAAAGTTAGTTTAGAACATGTAAGGATAAATGGAGATGTTTTAGATGCGTTAGGTTATAGTAAGGATATAGAAATATTAAATTTGGCAATGGTTGAAGGAATTAAGGAACATGGGATGCGAAGTTTATTAGAAAATTGTAGAAAGTTACGTGAATTAAATGTGGCATGGACTTATTTAGATGCTGCTACATTAATGGTGTTATGTTCGGCGTTGCCGGAAAATTTGGATCGCCTAAATTTATCTGGATGCCGGAAAACACTCACAGACGACAATATACGACGGTTAACATCTCGATGTAAAAAATTAAGAGAATTGGATTTATCTGATTGTACTGGGTTAACGGGCGAAACAATTTTACATATCTTACAATTAAAGGGATTAAATTTTTTGGCGTTATCACGTTGTTATCAAATTCCATATAAATCACTAGTTTATCTTAAACAAATTAAATCATTGGTTTATTTAGATGTTCACGCTGGGTATATGGATACTTCCGAGTTAAGGTACATTCAGGATAATTTGGGACCAAGTGTTCTTCTTAATAAATTTAAATTTAGTTCGATTGCACGACCTACGGTCGGCCCAAGACGATCTTCCATTTGGAATATGAGAGTTCGCGACTGAAATCGGCACACAAATGTGATCTTTTTTTTAGTTTATAGAATTTGTTTTTCTTTTAATATAGTTTCAACCAATGCCAAAATAATAATATGGATTATTATTAATAAGAATAAAGTATTACGTGAAATAATCTGTTGTAGTTCTTTTTAAATTATATTTTAACCTCAAAGTTATCAATCAATGTAAATGTCATTAGCGTCATTAGTAAGTAATTATTGACATCTATGATAACTTTGTTGAACTAAACAATAAAATACAGTTACCTGCAATAATTGATAATAATTTTCATATTTGTCAAAATACTTAACCTAACTTATTAAATTATTCACTAAAATGTCTGGATTTAGCGGAATTTTACAATTAACCGATTTAGATGATTTCATTACACCTTCGCAGGTTATAATCATTAAAATCTTTTCAAAATAAATATATATTTTTTTACAGGAATGCATTAAACCTGTGCAAATTGATAAGACAAGAACTGCAACGGGAGCAAAAATTTCAATACAAGAAGATGGTTCTTACACTCAAATCGATCAATTTGGAGCTCAACAAAAATTAGAGAAAGTTGAAATAACCCTAGCTGATTGTCTTGCTTGTTCGGGTTGTATAACTTCAGCAGAGAGTGTCTTGGTAACTCAACAAAGTCAAGAGGAATTATTACGAGTTTTCGATCAAAATAAAACATTTAAAGCAAATAATTCTCCTGAGACTCAACACATAATAATTTCAGTTTCTTTACAACCACTTTTATCACTTGCAATACGATATGATTTAGCTCCTAATGATTGTGCAGCAAAATTAGCTGGATTTTTTAAAGGATTAGGAGCTGATGCAGTTGTTGATATAAATATAGCGGAAGATTTTGCGTTATTAGAGAATCAAAAAGAATTTATTCGAAGATTTAGAGAAGCTGAAAGTGTTGATGGTAATAAAAATATTCTTCCAATGTTGGCGTCAAGTTGCCCTGGATGGGTTTGTTATGCAGAAAAAACTCACGGAAGTTACATCTTACCATATGTAGCCAGTACAAAATCACCCCAACAAATAATGGGATCATTAATTAAAAGATGGTATGGAAAAGATAAATTGGTTTATCATGTTACGGTTATGCCATGTTTTGATAAGAAATTAGAAGCATCTAGAGAAGATTTTTCGGATGATAACGGTGTTAAAGATGTCGATTGTGTTATTACAGCGAGTAAATATTTATTATTACTTTTTTACATAATTTTTATTGAAATTATTTAGTTGAATTGGAACAAATGATTGAAAAAAGTGGAATTAATTTTCGTGAATTAACACCATCATCATTTTCACAACCTTGGTTAAAAGAAGATGGAGATTATTTTCCGTGCTTAAAAGCACATCAAGGTTCAGGATCGGGAGGTTATTCGGATTATTTATTTATGACTGCAGCTAAAGAATTATTTGGAGTTGATGTTACGGAAATAAAATATAAAAATTTACGGTATTTTTGATTAATAACTAATTATTAAAAGTTAGTTACAAAAAATTTTTTTTAGAAATCCCGATTTTAAAGAGGCTATTCTCGAAAAAGATGGAAAAATCCTTTTACGATTTGCAATAGCTAACGGTTTCCGTAATATTCAAAATTTAGTTCAAAAATTAAAAAGGGGAAAATCATCTTACCATTATGTTGAGGTTATGGCGTGTCCTTCAGGTAAATTTGTTTTTTTTTATTTATTATTTATTAATAATAAGGTTGTTGAAATTATTTAGGTTGTTTAAATGGTGGGGCTCAAATTCGGCCATCAAACGGGAAGTCATCGAAAGAACTTATTGTGGAATTAGAACAGTTATATTTAAGTTTACCATGTCAAAATCCGGAAGAAAATGAAGAGGTTAAGCGATTATACCAGGTTTGGTTGGATGGTAATGAAAGTGATAAAAGTAAAGCTTTGTTACACACAGAGTATCATGCTGTTGAGAAAATGAGTACAGCGCTTAATATAAAGTGGTGATTTTAATATGAAAAATGAAATTTTTAAAGGTTAAGTAAATAAAGTTGTGACAATTTAATCGTTTATTATTCAATAATTGTACCAACATCAAATTAAAGTTATATATACAGCCAAGTAATACTGGGAATTAAATTATATATCCACATAAAATCCCACATAGTTCAAAATCCACATAAAATGCAACATTGCTTAATAGTACAGGCCAAGGTTGCCACCTTTAATCTCACGATTTGACATGTATTTCTCACGATTTTATTACAAAAATAATATAGTAATTAGTGTTAATAAAATCAAAGCAAAATCATAGCATTTTCAACTCGAATTTTAGGTTACTGTACATTTCTCTATTAGTTAAGAAATTACTTAAACTAAAGTTCCCAGATTTACAAAATACCGCGGTGGCCGCCATTTTGGCTCGAAGGTCACGCGGGAAATTTAAAACTATTTCGTTTTGTTGATAAAATTACGCCAAATTTCCTTTCAATTTGAATATTCCTTTGAATATTGACCTTTCAACTACTTCGATTCAAATATATAACAATGTAGCGCTGAATAACAGACAAAACTAGGTCTAGTGTTAGTTCTAGTTTTACACAAACACTGTTACTATGTAGAACTAACACTATACCTACAACTAGAATCATTTGGGTTTAGCCCAGATCTCTAAAAAAGGCTAAACCCGAATGATTCTAGTTCTAGGTATAGTGTTAGTTCTAGTTATACGCTAGCACTGTTACTATGTAGAACTGTGTACGGAAACCGTAAACATCGTAAAAGATCCAGTTTCTGATATTATAAACTGCTCAATTAGAATTATACCAATACTTAAAAAAGGTGGTCCTGAGAATAAGAATAACTACAGACCTATTGCTATTCTACCAGCCTTTTCTAAGATTTTCGAGTAAATCATGGCACTCCGAATAATAAACTTTTTTGATAAGAATAAATATTTCATTATGTATGGGTTTAGGAAAGCTAAATCAGCAGTAAATGACGTTCAGAGACTGATTGAATGGGTTTATGATCGTTTCGAATGTGAGGAAAACTGTCTAGCACACTTCCATGATTTTTGTAAAGCGTTTGACTCTATGAACCATGAGATTTTTCTGAGCAAGATGGAATATTATGGTTTTCATGGAGTTACGTTAAATCTTATTTCGAAAGCCGCTCCCAAGAGCGATATAAAATGTATTAAAATTGAAGTGCCTCTGTTCTTTATTATCTGTATTAATACGTACTTATCCATTAGTATTAATTATCTTACTCTCCTGTTTGCGGATGATACAGTAACGATGGTTTCGGGTCGAGGGAAAGAACATGTAGATAGTGAGGATCTTAGAATTTGCACATCTAACAACATCGTCGAACAACATCTACTTGACAACTAATCGAGTTCATCACGAGTTCCTAGGAGGAAAGGTGCAATATTTGAGCGTTGTTCTAGACAGTCTTCTTACTTGGTACGACCACGTAGAATTACTTTGTAACAGACTCAGTCGTTAAATATTTATTTCATGCGTCTATGCTGTTTGGAATTCCGGAAAGCCGTTCTGACAATTGATAGAGTTCCTCAAATCAGAAACATTTGGGTTTAGCGGTACGTCTCTTAAGACGGCTAAACTCAAATGAAAAAAAAATCCTTGAGATAGGGGTGAAGAACATGACAGTACGATTTCTATCAAACAGTAAAGCAGCTCTCCAGGCGCTGCAAAGCTGCTCTGGTTAATGACTGTAAAAGAACTTTAAAGACACTGAGTTGTGGTGATAACAGAGGTTCTCTGATCTGGGTCCCAGGTCACTCTGGGGTTGCTGGCGATGAAACGGGACTATCGATTAATGAATTAAATTTTCAATGGTTAATAAAATAATGTTGTGACAATTTAATCGTTTATTATTCAATAATTGTACGGTCACTGCGTACCAACATCAAATTAAAGTTATATGTACAGCCAAGTAATATATTAAAATAGTTTCAGTAAAACGTTAGTTTATTTTTTTAGTCGAACTCATTTTGTCCTTGATATCATTGACAAATTGATCCTTTATGTATTTTTTTCGACTGGTGTGTGTAAGAGTTTTAATTCTTTTTAATATTCTTTTTTAGAAAAAGATTTAATACTGATTGAGAGACTTAATTTCCCGTTATTTCGTTAGTTTTACATTTTTTTTGTTAACGTTTTAATATTTTTTTCTACAAAAATTTTTGTACACAAAAGAGTAAAACTCTTACAAATGTTTTTATTCACTTTCTTCCGTACTCTCTAAATTTACAAAGTCGACTTAAACAATTACGCCAGAGCTTATTTATTTTTCTTTTAATATTTAGGTTTAAATATTTCCATAACCTGGCATAATCGTAAATATAAAAATAAATTAGCCAAATTGAATAATTAAAAAGAAAATTAATAAAACAAAAAAGATAATTTCCAGAACAACAAAGTACGAAATGTACAAATTCATTATATTTTTTTACAATATATCTCCTCTATGTACACATTAATTTGCTTTATTTACAAAAAAAACGAGTTTGTGTGTGTGATACAGTGGGGTCAGCTATATTTATATATATATATTTATATATTATATTATATTTTCTTCTAAAAATAACTTAAAAAGAATGTGATGTAAGCGATGTACTTTTTAGATTTCCAAACACAACAGATTCAAAAAAAAAAACCTAATAATTACAAAAACGAAACAGGTACACAACTGACCCAAGAAAAAAGAACTAAATATTACTTTACTAAATATCTTAAACCTAAATAGACCGTTTTCTTTGTTTCGAACGTTTTACAAACGAATCGAAAGAAAAAAATTTACAACCCAAAGGATTCATATCATTTTCTTTTAATGATCTTATTTTCTAATACAAAAGAAAAAAAATACAAAAAGAAAGTTAATTAAACAAAAAAAAAACGCGAATTCTATTTTTATAAACAATGGAGAGATCAATCTTTTCCCTTATTTTATAAATAATTTTGTACTTTTATAAATTAAGCGGTAATAACACCTTTCCCGCAAAAATAATCAAAAAAAAAAAGAAAAAACACTGGGTTGTTTTTTTTTTCTTGTACACAATTCTTCCTATCGAGTAGTAATGCAAGAAAAAAAAATGATGAAAATCGACACAAAAATTAAATTATAATTATATGCAAAATATAAAATTATGGCAAGTGCCTCAAATAATAGAAAATAAAAAAAAAAAAACTTAAATTACATACTCCGTAGATATTACAAAAAATATATATATAATTAACGCATTATTATGGGCGTGTTTTTTTTTAATCTGTGTGCTTGTAATATTTAATTATGTAATATTAATTGAAATATATTAAGGCGCAATTAAACAATTTCTCTCTTTCATATTTACTACGCACTACAACACGAGAGCAACTCTTTTTCTTTAAAGAACGGCTCATTAATGGGTCAATTTTAATTTCGTCGTTTCATAAATAAAAAAAAAACCTCTAATTAAACAAATAGTAATTAAACAGGGCGAGACCTAAAGAGTATAGTAATTTTAGTGATTGCACAAAAAAGATTAGATTCTGTAATAAAGGGGCAAAGTGTGGGGGGTGGGGGTGTATTTACACATTCTTTTTCTTCCATTTCTTTCACTTCATTCTTTTCAGGTTCTTTTGTGTTAAAGCTTTCATCACTACGACTTTTCATTTTTTTTAAAATTAATTTCACTTATTCAATGGACATCCTCTCCGTGATTTGGAGGTGGAGATGGATTTCTACCTTCATATGGCGCATCATCATCTAAAAAAAAACAATCGATAATTATTATTTCAATTAATTTAATAAATAAGCTTAATTAATTTACCTATAACTGAACCGTAATTCGTATAATTACTATTGGGATACAATGGATTATTAAAAGGGGGCACATAACTAGCACTGCCACCATCAGTATCATCAATACCATCACTTTCTGTAACTGTCATTTCCATTTCTTCTTCATCGGGGGTGTAATAAAGCACCGGAGGTTCTGACGAACGTATCGTATCAGAAAGAGTCTCTTCAAGCATTTCTTCATCACCCTCAGCAACGGTAATCGTCGTTTCAGAGGGTTGTTCCAAAGGAATTTCAGACACCGCACAATCATCGACTTCTTGTATCACTTTTTGTTGTTGTATTTGTTGAAATTGCATTGATTGATTCTGAATTTGTTGCTGTGGGGGTGGAGTTTGAAGCGGAGGTAATTCATTTGAAACATCGCCGGAACCCGGAATCGGAAACGTCGGTGATGAAAGCGGTAATATTAAATTCGGTTTCGGAGGTGATGGAAGGTCTCGTTTTAAAATCGTTTCGACATTAATGGACGCTTAAAAATAAAATTAATATTAAATAAATCAAAAATGCTGACAATCATGAATTAATTAATTACCTGATTTACGAGTTTCAACATCCAACGTTAATCCTAAAGCTTTTTTAAGCCGCAAACTGACGTTTTCCCTTTGACGTTCAAGTTCGGTGGGTTCAGAATTAAAAGCTGATAAAACTAAAAAAGATAAATTAAATTAAATTTATCTTGTAAATAAATAATTTAGTTACTTTTTTGAGGTGGATTCGATGGTGGGGAAACTTCCTCGTCCGAAGTAGGACACGAAGTCGAACTTGAACTATTCGACCGATTCCGAAGCATTTTCGGAGACTGCGACTCCGCGGCCATTTCTTCAATTATACCCTCGTCTTGTTTGTCGTTTACATTAAGCTTTTTTCTTTGACGATATTCGGTTATCGAGAGCTAAAAACAAACAAATTAAACTCGAATCGTATCAAATTAACAAATCATTCATTTTTACTACATTTATTTCAAGAGTTAGAGTCCCATCTTGATTGATAAATCCCACATAAATCGTTGAAATAACCGTTTGGGACTGAGGTCAAGATTAAAATTTTCAATCTAATTCTACGATCCACTTCTAAATCAACATCCAGTATGCTTCAAATAAAGTAATACAGTAAAACTTTGATATATAACGAACTAACACGAAGAAGAGAATGTCGCGTTACATGAAAAATCATATTTATACCAACGACGGTAGAATCTAAGAGGACTATTACATCGCGAGAATAGGTGTATAACTTAAAGGACCGTTCGTGACGTCACACAACTACTATTTCGCACTTTGAATTATCAAATTTCTTTTATTCGGGTTTTGTAATGTTATTAGTTTGAGATTTAAAGTTCATAATCTAGTTTCTAGTTCTATTTCTAGTGTTAGTTCAATAAAAATATTCAACAACCTGGCGTTGAATAACAAATAAAACTAGAACTAACACTAGACCTAGAACTAGAAACTAGATTCTAGGACTAGATTCCAGTTCTAGGTCTAGTCACAGATTAAAGAGTAAACAAGATACGACGCTTCGTGTCGGCATCTTTGATGTAGGGCTGCCATTTTTTATGACCTTGAACGCTATGAACCTTTAAATTGTAATGGTTTGTTATTGTCAAGACATTTAAATTGGAATGTCTTATATCTCTTATCAGTTACTCTTTAATCTTTGGTCTAGTGTTAGTTCTAAGTTAGTTCATGATGAATAACAACTAAAACTAATACTAGGATTAGAATTAAAAGACGTACAGCTAAACCCGCATGTTTCTAGATCTAGTGTTAGTTCAATAAAAATATACAACAATCTAGCGCTGAATAACAATTAAAACTAGAACTACCATCTTGATTTATACATAATATAGAGAACTCAGGGAATACCCCAAGTTTATCTATGAACATAGAATAGAGCAACTTGAGGAATAACCAAAGTTAGATTCTATCTAACTTTATTAATATTTAGCTAAACTGATATTCTTTTTGTCCGTTATATCGAGGTTTTACTGTACTTGAGATTATGTAATTTCAAATTTATGTGGAATTTATTAATCACAATCCGCATAAAACCTTTACCTTTCTTTTAGTTGGTATAGCCTCCGGTTTCTTATTATCTTGAAACCCCAAAAAACTCAACGTTTTCTCAACCGTTCCAACTAAATGCTCGCTATTAAATAATGGATTTTGTCGATCACGACATAATCTTGGATCTAACAAAGAAAATTCTTTCCGCACGAATTCTTGACTCGATTCAAACCGTGCTGTTAATAAAGGTTGTGTCGGCTGGGTATTAATTTGCTCGGTAAATTCCGGTTCGACCGTTTCGCTACTTTCTTGGTTAACGTTGTTAACGTCGTCTTCGTCTCCCTTTGAAACCATACTTTCCGTTGAAAGAGATTCTCGCGGAAGTCTTCGTTTTTTTGGTGGTGCCAAGGTTTCGCTGCTAATTGGAGGAGATTCCGGTCTGCTACTACTCGGACTATCACATTGATCTTCGCTAATAGCTTGCCTTAACCAACGTTTTTTAGCGTTAACTCTCGGTTGTGTATCGTTATCGCAAAATGTTGTTGCAGCTTGAGCTAAAGCGACTAAGTTTTTGGTTGGGGTATAAAAACCGGTTGCAGTATCATAAACACTCTCTGTTGGTGTAATACTTAACGATGGTGAAATAACCGTTGGTGGTTGTTCCGTGCCTTTATTCAACCATTCATTCATTAACCCCTTTTTTGTTTTTGGAAATTTAAATCCTGGTTCTAAAGGTTCAACTGCAGCTGCAACTAATAGACAAGCCGACGAAAGTGGTGTTTCGGGTGAAGAATTTGAATTTGAATCGATATCACCAACTTGTTCCGGGGAGCAAGATTTCGTTTCGTTTAAACCATCACCATTTGAAAATGCCAAAAGAAGACCAGCTGCTTTTCTCGGAGAACTCTGATCGATATTTTGATCATTCGGTGATAATAAAGTTTCATCACTAGATGTCGCATGAGCCGAATCCGCGGAATTTAAACGATTTCTTCTACCTTGTTGCGAATTTGTGCTTAATGTTCTTGTTCGGCCTTTCCGTTTCCGTCGTTTTCCTCGTCCCAAATTTTTTTCTTCGTCTTTTCCACCCGGTAAAGGTTCCGATTCTCTTCGGTTTGCTTGTTTTGCTTGATGTTCTTGTTTCCGCTGTTCTTGTTTTTCCATTCTTTCAATCGCTTTCATAATTGCTTGAAATTTTCTTTCCTCACGACTCAATTTTTTCTTGTCTTTTTCATCGGATTGAGCGGGTGATTCTTTTCGATCTTCATGATCACTTTTTGCTGATGATCTTCGATTAACAACGGGGGGAGGAGGTGGTGGAGGTGGAGGAGATGAAGCTTCAACCATTGTTGTAGTCTCTTCCTCTTTAATTTCCTCTTTTATTTTAATCTCTTCAATTTTAACCTCCTCAATTTCAATTTCTTCTTTTTTAACCTCAACTTTTTTAATAACCTCAATTTTTTTGACGTCTATTTTTTCTTCCACTACATTTTCTTCCTTTTCGGGTGGTAAAGACGGTGGAGGTTCTTCTTTAACTTTAATTGTGTCGGAATTGACGGTGGAACTCGTTCTTCTTCCGCGCCGCTTCCTGTGCAGATTCACCTCGCCGGGGACTTGAATCCCATTCTTTCGAGACTGCGATTTTAACGCGCACGTTTCCGGATTACCGCACGCGCAACTCACTTCCGCCGTCGTGTTCACCGCCGCGACCAAGTCGTGAGATTCGTGCTTAATCGTTAATTCCACATCCTTTTCGACAGCCGACGCTGTCACAATGTACAAATGTAGGACGCCTTTCTCTATGCAATGCCTCAATTCCGCGTTCGGTTGACAGGATCGACGGACGAATCGGGCCACGTTTCCATACGTTCGTGTATCGACACACACTTCAGTATTATCTCGATTTAATCGATAGAAAAATAAAAACGGACCGGGTCGTTGTTGTCGCGTCGTTAAATTATTAACATTCGTTGATGTTCGGTGTTGCGTTGACAGCATGTATTTGCCACGAAGTTCGATTATGGGAGTTCCAGCATCTAAATCCAGCGTTGTTAATAAACATTTTGTGCCATTTGAGTTTGTTTCGAGTTTGCATCTAAAAAGAAAAAAAATTTGTCGTTAATTTTATACATTCAATAAACGTCAAAAAGATGAAAATTATTTCTTGTTTTTTAAATAATGGGAAATTTGTTAAATTTTTGTTCTTACGTGATATTAGAAAAATGTGGATAATCTTTAGAATAAGCTTATAACTCTTGACAATTTTCAACAATAACAATACTGGGTTTTCAATGACATCTGTCATTTATCAAAAAATATTTTGACTTTTTCACTGAAGGTCAAACTAATATGATCAATTAATTAATTCTTAATTAATAACCTGTTATTAGTCAAAGTAAACGTAATAATTCTATTCTGAAAGCAACTCTATTTTGTATATTTACGCCCACTTTTACCACATCTTGATAAATTTATCATATAGATAAATCCAGCTCTTAGCCAATGACATCCCTTAAAACTGTTATCATGGTAACTATCCGCTAGATAGCTTGGATGAACCGGATGAAGAAGTTTAAATGTTTAAATTAAATATACAGGGATCTATCAACATTTGTCTCGACGTAGTGCTTTGGTCAAAAACGAACTCGGTTAAACTACCATCTTCTGGTTAAGCTATCTAAGGGATTATTACCATGGTTACGGCTATTTTACGCGCTCTCATTGGCTAGTAGATAGGTTTATCTATTAGATAAATTTAACTAAAAGATGGTAGTAACGAGCCTTAATATTGTATCTAAACAATAGATAGAATGATCTTATCAAAACATCTTTTAAAACTGTTTAATTTTGGCATGGATATCAATGTAACGTCTCGGCTTAACTATTCTAAATACAAATCTAACCTAAAACTTAAAATACAATTAAATAAGCGCACTTTCTTGCAAACAGTCAAGTTTTGGGTCGATATAGTATTCTTCATATGGTATCGATGTAGCGTCTTGGCCGCAAACGATCTCAGCTTAATTATTTCTAAACTTGTGACCGTTTTTACAAATGTCTAAAGATACACTTCCAAAAGACTCAAGGGCTCAACTCAGAAGAGACTTCCATTTATTATAAAAGAGTACGTGCAGTTGGAGAATAAGGAAGAAGAATGTATTAACTTAGCTACTGATGGGGGGTTTCAAAGAGAAAAAAAAAAGAAAAAGCTATTCGAGCTGAGGACTTTAATTCCATTTCCAATCGCAAATCTGAATGAGCAACATTTTTCATCGATGCTTCAAGTTGTGTCAAACAATTGTGTCATGAAACTGAAAAAAAACTTGTATCAGAAATGAGTGTTCACCATTCACACTAAATTCGTTTTTTATATTATGTTAAAATATTAGAAAAAATGTATTCGTGTTTATGTATAAAACTACGTTATTTATTTACTCTGTGCTCAAAGGTATTACTTAAACAGTATAGGGGTCCATGACCAACATTAACATGTCTAGTTGTTCATACATTGCTTGCCCTAAAACTCAAAGAAAACCTACCACACTTTAAAAAATCATTTTGATTAGAATGCGCTTAGATAAAGACGTAACGTTCTTGTAGACTATCAAATTCTGTATCGATATGTATAGATGTAGCGCAGTTTTCTAGAAAACAAGAATTTTTATTAATTTTCAAGTATTGGCCAGGATATCTATGGGGTTGCCCAAAAAAAATTTGAATTTTCAAGGATTCCGAAATCATTTTATAAACTTTTTAGCACACTTTCAAAAGATTTATAAGCATTTTCTTCGACTTTGAAGAATTTTCAAAAATTTAAAACGATTTTTAAAAATCGTCTGAGGACATGCGTCAAAATTTCAAGATTTTTCTTAAGATTTTAACAAGTTTCAAGTAATATCTCCAGATTATCAAAGATTTTTCTACTAATTTCAAGAATTTTAAGAAGATTACCAACAGATTTTCTGAGAATGTAAGGGCATTTTAAGGTTTTTAGGTGATTTCGAAACTTTCCAAATACATCCATGAAAATGAGAAATTTTTCATCAATATATAATGTATATCTGACATTAGTCTGAATTAGTACCGTATTTTGTAAATATTTTGTTGAGGTAAAGGAAAATCAAGTTTATAGAGTAGCAGTGAGATTATGGCTCAGCATGTGAATTAGTTTCCTTCAATATAATCTTCTAGCCACATTACATTGGCTTTTCAGATGAGGTTGTACTTGTACAAGATCAAACTGCAACAATTAATCATAAGAAAAATTATAAAAAAAATTTCAAAATGCAATTTAATTTTAACAACATTTGTTATTCTTTCTTCATTATACAGTCTCATATTTTAATATTAGTACAGTAAAACCTCGAAATAACGGATTAATACGGGCAAGGGAGTGTCTGTTATAGCCAAAAGTACGTTATAACGGGAATTTCATATAACTCGCAATATATGAATGTAGTAATCATATTCGAATTCAAATTCGAACAGCTATCCACACCGTTGCGTTCAGTCTTTATATTTGTATCAAGGACGATAGAATCTAAGAGGACTGCTACATTCCAGCAACAAGTGCACAGCTCAAAGGCCCGTTCGTGAAGTAAACGGTAAATAACAATTAAAACTAGAACTAACACTAGTTTCTAGTGTTAGTTATAGTTTTAGTTCAATAAAAATATGTAATATCTAGTACTAATTAGCGCTACCTAGAACTGTCACTAGAACTAACACCATACTTAGAACTAGAAACATTTGGGTTTAGCCATCTTAAGAGATGCACAGCTAAACCCAAATGTTTCTGGTTCTAGGTTTCATGTTAGTTATACTTTTAGTTCAATAAAAATATACAATCTAGCGCTGAATAACAATTAAAACTACAACTACTAACTTTATACATCATATAGACAACTCATTAAATTGATTTAAAAATATTTTGTCCATTTTATCCAAAGTCCGTTATAGTTCGAGGTTTTCCTGTAAATCACATAAACTAATAAATAGCTATGTCACTCTAGCCAACATTCCTAAAATATTGCAATTTTTGATAATATATAAACAGTCACTCGGACCAAGGAGTGAAGGTTAAGGGTTCAACTGTGAACTAATCACAAATACATAGAAAACTGAATGGGCAATTTAAATATGCTTAACTTAGCTAAATAGCTATTTTTCATAAACATTTTGTAACTTAAAAAAAAATACAAAATTTACAAACCTTTGTACTTGCGGATCAACTTGTCCAGAAAATTCAGAATGAGCCCCATTAATCCTAATATTACTAATTCTAGCTCGCAATTCAGGTGAATAATGATTAGTAACGGCTTCCTCGTAATTATCAATCCACTGCCGCAACTGAGGAAGATGAGTTTTTTCATCATCACCACTTCCAGTTTTACATTGACTTCTCATCTTTCGTTTAGTTATTTTCCGTTTTAACTGTCTTTTCTCTCTCTCGCGCCTCTGCCTTTGTTTAATATCAACTTTCCTTCGATTTTTTCCAAGCGTGATATTGTTGTTAATCGAGGGATGATCGCCATCGGATGAATCCGAATCCGTTAAAACTTCTTTTAACTGTTCTTTTCTTAATTTTGCGTCGCGTTCTTGCACCTCTCTCATCCATTGTTGTTGTAAGGTCCGCGCTTTATGTCTGTCTGTTGGTTTGGACGGATCGCAAACTTCACACAAATAATCGTCGGGAACCTTTTTCGTTTTAACAACACATCGAACATGTTGCCAGACTTTACATTGATCGCACTCTATCATGTAACCATCGTCATGGATAAATCCGCAAATACACCTTGTAACGTAATCACCGTAACGATCAAATTGATCGTTGTCGTTAGCGACTGCTTCCGCTTCCGGAGCCGTGTCGGTTTCTTCTCCTTCTGTATCAGGTTTCCGGTCGGAAACGCAGCTTATATCAGAAGCGGCATCGTCATCTTGACTCACCGTGCTTTGTAAGAGGGAAGCGCTTGAAAGACTCGTAAGAGATTGATTTGTTGGAGTCAAATTAAATAACCGCTTTTTGCTGCTGCCTGGTGAATATAAAGACATACCAACGCCGTTGGGTGTGCTTGGATTCGGACTTGGAGGCACAGGCGAGTCCATTGGCAAAGTAGCGTTATAGTTATGATCCAATAACACTGCTTGGCAAACGAACGAGAGGGTGTCTAAGTTCGATTGAGGTTTGTACTCTATCTGCCGCGTTTCCTGTTGATGAGGACGCGGTTCTGAAAAGTACGATGGTTCGTATCTGATTGATTCGTAAGTCGATTTCGTACCTAACGTTTCCAAAATTTGAGCCGTAAGCGCTTGATTAAAAGTAACTTGATTAGTTGTCGTCGGTCTGTTTTGATATTGATGTATAAACGGGGTTGCTTTCTTCTTTGGAAGCGGTTGCTTTAATTTTTGAGCTTGAACGGCGTGTTTTCCAATGTAATTCGGTTTTCCAGGAACGTGTCTTTGTTGGCGCTGTTGTGGCGGGATTTGCCGCGACGGGCCGGGTTTTGGGAGAGCGTTTTGTTTCATTGGAGGACTCAAAGCTTTTAAGTTAGGTTTATTGGGAGCATAATTAAACGTCGATAAAGTTTTTATTTGACTCTTTGGGCCGGCGTAAATGATTTTTTGTTGTTGCGGTTTATCGGAAATCGGTTTTTGTAAAACTTGTTTATTTGAAACGTTCGCTATTGGTTTGTTTAGATATTTAGTGGCCCCATTTCCGACCGGTTTTTGTTGAAATATCCTTTGATTTGTGTTTTTGTTTAATAAAACGTTACTCGGACCAGCCGCCATCGCGTTGGGCATTATTACATTGCTAAGTATTTTTACTTTGTTTCCGGTAACCGGTCTTTGACCGTTCACCGTTTTTAATAACTGACCAGAATTTGATTGCATCACATTTGTGGAAGGAAACGAATTCGCCGTAAGCAACTTGTGGCTTTGCGGAACAACAACGTCTTGTTCGCCAACCGGATGGTTCTTCTTAACAAATACATTGTGTAATGTTGCTTTTTCAGTTAAAGGTTGCACAGTTCCGTTATTAACTGTCTCAATCTTATTGTTATCAGAATTAATAACACCTGAATGTATGGTTGGTTGGACCGCTTTAACTACTGTAATCGGAGCGGCGTTTACCAAAGTTATTGTTGGAGTCGATTTTAAAGTCGTCGAATTTACAAGTGTAATGTGTGAAGTTGCCGATGAATTAGCTAAAGACGATTTTACTACGGTTATCGGCCCTTGACCAGTATTCACCATCGTCAACAATGGCGAATTTACAATCTTCATTTGTGTTGTTGAAGTCACTGTACCTTGTTGTGGGTTTGCAACGAAAATTTTCGAGATGTTTTTCGAAGATACTTGTGGTTTTTCATTTTCAGCTAGCTCGGAGGAAGTTGTATTTAAGGTAACCGCCGGTGTCGTAAGCACCTTTGTTGTCTCTGAAAGATATTAGATTAAATTACATGGTATTAATTTTATGGTTTAAAACTTACCTAAACAAACGCTCATGTCTGCAGAGTTGTACAATTCGTTGTATCCATCTTTTTGCAATAAAAACCCACCCCCTCCCTCGGTGTTTTCCTTTTCGCCTTCCAGATCACTTTTTTCTATAAGAAAAAATATAATAAAATTAAGCATAATCGAGATTTGGTTAAAAAAATTTAATTTTGAGGTTAGGATTTTGTTTTTAAAAATAACATCTCAAATCTCTAAAAATAATTGAATTATATTACAGAATCTTAAATAAATACATAAATTGAATACTAATTATTATTTTTTTGAAAATAGATGCGTTTAATTGAGGCTGAATTTAATCCAGTTGAAACATTTCGCTACAACTTGAAGTCTCCGTGGTTTGGTTGCTCGCCGAGGTCACGCATGCGCACTAAAAGAGGCCCGTGAAAGGAGCAAAACGGTGACAGCAATAGCGGGGCGCACTATACAAGCTTGTATCGATTGTTTTTTATTACTGTGGGCGTGATACAATTTAAAAAAGCATTATTTTGTAACAATTACAAAAACTAAACAAAAAAAAAGACTCCAATCTGACATATTTATTTAAACGTCAATTTGACATTTACGATTTTCATAGACTTTAAATACTAGAAAGTTCTACCAATTTTTTTGACGCTAAAATCAAAAACAATTCCGATTTTTAAGAATTTATTTCGTCGGCTACAACCTCGTTATATTATCACGTTAATATACGTTAGATAATGTAAAAATAAATTCAAAAAAAGAGACGAGACAAAAAAAGAGAAAAGTGGGGTACACGATACTAGCGATTCTGAAAATGTCGCTTACTTCAACACAATCAATTCAAAATGCAAAAGAATTCAACCATTTGGGGAAATGTTCAATTAGATCGAAGCCATTTTAGAAGCCCCCCGAAATACGAGTTCGCTCTCCCGGTATACACGCGAAGCGTAGACGTAAATATTGACTATTTTTAGAAAGTGGAAGAATGTAGACCGCGCTTTAATTTTGCGCTGCCACAACATTTTTTTTTCTACACACACTTTTTTAGCTTTCTTCCCGTTTCAATTGCCAAAAAAACCTACGTTGTAAACACCTCGTTTTCGTTATTAAATAATCGATTACGCGGTTTTTTCTCCACTATAAACAACATCGAAACTCTCCGATTTTCTCTCACTTATTGACATTTAACCGATGATTTTTTGGCGGCGAATCGACCGAAATACATCGTAAATTAAGGAAACCTTCGAATATCGCCCGATTTGTAGAGGATAAATCGAAAACCTACCTTAGATTGACAGAATTCAAACTGAACGTTTCAATCACCGATGTAAACACAAACATTTTCTGGCGAAAAACAAACGTTCACTGCAATTTATCTTGTCCATAATAGAACCGACACTATCCGCGCAATATTTTCACCAATTTAAACCACCACGGCTACAATAACACCATGTATTTCACGATTATTCTACAATTGATTCGAAAACATACATCTAAGCTAAATATGGCAGCCATATTCTGTACAAAACAAAGGAAATGTATCCAAGAAACCTGTCCAATAATCTCGAACCCTCGTCCGGTTTCCGGTCCACAGCTTTTAAAAATCCCACCAGATGGCGCGCTATCTTGCTATTCAAACGTTTACTTCAAAATATCAACTTTATAATACATCATTTTACAAATTTAACTTTATCACACATAAAACAAATCAAAAATAAACAAAAATCAGTTTAACCTTTTATTTAAACTCTCATTAAAAAGATAAATTTTCAAATATTTATCGGTTTCACCAAAAGATGGCTCTGAGTTGCGAAAAAATTGACATAACCTCTAAAATATCAATGAATTTCTCTCTAATTAATTAAATTGTTATTAAACTCAATAAATAAAGATACAATTATGTTTTTAGATTTATTTTTATTTTAATAACCATAAAATTAACATATTTGACTAATTTCATTTCCGCCAAAATATTAAATACTCAATTTCTCATTAAAACCACATCTTTATTATTTCGCTGGTGGCCAAGTCCATTGATTTGGTGGAGGTTGCTTCATTAGAGGTTCCCAAGGTTTCCAAGCGAGCATTTTTCTCGCTAAAATCAATTCATTCTCAGCTTGAACTATCAACTCCTCAACTTGTCCACAACCGATTTGCCGCTCAATTGTAGCAACGTCTTTAACACACTTCAAAACTTCCGAACGCTCCTTTACTATTTGCTCCGTGTGTTTTCTGTACGCTGCATTTTCAGGCATTTTTTGTATGGCTCTCAAAATTTTCCCATACAAAACTCCTAGCGTATGATGAGGATTGGCGGCTACAGCTAATCCTGTTAAACCGGTTGTTCTTTTTAACGGCCCAGAGCACGACATTCTCTTCAATTCTCTTTATTCTTAATTCTTTCCGTTTAAGTTGTTATTATTCGTTACACAATATGACAGCTTCTAGGGATGTCTAAATTTTGGGGAATTAGGTTGGTCATCATGACTGGTTGTTATGGCAACGTAAATGTATTTGATATCAAATTGACAATGAGTCAAGAAGAAAAATATAATTCTCAATTATATATTGAGTCTAAAAGGTAATTGATTAATTAATTTTAATATGCTTATTAAAAAAAAACATTGATTATAGCGTAGTTTTAATTGAGCACATAGAAAAGTTAGCAAATTTGTGTTTATCGCAAGATAATCTTATTGATTCATCAAAAAAAATCGAAGAGAATCAAAAAATTGAGCGAAATAAACCGGAAATAACCACAATAAGATCGATAGTTTATGAATCTTTATCAAAATCGATCAAATCTCAGCAAAATATGGATATTGAAAAAAGTTATGTTCAAGAATTAATGATTACGTCTCGTTCTACAAAGTTAGTTGAAAAATATTTTAGTATTTGGAGGGCGAAAGTAAGAAAGAAAAAGCGACCTGATACAGGATTGATTAAAAAGGAAAAAATAAACAACTTTTTGGAGCGTTTAAAACAAACAACAGAACAAAAAATTGCAGAACCAAACAAACTAACAACACAATCAAAAAGTTCAAATAATTTAAGTTGTTACCAGATTAAGACGTCAAACGAAACGTTTAAAAATCGTCTAAAATCACAACAAGACGTTATTCAAAATCAAAAAGCACAAATAAACGAACAAAATAAGTTAATCGAAGATCTACGTTTGGGAATTATTCAAGAGGAAACGACGAAATCCTTAAACAACTCTCATTATGAAATTAGGGAAATTTTTCGGAGATGTTCCGGTAGTGTTCGTTGTAAAATCACACCGCCCGAAGCGAGTGAAAATAATGTTCACGTAATTGAATTAAGATGTAGTAAACCGCCAAAGTTATTTAGAGAAATGGAGAAAAGAGCTGAAGAACGTTCGTTGAAACGACAAATTATTAAAGAACGGAAACGGGTTTTGGATGAACGAAAACAAATTTTAGCTGCCGAAGCTGTTGAAAGAAAAAAGACCGTCGAGGAGGAGGAACGAAAAAAAAATTTAGAAATGATCAAAGAACGCAGACGACTTGAAAGTGAAACGATTAAAATTAAAGAATTAAAGCGAAAGGAGTATTTGGAAAAGATTCATAAAGCTAATAAATTCCATAATCGAAAGTTAAAATTAATGGTTTTTGATGGGATGAAAAAAATGATCAAAATAATGGAAGAAAATTTTTTTAAAGCCGAGTTCTATTACGATAATTGTGCAAAAAGAAATTGTTTTTTAGCCTTAAAAAAATACAGTAATCAAAAGATTTTTGAAAGGAATTGTAAAGCTGATGGGTTATTTCAATTTAAAGTTTTAAAAAAATCTTTTCAAGCTTGGAAAGTCTTGATTATTATGAAAAAACAAAGTTTACAAGTAGCTGAGGATGTTTTTGATATGAAATTACAAAGCAAAATGTTTTTAAAATGGAAACAATTTTATGAGTGGGAGCAAATCAATTATTTTAATAAGAGGGAAGTTGCTCAAAAACATTTTGAAAGGTATTTAATGTTTATATATACATTTTTTTTTTCACTTTGGTTATAGAATTTAATTTTGACATGATTTGAATTTCGTCAATTTTTATACAGTGAATTAAACTTAAGATGCAATATACAAAAATATATTTTCATAGAAACCAGGGCGTACATACTTACTTTGTCCCACATAAAATGCAACATATCAATATAATTTGACATTACAGTAAAACGAAAGTAAAGGAATAAAGTTATTTGATTTTTTAGTTGTTACTTAGTATTTATGTAAATACTACAATCTACAATTTTACAGCTGACTGCTGAATTTTAGATGATTTTAAGTAACATTAACGAAATACGTGTCTTTAGTTATTTGAGTTTTTTATGAAAACGACAATGTTTTTTAAAAAATAATAAGAGTAAAAAAGATTTAGAATGAAATTCCACATTAAATGAGGTAATAATGTATTAAATCCGCCAAAAGGCTAAAAAAGTTTGTCGAAATTTAGGGGACCATCACCTTCAATCAACCCTTTGAAATGCCTCAATTGGTCTCAACTTGCTACCAATTAATACCCTTGGTCATAAATTTACTCATAAATTTAAGACCCAACTTTGAAGGCCTATAACTCCTCAGGGGTACAACTTAGTATAGAGTACTCTACATGTCCCTGCTCTGTGTCAGTTCTTATGTAAACTAGAACTAACACTAGATATAGAACTAGAATGATTCCAATATTTTCCAAGCAAATCTCTTCCTTTGCAATACTACCCAATGCCTGTACTATTAAGTTATGTTGCATTTTATGTGGACAGTGCAAATGTATTGTGAGTTATATGAAATTCCCTGTATAGGTTTATTTGGTTCTCAAATTATATTAAATCTATATTAATTAATTTGAATTTGATTTTAATTGCTTTTTCTTTTAGAAAAATTTTAATACATCATTTTTATCTATGGAAATCTTTACCAGCCGTTATTCAATTAGAGAAAGCAAAGGAGGCAAAGAAACGGAAATGGAGGGAAAAAGTTTGGGAAATAATTCCAGATTATAAACCATATGGAGATGACTCACTAATAGTTGCTTAACTTTTATAATATTTCTTATATAATTATTTCATATTAAAATCATTATCAAAGTCATAGTTTTCATCGTCTTTGGATGATTCCAAAACTTTTTCGGCTAGAATTCGAGCTTGCTTTTTCTGTATTTTTTTCTCCTTTTTAAATTGCAATTTTTTTACTTTATTTAATTGCAAATTTCCCTCTAATTCCATGACCGGATCAACTTTTTTCTTCCTAACCAACATAGTCGGTTTCTTTTTTTGTATTTTCACCTCCAATTTTTGAGGCAACTAAAATTTTAATAAAAACACTCATTTTATTCAAGACTTTAAATTAATTTTAATTACCAATTCATCACTATCATCTTTATCCTGAACCATATCTTCACAAATAACAGATCCCAACGAATCAACTTGAAACGGTTTATTCGCCGTTTTATCTTCCGTTGATTTTTCAAGTTGAGACAAAATTTCAACTTCCATACTTTCAAATTCGTCCAAATTGAATTCTTTCGAGGTTTCTGATAAGATTTTTGCATCAATATGTGTTTTAGTTTCATTTTCTGGTGGTGTTGTATAATAACGGATTTTTCCACTAAAAATAAGTTATAAAAATATTGTTATTAAAGATTTTATCTTAAATTTACCTATTCCAATCATCAATTAAACTTCTTGCAGCTGCAATTAAATCAGGACGACCACCTCTTTTAAATCGCCCCATCCTGCTTGCTTTCAAGCTATAAAATTCATCTGGTGAATTATATTCGGTGATATCATACAATTCCATCATTTGTTGTTTAGTAACTCTTTGTAAAATGGCGTTAGCCGGTGTAACAGGGTCTTGTAGAGCTGAAACTCTAACAGCGTTCCTCAAAGAAGCACTTGAATCATTTCCAGTTGCAAAAACAATTCCTGGCGAATCTAATAACTTAATTTTAGAATCTAATTGAACTTCTTGCATAGATCTAAAATTATTAATTTAAAAAAATAATCTACTTTATTAAATTTCTTTACCTTGTAATTCCTGGTGTGGCTCCAACGTTACAAGCTCTACTTCTCTTTAAACTATTAATTAATGAACTTTTACCAACATTTGGTAAACCAACAACTCCAACCCTAATTGATGTTTTAATTCCTTTGTTTCTGCAATAATTCGATAATAAAGACATTAATAAGTCAGCACCAACGCTAGAAGAATTTTGCATTAATTTTTGATCTTTATTGGTCAATTTAAATTTGCGTTGACCCAAAGAATGGGACTGATTTTGAGTTGAAGCTTTAAATGGTATAGTTGGGGCTTCAGAACGTAAATATTTTAACCATTTATCTAAAATTTCCCTTGGAATTAAATCAGCTTTATTCAAAACAATAACTAAACGTTTATTTCCTTTTGATTCTCTAACGGCTTGTTCCACTTGAACGCAACGTGTCCCTAAAGGATCACGAGCGTCGACTATTTCTAAAATTACATCAGCCGCATCAACAACTTTTCGAAATTCTTTATAATAAGCTTTTAATGAATTTTCTCGGTTATTTTCTAAATTTTTTTCTTTTGTAGTATCAAGTGTGAGAGCTTCATAAATCTTTCCTTTACATTCAGCATTATTCACCAACTTTTCTAATCCTCCTGCTGCAATATTTTTCGCTTCCTCTTCTTTTCGTTTTAATCTCTCAGCTTTTGCAGCTTCCCGTTTTTGTAATTTCTCCTCTTCTTTCTTCTGTTTTAAAATTTCAACCTCTTTTAAAATGTCTTCCTTAAAAGGGCATATATTCGGTATTTGAATAATCTCTGGTTTTTTATTTTTGGGACTCTTTTTGGTATCTTTTCGTAACTTTCGGTTATGTTCTCTAACTTTCTTTTCGACTTTATAACGAAGACGGGCTTTTTGTCTTTTTGATTGCTTCTCTAATGACATAGAAACTCGTTATTTTAATAATTTAATATTAAATAGTACTTACTTAGTTTAAATTTTGCCATTATTTAAGAGAAACAAACTTTAATATATTAAATAGACAACGTGCTTTCAGTTGTCAAGAAAAGAGAGGTTATGTTTTCTAACTAAAAGCGACATCTGTGACTGATGACTACATTCTATTTTTATTTTATTGGAATTATGTAAAAGAATAAGTCATTTTCTTTAAATAAACCATACATTTCAGAGTTTATACATTTTAAATTGATATTTGTCAACTTGAATTATTTCGATATTTATCAATCCCACATATTTTGAACGTTAACCAGCGACATCTGTTATTAGTATGTTCTATTTTTGTGTGACCTTTTTTTGAATATTATTCTCAAAAAATGAGTCATTTAATTTTAAATAAACTCAGCATAAAAATAAAGTTTAAAGTGATGTTTTTTTATCAATGTTTTGATTTAAACTTGTTGTAATTTTTGGCTTCAATTTTTTTGGATATTTAAAAAAATTTGGTTGGTAACCTTGAAAATTAAAATGTTGCTTTTTTTGAGACGCAGTTTATTGAAATTGAATATGAAATAAATGATAAAATGAAAACAATTCGATTTGAAAAACGTTGATTTAAATGGTACGAAACATAAAATTCCCTAAAACGGTAAAATAGCAATTTGCATTTTAAATTTTTCAATCGACGATGAACATAATAGCATCAACAATAACAAGACCTGTGAGTTGTTTTTCTGTTCTAACGATATTACGACGAATTAACTGCACCCCAGCTATAAATATCCAACGGTTTCCTTGAAAAACTAACCGCGTAAACAACCGCGAAGAGAAAGTTACTCTCTAACAGTTGGTAATAAACGGCGCTGCTGTAACACCTAACCTATGTTCGGCGTATATTTTTGACAGTTTCATGTGAAACTTGTGAAAAATGATTTATTTAAAGTGTCGCGATTAACTTCGATGTGCGTTTTTATGGCAGAACAGACAATTTTTAGGTCTCCGTTATTAGTACGGTACTAATAAAAAAATGGCAGTGGCAAGTTGGATGCTTGGCAAACGTAGTCTACGACCCAAATATAGTCGCAGTGAGTTTTATTTCGTTATTATTAAGAACCCCTTTTTATTATTTTTTTTTGAATTCAATCACGTATCAATTTAATTGTTTTAGGTCAACAAACTAACTTGGAAGACTATGTCAAATTGGATCTTGAAATAGGTTAGTTTTTCCAAATTTTTTTAACATAACCTTAAAAAACATTTACACATAACCTTTAAATTCTTTTGATTTATTCTTTTTATTTTTTAGATCCACATGAAAACGCAACTGAAATTCTTAAAGAACTGACAAAAAACACGACTTTATCAGAAACTAAACGACTGAATTATTTGAATGCGTTTGTTAAACTCACTTTACATGTTAAAAGAGATATATCTATATTAGGATTTACTGTAGAAGATATATTAATATGGTAAAAGTAATTAAAAAGTGTCTATATCAATATTAATTTGTTTTTTTTTAGTTTACGAATATGTGTTGTAAACGAAATGACTCAAGTGCGATCGGGTGGTTTTCGTGCCATCCGACACGTTCTTAACTCAGAAGAAGACGTCGTTCAATTTAATAAGCTCCTATTCCCTTATTTAATAGCAAGATCTTTTGATTTATTATTAAAAAACGACGTCGAACGTATCGAGGCTATGAAACTCGTTCGAAAAGTGATGTTCCTCTCGCCCAATAATTTCCATGTGGCCGTTTCTCGTAGTTTGGTCGCGTTCGCTAAGGGCGGTATCGAGGAAAAAGATCGTATGCTCAGGGCTTGTCTCGCGACTCTCTCAGAATTATGTGTTCTTAACCCAGATGTGTTCATTGCTTCGGGAGGTGTGGCAGCTATCACTAGGAATTTACTTGAATGTCAAACCCCTAGAATTGCAGAGTCTTTATGTGGCGTTTTACTTTTGCTTTTGGATCGACCAATTACTAGGAATTATGCGGCGGTGGATTTACATTGTATTTGTGCTCCTTATTGCGATTTTCATTATAGACATGGATGGATGGATAAAAATAGGTACGTTTTTGTTTGTGTTAAAGTTTAAAATGATAATTTTATTTTTATTTGTAGGGATGAACGTGAATTAAGATTTAATTGTAGTCGCTTGGCTCTTCTTTCGTTATTACGAAGCTGGTCTGGTATTTTACATTTATGCGACCCCTTTGATAGTAAAGGTTTTAAAGCGATTGTTGATGTGCTTTACTTAAATCAACTCGAAGTTAGGGTATTATTTAATAAAATCCCTGTGTTCTTTTATTTAATTAAAATTACATGTTTTTAGAAAGCCGTATTGGATTTACTTTATGAATTATTAGGTCTTCCCCAACCAGAATGGAGTGATGAACTATCTGTTGCTTTAACAGCTGTTGACCCCGCTGAACCGCAGGCGGCTTGGCGATTAAATGAAGGGTTTATTGTCGCTGAGGGTCGAGCGGTTCTTCCTCATTTAGCTAGAACAACTCCCAGCATAACCGATATGCATTTATCATTGCTTTTGTATTGTTTCCTGGAGGCTGGACTTTTAGGTGCATTAGTTGAAGTTATTATTACAAGTGATACATTTATTAGTGTTCGAGCAACGGTTTTATTGGGTAAAAAACTTTTAGGTTATTTTTTTTAATATATTAAAAATATTTATTTTTAGGGGAGCTAATAAGATTAATACAAGTAATGTTACCTCCAGAATGTTGTAACTTAAGTCCGGCGCTACCCGATTTATTAAAATACGCGGTTACAAATAAACCCCAAGCTTTAAGAGCGATTACGGCTTTACAACAAAGTCATAAAATGTTGAGGCGACGTCCGGCGAGTTACAGTTTATATTTGGACTTTATTTTACAAAGTGGGAATTTTATTAAAACGTCAAATAAGATTGAATGTGGGAAAAAGTATAAAGTGGGACAGTTAAAAACTAAGTTATCTCAATTTGTTTTAAAAGAAGACGATTTTATTCGAGATTCGTGCGTTTTGGTCAACAAGGATCCCCACTCGTGGGATTGGGGTTTAGTTAAAGTATTATTAAAAGATGAAAAGATCTTCAAGATTGATGTGACGGAGACAACCCATCGGAACTTTTTAAAGCGTCTTATCGATTTTTATAAACCAACGAATCATTTGTACTCTCACACCGATTTAACAATAGAAAAACGTTATTATACTTTAGTTGGAATTGAATTAATTCAGTGTTTATTACGATTGGATGACGATTATTGCACAAGATTATTACACGAACTTTTTGGAGACATTTCAAATAACATTACAGCTATAACAAGCAACAAAAGCCCTCATGATTGTCTTTTTAGTCCGTTACATATGGGCAACACACAATGTCAATCGTATTTTCTATTTATTGGAAGGTTAGGAAGCGCTGCAAAAGGAGTTAGGATATTGCAAAATTTAACTATTTTTGAACAGTATGTATTTATTCATACAGGGTGTCTCAGCAAAACCATTCATTAGACGTTTCTGGGGTTCTGGCCAAAATAAAAATTTGAGAATTCAGATTTAAGTATTATCAATTGCGTTCTCTTTGACAACATGATGGAGTATGTTTTGGCGCTGAGAACGACTGTTTAGAACATTTGGTCACTTTACTATAGCACGTTAATTTTTCGAAATTTGGAAGTACCATAACTTAATTTTTTTAAATGTCACCGCCCATAATTCATTACTTAGTCGTCTTCGGTGTCCCATTTTACATCTTTTATGTCCCATATGTCCTATACCTAACATTAATAGTTTAGGAGATAATTAGGGTTTTTTGAACAATACGCACATCATATCGATATTTAACCTAGTGTGCCATGGATAACAAATGTTTAATGACTAATTGACAAACGTCAAACTTTGATTTACTTTCAAATTAATTAAAAAAAAAATAAGTTCTAATGAACGGTCTCGTTGAGTCATCCTGTATAAAGTATTAATTTAAAAATTTAATTTGGTTGTAGATTACAGCAGCTAGCATCAACAACAAATCACTCATGTTATGTTAAATTGATAATATCCTCATTAGACTACAAAAGTGATTCCCCATCGAAACAATTACTCTCAAGTGTATTAATTTGTCGCAATGAAAACTCAAGATTGTACGCGACTCAATTCCTTTTAATCTTATTAAGAGCTGGAGTGCCGGATTTCGCTTCGTGGGGAATCGAATTTCTCGCTAAACAATTAAAAGACGAATCTCGCAGCATTCGATTGGCCGCTTTAAACGTTTTACACGAAGCATGCGAAGTGCCTCAGTGTTTAGATAGTTTGGCGAACATAAATCCGGATTTGTTAGGTGCAATGGGTGAAAAAGGATTGTTTCTTTTGATTCGATTCTTATCAACGACGGCCGGATTTCACTTGTTAGAAATGAACGGATTTGTTTATAAGGAAATAACAAGATGGAATGAAACGTTTAATTATCGTTATGTACGTTTGGTCGAAACTGAAACTTCAGATGCTTTAACATTAAATCAACGCGGTGAAGATGGGCGTTATGATAAAAGGACTAGTTCTAATAAGCAAACGATGAAAAAAGATGTTTTTTTACCACCACACCTTTACGGGCAGTTAAGTTCACATAAAGAAGGATTTAGGATACTTTTAGAAAATATCCCTTTTGATCACATGACTCAGGTAATTGAAATTGGTGGTTATGCAACCAAATATACATGAATAATTTTCTAACCTCAATTATTGGGTGGCTAATTATTTTTTTTTTATTATTAGGCTTTAGAGGTCGGTAAATGTGATACTGAGGATGATATTTTAACGTTAAAAGCGTATTTATGGGCTTTAAGTCACTTGGGTAGCTCGAAATTGGGGGCGGAGGCTTTGAATGCAAAGAATGCAATCACATATATTGTACACTTGGCGGAAAAATGTGAAGTTTATTCGATAAAGGCGACTGCTTTTTATTGTTTAGGATTAATTGCAACAACAAAGTTTGGGGCGGATTGTTTATTTAAATTAAGTAAGACGGTGACATAACCTCAAATTTTTCTTTAAGTTTATTGTTGTTTTCTTTCAGGATGGGTTTCGAGTAGACACGATCGGCATGATCGTTGGCCTGTTATTGAAGATGAAAATTGGGAGGATGAAAATATTAAATTACCATCTTATGATATTGCTTATCGATCGGATTCGGAAAGATCAAGTGATAGATTGTTTCCATTTGCTGAAGAAACAACTACAGATACAAGTATTACAACTGATGATGAAATCTTATTTATGGGTGATGCAGGTAAAAATCTCCCAATTATACAGGATCATCCACGACGACCTTCCATTAGAACTATATAGAGAACCAAATAATGTGGGGGTTTGAAAATTTGTGAACTTATGATGTTTGATACGATCTTTATATTTAAATTTCCTGCTCTTTCTAATGGCGTATAATACGCTGCGATCACGCGCATGCCCAAGTACGTTTTTATCCAAAAACTTTTAAACTTACACGTTTTAACCACTTTTAAACCTTGTTGGGGTCGATAACATTCTTATATAACCAGGAGAAAATTCAAGAACCATATCTATCATATCGAAAATTTTCTGCTCTTCACAATTTCTGCAATCACGCGCTTGCACAAGTACGTTTTTGGTCAAAAACTACTAGCGTTATGGATTTTTCTGTTCTTAGTTAAGTCCCACTTGTGATTGTTCAGGGTCTGTCACGACGAGCTGAGTCTGTATGTATGGGATGTAATCACAAAGTCTCCTTATTTTTCTGTGTATAATACGCTAGTGAGGGAAAAAGTGAGTGGAGTTGTCATTAAAAAAAATTAACTTTTTGAGATAGGGAAATTTGACGCACATTTCTGTATAACTTAAAAAAAATTCAAAGATTATGTAAACTATGGGTTATTAATAATTCTTATTAAATTAAATTGTATAATTATTATTAAAAGACACCATTAGAAAAAGCAGAAAATTTTCGATGAGATGATTCTAGAGTTCTTCCCTGGTCATATAAGAAAGTTGTCGACCCAAACAAGGTTTGAGAGTGGCTAAAACGTACGAGTTTAGTAGTTTTTGGCCAAAAACGTAATTGTGCAAGCGCGTGATCACCGCGTGTTATAGAAAGTTGTTTAGAGGAAGAGCAATTAAGTGTTTCTGCATGTAAGGATGTATATTAAGGGTGATTTAAGCATGACGATAGATATTGATAAGGTTTTAAAGAGCATGGTGAAATTTGTCAAAAAAAAATCTTACAATCAAAATAACTCGAAAATGAAATACGCTAGGTGCCAATAACACTTATGAAAGTCAACATATTTTTTTACGTATAATTAAAAGGTATAATAAAAACTATAGCATTTCATTTAAAATAACGAAGTTATGGTCTAGTTCCGGTAGACCGGAAGCTGGATGCTACCAAAATTTCAAAACTGTACAAATAGTGTTACCTAAAAAAGTTCAGTTACGTGGGACACCTGTATACATGTAGACGATTGTCGTGGATTATTCTGTATATATTTTTGGTTATTTAATTTTTTAATTTTAGAATTAACTTCGGACCAAAAACGTTCCCAAACATTACCAAACAACCAATCTTACACTCATTTTCACGTGCGATCTTTATCCGAGTCAAGAACTTATGATGCTATAACTGGTGTTGATCATAAATATTCGTTTTCAAAACGAGTGGGCGGGGGCGATGTGAAACGAAGGGAATTATCGGGAACGGAGTCGACCTCAGGGGTTGGCTCAAGTGAATCCGTTGTAGGAAAAAATATTAGAAAGTAAGATTAGTAAACGTTTTTGATTCACCTTATCATTTTAATTAATTTTAGTGATCGCACTCAAACTTTAAGCCCGATTCCAAGCTCATCTAGTCTGCTTACTTTGAAAACGGAGAGAAATCGGAGATATTCCGAGTCTTCAAAACAACAATCCATATTAAGTAAATAACTAAAAAAAATACATAATTGTAATTTGATTATGATCGGTATTTTAAGGTATTACCCCATCGGATAAATCGACGGTTTCACCGCCAAGTAGTAGTTGTGGCAAGCCGAGTTATCAAGATTTAAAAGGTTATCGAGAACTAGCTCGGCTCAAATATCAAGATGAACATTCCGATTTTCTTCGACATTTTCAATACCGTTTTAGCACGTTACGAAGTGACAAAACAAGCGGAGGGGGAGGTTCGTCATATTCGACGAGTACAACTTACGATGAATATATGGAAATTTTCGGTGGAGATAAAAGATCGACCGAATTATATCGACGACCCGTGCGTCACGATGAAAAACATTCGTCTCGAAGAAAACGGTGTTATATGGGAATTTGTCTTCCATTGGAATTGGGGAATTTATTTCCAGAGAGTAGAAGTTTAGGTAGAGGGTTGGTTCGAAGTGGTTCAGGTACAATATAAGAACGATATTTTGAAATAAGAATTGATTAGAATTAATTTTATAGAAAACGGAGCTGATACAATGATTCGAAGAAAAGTTGATATAACAATCCATAATAAAAAATTATGTTTTAAATGTTCACAATTAAGAAATTTAAATTTAAGTAGGTCATCGAGTATATTTAAAGGTAAAATTAATAATTTGTAATAAATTTCATTTACCACTTCATTTTTAGCTCAAAACCAATCCATGTCAAAATCGGAAGATGAAATCATCGTCGATCAAGAAGAAGCATTAAAAACCGAAATACTCCTTCAAATCGAACGTTTAGCAAACCCGTTATTTACAAAATCAGCTAAACAAACGTTATTATTACAAAAGCAAAAAAATCCGGATATTTTTAAAGATATGTGTCTGTATTCGGACGTTTGCCGAACGGTTTCAGAAAACGTATACCGTTTAGGACCGAGGCGAATTATTCAAGAATTATTTTTGGATGTGGCATTCGATTTTACGAATACCGACGTGGATGCGATTTTAGCTAAAGAACGGAATTATTACGATGACGTCGTGGTTGGTGGTTGTTGTTCCTTGGTGGTCTCGGCAACCAATAAAAATGTAATTAAGGGTTTTGATGTCGTAACGAAACCGACCGCGCTTAAAGAGGCGACGATCACCGAGTGTTCTACTAAGACTGAAAACGTTCCCGTAACTATACGAACCTTAGATAAGCTTAAATTTACTTATAATGAGAATAAATTTCCTATTAAGAATCGAAATGATGATGAGAAACAAGTTATTAAATAATTATTAAAAAAAAATAAGATGAAAAGGAAAAAAAATAATTTTTTATTTTCTGTTTTTATTGATTATTTTTTTTAATCCTTTAATGCACAAATTTGTCTAAATGTATTTAAAATCGATTTTATGCATGATTTAAGCATCATTGATTAGTGAAATTCAAATAAAACAACCTCCAAAAATTTACTTATAAACAAAGATTTTCTATGCAAATCAACTTTTTTTACCTATAATTTATTAAACAATTTTTTAAATAGTTAATGTGCGATAAAGGATTAAAATCGAATCCACTAAGTGCAATACATAAAGAGGTATGATTGATGTTTGTTGTTAAAAGAAAAATTTTTAAAATAATATTTTAAATAAATGTATGATGTTGACAAGAAAATGAATAAATAAAATTAGTTGATTAGTTCATTCCAAGATTATTTCATTCTGCTTTTATAATTTTATAAACATCTTTTAATGCATTCGTCATATCATATTGTTTATGTTTTGCTGAAACGGTTGTCCCTATGTAGGGGTAAACAAAAAAAGAATTTAAAATTTTGTTGTTAATTTACACAACCAGTATAACCAATGTTCCTATTTTTGCCGATTCAACAAAAAACAATTACTAATAATTAAAAAAAGATTAAATAAAAACTTAATGAAGGGTTACACGAGCTATATTTATACATACAAAAAAATTATATATTGCGTATACATAAAATATATCAATTTTAGAATATGTATTTTTTCCTTCTTTTTCTACGTTGTACGCCCATTTATTACGAAATGAACGACGGTTATTTATTTGTATTTTTTAAGTTATTTATTAACATTTTTATATTTATTTGTATTTAAATAAAAAAATGAATCTAAACATCTTTTTTATTATTGCATTTCACTTTCAAACTTTAAATTAATAGTTGCCATGGTTACGACTCTATTCATATCAATCACCACCTCCATCTATCAATGAAAAAAGTAAATTTAAAAAAAATAAAATGTTTTCCTACAATTTTAATTAATTAAATCTTTAAAATGCGATAAAAAGCTGACATAAAAATTAAATAGATTTAATTAATTTTCTTTTTCAGTATTAATTTTAAATACTTTAAAAAGTGCTCAAAAAAAGGCATTTATCTACGTAGATCGGTTAGATTCCTTAACTAGGCCGGAAAATATAGAGGAAATTTTAATTTTTTTATTGCTGGTAACTATAACATCAATTTCACACAAAGTCGATGTTAGAACAATTAACCTATATTTAGCCGATCATTTAGGATAATTATTGAGCATCGATTTAGAAAATATCTTCCATCAAAGTAGTTTCCAAAGGCAAAGATTAATATCTAGAGAAAACATCAAAATTTGAAAATAAAGCAAGGGATAACGATTGGATCTCTGTCCTTGAAGGGTTGCCGTCCGATTTTCACAAATTTCAAAACAGCTTGTTGGAAATTTTTGAACAATGTTTTCCAATTGAAGTAAGAAGGTGGGAAAATGTTGCCAAAGGGCCAATCAAATGATGGTCAAAGGAATTACGCTAAATGAAACATACTTTAGAAGCACTAGGGGTTTTTAATCAGGTTAAGAAAGATCAACCATCATTAGATATACAGGATGTCCCGTATCTTCCGCATCAGAGCATTATACGGTTGTAGGATACATTATTCTGATGCGATCTTTCTAATAAAATTTTTTCGAAATGTTTATAATAACCGCACGGGAACAATTTAAAGTTATCCGCTTTTGTCCAATAGCGGACGAGTTTGATTCACCGAAAAAGTTTATTTCTCTTCGCGTGACGAATCCATTGGTGAGTACACGTAGGAAACGAGTTATCATCGGCGTAGCGGACCGGCCGAGGGTGGCACCGATTACCTGAGTCTGATTTGCGATCTGCTGATTGGACGAAAAACAGTTCCTTTAAACAGTTCCCGTGCGGTTATTATAAACATTTCGAAAAAATTTTATTAGAAAGATCGCTTCAGAATAATGTATCCTACAACCGTATAATGCTCTGATGCGGAAGATACGGGACACCTGTATACAAACGATGCAAGGATGAATACCTAAAAAAAGTAAAAGATACAATAAGAAATGTTTGCTACTGAATGATGGGTTTTATTCGGTAGAAGAATATTTGGACGCTAAATTGTATTATTGTACCTATTATATGCATAGAATATGACAACCAGTATATTTCTTATATGAATCAATTAGGCAATAAAGTATTTATTATTACTAGCGCCATCTATATAATGAATAATGATTCATTCGATTCGAAATTGTTTCAATTTCAAAAATGTCGGAAAGCGGTGAAATTGTTTTCGTTATCTCCAGAAAAGGTGGTGATTCCTCAACGGGAATTACAAATACAGATTCAAATCCGATTATAGAAGAATCAGAAATCATCGAATCCCAATACGTTTTATCAATAATATGGAGTAGCGGAACTTTAGGAGCTTCTTATTACGACATAACCACAAAACAGGTTAGTACAAAGTTTGTTTGTATCGTAACAACCATGACAACCAAACATAAACAAAAAGATAACCAAAAAACTAACTTAATTTTGAATTTTTTTTTAGTTATTTATTTTAACGGATACGATTGATTCTTATCCAAAATTTGCGAATATTCGTAGTTTATTAAGACAAATGGAATATAAGCATATAATAACAATTGGAAATCCCTGCGATGATTTCGTAAAATTAATAATTGATTTTATTAATAATAAAGGAGATGAATCGGATGAATCTGATCAAATAAGAAGAGTCCCAGAAAAATTAACTTTATTACCTCCGATGGAATATTGTGATTGATTAAAATTACTCCACAATATGTTTTTAAATGTGAATTTTTAGCTTCTTCTGCTTGCGAAGTAAAAATTCTTAACTTAAATCTTCCGGGGATGGGCGACGAGAAAAATGAAGTTTATTTACATTCATTAATCGATTTCAACAATCGATTATCCATTCATTCTTTAGGAGCGTTAATTAAGTTTATCGAAATGAGTTGGATTTACTTAGTTGGAGATGATGTACCTAGCGTTAAATTTATTCATATCAATCAAATTTCAATGTAAATATTTTATTTTAGTTTTATCTAAAATAATAATAATAATAATTTTAGGTGTAATCAAGTTTATATTAGCAACAATACCATACAGAGTCTTAAAATTTTTCAAAAACACAGTCATGATGCTAAATTTAAACACGGCAGCGTAGCAGGTGATAAAGAAGGCTGTAGCGTTTATAATTTATTCGCTCAAAAGTGTAAATCTAATTTAAGTGTTCTTAGATTAAGGTAAGTGAAGTACATATACAGGATGATTTAATTTTTATAATATGTGTATTTCTTTTTTAAATAGGAGATTGCTTTTATCACCTTTAAAAGACATAAACGAGTTAAATAAACGACTTGAATTCGTTGAATTTTCCGGTAAATTAGAGAATTACACTTTTATTGAAGCGTTACAAGAAAATTTAAAAGGAATTCAAGATATCGAAGTAAAAAAATTAATTTTTTGGAAATAATTTGTTTTGATTATTATTTTTTAGCGTGTTATACGTAGAATAGAACATACTCGTGGTAAAAGTTATGATTGGGAAAGTTTATATAAAGTAATTTCTTTTTTTTTGTAAACATTTTTGAAATTAATATTAATTTTCTTTTTTAGACAGTTTATAACACCCTGTACATTTATGAGCTATGCACTCCCTATACAGACAAAGCCAAAATTTTTTTGGATTTTACCTCATCGATATCTAAAGATCTTTACGTTATTGAAAATTGTATTCGAGATTCATTGGATTTTAGTAATAGAGGTTATAAATATAGACCGATTCTTAAACCTGGAGTTGATGAAGAATTAGAGAAAAGTATTTAAAAAAATTGAAAATATAATAGTTAAAATAATACATATTTTTGGTTATAGAAAAAATGTTACGACATGAAATGGGAAAAAATATCCGTGCTGCTGCTAATTTCACTCTGGATCAATTACCGGATTGTTTTGATCAATGCACAGTAATTTATATACCGGAAATGGGACATTTAATAGCAGTAAACAAAACGGAATTTAATAAAAATCCAATTCAATTAGAACATTTAGGATTCGAGTTTATTGTAATGCAAAAAAAAATTGTTTTATTAACCTTAACGTCTATATTTCTTTTAGTTTGAAGTTCGGGATTTATTTCATTATAAAAATGCAATATGTAAAGGTTTGTTACACCGGGAATTTCATATAGCTTGCAATATATGAATGCATTGACCATAGTTACAAAACTACTATGCACTTACACTGTCCCACATAAAATGCAACATAGCTTAATAGTACAATTGACATTGATGTTACATTTTATGTGGGACAATGTAAATAGGTACGCCCTGGTTTCTATGAAAATATATTTTCGTATATTGTATCTTAAGTGAAATTCCTTGTATATATTACACCTTCGTTTTCACCAAAAAATAATTATTTCATTTTCAGAATTAGATAAACACATGGGACAATTACATAATGATATAATCGAACATGAAATAAGAATAATTCAACGTCTTTCCGGATTAGTATTAAAATCGATAAAATCGATTCAAGAACCACTAAGAATTCTATCATTAATTGATTGTTTAATCGCAATGGGATTGGTGGCTAAAGAAAACAATTATGTGCGTCCGATTTTAAACGTTGAAAACGAAATAGAGATTGTGGAAGGTCGACACGCTTTATTCGAAATTGAATGTAATAATTTCGTTCCAAACGATTATTTTTCTGGGGGAAATTCGCCGAAAATTAAGATAATAACTGGACCAAATAGTTGCGGAAAGAGTTCGTATTTAAAACAGAATGCTCTTTTAATGTATTTGGCGCATATTGGTTCTTTCCTACCTGCTACTTCGGCTAAAATTTGTATAATGAATACGATCCATATAGGAGGAAAAGCGAATGAATCCGCTTCCTTGCCACTTTCAGCTTTAACGATTGATTTAACACAAGTTTCTCAAGCTTTTAACATAGCCTCAACACCTAATTCTTTAGTTATAATCGACGAATTTGGAAGAAGCACCTCTGGATTGGATGGTTTAGCTTTATTAACATCTGCTATAAATTATTTTTTGAAGCAGGGTGATAATTGTCCCCATCTGTTAGTTGTAACGCATTTACAACAAATTCGTGAATTAATAGAACCATCATCATTATTATCTTATCACACATTTGACTTTGCTAGAAATGACCATGATATTATATTTTTATTTAAATTAATTGACGGATTGAGCGGAAGTTTTACTTTCGATATTGCTTCAGCAGCTGGTTTAGATAAATCAGTTGTTGATAGAGCTAAAGAAATTTATCAAGCTATGATGAATGGGACTGATTGGGCACCAAATAATAGTAATCTAAATGAATATGATATTAATTATTATTTAAACATTAATATTCCACCATTGGATGATTAATTAATTATGTTATTTTTGTGTTATTATGGATTTAGATTAATTAACAGTAGCAGTAGAACTAGAAACATTAAAGTTTACCAGTGCCTTAAGACAGCAACATCTGACTGAGCCCTTTACCCTTATCTATCTATGGACAGCGTGGTACGTGGTTTGACGTATTAATCCGATGCTGACGTCACTTTTACAAAAATCCTTTTAATTTATCTATTCTCCAATAGATGGCGACTTAAATTGAATTCAAATTCAATAATTCAAAACTCAAAAAAAAATCCTTGATACTTTTTCCAACATGAACATAATAAAACATTTCAAAAACTATTTTTTTTAATTAATACTGAATAATTTTGCAATAACTCAATACCGAGTCAATTAGTACTTAAAAAAAAGACAGTGCGGTAACGCTTAACATTACATAATAAAATATTGGTTCATGGTCACGTTAAAACGCTCAGTCAATGTACGCTGTACGCCATTCACTTCTAAATCGATTTCTGGTAAATGTAACGGAGTCGTCGCCGTTGTCTTCTCTCACTACATTCTTAAAAAAAACAATTTACACAACATTTTATTTGTAGTTACCTAACACAGAAGCTATCGATTTCTTTCTTTATTAAACGTTCTTTTATAATTGTTATAAAGACCGTCTCAGTTCTTCAAAACGAAATCTCCAACTCGTTGGAACACCGCGTTGTTGGACTTATTGTTATTACGAAAAGCTTCTTACGTAACATCATCGAGGCGAGTTACGTTGTGTAATCCAACTGCTCTATTAGTAATCAAGTAATCGTATTTATCGTGATTCACAAGAATTTTGTAAAAAGGTTGCAAACCCACCTTTTTAGTTATACCGATCTATATCATTTTTTTTTATAAATCATTGTAAATTGCGTCAAAATTTACGTATAATTTACGTACACATTACGTGGCGTTGCGTAAAACCTCGTTATTCTTTTTTGTATTTCAAGCATAATAAATACGTTACGATTACTTTGGGTTTGTATTACGGTGAATGCAACACATACACATAAAAAAACAGTTTATGTCGAGTGCAATGTGGGTTATGCAAAACTACGGCAGTACTCACGATCCGTTCTCTAATCATAGGATATAAATCGAATTTGATTCTAACACGGAGTCTATTATATGTACAGGGTGATTTAGTGTTATAAGAATTTTTAGATCACAATAGAATTAAAGATGTTATATAAACATTTTTGGCTCACCTGTTCGCCACGAAACACTTTATTTTAGTATTTTAAAAAATATATAAATACCTAAGTAAGTAGTGGGTGGCATAAGAGAAATAAAATACTTTCACTGGGGCAGATTATAAAGTTTAACAAAAAATTATTTAAAATAAAACTTGATTATAAAAATACTTAGTTTACTTAGACAGGGTAAAAAGTGAGGTTATGTTTGTCAAAACTTGATTAATTTGGTAAATTAAACCAGTTTGCAAGGTCTTAAATCACTAAAACTTGATAGATTGAGTCTTCAAAATCACATTTCGACTATTGCAGTTCATTAACCATTTTTACCTTGTAAAATTCGAAATGTTTGGAAAGAAGGCAAACGATGCTTATCAAATTTTAAAACACGTTTTAATAAGGTTAATTACCGCTAGATGCGGTAAATAACTGTTTGTCAAGGATTATCTTATTGTAAAAATTTCAAATTTAATAATTACTTAAATAAATACTTAGTTACTTACTCAGTTTCATCATAAATAAATCATCCGAATTGTTCAAAAACCGCAAATTTAATCTGACGGAGTAAAAAAGTGAGGTTATGTCATCCGTCAAAACTTGATTAATTTTGTGAGATAAAACCACTTTGCAAGATCTTAAATCACTAAAAATCGATAGATTGAGTGTTCAAAAACACATTTCGACTATATTTTTAGTTCATTAACCATTTTTACCTTGTAAAATTCAAAATGTTTGGAGAGAATGGTAAAGGCGCTTGAGAAATTTTAAAACACGTTTTAATACGATTAATAGCCGCTAGACGGGGTAAACAACTCTTTGTCAAGGATCTTATTTATTCTAAGTTTCAGATTTAATAAAGATTACTTACATAAATACTTAGTTACTTACTTAGTTTCGTCATTAATAATCATCCAAATTATTCAAAAACCGTAAATTTTAAATAGGCAGGATAAAAAAGTGAGGTTATGTCTCCTGTCAAACTTTGATTAATTTGGTGCAACAAAACCTCTTTTCAAGGTCTTAAATCACTAAAAATTGATAGATTGAGTCTTCAAAAACACATTTCGACTATTTTTTCAGTTCGTTAACAATTTTTAACTTGTAAAATTCAAAATGTTTGGAAAGAATGGTGAATGATGCTTGTCAAATTTTAATTAACACGGTAAACTACCGGTAGATGGGGTAAATAACTGTGTCAAAGATTTTTTTTATAAAATAAATGGTTTAGAGTTTAGATGGCTTTTATGACGTCAAAAAAAACGATTTATCTGTTTGCCACGAAGAATGTTGTTTGGTAAGTTTAACAAATAGAGGGCGGTATTCGGCTTTGTTTAAAAACAAAAATAATTCAATTATAGTATTAATTACGTCCAATAATAATTGTTGAAAAAAAAGTTACCTAAAACGATTCCGCCGACTTCATTAAAATTTATTATTTTATTAATTAACAAACAATTAATTACGTGAATTTTACCTTCGTATAAAAGACCATGAAGGTAAAACAAACACCCTGTTGGTGGTATAATAAAAGTTGACCTTTTTGATTTCACGCCTATTACAATAAAATAATTATTTTATGAAGAAAAATTACTTTAAACCAATCAAGTATTATTGTGAGTATAAATAATAAAAAATATTTTTATTTTCATAGGTAACGCTTAATAAACTAACTTTATTAATATGAAATGTCATTTTGAGGTTATAACAGCTAAAAATTAACTGTCACTGAGATTGACACTTGACAATTTTTTCTTTTCTATAAACATTTTTATGCTAAATAACAATTAGAGTAGTTATCTAAAGGTCTTGAATACAGATTGCTAACAAACACGTGACCTTATGTAAGCAACGCGTATTGGAATCGCACGATATAGAGGTGAATGCGCGAAATTGCGCACAGACGACTACAACGCCACCGTTGTCAGTGGCCGTCGCCTATCTTGCGACGCGAACGCCACCAAACCAAAACAGTTTTCAACGAGAATCAGTCGGTCGCCGGCGACCGTTAACGCATGTTCGTGCCACTAATTGAGATCAAAACGCGACACATGTGCTTACAATACTAACTATAAAAAAGTTACGTAAAACCCAAATGTGTCACACAATTTTTTCACAAAGAAAATAAGTGTTGAAGTTAACAAGTTAAAAAAAGTGTTTTAAATTTATACACTAAAAATAAAATCTATTCAAGTAATAATTATTGAGAAATTAAAAATAAATAACAATTTTCTTTAATTTATTATTTTAATATTATTTAAATAATAATATTTCAAGTTGATTGCGCAAGAGTGTTTCCCAGGAAAATCGATCCAGTACGCCCTAAAACCTCGACGTCGTTTGTCGTCATCGTCACCGAAACCAACCAACATCAACAAAAAAAATGCACGTGTTAATTGTCAAAGTAATTACCGGTTATTATTATTATTACTAAATTAATTACTAATAAGTTCATATAAAAAGAAATCAATAATAACCATAAACAAATGGAGAAAAATGTATTAAAAACATTCACCACTGAAAAGTGTTACTTAAGAACAACGAGATCTCGTACGAAAAAATTAAAAAATTATCGCAAGTCGAGGACGAAATTTCGTTTAATTGGAAGTTGCCTAATGGATGCTGTTATGGAAACGAATCGACAAGATTTATTTACGTGCCCATTTTGTAGAAGGATTATTAACGTTCCTGTAACGATTCGGTGTGGACATACGTTTTGTTATGATTGTTTGAACGGTTTTGCTGTGAATAATAGTAATAGAAAATGTAGCGAGTGTTTAACAGAAATCGACGATAATAATTTTTCGGTTAACGTTCTCGTACAGGATTTCGTTGATAAATGGAGAGAAAGGAATGAAGGTAAGAAAAAAGAATTTTTTTGGCGATAACCTTGGATTGGGTACAATCAAGGTTTTATTTTTTAAAAACGTTCTAAATTTATTAATAATTGATTTCGTAAAATTGGATTAGTCATTATAATGATGAGTCACCGATTATAAAAATAATGAGTCAGATTTAAATAATTAATCTATTAAAATATATATTATATTTGTAATGACATAAAAAAGTTAGGTTATGTCAAACAAAATAGTATTCAAGTGAGGTTAGGAAAATCTGTCACAACCGCAAAACCACTTTCATTGTTTCTAAATGAAGTTAGTTAAAAAGATAAATTGAATTTAACGGTTTTTCGATATTAATTTATTGTGTAACTAAATCGAAAAAGAACAAAATCTATATTTATATCGACCCAACAACTTTCAATTTATCTGTTGCAATAAAAACGTTAACTTTTTGAATACTTATTATTGAATTTTTAAGAAATTAATGACTGTCTTAAATAAATCATCCCAATTTTTGAAAATCCCATCTTAAATTGACAGCGTTGAGGTTATGTTGTCTGTCAAAACTTGATTAATTTGGTGCAATAAAACCACTTTACAAGATCTTAAATCACTAAAAATTGATAGAGTGAGTCTTCAAGAATATATTTTGACTATTTTTTCAGTTCATTATCCATTCTTACCTTGTAAAATTCAAAATGTTTGGAAAATATGGTAAACGGTGCTTCTCAAATTTTAAAACTGTTAATTAACGCTAGATGGGGTAAATAACTTTGCCAAGGATTTTTTCTGTAAATTTCGCATTTAATAAAGATTTCTTAAATAAATACTTAATTACTTCCTTAGTTTCGTCATAAATAAATTTTAACCATCTCAATTATTCAAAAACAGCAAATTTTAAATTGACAAAGTAAAAAATGAGGTTATGGCTCCTGTCAAAACTTGATTAATTTGGTGCAATAAAACCACTTCGCAAGATCTTAAATCACTAAAAATAGATAGATTGAGTATTTAAGAAGATATTTTGACTATTTTTCCGATGGAATTAACTTTTTTTATCTCGTAAAATTCAAAATGTTTGGGAAGAATGACAAGAACCTTCAGATTGTGATGTTTTAAGTAACCCTGTTTATTGGTATGACAGGTTAAAAAGTCAGGTTACGTTTTCTGTCAAAATTTTATTAATTTCTGGAAATAAAATCACGTTGCAAGATCTTAAATCACTAAAACTAGATAGATTTAGTCTTCAAGCACATATTTTGACTATTTTTCCGGTTAAATTAACTTTTTTTATCACAGAACATTCAAAATGTTTGGTAAGAATGACAAGAATTTTGTCTAAAAATTGATACAAATATAAGATTTTAAAGCACCATATTCCAAATATGTAGCAGCTAATTGCATTTTTGAGTTATCGTGTTACTCACAACCAATGTTTAAATTTGTTTAAATCAAAATTTCGAGGTCGAATGTTTGCACGGTTAATAATGTAGATAGCAAGCAAGTTAATGAATCGACAAGTTACTTCATGTGCTTTTTGAATTATTCATCAATTTATATTTAATTGTACGGTAGTTGCTACCTCGTCGTTCAAAAATGTTGCGTTTTGCTTACTGAAACTTACTTGGATTCAGAATTGTTCCCAATCTCTCACAATGTGTTACGTAGCGACTGAAAGTAAGTTGTGGTAAGATTCATATCGACGAAATATACAGTTTTGACCTCTTATTGATTGCCTGGATTGCAAGACCGTTTTTAAGTCAATTACGAACATGTTGAAATTGAAAAAATGCCTTGAAAAGTTAACACATTAACACAGCCACTAAGTCTGTAGTAATAAATGATGTCCTTAATTGTTTATATAAACATTTGAAAATGATGTAGTGAAATAAAGCAGTTGTAATTAAGGGTATTATCCAGACTCAGTATTATCAGCGTTATATTCGCAGACAGTTTTCAGTAGATAGATTTTCCTTTTCAAAGTGCTAAAATAACAAATACATAAAAAGGTTTACGTTGTTATTTGACAGTTCTCCAAATTATTTTGTTTGTATTCCATTAACATGACAACCCGCTTGATTATGTTTATGATATTTTTGCAATAATTCGTTATTTCTTCGAATCCATTTAAATTAAATACACCAAATAATTTGTTGCAAAATAGAACACAATTCATATCTTTTGTGTTACCTTGTTTAGTATTGACACTGGCAGTTCTCGTTTTCACTGACAATTTACATTTTTGACATATGCGGGTGAAGTTAGTTACGAGCTTTAATAAAATTTAATAAATTTTAACAAAAATATTGTCGTCGGAATTAAAATCTGGGTCAAATTTATTATACGCGCGCACACACATTCGGTTCGGGTTCGCTTTTCGTTTTGGGCTGGTGCAATATCCGCAGTACGGTCTACTAACTCCTCTGCAATATGTTAATAGTTACATCATTGTTTTCTCATAATTGGCCCCCTTCGAGAGACAGAAAGACGTAATCTTACATATTACATTTACATTACATTACGTTTATGAACGGAAACACGCCCATCCTCTTTCATCCTTTTCACCTCTTTCATTTCGAGATCGCTTTCGATTACGAAATACTTGTGAAAAGTTATTATCCAGGTGATGATGAAGAACAAAGAATTTTTTTAAATCTATATTGGAGCGCGTAATTGTTTAATAATTGAGAAAACGTCACAAAATTCTTACGTAAACGTTCCCACTAGACCTAAAACGACGTTATTATCAATAATTGTACAAAGATAAAATGTGGTTATGATGTATTCGGCGTTATCTTGAATTTGGAGAAAAAGCAACTAAAATTATTTGTTTAAAATATCGGTACTTCCTAAAACGAGGTCCTTATCTTGTTTGTTATTGTATACAGTAACAATTTTCTAATGATATTACATAAGTTGGAAGATAACGTTTTTTCTTTTTGCCTCTTTGTTGGTGGCGACAATTTTAGTAAATGTATCTCACTAAAATAAATATTTTAATACATATCCTTTGTATATTGTTTGTCTGTATGTGTGTGTAAACTCGACAAACTCGAGAGTTTGTTCTAATGGCCCTTACGTAACCTTAGATCGTTCCTCGGTCAGAGTTATTCTCGTCGTCTCTCTGTTACGGTATTAACCTATTTGTAAAATGGCAACGTTGCTCAAGTATAAATCTCCCAATAAAACACTACATTTATTTATTTCCATCGATATTTTTGATGTTATTTAAAAAAATTCGTGTAATTTTCAAATTACCTAGTGGATTCTTAGGTTACGCGTTTCAAACCGGTGCCAAATGTCGTAATAACTCGTAATTTGTTAAATATAATCGTAACAAAAACACAAAATGGTATGTTTTCGCGAGATTATTTAATAATAATTCTTTTATTTTTAGTTTTTACTCGAAGCGAGGTATCAAAATTAGATAAACCTTGTCAAATCGATGTTTTTAAAAGAATTCTCCTTCTCTCGGAACAAAAACCGCGCAGCCACACACCGATATTGCGTAATTAGTAGTTTTCGCGATTACATCGACAACGGTTGGAGGCGAATTGGGTCATAAATTTAATTAAAACGTAACTCAAGAATAAATACGTACCGAGAAGTGTATATGTATAAGAACCTTAATTATTGTAATGATTAAAATTAAAAACGTTAGTGTTTACTTGTTATTTTTAATACACCACCTGCTACTGGTTTATAATCATACAAGAGAGTACACCGGCTTTAATCGCAACGAACACATATACAATGTGTTACGAATTTACGAAACATTTCTTTCCACCTGCTTTAAAACGTTTAAATTTAAATTCATTGTGTTCAACGATAAAATGTTTATAAAACTTACTTGGTTTTTAATATTAATCGTTTTAGACACAACTACTATATCACCTAGTTTTGTTTTTAATGTAGTAATTTTATTAATAAATTTGGATACCACTTTTTAGGGGGCCGAATCCTGTTTGCGTTACCTACGTTTTTGATTATTTGCCAATTTTGGACACGCAATTACAAAAACAATTACTTGCACTTTTTCTTTCACCTTTCTTTCTCTTTCCAAATCCTATATTTGGATTAGAAATATTTGGAATTATTACCAAAAAAAAATTAAAGTAAAATTTGTTGACATTGACAATTTACGATTTTGACAATTATTGCTAACCTCAATTTCGATTAGGATACGTTCCAATATTAATTTGTTTTATCGGCCAATTTACCATGATTAACTGGTTTTTAAAACCGTGGTCGCTATTACGAAAGGAATTACGTAACAACTTCTATATAACCGCAAGGAGTATTCTTGAAAATGTTAACAGCGTGTATGTCGCAGTAGTTGGGATCTTTGTTGCAATAAAGTTGAACTTAAAGTAGCTAATAAACCTTTCTTAAACAATCACTCTCTCCATCTAAAAAAAAGGGGTTATTAAAGAAAATAAACTCTTATTTTCTGAGTCAACATAACATTTTTAAACGATTAAAACACACTATAATTGGAAATACTTACTACTACGTGATTAATGCCACGTTCGATTCATTCATCTAAACGCTATTTTTTTATTTCCTTATTATTCCAAGAAGCTTAAATAAAGTTATTTATGAAATATTTATACGTTATAATCAAGACATTAAAATGACAAGAAAGATAATTTTTGTTATCAATATTTAAGTTGGTAAGAAGGAATTCGTAAAATTTAATCGCTTTAAAAATTAAATTACTTTTAAATTATTAAATTTAGAACTAAAATCTTTATCGTTAACATTTAACATCTATTAATAACAAAATTGGATATTTTATCGTAATCAAATCTGAAGTTGGTAACGAAATGTCAAAATTGAAAGTGTCAAAAAAATCGTAACGAAATTAGAATGTACGAAGAAAATATGTAATTTATTGAAATAGAATAAATTGTTATTACATCAGAGTAAATATATTGGAATTCAACGTCGTCGTTTACTTCGTAACGTGTTATACAATGCGGCAACTTCGATGAGAAACCCGTATACAAACGACCGATTTTTAATAGAAAACTGATTCATTACGTATAAAAGGAATTAAAAGGCTCAATTTCGTTAACAAAGTGTTCAATTACATCATTAATTTTATACACGTTAATTAAAAGTAAGTAAAAAAAAAAGAAATTCTAACCTAAAAATCTTGATTTTTTTCTGCAATCATTGACCTAAATCTTGTAATCCCGATGTGCTCATAACAATGTATTATGTATTTGCATGACCTGAAATAAAAATTTGAATGGAAAACGAGGTCGGATTCTTAATTTTTTGTGTGTGTTGGTTGAAAAGTTGAAATTTTCAAGGTCACCGTTTATTACGAGATCGGCTCGAATTTGCACGGTTTTTCGTGTTGCGACATCGTCGTTGTCGTTATTAAATCGAAAGACCGGCCCCGTTAAAGTTTGTGGTACGTAATCGCAAACGTTCCGATGGCATAATATGCCATTGTGGACGGTTACGTCAGGAAAAGTAAAAAAGAAACGGCACAACGTCGCCGTAATAGAACTTCGTTGACATCTTAAAATCTTTATTCAACAGATTATTTAATAGTTAATTGAACTGAATGGAATCGAAAAATCACGTCAAATTTTGAGATTGTTCTTTGTTTTCACACCAAAACGATTTTTTCAAGTGGTTCAACGAAACGAGAAAGTTGCACACACAACACGTATGCGATCGTTGGAGCAAAACCCGACGATCCATTACGGTTCTAAATTTATCACCACCCGTCTGCATTCAATGTCAACGAACTTGAAAATCTTTAAACGAATCGTTTCCAAGCTACACACTGTTCTTGGACGCGCATTGCATAGAAGGGAAGGTTTCGACAGATTTGAAGGTTTTAAGCCGGTTTTAAGCTGGGTGTCTAATTGGAAATGCACCGAGCGTAAAATAGATAACATCATGACGTAAATTGGTTTAAATTTAGATTATTTTTTTAGAGAGAAGAAAAAGGAGACAAAGGAAACACTTTTTAGATGTATAAAAGGAATAAGGTCAAATGGAGATCGTTTATAAATAGAAGGAGTTAATTCTCTGGCTAAAATACGATTAACAAGTTGAAAGTGGGTTTAAAATTTTATTTTAGTGCATTTTATTTACAAACAAGGATAAAAATATTTTTGTTTTTTAATCTTTAACCTTGACATTGAGAGTATTTTTACCTTTTTTTTTTAAGTTCCTATCTAAAAAAGTACGTTTTTAAACATCAAAAATAATTAATTAATGATTTTAATTAATATAACCTCACAATTTAAATGCCATTGCTACCATATTTTTTATTTGTTTAATTCCTTTAATTTCGTAATCAACAACAAAGAAAATTATATAAACGCTAAACTATGACCGAGTATAATCCAATTATTTCGCAATTCAAAGTTTCGTTGTCGAGTTGTTGTGATATTTTCTAACGAAACAATAGTTGTCGTTTTGAGAGTTTCGAAGTGTTGAGCCAAAGAGTATGACTCAACCCAGGTTTATGGCGATGGTGGCGGTGATTCTTGTGCAAAACCTTTTCTTTAAGAAGAAATAAAGTTTTAGTCTTTGTTTCTTGAGTTGTTTCGCCATCTCTTTCTGTTTTATTGGTTAAAAGTTAAAAAGGAAATCCGTTTTAACACTTAATCTCTTTGTTTGAAGTTTGGATTTACTTCTTTTTAATTTATTTGTCTAAATCAAGACTTACACGTGTGTTTTGTAGACTACAATAAGGCTTTTGATAAAGTTAAACACCACCTACTCATAGAAACTTTGTTAAAGAAGAGAATTGATCTGAGATATAAGAATAATCTCTAACCTCTATTATGGGCAAAAGGCAGAAATACGTGTGGAAAATTTAACATCTGATGAAATAGAAATTCAAAGAGGGGTTCGACAAGAATGTTATCCTCTTTAACCAATATAGGCAATTTGAGATATGCTGACGATACGGTTATATTAACCAGAACGCAGGAAGTTCTGCAAAAGCTTATTAATAGAATAGTTACTGTAAGCGAAGAATATGATTTCTCTGAATAATGATGGTTGACTCTGAATATACGCAAAACAAAATACATGGTTATTACAAAAATAACAAGAAGCAATAATAAGACATATGCAAAAGATAAAAGTATTGAAAGAGTAAAAGAATTCAAATACCTAGGCACAACGATTAATGTTGAAATTAAAATTGAACAAGCTAGAAGCACTTATAATGGACTGAAGAAGCTTTTTTGTTGTCGGGATCTGAGTCTGGAGTTGAGAGTGAGAATGATGAGGTGCTATCGGTACTGTTCTACGTGGTGGAAGCGTGGACACTTAAGGCGATTGATGTAAGAAGACTGGAGGCATTTGAGACATGGATATACCTATGAATGTTAAAGATTTCATGGTTAGAGCGAATGACCAACGTGAAGGTGATGAGACGCATGCAGAAGAATAGAGAGATAGTACTAATGATTAAACAGATGAAGTTATTACATATAGACCATGTCATGCGAGGAGAAAAGTACCAACTCTTTGCAAACCATTATGCAGGGAAAAAGAACCTTCGAGAGTGGTTTGGCTGCACCAGCAAAGAGTCAGATCCGTAGCTCAAAAGTTAGAATTGCCCTGATGATTGCCAAGCTCCAAATCGAAGACGGTACCTAAAGAAGAAAAAAAAGTTAATAGTAAGGTTAATTGATTGATTTGATATCCGGTTGGGTTTTCGAGTTGGAACTCTCAACTCAAATCATGCTCCAGCCACAGAGTTTCCACTGACTCTTATTGTCTTGTATACTTTCTTCGGCTCCCTGTACTTAAAACTTTCTGTCCCCTGGATTTTATTTCTTACGAGTATGTTAAGTTGTTCCCATTGATAGTTTATGATTTTTACTCTGTGAACCTCCTCCTAGTGTCCCCCGTTCGCTAATTTTTTCATTTCCACTCACTTCGGGAATCTGTTATAATAAATTATAGTAAGGTTAAGTTGTTTTAGAATTGATGTTTTGTGAACGTCGTTTTGGTGAAAAATTGATACCAACATGATTTTTCGATAAACAAAAATTAAACAATTATGAGTCTTTTTTATAAAACGTGATGAAAAGATTTTAAGCCATCAATAATAATGTTATTTGGGATTATGTAATGGTAAAAAAAACTATTAGACTAACAAATTTCGAAGAGAGAGAGATAACATCGAATAGTATCCGCTTTTTTTAGTTTTTACATCCGTTTGTATAAAGGTTACGTAATATTTATAAACATACAGACATTTTTGTATCCCATACATAGTTATTAAATAAATTTACTCTGTTTACGTAATGTATTTAGCAGTAGCATTATTTACTTAGTTACTTTTTTCATGGTGACTTATCAATGTTCAACTAAATTCATGTTGGTGTCAAATTAAACGTACTTTTCTGTCAGTGTCAAAACTATCAAATTTAAAAAATAAAAATTACCTTTTTTTAAACAATAAATAACAATTAAATCTCATCCATGAGAACATTTCTCAAACAACTACGTTGAAATGGATAAGCGTCCATAGTAGATACGTATTGAGACTTGAGAGTCGTTGTTGCACATTGCAGCGTACGTTTTCCAAGTTCAAGGTCGGTAATCTATCTGGTTACGTAACGAAAATACTTAGAAAATTATTTTCAAACCCCACAATACTCGCATATTTAAAAAAATCTTAGTAAAGCAAGTTTTCGATATTCAACAAATTTGACAGTATGTAACAACTTCACTTTAATTAGGGTACGTTCCAAATATCTTATTTTTAATCATATTAACATTTTAAAAATTGCAATATTACTAAACATGCATTGTTATTACAAGAAAAAAAACTTTGCTGCATAAAACGCGTTAACCGTTAAGTAATAGTCTTAGGATTCCGTTATTATACCGTTAACTATTTCCACACAGTGTAAAATCAAAGTTATTCCCACGCATTTACAAATGTCCTCACGTTCTCGTTTGAATCACGTGTAAAATGTAAGAATGGTAAAAATAAAAAAGTTGACTCAAGAAATAACGGGCGTAATCATTACCTGTGACAAGACACCGTTATGAAACGGGGTTGGTTACGTAAACGAAGCAAAACCTTCGATTGATATGAAAATGTTTCAATGCTATTGCACGTACTACATTATTACCTCATTGAAAACATAACGGCGAACTTATTACATTTAATCATTTTAAAATCATTATATAACAATAAAATTTCATTTTTGCGAAGCTTCCCCAAATAATTTTAATACATAACCTCATTTCAATTTTCTAAACGACATCTTATAATCTGTTTAAAAAAAAACGTTCTACGTAGAAGAGAAGGATAAAATCAATAAATTGTTAATCGAACGGTTCGTAACGTAACAGTTATGTCATCGACGCCTGTTTACTTACAAATTTCTTGCGTAACTCTCGATTACGCTATGTAAATAAATATTCGTGTAGGGAGTAGTCAAAGTGATGTTTTGTAAGTTTTTTCGATCGAATACATTTCTTGAAATGTTATTTAACAAAAGATTCTTAACAATCTAAAAAGAAAATTGCGAGAGACCTCCAACGCCGTCGGCACAGTCTGGGAATGCAATGCAAAAGGGGAATTGACCTCGTGGCATTGACTTGAAGCAGTTGCAAAACAGGAATGTTTCAATCACAATGATTCGTATTAAAAATAAATTTTTTAAGAGTATTTAATTGATTTGAGACTTTGAAAAAGAAGTGAACGAAAATTCACGCGGTGTTTAATTTATTCTAAAATATTTCAAAACGTAAACAAGGTCAGTTATGTAATAACATTTGTTAGACACAGCATATTTTTCAATGTCGCGACGACGAATCAACATCAAAAATAAATAACACTTAATAAATTTATAATATACTACCTACATAATAAAGACTTATTACAGTAAATATAGTGAATTTCACTTAAGATGCAATATACAAAAATATATTTCCATAGAAACCAGCCGTCTTAAGAGACGTATGGCTAAACCCAAATGTTTTTAGTTCTATATTTAGTGTTCTAGTTTTAATTGTTATTCAAGTGGTATATTTTTATTGAATGAAAAATAGAACCAAAAGTAGTTATTAGTTTATTTAGAAAAATAAAATATGATTCTGCTAATGATATATAAAAAAATCTAGAATATAACCTCAAAGAATTGACGTTTATAAACGTCAAAAGTATTTAATACCAAAGTGTCAAAAAATTTTTAGGTTATAATTTATTAAACAACAAATTAAGTTAAATTCTTAGAAAATCTATAAATTCTTATTCAGTTAACAATAAACGAAATTAATCCAATTAGAGTTGTAACTTTAAAAACTCATCTTGAAATTTAATCGATAAATAAATCCTCATTTCATCATTAAGATCATCATCTTCCGATTCACGTTCATTGTCATTTCCAAAATTAATTGGTGGTCCCTTATATTCAAAGTAATTTATTTTTGGTTTATCGTTGCTTATTTTAACATTTCCTTTTTTTAATTCAATAATTTCTTTGGATCTTATAAAACTTTTGTGGCAACACAATTTTAAATCGTCCTGCATTGATTTTATAGAATCATAATTTTTAATGCTTTTATAAATATGTTCTTCCTTTTGAAGTATCGGAAATGGTTCTTTGAATCCGTTAACATCAACGTCATTTTTGGAGTTATTATTAAAATTGGTCGATTTTTCATAATTAGAATAAGCATTTGTAAAATTGAAATCCATTGTTTCGCTTTCTTCCTTATCGGATATAAAATTCAAATTGGTTAATAATGATTCGTTTAAAGAAAAACTGTCTTCATAATTATCTCTTAAATCTTTTTGATTAAAATTATTCAGTGCTAAAATATCTTGACTTATTGCAGTTGAATAAATAGATTTTGCTCTTTTTGATACTCTTCTGTTGGCATATATATCAGCAATAACGGATTGCAAAAAATGCTTGTATTTGATAACTTGTGTAGCTTCTTCATGATTTTCACAAACACAAACTGATAATTTTTTTAATAAAGGATTCACATGAATCAGTCTTAAACTTGATTTATTACTCTGATGACGATGTATCAATTCTCTAACTTTTTTGAAAAGTGATTCATTCGCTGACAATTTCATTGGTAATTTTTCTGGATGTTTTTTCTCACTTTCATCGATTTGTAATTCATCAAAATTTTGAAGGAGGTCTTGGGAAATGTGTGTTCCATCGCTTTCATATGAACTCATCTTTTCTCTACGAGTTTTAATAAGATTGTAAACGAAAACTATTGAAACATGTAACGAAGCTGTCAAAATAAAAATACACTGACAATTGTACCAGGTAGCGACATCTTTTGAGTTATAATTAATGATTAAAAATTAATAATATTTTAGACTTATTTAATATAATTAATAAATTTTACGATATTTTTCTTGCATTTACCTAAATTAATACATTTTCTTTTCAATTTAATCAATTTAACATTTTTAATTTTTATTTAATTTGGGGTTATGGTACTTAAAAAGTCTAAATTCATCTTTTCTTCCTTTTAGATTATTGTGAAAATGATGTAAAAGAATTTTTGGGTCTTGAGCCAAGGTACTGTTTAAGGTCGAGGTACGCAGGATTGTCAAGCAAAAACGGTTTGGACGAAGATAATATACACAAAGTGAGTATTATTAATACGTTTTAATTTTCGTTACTTTCATAAATCACGTTTATCATTTTGGATAAAATCCAAAAAACGGTTTAAAAATAAGTAAATCTTAGTCGTGAATGAAATCGTAACTTTAACCTTACCTTATTGTAGATATTCAAAAAGTTCTTCAGGAAAGCAAAACGATACAGTTCTACATTGAAGACCAATTTAAATCGATTAAAAATCGAAGAAAATATTTCTTGGGGTAACGAATTCGTTATTGGTGATAATAATTCTGAAAATGATAGTTTTAAATATGTTATTAATACGTTATTTTCATCAAGAGGTAAATAAATTTATTGTGGTGAATGTAGGCAACCCAATTTACACGGTTATTTTTTTTTGTAGAACAAGCTTTGAAAGAATTTTGGTGTCACGTCACAATTTCCGATTTAGAATGTATTTTGTGCAGTCAGTGTTATTTGGATCCAATTACAACGGCTTGTGGGCATACGTTTTGTCGAGATTGTCTGGCAAGAGTCGTCGATCATGGTTTAGCATGCCCGTTATGTATGGCACCATTAAGCCCGAACGATCTTTCTCGGGGCAGCACCAAAATTCTCGATCAAGCAATGAGAATTATCGTTCCAAGTCAATATGAAGAAAGACTTTTTGTTAACACTAAAGAAATACACGTTTTAGAACACGAATGCGAGGTAATTTAAATACAAAATTAATTTAATACGATTAATTCTTATTTTGATTGATTTTAGGTTCCAGTATTTGTTTGTACAAATGCCTTTCCTGGTGTGGCTTGTCCTTTATACGTTTACGAACCAAGATATCGTTTATTAGCAAGACGGTGTCTTCAGTCATCGACAAAACAATTTGCAATGGCCGGAAAAATCGAAAATGATCTTTTCGCATCGTTTGGAACGATTTTAGAGGTTAAAGACGCGGTTCATTTACATGACGGAAGATCAATTTTAACCACAGTTGGTGTTCGAAGATTTAAAGTGTTAGATAAAGGCGAAAAAGTAATAAAAATTGAGGTTTTGTTAAACGTTAAAATAATTTTTGGTGTTTTTAGGATGGTTATGATACAGCAAAGGTTCAATTTATACGAGATACGGTGGTTTCAAACGAAAAATTAACAGAATTGATTAATTTGCATCAAAGGGTGCACAATAAAGCCGTGAAGTTTGTTAGTTCCTTAGCTCCAAGGTTTCTAATTGAAATCGAAAGCTCAATCGGGCAAATGCCACGACCTGAAGAAAATTGGTTTTCATTACCTGATGGGCCGTCATGGGCTTGGTGGTTAATGCCTATTTTACCATTAACAACTCAACTTCAAGTAAGTAATCATCATAAAAATAAAACGATTTTAATAATATTAAAACTTTTTTTTTCCATTTTTAGGTTGGATTTCTTAGTACGACGAGTTTAGAAAAACGTTTAAGAGCAATCGATAAAATGTTGGAACACATGAAAGTAAAAATGAAGGCTTTGGAACGAAACACACTGAAATGTAACGATTCGAATGAATCGAGTGATTCATGTAGATTTTGGTTGATATAAAAATGATAATCATTAAGCTTTTGGAGTATTGAACGAAAGAAAAAAGATAAAAAGAAATCTGAGAAAACGATTTTTTTATATTAAAGTTTCTTTTCTTTTTATAATAATAAAAATCTGTGATTTTAATTTTTAAATGTTCGTTTAAGTTTAATTTATACATTTTTAAGATTAAAAGAGAAAGATAAAGATCTTGTTCCTTCAATACTCTCTATTATTTTTTCTGTTTTTTATAGTAATAAAAAGAAAAATATTGTGGCTGTTAAAGAACAATCATAAATAGAATGTAAAAATGATTCTTTTCCACGCTTTTCGTTTTCTTTTTAAATTAAAATTAAATTTATTATTTCTATATACCAAGATAAGATTAAAAATTTTTAGAAAAAAGAATTTATATAAATTCAATCTCTTATAAAAAAAATTAAAAAGGCAAAAAGGTCTGGTGATATATTTTATTACTATTACTACTATTTACTATAATAAAGTAACAATAATACATGAAATTAGAATTTCAACGACCAATTTTAGAACTACTCCAAAGAAACTTATTTATTTTTCTACAATATATTTTCAAGCTTCCTTTTTTTTATTTTTTTTTTTTAGTTTTAATTAAAAAGTTTTGATTTTTTTTGTCCTTCACCTTAATTTATTTATATTTAGTTAAGAGAAAACATAAAGCTTAGTTCCTTCACACGAGGAATATTTTTGATAAATATCACAAAAATTTGTTTCTTTTTGGCAAATATAAAATCTTAAAAGAGGTGTCCGCAGTTTTATTTTCCTCAATCTCCCATAACTTATTTATGGACCAGAAAATATAAAAAAGACAAGGTTTTCTGCTTTGCGTAAACGAAAAAATAAATCAGATGGGATATTTGCCAAATTCAAATCATAAAAACAACTCGTTTTCAAATCAACTGAAATAATTTTCTCATTTTTACAACTTGCTTATCTCTTTCGTTAATCATCCGTGTTTATTTAATTAATCTAATTATCTATACTAATTACGAGTAAATGTTCGACTTTGATGTGTTTATCAGTTAAAATTTGGAATTCGAGTGGTTAACAAAAAAAACAAATAATTATTTGGTAAGTTACCAAAATTAATTCAAAAGGAAAAGGAATATAATTAGAATGTTTTTTTCCTTAAGAAATTTTATGATAATGATGGTTTAATGATAATTGAGTCATAATTATTCAAAAAATGACAAACAAAAAATTTTTAATAATAATGAGTCATTGGGTTGCCTATCTTGTTTGCATATATGGCATATTTATATTATTTTAAAGTTATCTTTTTTTGTTTTGAATAGTAAAAAAAGATTTGAAACTAAAAAATAATGGTTAATATTGTAAGTGAATCTCTCACTCACTTATAACCTCAACGCACCCCGAAATATTAGAAAATCACGAATTACTCAAGAATGGTACAAAAATATTTGAAATTTATACATCACTCTTGAGTAATATGTGATTTCCTAATTTTTGTTTGGGTATTCGAATACGGGTTTTTTGTATACTGTACAATCGAAATCACTTACCGATTTAAGGTATAGTTATAATAGGGAGACAGAATTTGTTCAGCCATCCAATCCAGATTTCCAATTTAAGAGTAATCTAAACTAACCTATATAACACAACAAACCAGCTAAGTTATAATTTTAATTATACATTACGCAATAACACTTACCAGATTAATTATTAAATTTATTTATATTTTTGTTTTATTTTTATCTGTTTTGAATTCTGCCTAATTCAGCCTAATTGTTTATACACAGATAACCTACAATAATTCTTTCTTGTTGAAAGGTTGATTCAGTGTTGCTAATCGTACAATACATTTTTTTAGTTTATGTGTATATAAAATTTATACCACAATTTTATAACATAACATTTTAACCTAACCCTTAAAGCAACGAAAATACAGTTTTTTTATAAATTTTTGTCAAATTATTGTAAATTTGGCAAAATCAACAGGGAATTTTGTTATATTTTGAAATAAATTGACGTATTGGTTCAATTATGAACAAGTAGCGCCATCTTTTGGCATAATTAAAACATTAAATTTGAAATTATTGATTTTAAAATTGGAATATTTAAATTTTTATTTAATTATTCTTTTTAATTTCTTTCTTTTCTTACATTAGAGCAGTATTAAAATTAAAAAAATGTCTCTAATAAACCCAAAACGCAGAATGAATGAAACTCAACCCAACATCATAACCTGCGAAGGAAAATATCTCATATAATAAGATTAATAAGGAATAGAAAAAGCTTGGAGAAGCGCAACGTAAAGATTCTACATTATGTATAGATTAAGGGTATAGATTAAATTTAACCCTTATGTTACTAACCGTATACCTGGGTATGTTTTCAATTTTCAAGTGCTAAATAGAAAAAATTGGTTACTAACTAGAGCAATATTTAACAGGTTGGGTTGAGTTGGGTTAAATGTTGTAAAATATGTAAAAAATATAAGCAACCCAAATAATACGATTGCCATTTCGGTTGCCTATGCTCAAATTAATTTTTGAGTTAAATTATTTTTTGGAAAAAATTAATCCCAACATTCATTCCATGAAATACTTTCAGATTAAATATGTTATAAAAATCGTTCTTTAAACTTTAGAAATAAGTTGTGTAGATTTAAAGAGTAAATCTATTTCGTAAAAATTAAATATTAACTTTTATTGAGGTTACCAATATTATCATTTCACTTAATTATTTAAATAAGATTATCAATACAAGTTCGTACATTAAGTAAATTAAGGCACATAAAGCGATAATATTTACTGTTTTTTGTTGGTTTTACGCACGAAAACAATTTTCATTATCTTATACGGTTGCCAAGAATAAAACATCAAGTGTACTGCTGTGTTCTACTTCTTTCTTGACAGAGACCGGATCGTTTTACAACATTTATACGTTTCAACTTGTAATTCTCTTTCGATAAAACTCCAGGAAAGAAAGTCTACCTCGAATAGAAATGACCGTTTCTGACGAAAATGAGGTTCAATTACAACTTTACGCCCGAGCACCATCCCCATCAAGAGATTATTATGGATTAACGATCACTCAAAGTAAAGTAAGCGATCTAAAAGATATTGTTAACAAAAACGTTTTGATATGGTGCAATTTTAATTTTTTTTAGATTATTTTAAACATTTGGAATGTTTCATATGGACCTCATGTGTATCCAAAACGTCATATTTCATCACTTGAAGATTTTGTGGATGAACGTTACATGCAACATGATATTCAAAGAACATTCGGCGATTATGCTTTGAGTTTTGTAAAAAGTTTTGCGGCTAAAGAACGTCGATTGGAATGTTTACCGATGAAGATTTTTTTGAAAATCGCACGCTTTTTAGCAACAAATGATATTTTACATTTATCGCAAACTTCAAAAATATTTTTCGATGTAAGTTTGATTATTAATTAATTTTTGTATTTCATTAACATTAAAAATAGTAAGTAATAATGATAACTTGTAAAAATACAGTCGTTTTATAGATTTGTAATTCGGAAGGAATCTGGCGTATTCTTTACAAGAAAAAAATTAAACGAAGAGTAATGTTAAGCGATATCGAGAGAGGTACCGAAATCGGTTGGAAACAAGCTTTAAAAACGAAAATTTATACCAAAGCAACGCTAAGAAATTTACTGGAAAAAAATGAAACCAGAAAATTAACAAGTAATAATTTAACTTCAAATACAACTCCGAATGTTTTATTAGGAAACCCAACCGATTCTAAATACGATAATCATAATATTAGTAAAAACGTTAAACGTATCGAAGAAGTTAACAAAAAAAATGACACAAAAAGATTTACCAAAAGTGTGGGTAATTTGAAAAAAAATTCTTTGAGTAAAATTGAAAGTATTGACCCGTCTAAACCATTAATTCGTTCAAAAAATGATGAAACCCTTCAAAGTGAAATTAGTTATCCTATTAATAAAAGCAAATTAAAGAATGTAAAGAAAGAATTTGACGGATTGATGGGGAAAAGTACAATTAAAGTTAAAAATGCGGTTAAGAATCCTGGTGGTAATTTGAAGAAATAATATTGGATTGTTTATTATATATTTATTAATATTTTTGATGTGTCAATATTTAAAATAATAAATATGAAGAAGTCTTCTAATTCGTTTTAAATATGATTGATATGATAGGCAACCTAAAATGCTTTATGTTGCCTTTATTTTGAGTGTTTCGCTAAGCCAGTTGTGTTGTGTTCTTTGTGTTTGCCGTGTGTTTTTAGAAGTTTTATCGTAGATACATTTATATTCTATTTACTTCTAGAGTGAATTCGTGTTGGAGTGACTACATTTACCACAAATAATTAATTGTTCAATTTCCGATTTCGCACTAACACCATCTTTTGTTCATTAGCTGTTTCAAATGACAATATTTAAATGTATTCGATATTGTTGACAGGTAATAATAACAATTCTAATATTAATATTTATGAAATTGTGTATACAAAACAATTAAATAAAAACCTGTCTGTAGACGCAGGGCTAAATCCGAAAATTTTGCCTATGAAGATTATTATTTCCGAATATGACTAATATTTGTAAACAAAACTAACCTTACATAACATTACTTCACGGTATAATTGGAGTTTCAAAAATAACTGACCCTACTTAACATTCCTTCACGCTATAATTAGGGTTTCAAAACAAAACTGACCTATCCCAACATTCTTTCATGCTTTAATTGGAGTTTCATAAGAAAACTACCTGTCTTAACATTCCTTCACGCTTTAATTAGGGATTCAAAACAAAACTGACCTATCCCAACATTCGTGCACGCTTTAATTAGGGGTTCAAAACAAAACTGACCTATCCCAACATTCCTTCACGCTTTAATAAGGGTTTCTTCACGCTTTAATTGCAGTTTCATAAGAAAACTACCTGTCTTAACATTCCTTCACGCTAAAATTGGAGTATAAAAGAAACCGACATTTCTTCACGCTTTAATTAGGGTTTGAAAATAAAACTGACCTACCCCTAAACGTTCTTTCACGCTTTAATTAGGGTTTCTTCACGCTTTAATTAGTGTTTCAAAAGAAAGCTACCTGTATTAACATTCCTGCACGCTATAATTAGGGTAATTTAGGGCAGATGCAGGTCGTTTATGAACCTTAATATTGCTTAATGTCTTATTCCTTAGGATGTGGTGGTATTTTAGGGGCTCCTGGCCGGCCAGGAAGCCTTATCCTTATCCAATATTCTATCTGAAACTGGTCATCATATTGAAGTGCTTTAACCTCGAGCGGCCTTGCGTGACTTTATCAAATAAAACTGCACATCTAAATTGTTGAGAGCCAACCGGCTAAACCCGAATGTTTCTCATTCTATGTCTATTAGTTCTAATGCTAGTGTTACTTCTAGTTTTAGTTGTTATTCAATCAATTATTCATGTCACATTAGTTGTGTCATTTTGGTTGCCTACATTTTTAAATAATTTTATTGTAAAATAAATTATTAGTTATGGTTGAAAATAAGAAAATTATTTTTTTTATTAATTATGTACAAAAATGTGTTGTTAAAAAATAACAATATAATAAAAATAGGATCTTTAATTATTTTTTAAGAATTTCGATATTCTCATGGTGATGGGTTAAAGAATCTGTGACATTATTTCTGTCATTTTGGTTGCCTGTATTTTTAAATTGCTTTTATTGTAGAAAAAATGATCAAAATTAAAAATTTGATTATTTTTAATAAATGTGTATAAAAACGTCTTATTAAAAAATAATAATATAATAAAAAATAGAACTTTAAAATTTTTTTCTAAAAATGTTGACACGTTCATGCTGATATATTAAAGTATTTCAGGGGAAGTCGATCGAAATCACATTTCCCATTACAACATGATTGATTAGAAAATGGTAATATCCTGAAAAGCGCTTGCGCATTTAAAACCTAGCAAACGAACCGCACTGGCAACAACCAGCGTCCGTACTGCGGCGGTTCAAAGAAAATCCGTTATACTCGCATTAAATTGAAAAGTGAATATCTCAATTCCATGTTTATTCTTTAAAACCCCGTTTCTACACTCGCACGGCAAGAAAAATCATCGACATCGATCCAACGGCAATTCCCAGAGTTATTAATCAAACGTTTCAGTGCATCCATAATAAATTTTCAGTTAGTGCTGTAACGATTTCAGTGTCATCGTTGTCGTCCATTATTTTATTTCTAAAAAAACGCAAAAATTATTAATTGTGTATTAATGAGAAATTAGAACCAATTCTTATTTTTTCGTCAAATTGAAAATGATTTAAATAAAAATTAAAGAAAGATTATTTATTCTTTTAAATATGTTTTTGGTGTGCACGTTAAAAGAAGTGATTAAATATTTCGAAATCGAAGAGTATCTACAGGGTGTTTTCGATGATTTTCAAGTGTTGGAAACGTAAACTTAAGCTACATGACAATAACAAATTGTAAAATGTCGACTAGTAAACGGGCTTCCGCTAGAAGATCTGAGTAAGTGTCTAAAAATTAAAATTTTTATTTTAATTCATTAACTGTATTATTCGTTACGCAATTTTATTACAAAAATAATGATACCGTTCTGGTACGATTATTATGGTTACAACTATGCCAGGGTTAATTGCTGGAAGAATTACTTAAGCGGTCTACGTATAACTGTATATTATCCGATACAATGTACTGAAAGATCTATTTTACATACATAATCTAGTTTTAATAGTGTTGCTATTCTATACGAGTTTTTGTAGGCGTGGATATAAATACCATACGGAAAAGTTTGTTCATAAATTAAATCACCTGTTGCTATTGATTAAATTATTTCTTTTAATTAACGTTATTTAGACTATTTTTAAGTTATTTAACCTATTCTTTGACTAAATTTTACATTGACACTTCATTTGACACTTCATTTTAGGTTATGACAGATAGAATTTGTTACCAACCCAAAAATTTATTAAAATCATAAAAATTACAATAAAATTATATTTTTTTTCAAAATCTTGATTTTTAAATGTTTCAGTGACACAATGGATGATGACTCGGACGATAAAGATTCTAAACGGTAAAAATTTTTCTTTTTATTTTATTAATTATAAAAAATAAAAATATTTTAGAAAATCCAGAAATTTAAGCGAAAAGAAACGTCGTGATCAATTCAATCTTTTAGTAAATGAACTCAGTTCAATGGTGTCCACTGGGAGTCGAAAAATGGATAAAAGCACCGTGTTAAAGTCGACGATATCATTTTTAAAGAATCATAATGGTACCAAAAAATTTTGTCCAATCAAAAATTTTTCTTCTTTATTTTCTAATGTTTTAGAAATAGCTGTTAGATCTCGAGTACATGAAATTCAAGAAAATTGGAAACCAACATTTTTGACCAACGAGGAATTCACCCATTTAATTTTAGAGGCTGTCGACGGTTTTATCATAGTTTTTTCAACGTCGGGACAAATATTTTACGTATCAGAAAGCGTTACATCGCTCCTCGGCCATTTACCGGTAAGAAAATAACGGTAATTACAATTACGACTTATTGATATTTTATCCAATCGTAACCTTAACATTTAACTTTGTAAATTTCTAAACGCGGAACTGTTTTATTTACGATTTTATTTATAATCGTCTAGCATCAATTTATAAAATGTCATCAATTAACTCTTAATTCTTTTAAGAACGATTTACTCACAACAACCATTTACGAAGTTGCTTGCGAAGAAGAACAAAACGAACTTTATAATAAATTAATTGAGCCGAATAACGACGGTGAAAGACAAACTTCGTTTTCGTGTCATTTAAGAAGAGGCGAGCCCATGAATAAACAACCAAATTCGTACGAATTAGTTCATTTTACTGGATATTTTAGTAAGTATGAATTTATTATTAAAATACCGTTACATTAGAGGTAATACGCGACTTAATAGCGAATTCACGTGAGGCTAAGAATTATATCATAAAGTGTAGCCTGCGTGAAGGTCGATGGTTTACAGTTATGCCAAAGGCGTGAACATTAAGAAAGTACCATTAAGAATGCGTTTATATGCATTTATACTCAAAAAAACGAAATTTAATTCCTGCTGAAAAATTTATTTTGACACTTCATTTTAGGTTATGACGGAAAGAATTTAAATCAAATTCGTTACCAACCCAAAAATTAGTTAATATAATAATTACAATAAAATTATCTTTTTTATATTTATTGCTAAAAAATTAATTTCGTACAATTAAAAAAGTTTATTTATTTATTAATTAAAATTTTAAAAATACATTATAAATTTTAAGTAACATTCTTTAATTATTAAATTTAAATCATTACCAACCCATAAATTTTAAATGTCACTTTTAAAAATCTAACCTCAAATTAATAAAATAATAAACTAATTATTCGTAATTATTCTTTTTATTTTTTTAGGACCAGATTCAGAAATGACCCAAACCGATAATTCTAGATATAGCGGATACTCAGGTGAAGCAGATACAAGGTAGTCACCCAATTTAAAATTATCCTTGACAAATTCAGGCAACAATGCTGTTTATGTAACAATATCGATTCGTATTGTTTTAGATTGGTATTCGTTGGAACAGGCCGATTACAAACGCCTCAACTGATCCGGGAAACTCCATTGATCGATTCAGGGAAAATAGAGTTCACCTCTCGTCACAGTTTGGAATGGAAATTTTTATTTTTAGATCATCGAGCTCCCCCAATAATCGGATATTTACCATTTGAATTGTTAGGAACCTCCGGGTATGATTATTATCATATCGATGATTTGGATAAAGTTGTGAGTTGTCATGAAGCTTTAATGCAAAAAGGGGAGGGAACTTCTTGTTACTATCGATTTTTAACGAAAGGCCAACAATGGATTTGGTTACAAACTAGGTTTTATATTACATATCATCAATGGAATTCTAAACCTGAATTTATCGTGTGTACACATAGAGTTGTAAGGTATGTAAATTTATAAATTAAATGAATGGGTGACGCCATCTATTAATTTTTACACTAACTAAAATTAAAATGTTTTAAAATCTAATAAAATCCGAGTTTTTAGACAAAAATTACAAATTTGAAGGATAATATAATGAAATAAATCGTATTAAGTAATATTTTATATTTATTATAAGAATTAAATACAAAAATCGTTATGTGATATTTGCGCCATCTCTTAAACTTTTTTTTTTATTTTGATTTTCCATATTATTTTAGTTATGTTGATGTAATGAAAAGAAATAAATTTGAAGATACAATAATTCTTTACCAAGAATCCTCACCAAATAGTGATAATGTCTCTTGTGCCGCTTGGAAACCTTCGTCAAAGTCAAGACCAGCTTACGATCCTTCCTCAGATTGCACTTCAATGTCAGCTGATTCTCCAGCTTCTCGACATTCAGCATTAACTCAATTATCTGTGGTAAAATATTAAAACCATAGGTCTTTTTTGACGTTTAATATCGACATTTTATTAATTATCGCGATTTTGTGATTTTTTTTAATAGAAGTCGAGGGCTAGTAGGCAAGCAAATACTCCAACTCAATCAACTTCGACCCCGACTCAATCGACTTCGAGGGGAGGAGCTCAACCGGTTCAATCGCAAAGTAGTAGTAATAATAATTCGTTTATGGAACCACCACAATATGTAGCTACAATTCCTATGCAACCAATTATTGCTAGTTTTCCTCAACCTGCTGTTTTATCACCACTTCCGGTAGATAGTTTTGTTTTTGTTAATTTGTGTGTTTTAACGCTTTTTTGGTAGCCTGTTGAAGGTATGTTATCTCCGGCACAAAATCAATTACAAGCGGATCTTCAACGAAAACATGCTGAACTTCAAGTGTTGATTGGTCAACAACAAGCAGAATTAAGAAGGGTTTCTGAGCAATTGTTGATGGCCCGGCTTGGTTTGTTACCACCAACACAAAATGAAAATCAAGTAATATTTTTTAATTAAATAAAGTAATAAAATCTAATCAAATTTTTTAGGCACCCGTTTCTTATAACAATTCTGAAACCGTAAGTAGTACAACTGCCATGGCATCAGTTCCAGGTCCACAAATAATAGTACCAGTTACAATACCGGTCACTCAACAACAACAGAACATTCCTTACTCACCCCATGAAGAAAAATAAATAAAAAAACAAATTGTGTTATTGCATTATTAGGAAAGTTAAAACGCACAAAAGTGGGTTATAAAAAACTAAAGGTGATTAAATAAGTGTGTTAAATTATATTCTAAAATGAACCAGAAAACGTAAAAAAGAAGATTTATTATTGTGATATTGTAACTGAGGGATAAACAAATAGGTTGTAAAATTAACTATTTCTATATCCGTGTATGTATATAGTATATTCGTGTTATAAACTTCTTTTTCTATTAAAGAATTGGAGTGAAAAAGCATTTTATTTATTTCCCTTCTTTTCACAAATTCGTTTCTAATAGCGCCATCTCGTTTGCTTTATATCATATAAGTTTTTAGTTAACTAATTTACCGACAAATTGTGTTAAATTAATATATTTTAATCATTTAATTGGTAATGAAACTACAAAATATTGATTAATTTAACAATAAAATGATGTGTGTACAAAATTAAGCTCTTTAATGGCAAAATTTATAATTAAAAGTGGTGATGTAAGAAAAGTCAAATTGACAGATTTAAATCTTAATTCAAGAAGATTGCAATAAAGTAATTGTGAATGATTTTATTTCTATTTGTTTTAACAATATTAATTTGTTTTTTTTAATTTGAAATACTGACTCAGAAAAGAGAGATAAAAAATCTCTTCGTTATTATTGAATTAATTAAACGCAAAATCTTGTTTGCTATTTTCAAGCCTTTTGTTCTTGATTTTAAAATAAATTCAGTTTAATCAATCCGGAATAAACCAATAAATTAAGTATTATCAATTTATCCATTAAATTTTTTAAGGTTAACCAAAAAAAGAAATTACATTTCTGCTGCGTTGAGTTGGACGTGTATTGATAAAGATAAAGACAAAATTGCTTTTAAGGTCATCGAGAGAGAACCAGTTCTTTAAAATTGACGCAATTCCAGCAACTCAACTCAGTTAACATTTAATTCTCAATAAGATTAAAAGTTTTTTTTTCCAAATCAAATTATTATCTTTCTTATTCTTTAGGAATCACGATTCTTTGGAAAAATGATGGGATCTAAACCAACTGATATTAAAAAAATCAATACAGAAAATGGTAAAGAACATGTTAACGGAAGTCCTCCGGATATCGTAAGTTTTAAACAATTACATTTTAACAAAAAAGCTTTGATAACAAAATATAAAATTTTATCTTCTTTTGGGTGACCTTATAAGATAAATTTTAAGACGCAAATTGTTGCAAAAGAATTATTGCGATGTTGATGAAATAAAAGTGGAAAATTTGTTTTCTTACATTCTCTAGTTATTTTCATTTTTTATCTGATGAAATTTACAACCGCATTGCAATTGGAACAAAATAGGGAAATTTTTACAATTAAACACAATTAACTGCTTAATCACTTATCCAAAAGTCATAATTACCTCACCCGACTTACTCTTTTTTCTATGTTATTTCGTTATAAACTGATATGTAACATTACGTGCGTCATTAGTTCTCCTTGATTTATAAAAGGATCACTTTGAATCGATCTTTTTCAGTTTTAAACTTGATACTGTTGTAATCAAGCCTTTATTTAATTAAAACATATTAACTTTTAAATCTAAATTTAATTATTAAAAAATGCACGGTACCACGAATGGTATAAATAATGTTAAAAACGGTGAATTAAATGGAGAATTTTCTTTATTTGATGTAAGTTAAAAAAAGTTTTTAATTTTCCCTTCAAAATCAATTTATGGATATGTTATCAATGAAGTGAACTGAAACATAAACTTTTGGTTTTAATATATACTAATTTAGTAAATAAGCGATAACTTTTAACCTTGAGTTAAAATCAATCATTAATTAAATGAAAAATCATTTAAAAAGATAACTTAACCTGACTTTTTAAATTTTTCACACTGTCGTTTAATGTCAACCTAATAATTATAATTAAAAAGAATTAAATTTATTTTTAATTATTTAAAAATCATGAATATTACTAAATAATAAGGTGAGTTAAACTTATTAAACATGTATTTGTTAAGAATTTAAATTATTCATTTTGAAGTAAAAAAGTATCAAAAATAACTTCACTGTTTAAATTTTTGACAGTGAGGTTTAATGTCAACCTAAAAATTAGTAGTGTATTATTATAATGAAAAAAAAATCATTTATTTTTAATTGTTTAAAAATCGTTAATATTACTAAATAATGAAGTAAATTAAATGTATTAAATACGTATTTGTTAATAATTTAAATTATTAACTTTGAAGTTATAGGATATCTGAACGTATCCTTATTAATGTACCATTATTATAATGAAGAGAATTAAATTTATTTTTAATTATTGAAAAATCGTTAATATTACTAAATAATAAGGTGAATTAAATTTATTAAACGTGTATTTGTTAAGAATTTAAATTATACATTATGAAGTAAAAAAAGTTTAAAAGATAACTTTACATTTAAAATTTTTGACAATGACGTCTAATGTCAACCTAAAAATTCGTAATGTATTATATGGAAAAAAATACATTTATTTTTAATTATTTAAAAATCGTTAATATTATTAAATAATAAAGTAAATTAAGTTTATTTAACAAATATTTGTTAAAAATTTAAATTATTAATTCAAAAGTAGTTATAATATCTGAACGTATCCTTAACTTAACCTAACTCAAATAATTATTTTTAATATATCTTTTTAGCCAAAATTAATGCCTGGTGGCCAATACATAAAAATTGGTAAAGATTCGTCAAAAAGCACTTACTTAATATTCGCTCCTCACGTCGAAGAAGTAGGAATATTAGCGAAATACCTAAAGATATTCAAAAAATTCAACATAAATTTGATCCATATTGAATCAAGAGCTTCCGAAAAAATCCCTAATAAATATGAGTTTGTGGTTGAATGCGCTTCCGGAGGCGATTTAGGTTCTGCAATCGCAGAAATAAGAGATCAAAGCAGTTACTTTAATGTGATCTCGCGAAACTACGCGAACAATCAAAATACTGTGCCCTGGTTTCCGCGAAGAATCAGGGATTTAGATCGATTTGCAAATCAAATTTTATCGTATGGTGATGAATTGGATGCTGATCATCCGGGATTTACCGACCCGGTTTATAGAGCGAGAAGAAAATATTTTGCTGATATTGCTTATAATTATCGCCACGGTCAGCCGTTACCAAGAGTTGAATATACCCCGGAGGAAGTTGAAACTTGGAAAACTATTTATAAAAAATTAACTACTTTGTATGTTACCCACGCTTGTAAAGAACACAACCACGTTTTTCCACTTTTGGTACAAAATTGCGGTTATCGAGAAGATAACATTCCTCAATTAGAGGATGTTTCAAATTTTTTAAGAGATTGCACTGGGTTTACTCTTCGACCAGTGGCCGGACTACTTTCTTCAAGAGATTTCCTAGCTGGTTTAGCTTTTAGAGTTTTTCACTCCACCCAATACATACGACATCCATCAAAACCCCTTTATACCCCAGAACCAGATGTTTGCCATGAACTATTAGGACACGCACCACTTTTTGCGGATCCAGCTTTTGCACAATTCTCCCAAGAAATTGGTTTAGCTTCATTGGGAGCTCCAGATGAATACGTCGAAAAACTTGCAACGGTAAAATTTCAAATTAACTCTTTTCTTTCTTATTTTTTTTTTAATTAATTGTTTTTAGCTATTTTGGTTCACGGTTGAATATGGATTATGTCGCGAAAATAACGAATTAAAAGCTTACGGGGCTGGTTTGCTATCATCATTTGGAGAGCTTCAATATTGTCTTGAAGGAAAATCCGAAGTAAGACCTTTCGACCCGATTAAAACTTGTGAACAAAAATATCCCATCACTCAGTATCAACCGGTTTATTTCGTTGCGGAAAGTTTTGAAGATGCCAAAGAAAAAATGATGTAAGAAATCTCATTAAAATTAAATAAAAGCCATTAAAATGATGTTTTTTTAGAAAATATGCTCAAAATATTCCAAGAAGTTTCGGAGTAAGATACAACGCGTACACTCAAAGCATTGAGGTGTTGGATTCAAAGATGCAAATCGAAAATTTAGTGAGGAACGTCAGCCAGGAAACTCAAATTCTTTTAAACGCACTTCAAAAATTATAATTTTAAAGAATAAGGTTATACCAAAAATATAGTTACAGTCGATTTAATAACAATATTAATCTCATGTTATAATATTACAATAAATCTTTTTTTATAATTCTGTATCTATTTCTATTTGGCGAGTATTTGCAGCTTTTTTAGTGCTGCTCTTCACCCAATCATCTCCTCTTCATCGCCACATTAAAATCCTAGATTGATGGAATAATTCAAACGTCTAAATGACATTTCAATGACAAATGTCATTTTGACATTTAAGACATCAATCAATAAAAATAACATCAGAACGTATACTCAATATATCTAAAAATTAACGATCAAATAAAATATGAATGAGCAAACATAATTTTTATTGATAGTTCAAGATATTTCCCTATGTAATTATCTAAATTACTCCTCAAACAACATTCGAAGTAGGAACTATAATCACGGCGAATTTTGCGGACAAACTTTGTGAAACGTCTTAATTATTTAATTTCGATGTTATCCTCAAAATCCCAACAGTTGCGTTTCAACATCCAAGATATTCAGTTAAAATTGAATACTCAACAACCAAAATGACAAATAATCAAAATTATTACGACGTAAATATATTTATATTAAAAGTGGGTGGAGTCTGGTTGCCTAATTTATCCGAATCTTTTAAAAAACGATTATTTCATTACATATATAACACAATAATATTTATCTATTGCGTTTGCATTTATCAACCGGCCGAAACATTATCGGTCTTTAAACATTGGGACATGCTGCTTATTATAAAGAGTTTAAGAGATCAATTTAATCATTTTATTTGCCTCTATAAAATGTTTGTTTGGTACACAAAAAATAAACAAATCAAATCGATTATGGATGAATTAATAAAATTAACGAAAGAATTTCGTTACGAAAACCACCAAGATTACAACCCAAAAAAAATTATTAACCGTTATAAATTAAAATCGGACCGTTGGAGTAAATTATTTCTTTGTGGTGTAAATGGGATTTGTTTAAACATGGCTTTATCGGTTTTTTATGTCTACATTTTTAAATCAAACGATTATTATGTTACATTAAACGATGGTACTATTATTTATAATCAAAAATTGCCGGTTACATTATCAACACCTTTCAATCAAAACACAAGGATTTCAGTTTTATTTCATTTTTTATTCGAATTAATAGCGTTGGATATTTATGGATGGATCATAATCGGATTGGATTCATTATTTACGTGCATGTTGAGTTGCATAACCGCACAATTTTGGATTTTGGGTGGCGCTTTCGAAACGATCAAACCGAGATGTTTAAAACGTTTAAATTTGGACGATAATAACGAAATTCATTATCCCGATATTTTAAATCGTGAGATGATGATGGAAATAAATAAATGTATCAAGCATTTACAAAAACTTATTGAGTAAACAACAAAATTATTTATTTATGTATTTAAATTGTTATTTTTGTAGAATTTGCGAACGTTTGGAGAAAATTTATAACTTTCAAACTTTAGGACAAGAACACGACAAGAAACCATAATTCTTTATTTGAAATGTGTTTTTGCTTATATTTATTAACTTTCGTAAGGAAATTATTTATTAAGAAATTCTAACCTAACTTTTAGAATGTCAAATTTAAAAAGATAGGTTATGATTATAAATTTTGATCACAAAATTGAGTACACAAGGGAAAGGGAGATAGATAATTGTGAATATTTCAAATAATTAGCTCTATAGCTGTACAGTCTACAGCTTTTGCTTAACTGCATGCATATTCAATTTTATGGCGTGAATTTCCTATCATCTGAATTTCCTCATTGTGTAATATTGTGATTATTTTATTTGGAAAAGTGGTTTATTTTGCATTCAATATTTCACAAACTTTAAAATAAATTAATAATTATTTGAAATATTCACAATTATCTATTTTCCATTCCCCTGTATATAAAATTTTGTGAGCAACTGTAATTAATTTATAATTCTTTTTTAAGAGCTTTAATGAAAGTTTTGGAAATGAATTTACTTATTTATTTTCCACCTCTTTCGAATTACTTCTTTATTGCTGGTTTGGCAATGATGTTATCGATGCGGTACACATTAAACTTACTTTTTAATTTTAATCTTACTCGTTTTTCTTTTAGAGTAATGCAATATCAGGCAGCATTTTTAGTGGGGATTGGTTGGGAGCTACGAAAAGTTTCAAAAAAAGCATGATCATCACCATGATTCGTATGAATACTCCCATTTATTTTACGATTGCTAAATTTACGCCTTTAGCATTTAACACTTTTTTATCGGTAAATAATTCTCCAAAAGATAATGTTTTATATGTTTCTCTTCTCTTTTTAGATGGCACGAATTGCTTATTCATTCTACACCGTATTAAAAAGTGGTGTAATAGGAAAGTAAACAATATTATCTTAATCGCAAATGATAAATTGAAATTGTTATTATTATGTAACTTATTTATAACACTTGCTGACCTCAATGGTCGGTGTTTTCGTTTTATATTTAAGTATGATCACGTAGAGGACGTTTCCTATTTTCTACAATTACTACTTATTAAAGTATCATAGATCAAAGCTTTTTTTTGAGGTTATGTGTTTAATTGTCAACACTTTTAATTACATAAGAGAAAATCTGTTTTATTGATTAAAATAAAGTTTTCACGTTAAATTTACAATTAATTTATCTTTTATTCAAGAATTTCCCAAATTTTTTTGATAAATATTAAAATTCAATATTTTTGAAGTCATGTATTGACTCGCCAAATGTCATTTAATTCAAAACGTCAACTTGAAATTAAAGTTATTAATTCTTTTTGTAGTTAAATGTGGTTAAATCAACTTTAAGAACGCTTAAAATGGTTCGAAATGTTCGTAAAACGAAATCGAAGAAAATTGCAAAATTAATACACGCGGCGATTATCGATACAAAAAGAAAAAACGGTTCGTCTTTGGAATCGATTTGTGATTTTTTATGTAAAAAGCATGCCGTTCCGAGAAGAGATATTAAAACGAAAGTTAAGAAGGTAATCAAACAAGGAATCGATTTTGGAACGATTAAGAAAAAGGGGAGAAAATTTTTAGCCGGGGAGCTTATCACATTATTGAAAACGTCCGTTTTGAAAAGTAATAGATTAAATCGAAGTTTAAGCCGCAGTTTGAGTGATTTTGACGATAAAATTCCGTCTTCTCGTGAATCACTTGCGAAATCTGAAAGTTTTGATGGGAAAAGAGATAGCCCAACGTCTTTTTTCCCAAAAAATTTCCCGCGATAAATTCGGCGTTTCTTACTTGTAAGAATTGATACAAATAAAAATTTTTGTACTAAAATTTATCATTTTAATTTAATTCTTTAAATGTAATTAAAGAAATTATATTAACGTATAAGTATTATGTAGCGCCATCTGTTATTACTATTGTTTAAGTTATAGATAACTTTATTAATTCTATTCGCATACGAAAGATGGCGCGACGATATAATAAATCAAATCTTGTGAAAGAAACTTTATTTACAATAATCTTATATAATAACATCCTATCAATTAATACTAAACTAAATTTAAGCAAAAGCATCCTCTCTGTCTGCTCCGGCACCATCTCCATCTTCTAATGAAGAAAAATTTAAGAAATGTGCCGGGCGATGAACTTCGTGATAAAATTCTTTAGGATTGGATAATTGGAGTTCATATTTCATATTCGGATCGTGTCGGACACCTAAAACACATTTAATTTAATATGTTATAAATTAGAATTAGTAATAAATTATTACCCATAAAATTGTAATTCCAACTTCCTTGAGCTGGAACCATGAAGAATCCCAAAAATCGATCGGATAACAACATTTGAACCTTCTCGTAATGACTCGGAAGATATCCTTTAGGATTATTTCCTTTATCGGTGTTTTGCCTTCCCCATTCGTAACCGGAAGGCGTTAATTTATACGCAGTTAACGAACAACTTCCGGGTGTAAACGAACAAGTTATTACAATCGTTTTTTCCCCATCCCAACTTGTATTATCAGCCATTAATCTAGCGTGAGTGCTAATATCTTGTGGGGAGAGTTGTGGTAACTCATTCGGTTGAGTGTGAATCCATCCCAAAGGTTCCATATCTTTCAAAAAGGGGTGGTTTGGAGGAACGTGAGGAATATGAACTGTTTGATGAGTTCCCCATTGAGGAGGTAAAACCAAACACCTTAACTCTTTTACTTGAGGATTATCCGGTGGGCTAACACCGTACAAAAACGCGCAAATCTGAGCTCGCAAATCCGAAATGGTGACGAATTTCTTCAAAACATTTTTAGGTAAAATATAAGTATAACCAGTTTCTTTAATATCATCTGAACTAACGTAAATATGATTAGTTCTTAAATGCAAATTAGTAGCTGATATGGCTCGCACCCTCCACTCAGTTTTAGAACTAAAAGTTTGCGTTTCATAATTACTAGTTGTACTCGTAATAATTTCATCACCGTGTTTATTAACCGTTCTCGTTGTGGTGGCCGTTAATTGAGATTGTTCTTTAGTTTGTTTTTCAATTTCCGCAATTTGTTGTCTTTGTGCGGAAGGCGCACTTATCTCCATACCCAAAATTATATCACGAATTTCAGATTGCGTTAACGAGGCCACGTTAACGTTATTTTTCTTTCCGTAATCGGCTAAAATTAAATCTTTTAATTGTACCTCAACCTTAATCCATTCATCATCAGAGAGAGTTGGCCAAATATGATGTGGTTCCGTAATCGTGGTTTTATCCGGTTTTAAAATAACTTTGGTTCTTTCCGTGTTAACATGAAGCGCTCTTAAAATTAAAATCAATCTTGAAAAAGCTGTGTAAGACGAAATCGTTTTTAACCAATCATCGTATAAGTTGAATAAAACCATTTGAGGTTCGGTCGCTTTTAAAATGAGATCGCCGAACTTTTCAACTTTTAAACAAGCTTGAAAGGGAAGTTGTAATTCGGAACCTTTAATTACGATGTTTGGAAAATCTAATAAATGTACTTCTAAGGGATCTAACATTCCCTTTCGGGTTACGATGATTTGTTTTGGTTGTTCCTCAACGGGGAGTGAGCGAATTAAGGCGGCTACTTCCTCCGCCGTTTTCCATTTGGCTAATTGCCCCAAACGTTTTTGTCCCGCCCAAACTGAGGTGTGAATTATTTTTAAGAATAATTGTCCGGTTCGAGGGTTAAAAATGAAAATAGCTCCGTTAATCGGTTTAGTTGTTAAATTTCCTTCGAAAGTTTTATGAATCGTAACGCGATAAACATTTGTGTCATCGACAAACCAAATTATTTGATTTGAAAATAATTCTCCGTAATTTTGACTTGATAAATAAGGTTCTGTGGGTTCACTTGAATACAATTGTAAAGCTTTTCGAATTCTTTCCCGTAAAACATACAAGGCGGGGTTAGCTTTCATTATTTTAGCCATCGCTTGTTGAATTAATGGTTTACACCCAGGGAACCAATTTCCATAAGCACTATGTAAGTTATAAGCGAGATCAATCGCGATTAATACGCCTGTGGGTGAAGGATAAATCGACATATTATCAGTTGTGTAGTCTAAAAATTTGGCTCGAGCGTATCTCTCAACATCGTGTGAATCGTAATCACCCCAACGTAATTGGACATCAATCCAATATTTTTGGGTTGTTGTATTATCCATTGTATCCTTCGTATCCGCTAATAAAGATGGGCGAGAAACGTTCCATTTATACGCAGAAAATAGTAAAATATCAGCACAAGATGAATTCATTTTATACGATTTCCTCGGATGGATTGTTTCTTTTTGAACCGTTTCGATTTCTAAAGCATCTAATTCCTGATCGAAAACTTGGCACAAATCCATTACGATCGATTCGTGCACTTTTTGCCATAAATGAGCCCGGAAAATTTGAATCAAAGATATTTTTAATGTTGGTATTTTTCCGTGCATAAAAATCCCCGTTAAATCTAATTGTACTTGAAAACCAACATAAACGTTCGCCCGATTAATCGTTGGGGACCACCACAAAGTGAACCGACGATTCGGAATTTGATTCAACCCACTTCTTTGGGCGTTTGTTAATTTTTTGTACTTCATCGATTCTTCAAATCCGGAAGCTTTCTCCCAAAACAAACCCTCCCACGTTGGGAAATAAGTCCCTTTAAACAAAGTGTGTTCTAGAATCCCTTCGACCCCGCCTAAAGCTTGAATCATATCGGTACGATAATTATTTAAATTCCACAATTTTCCATCATGTCTTTGATGCGTCCACCAAAAAGGATTTTGTTTCAAAACTTGATATTGTTTAAATTCAGTTCGAATCCTCCAACCTTTATCGTAAGCTAAAGTGTGCCGATCCTTTTGAAATAATGTGTTTATTCTTGGAATTCCCCGATCCCAAGAATCTTCTAGGTCCTCCAAAGTTAATCGACGATTCTGAGCGTTTGCTTCTTGCCTTTTTAAAGCGTACTCGGCCCAAACTCTTTGTGAATCAATAAACTCGGATTCCCAAGGTTGAATGTAACGGTATAAATTAGGAATTAATTGATCCTCATCGTGACTCATCCCCGAACGGAAATGGGTTATCCCCACATCCGTTTGTTTCGACCATCTCAAATCCGATTGAGGGATCAAAACGTGTCCCATACTTAACATTCCCAACCCCCCTAATTCTTTGGGGGTGTAAAACACAACCGGGGGGAATCGACTTGGCATTTTTGAATTTAACCCGATTTTAATGCGAGTTTGAATTTTATTTTCGCACTTCACCAGTAAATCTAATAACTCTTGAGTGTTAACTACAGCCTCTCGGAAATAAGTCATCAATCCGATTAACGCGGTGTTCCATTTATTTACGATTTTCGTGAAAGTCGTTGAACCGGACGCCATTAAAATTTGACGAACCCGATTATGAAAACGGCTCATCGATTCATCATCCACTCTTAAAAAGCATTGAGCTGTTCTTTCTTTGCTACCTTCGTGTTGTAAATTCCAAACTCCGTCTCGATGGGTAAACTCTTCGTGTTGAGTTCGACATTTCGGTAATATGCGACATTCAAAACCGCACATATTAAATAATAAATTAGGGTTATCTTTTGAGTAGACGCTAACGAAGCTATTTTCCCATTGGATTGTTGTTACTGACCGTGGTAAACGATTTTTGATGTCCCAAAATACAGCCCTCCCTAAATTAACGTCGTGTTTCATTAATCTCATTCGAGCATCCCTCGGCCAACACTTTTTATTATTGTAGCCAACTATATTCTCGTTGTTCGGATCTGGATGTTCTGTTAAATATCTTTGAATTAATTCTCGAGCTTCGTCGGCGCTAAATCGGAAAAACATGTGTATTCGGTCAACGTATCTGCAATACAATCGAATTGGATGACACGTTTCTGTTGGAATATCTTGATAAGTTAAGAAATCATTGGGCATTTGGGGTGGTCCAGCCATTTCGCTGGCTCTTTGTAACCCCAAAACTAATAAATCGAGAACTAATCCGTAATATTGGGTAATAAATGAGCCAAATTGTAACCCTCTAATAATTCCGTAACTGTTCGTATGGTTCATATCTTTATAATTAATAACAACGTTATTTTTCGCTGTCATATAATCAGCAATGTTGTGATCAACGATTAATCTTAACAATCGATTCAAAAGGGTTAAATCGATTTTTTCGTATAATTTTTCAAATTTCGATTCCAATAAAACATTACATTCACCTTCGGAAACATCCCAAACATCTTGTAAATTATTAATTCCTTGACACCATTTATAAACTAATAACGGTGGGGGTTCCGTGTCTGCGGGTTTAACCCACGGCGGAAATAAACGTCTCTTGTCAGCTTCGTACCACAAATATTGATCTAAATAAGCATCGGTAATTTTTTCCAACGGTTCGACGTCATAAACAGGAATTAAGTGACTGTATAAATCCATAAACTCAATTCCAACTTCCTTAAAAGCTCTTTGTGTCAAAAGATGGCGCTTAATTCTTGATAAAGCCTCGTGAGGGTTATCATAAGCTTGCTCAATTAATCCCAACTCTTCACGTTGACTTTGATTTAGGCGAGATTTTACGCTGTATGCTTCTTTTAAACGTTCCAATGCCAAAATGAGTAGTTTTGTATCGTGTTTATATGAAAGTGGGGGGAAAGGAATAGGAGCGAATCGACGAGACTCTAACCAATGTACGGTTGTTGTGTATATAGCTACAGCTTCTTCTGGGGAAATATATGGGCCATCCTACAAAATAAAAAAAATATATATTAAAAATTATTTTTAAAAATTATATAGGGTGATTCACATAAGAACCGACACAAAGCAGGGACATATAGAGGACATTAAATTAAGATAATTTAAGTTGAACCCCTGAGGAATTATAGGCCTTCAAAGTTGGGTATTAAATGTTTAAAACATTCAATATCTTTGTGATACAATAAGCTAGAAAAACCAAATTTGGTATATGTTATGAGCATAGAAACCATTCACAGGAATTAGTATCTGTTTTAGGTTTTGGACACTGCAGATAATAATCAAGTTCAACCCCAATAGAACTTTTTTCATTGAAAGAACTTTATTTATATCAGGTTTGTCATTAGCAACCTCATTGTAACAATCCCAATACAATATATAAAATCTCTTATTGCAGTTTCGTGTACTTTTCATCTCTTCGTTTTGAAAGATCACTTTCAGTTCTTGAGAAATAAATTTTTGAAGTGATCGACAATTTTTTCGAATTTTGCAATTTTCGACGAATAAATTCTAATAATTCGCTTAAAATCGATTTCTCGGAATATGAATGTGAAAATTTCCCAAAATATTAATAAAAGTATGCTCTTTCCAATGAACCAACACTATTTGAAAAATAACTTTTAGTTTTTAAGAAAACAATATGTGATGTTTTGATAAAATTTTCATCAACATCTTTCAAAATTCGCTATAAAATTAATTTCTTGTAGGATCCTTGTGGAAATATCACCAATTATTAATTATAGTACCCTCAGGGGAACAACTTAGTATAGAGATAAATTTCGTTAAATCATCTTAATTTATTGCACTCTACATGTCCCTGCCCTGCTCTGTGTCGGTTCTTATGTGAATCACCCTGTATATTTTGCCTTTTAATAATATATTATAGTTAATCAGATGCGCGTTATCCAACTATTCTACGATTCATCTAAAACGAATCAATAAAATAGTTGCCAATAAACATTTAAATTGGCTTTCAGGACCCCTGCGCGTTTCATCATTTTAACTATTAATTCAATACTTATAAAAAGATACTCAAAATTATTTACTTTTAAATAATTATGTTGTCTTTCTTGTTCAGCTTTTAAATAAAGCCTGGTTAACCGCCCAAGATTCTTCTTACAAACCGTCTTATCGACAGTTGCACCCCTTCGAATCCTCTCCCTATTATAATGTGCTGTATTCGTCCACCAATCAGCTTTCATTTTAACATAGCGCAAAATCATATTTTCTATCGGTATTGGTAATCCGGGTACTTTCCACGGAATATTCGCCTTCCAGCATCTCCACGCTTCTGAAAGATGTTGTAAAATCGTCCTTGCTTTATTTTGTTTGATGCCTTCAGGCATCATATCGACGATGTCGTGCATAACTGAAGCGCGCAATTCTAAATCGAAATGGGATTCAACGCGTTGTTTTGTAACCGTTTTTGCGACTCCTTTAGAATGGCGACCTTCGAATTGTCTCGAAAGAAGGTTTCCAAGCCAGCGTTCCAATAAAGGGGTGATACCGCGCATGAAAAATAACCAAACTCTCCAACCAGGTGCCCAAAATCCACAACCTGGACCTTTACCAACAGGACCCTAAAATAAAATTATTTTAATACTTACTTAATTAGACGTATTTTAACATACCGTATTAAATCTATAATAAATTAAATGTTTTAAATCTTTACACATCCTTATTTGCCTCATTAACTTGTATTTGTATCGATACATTCCGGTTAATTGCCCAACATGTGCAAAAATGTATTGTAAGCCATCGGAAAGTTGGAAAGCATCAACATTATTCAATCGATACTGGACATGCGAGTCAATTATTAATTTAGTTAACCTCAAAATTTCCCTGCATAAATGAAACGCGTTTCCAAAACGAGATTTTTTTCTTTCCTTCGTCGTTAAAGTTTTAACTGGCTTCAAATTAAAATTGTAATCGAGATGCAGATAATTTAAATTTTTTCGATGTATCAATAAGTTTAACATATTATATCCTTGTCGACAAACTTGCAAACCGGCTTCAACCCAATCTAGTGTAGTCGTTTGGAAAAATTTAGTCGCTTTAAACGACCTAAATAAGTATCGTTTCTTTTGTGCTTTTGGTGGACGGTGTTTCAATGCGTTCAAAACAAAATATTTCAATAATTTTTGATAACTAACACGAACTTTAACAGGTTGACCTGGAGGACAATGTTCTTGATACCAACATTTCACCAGTGGGATATCAATGGCTCTTCTACATCGACCTGATCGCAAATTAAAAGGCCTTGGGGCCCATAATAAAGATATTCCGTTTGCGGTGTTATCGGTATATAAGGGAGTTTCTTGTAAGAAAGGTTGTACATGCTCTGGAAGGAGATATTCTTCATCATCTTCTGGGAGAGGTTCGAGACTTTTCACGGCGTGTCTATGCGATATTGGGTTTATTAATGGATCGAAATAAAAAGCAGGTAAGTCTGGATCTTCAGTTTTTATAAAAACGACATTTGGAGCATGATACCTAGACAAAAAAAATGATAATTAATTTCAAATCTGTTTAAATTAAGGTAAGTTTTTAGTTTAAAATTAAATGTTCATGACTTTCAACCCATTTCTATCTTTTAATCTACACAATAGAAAGTAATATCAAATCACTGTGTAATAGTATATCACACTGCTAGTATATCATTACAAATTCATTTATAGTAATGAAACAAAACTAGTGTGAAATTTAATAAAAATTCATCATCATCATCATTAATTCTTACCATGATAAGTGCACAAAATGAGGCATATTATTGTATAGATAAGGAAAAGCAATTCGATACTCAGTACGAATTGGTTGTCTTATAATAATTTTATGAATATCGTTAAATTCATTCCAATCTTCATCCCTGCAAAACAAAATTATAATAAACTTTTCCCAGAAAATAACTCAACATACCCTGGGTTCATATCCTTGATGAGGGGTTCAAATTTAGGACCACCAGGAATAGCCATATTCAAAGCTTTAGCAGTAAAAAAACTTTTTGTATCAAATAAATAAAAATAATTCGAATCAACTAAATCAGTTAATAATTGGTTAGCTAATCTATATAAAGTAGCCATCATGGGTAAAGTTAAATTCCATTTTCTATATGTAGGCCCATTTACATATCTTAAAAAAAGGATTTAAGTAATTAAAAAAAAATAAATAAAAATTAAATTTTTTTTTTACTTAGTTCCTACTAAAGGTTTATGATCGTAAAACCATTTAGCAACGGCAGCATCTTCTTCTGCATCTAATTCTATTTGAATTGCCTCTAAAGGTTCAACATCCAATACATTATCAGCATAATCTAATGGCGGCTCTTCATCATCAAATGGAGGAAATCTCATACGTTTAAAATGGCGGCGATCGCGTTTTTCACGACGCATCATGATCCAAATTGTGCCCCATTGAGCTATATAAACCGGTTCAATCACCCACGGAATCTCATTTACAAATGTAATAGCCCCTGTGATATGATACAAAACTTTAACATCACGAATTTGTTCCCATGGCATGGGCATGTTTTCCAAAAGTTTCATTACGGCATGAGGCATGTATTTTAAAGCACCCAAATAAACACGTTTATCATGGCGGTATTTTCGACTGCTCATATCACCGTGATCTCGAATGATTTTACGGATATGCTCAGGGGGCATATCTTCTTTTTGCGCATCGACAAAACCTAGTTTGCGTTTATCAGCAAAACGTTTTGATTGCAATTGATGCCATTTTTGGGCTTTTTCTTGAAGTTTATCTTCCGTCATTACATCGGATTTCGGATGCGGAGGGGGCATTTGTTGTTGAAGCGCGTGGGCATGGGCTTGTGCCGCGGCTACTTGCGCTTGAGCGTGTGCCGCGGCCAGATGTTGTTGGGCCATCATTGTGGCCCATGGGTTAGGCCCCAAAATATATGGCGGCAAAGACATATTAACTGTAAATATAACAAAAAAAAGATAGGTTAGGTAAGCGTCTTCCATTTCCATCTTATTTTCGTTTAAATAATTTATACCACAATAAAGAAAATCCGTTTAAATAATAATATAATGAAATAAAATCTTACCAAATCGCTTATTTTCTCATTTTATTCGAAATATCTAAACATAAACGACAAACGACGCTAAACGAACACGCTACGTTTTGACAGCTTTCACCAAATTTGTTATTTAATAGATTTGGTAACAGTACAATGTACATTTAATAGAACCGTCTACGAAATAAGCAAAATTATGTGTCTACCAAATACACACTAACATGAAATGTCATTTTATGTCAAATCAGCATCCTTCAAAATGACCGAGTTGATAATTTCTGCAAGAGCTTATTGTAAAATAATTTTACACGCCGCAAAATACGGTCATTGTTCTATTAACGGTGTTTTACTTGCGAAACCTACCAAAGGAAAAGATGTAGAGTTTGTCGACGCAATTCCACTTTTTCACGTAGCACTTAACCTCACTCCAATGGCGGAAATTGCTTTAACTGAGGTAAATAAGAAATGTTAAATAAAAAAAGTATTTAAATGTTATTTATTACCTTTAGATCGATCAATATGCCAATCAATTAGGTTTGGTGATCGCTGGTTATTACACAGCACATGAGAATCTTAAAGAATGTTCAATCGAAAAAGCCAATCATAAAATAGCTGAAAAAGTGGCAGAAAATTTTCCGTCAGCTTGTATGGTTATTGTGGAGAATCATAAATTAAATTTGAAAGGGGATAATGCTGCAATTAAAGTCGCTCAGTATTCAGATGGGAAATATAGACAAGTTGATGTGAATAAAGTTTCTTTAGCCCCGAAAGATACTCTTGGATGTTGTTCACAATTGTTAAAAGAACGTGCATATTCGCATTTAATTGATTTTGATAATCATTTAGATGATATTACTGAAGATTGGAAAAATGAATATTTAAATGATAACATTGATAGATTAATTTAATTTATTTATTTTTTTTTTTAAGTGCAAATGTATTTTGTATTAATTATTTTATAAAGATATTTAATTTTTGGGTATTAAAAAATACACAAACATAGAAAATACTTTGCTTTTTTTATTTGGGATGAATAAACATATTACATTCTTCAACGTTTTTAATAAACTATTATTATTTCAAGCAACAACTTATTAATTAATGATTAAAAAATAACATTATCTTTATTTCATTTAATTTTTTGTACATTTTTCAGTATTAATTAAATGTAAAACAGATTTTTTTAAAAATATTGTCGAAAAGCTAGAAGACATTTATAGTTAGCTTTTTTACTAATAGTTGTGCTTAAATGTTGTGCCTAAAACTATGCAGCTAAATAACGATGAAATAAAGGCCCATCTTTGGTCCAATATTAACAACTATGCCCCTTTTTTTAACAATTCGTAAAATTATTACATATAAACGTTAAATCAATGTTATTGAGGCAAATATTATTGCTTGCTAACGCTATTATTAAAACACTTTATTAATAGCTATAAAATATATTAAAAAAAAACGTCTTATATACACAGAGCAATGGAAAAATATGGTTCTTGGTATTGAAACTAATCGATTTTCTTGTATTTTTCATATTCTGATTCAAGGTACTGTGCTGAGATCCTTAAAAATGTATTTAAAATAATTATTTTCGAAATGATTGCTTTTTTTTAAATAGAATATTCTAAAACGTTTTCGTTAACTTTCTTTCGTTCTTAATAAACAGCCTACATTCTTACAACCTTAGTTTCAAACGTTTTCATTTTTCTTATTTAAATTAAAACGCTGTTTTAATTATTAAAAACGTGTTTTTCTTTTGGTATCACAGAGAAATACGATGACGGAAACAACATCTTTAGGAATTTCCATTCATTTTTAAAAAATTATTCAAATCGACCTAACACCAAAAAAGTAAGGTTATCTTTGAAACATCAAAGATTTTTTTGAAGTTAGATCGATTTTACTTAATAACTATAAATCATTTAAATTTTACATTTTTTGGACTTTTTCCTGCCGGGAATTGACAAATACGGATAATATGTTAGTGTTTCTTAACATTCTTTTTTTTAATTGGGTGGATGGAATGATGGTTTCTTTTAAAACTTGAAAACAATTTTTTTAAATTTAAGCTACCCCTACAAACTAGAGCAGCCACTATGAGTTAACATCTTCTTGTATAGACAATTGAGTGGAGTTTTTTCGGGGGGAACGTCCTCTTCTTCTCGGTGAAACTGGCGGTGTTGACGCAGGTGTAACGGGGGCTGTTAAAGTACCACTTGAACATGATAAATCCAAACGAGAACCAGCTCGTGATGGAGGAGCGGAACCTAAGAGCCAAATATTATATTAATTTACAGAAACCCATTTTAAAAATGTACCTCCATAACTTCTTAACCCCGCCGGACCAGATTTTGGCCTAACATTAGTTGAACTAGGACTCCTTTTAATTTCTGTTTGCCCTTTACTACTTCTTCGTGAACTCCTCCTACCGGAATCTGGAGTTCGGCAAACTCCCGTAGGACATCGTTCACCCATAGAACATCTTCCTTCGCATATCGTTCGCGTTGATAATAATTGTTCGTAATTATTTAAGCTGAGCATACATTGTTCTCGATCAATTTGTACCAAAGCCAAACTTGGATAACGTTCCTTTAATCGTCTCCTCTCTTCGTGCAATTTTAAATCTTCAAATTCCTGTAATTGTTTTTGGAAGCCCAAGTTTGGGTTAGCCACCGTCCTTCCCGCTCTAACAACTTTTAACGCCTCCTTCCAATTTAAATTGGTTACGGACATTATGTAGGCTACAGTTACTGTGACGCTCCGAGACATCCCTGCGAGGCAATGAATTAAGACGTTTCCCTCCCTTAAACGGGCGGCATGAATGAAATCGTTACAAAGTGAGAAATATTGCGTTAAGTTTTGGTCGGGCGAATCTGATGCCATCACACAAAGATAATGTTTATCCTAAAAATGAAATAATGTAGACTTTAAAAACTTTTCGAATGATAAAATTTTACTTACAGAATGAATCTTTTTGGCTGTGTCATGGATGGCAACGATATGTGTTATGTTATATTTGTCTAGTTGAGCAGAATCTTTGGAATCTCTATAATTGCCTACATAGAGACCTGGCAAAACCTAAAAAAATTTCTTATAATTTATAATTGATAATCTTATATATTTTAAATTGCGTTTATAACGCCATCTTTTGACATTTCATAATATACAACAAAATAACTGTCAAAGTGCTGTCAAATTTAATTAAAGTGAATTTTAAAGTATTGAATTTAAATTATTTGAAAAAAAACGCCTTTTTGAGTGAATATAAATATGACAACATAGAATTAAGGTCGTATTATGGAAAATTTCCATATAAACAACTTTGAAAAATGTTAGCGTGACCTTAAAAAAAACTTGCAAAGTAAGTACATTTTTATTGAATAATAAGTTTTTTTTGCATTTCTAGTAAATTAACCGTATCAACGATAAAAATAAATCATTTGCATATGGTAATTTAATGGCGTTGCTTGGTTGAAAGTGATTTTTGCTTTTTTTCTTTTAGGTTAAAATAAAGTTTTCTTTTACGATATAATAAAAATGATATAGGCGAAGTTATTGTTGAAGTAGTCGAGGGTGGGATATAAAATCAATATTATAACAAAGAACCTAATGAGGTGAAAAACTCTTCAAACTATTTCAAGGCGTGGTATCGAATAGAAATTGAAAAAATATAACCTAATAAAGATTATAATTTTAGAATTAATCTTTTGAAATAAAAATTAATGTGAGAAAATGCATCCGGTTCAATCATTTTTATGATTGATTGCCATAAAACATGCAAAATATCTATTTTTAGACAACTTTATACATTTACTTGTTTATTGAGTTGCCTATATAAAAATAAATTAACCTCAAAAGTACTTACAAAAGAAATCCCAAAGTTTAAAAGCTCTTTTTTGTACTCTCTAATTCCATCTCCGATAACACAACAAAACATTTTCTTACAATTATCGTTTGCTCCCGCGACTATAAACCACCTCGCAGTACAAGAACTGCAAAGTAACTAAGTTTTAGCTCGTTTTCTTCAAACTAAAAGAACTTTTAAATCAACGATAAATTCGCGTTCGTATCAGTACGAAATCGGCGTTGACACAGTTGCTATAGTCACTAACGTTAGTGTAGTATGGAGTTTTATTATTAAATCTGATTAAATCGCCGTCCTCGAGGCCCGAGGGGGTTAAAAAAGGCCGGCGACCCTAATCGAGGGCGAGATTGCGATTTTAATGATGAATATCATACGCACGCCATGCGAAAATTAGGGCTAGAAAAGTTATTATTTATTTACGAACCATGAAATGATGAGGTTAACTGATAAATGTTAAAAGGTTTAATTTAAATTTTTTAACGTCAATTTTGCATTAAAAAGATGTCATTTTGACATTATCTTTATTTTTAGGTTAAGTTTTTTAACCTTAACATCAAATTTTTAAATTTAAACTTAATAAAATATTTACTTATTTTATCAATAAGGAAAGTTTGTTTTAACGTGAAATTTACTTATCATGGTTTGTAATCTTAATCTATCAGATTACTCATTTTCCTGAAATTTCTGCATTAATAAATTTCATGTTTAAAGCAAAGATTATTATCAAAGGTTATTAATTATTCTGAAAAAAATTATTTGGCACGTGTGTATCTAAAATTCGTGCACGAAACGGCGAAACTTAGTTGCACTTTTGGTACACATTTAAATTTCAAATTTAATTCGTACGAAAATAATTTCTTACAAAATAGGGGTTATCGATGGATTTTCAAATCGGGTCATTTGATTGAAATGGATTTCAATTCAATTTGAACCGGGATTCAATTGACTTCACTTCAGTTAAAAAGCGATAAAGAAAATAAAATATTAAACCCGGATTGCTTCTTTAATTTGAATATAAAAAATGTCATTTATTCTATTATTAATGAGGACTTTATTTTATTCTTTTAGTTACCTTGTTCATGCCATTCCCCATGGCAGGCGGGAGAACGCGTCTTCTCTACAAGGATCACATGTCTCCCTATTTCGGAGGTCAGGAACACACTCCAACAGAGGTCTAGTTCTGTGGCACCTCTGTGTCTGGTCTGGATGGGTCGATATATGGGAATTTCGGGTGCTGCGCTGTAGCGAGACCCAGTAAAAGAATGGAAATTAACATTTCTTTTAGTACACCTATCATAAACCTAAAAAAATTTGAAAAATCCTTCCAAAATAAACTGAAACTTCCTGTTTAAAGGATGATGTAAATGGATGATGAATTGTAATGTGTAGGGTGAATAATAACAGTGTAAAGAAAAAAGGAAAGTTTATTATGTGTTTTAAAAGAAAAATAATCCTACATTGTATAATTAAGAAAGTTAAAAAATATATCTCAAATTTTAACCAAGTTTTAACAGCGCCATCTAACAATGGCCATTTCTACTATAAATTTAAAACTGAATAATGTTAGTAGCAACTCATATTAGAAATTAGAGGTAATTATTATATATATTATTTTATAATTGTCATTATAGAGGAAAATATAATTCTAATTAAGCTAATGTTAATACAAATAAAAACCTAGACATGATTAGATATAACCTAAAAATTATTTTGACGTTAGAACTGACAAATATAAAATGTCAATATTGATAGGTATGATTTTAATGAATTTAAAAGGTAATAAATGTAATCTATAAAGACTTTAATCTATTCAATTATCTAATCAAATTCCTTATAAATTATTCCTCATACCATTAAATCATTATGAAAACTAATTAAATCAGAATTTATTTTAAAAGTCATGATTTAATGATAGAAAAGTAACAAAAAATGACGTAATTATTCATGAGTCGGCCCGAAATCGAATAGTTTGGTGTCCCAATTTGTGTGATTTGTTTTAGTGACGATGAATCACCGTGTTGATTGATGAATACAAATTAAAATGAATGAAAATAAATGTTGTTTCAGATTTTACTTTTATTGAGAATGTCACGAGTTGCTTCTTCTTGTCAACAGTGGGCCAAGGTTAGAAAAAAAAATACCAAAGAAAGAACGAAAGAAAAAAAAAGTAGGGAAGGTCACCAACTCGCTGTATCCGAACCATCTGAGTATGTACAAGTTCCATTAACGGAACTTCAAAATGTGTACCGCGTAAAACAGAACATAATGACCGTTCTCTAAACGAAGTACTCGCTAAAAGTTACTTACGACGATGTTAACTTTAATTTTTAAATGTTTTCGGTGAATTTGTTGCAAATGTCAAATTTGACGTTTAATGACTTTTTAATTATAACCTCAAAAAAGGGGTGATTCTATAATATTAAGTACGCAGTGTCCGTTATTACTCAATAAAAATATACAATAATCTAGCGGTGAATAACAAATAAAAGAAGACTAACAATAGCACTAGAACTAACACTAGACTTATTGTTAGAACTAGAAACATTCAGTTTAGCCGTACTAGTAGCGTTAGTTAGCATAAAATATCACTATGTTGCATATTTTTATTGAACTAAAACTAAAAAGCTATACTAGACTATATACTCTACTCTAGACTATATATCTCAGAACTCAAGCCTGCTATCCCAAATTTAAACAGAAAACAAATGCATGACATGCACACCATGGAATATAACGTGAGAATGCTGGTACCGATGATAACATTTGCCTCCGGATTATATAAATGTCAACATAAGGAATACATGGCCACATTGCATATATACGGTCGGTACGAAGATTCAAGAGCCGAAAAGTGTTTCATGCGGTATTTATGTCCCTTCATTAGAGATTGAAGAATACTACCGCTTGCCAGATCAATTAACTATTTTTTCTGCGGAGACTTACGCCATCTTAAAAACAGTTGCACTAACTTTGAAAAGAAAAATCCCCAAAATAATAATTATAACAAATTCCCGAAGCACACTCCAGCGTATTAAGAACCCAAACCTTAAAAACAAATTACATCCTTATATCAGTAGTGCTTTAAGTCTATTATATTTGGCGTATCAGAAAGATATTGATATCACACTGGTATTGGTAGCGGTGCATATGGGAGTGAGTGGAAATGAAAAAGCTGACGAATTGGCGAACAGGAGACACTAGGAGGAGGTTCACAGAGTAAAAATCTATGGAAAAGAATTATTTCGGCAAGATATTGATGACATAAACCATCAATGGGAACAAGAGTGGACTAGAAGCAGCTCAACTAAAGGGGTATTCGGTACGCTATGTGCTGTACAACAAATTTCATGATTCATAAAAGTTCCCTTTGTACTCATAATGCGAATGTGGTGAAGAGGCTGATCTTGACCATATTTTTTTTTTAATCAACGACAGAAACTATTTGCAGGTCTATTTAACAAACATATATATTTACCAATTAACTAGGTATCATTGCTAGCTACAGGCTCATTTGAGATAGTTTTGATGTTATTTGAATATGTTCTTTCAAACAATCCTTTCTACTTGTGTTTGTTTGAACGAAAAGTTCGGACTCCAAGACCCAACTGGATGTAAATCAGTCGTCAATCAATAACCTCAAAAACGTTTATATTATAAGTTTTTTTTAATCATTCCCCAAAACGATTGTATTAACTCAATTAATAATAATAAAATACCTATTAAATCGGAAAGTGCTAAAATTCCAAAGTTAACCGCAAATCGGGTTGGTAACGATAAGTAAAGTCAGTCATATCTATAAATAAATTTTGAGGTCATTTCTCATTAATAATAGTCATAATCGGCATTATTACAAACGATTCGATAACGAGAGAACAAATATAACACCCACTTATTACATTTTTTTCAATAGTTTCTTTAATTAATTAATTGATTTCAACACAACCAATCTCAAAATTTAATCAGATTTTGAGCGTAAATTTATTTATTTAAACCTCTATTCTCTTTATATGGAAGAAAATGTATGTAACTCTGAAAACTCGAATTAACTGATTTTCCTTATAAGGTACACGCTATTTTTTTCTTCTTCACCTTTATACATACATAAGATATTTATTTACGAACACACCGTATTTAGATAGAAACTCTCCCATGACCTCGTTTTTGAGTTCAATTTCTAAACGGAAAAAAAAATTTTAAGTGAATTTAATTTTTGAGTAACATAAATTTTATTTAATAAAAACTCAGTCAGTTTTCTTCGATAACTTTCTTATCACATCAATAAATAAGCAAGATTTCAATATTTTCTTTAATTCATACCTGGGCGATTTGACCGTTTGTCTCGTCGCGTCGTGTGGAAGGGACTAAAAAGAGAGGCGAGACTGGAAACGGCTCGCCAGTTTCAAGTGTGAGTTAGCAAGGGGAACATCGTTTACGAAAAGTTTTGGATTAAAGTGATTTTTAAGTGTCGATAAAGAATTATTACACGAAAATGGCTAATAACAGGGCGGCAAAAAGTGGATTTGCTGCAGAAGCACAAAGAAAGGTTTGTATTTAATCTAAAAGAATTGAGTAAAAGTAACAGGTGGATTCAAATGACTCGAGAAACAAACAAAACCGTTTAGTAATGTTATTCCAAAAATGATATCGATCAACAAGTTTTATTATCTTTTTTTTGGGTGGAATTTCTGACAAAGGGTGCAGCAGGCTGCGAATCTAGGTCAAAGGGGAAATCGATGATCAGGGTTTGTTTACCAACCAACTTGTTTGTCTCTTGAAATTTAATAAAAAAAAAAAACGAGTTTTTCAAAGTTTAAAAAATGCAAATTGCATTCTGCATTTTGAGTGCAGTCTAAAAGTCGAGTCAAGGTTATTGAGGGACCAAGGACCAGTCGTGCAGGTTACACGAACGAAACGGAGAGAATTCGGTCCAATGGTCACCTCTATCCTTCACATCGTCGTCCTTTACAAGATAATATTTCATTATACAATCCTGAAAAAAGATTCATTGAAGAAAAAACATTTATTTTTAATGCTTACATTTTTCTTTGTCATTAAACAGTTAGCGGATTGTGTGTAATCCTGTCGATATTGACTGTAAAAAGCTTGGTAAATAACGTTTAAGTCAACAAATTTATCTTTTCGATACGATAACCTATAAAAAATGTAACTGTCATTTTTATAAATTTGAATGACATTTATTACCAATTGTAAAAAACTTTAAAAAAATAACTACTTATTTATACATTATTCCCAAAAAGAAATACAAAGTTAAATTAGTATTCGTTTAACGAGTCGCTTCTATGGTGTCTAACCATTAAAATTCAACACTATTTGTTACGTAATTGGTCATGTTATCGACGGAAACGTTATTTTGCGGTTTCCTATTTCCTCCTTGTAAGCAAATAATTTTTATTAGCAAACAAAATTCTTATAATCTTTTACTTCTATAAAAAAGCAAACATTGATCTTATAAAAACGCGTGATGCGTTATGATAAAAGTATTTCGACTCAAAATAACGTACAGAAAAGATGATAAACTTCTTGATCTCGAGTCACTAAAGAATTTGAATTTATCTAATTGTGAGGCACGTTTCGATATCTTTCTCAATGCGGCGGTTGGCGAGGAGGAGACCCGAGTACGTGTCGAGTTTGAGTGCCATATATGGTTATGGCGTTCGGTTTTTTTTAACCGTTACCGACGATTGCGTCACCGTGACTCAACTACGGGTTTCTTCTCTTTCTCCACTTCGTCCTGCATTACTCTTTTAAGAAACCCAATAACAAACGAGTTTCTTAAACCCTAAAATACCACAAAAAACATTCCATTTTAATGACATTTTTGAATCTGTCAATTTTGACAGTTCAAATTTAATAATACCAACTGTGATTAAAAAAAATTATTAAATTTTTAACATATTTTTTTTAGATTAACGCAAAATACAGTGAAGAATTAGCACAAGAATCTTTAGAATGGGTGCGAGAAATAACCGGCGAAGATATAAATATAGCCGGCGATATGGATAGTTTCTATGAAGTTTTAAAAGACGGTACTTTACTATGTCGATTGATAAATTCAATTCAAGCGGGAACAATAAAGAAAATCAACGAATCTAAAATGGCTTTTAAATGTATGGAAAATATAAACGCGTTTTTGGAGGCGGCTAAAAATTTGGGAGTTCCAACTCAAGAAACGTTCCAAACTGTCGATTTGTGGGAGAAGCAGAATTTAAATTCCGTTGTGATTTGTCTACAGTCGTTAGGAAGAAAGGCTGGGAATTATGGAAAACCAACAATTGGGCCAAAAGAAGCTGAAAAGAACGAAAGGCACTTTTCCGAAGAAAAATTAAAAGCCGGTCAATCAATCATTGGGTTACAAATGGGAAGTAACAAAGGTGCCAATCAATCGGGGATTAATTTTGGAAATACGCGTCATATGTAAAAGATTATTTTTAAAAAATGCGTTATTGACCACTTTCCGATTTTCTAATAGGATTACTTATTTAATTTAATAAATACTCTCTCTAAAGAAAATGTAAAAAAAAGAAAATAGTCCTTTTTAATTTTAATCTGCAATTTTTCGTTATTTAAATAACGAAATAAACGCACAAAGTGCCAAGAAAGAATCATTCCGTTTTTCTACTATTAAAATATTTGGATAGTTATTTTTTATATTCATTTTTCCTCGATTTATCTGGTAACTATATGAAAATTAATTAATAAAAAAAATAGTATAGGATATTTTCGTTGCTTTATTTATTAAAACTTGAAATTTGTATTAACGCTAAAAAGTATTTAATTCTCCATTTTATCTACTTCATCTTCTACCTCCATCTATAAAAACCAATTATAAGCTAAAACTCAAATTTAACATTAACTTACATCTCCACTCCCTTTCAAATTTCTATTCTTCTTTATCTTATTTTCTTTATATTTCAAATAATTTTCAAGATTCGTGTAAGATTTCGGTTTTGTTAAAAGATACAAATCATTGATTAAAACGTCCAATTTTTCAGTTAACATATATGGTTTCAACCAACCCACTAATGGTGTTAAACCTGGCGTATAAATACTATCTTTATGATAAAAGAGGATCCCATCAACAGGAAGAGGAGTTTCATCCTCTAAATAATATTGATCAGAAAATGAAACTGAAATGTTATCTCTCGTTGCAAATTGATGTGGAATCGCCTTAAATCGCTTATTGTCAGCACCTCCTCTAAATTCTTCCTCATTAAATTTCGATTGTAAGAAATAAAATCTAAATTCCGCCTTAAAAAAATCATATATAATATTAAATCGAAAATAACATCAAATTAAAAGTTTTTTTACCGAACAATTAATTAAAGACATTGAATTCCATGCTAAAATATCTAGTACATAAAAGGTTTTATCTTGATTTCGATAAACACAATCTAATAAGGTTATTCGATGATTTGCTGTTTCTATTCCACCTCCAGGCAATGTTGTTTGGAAAGTACCTTTTAATTGATTAAGTCTATTGTAAACTTTAGTGACACCTGCTTTTGCAATTACTAAGTTCCTTACACCTTTCGGACATACTTTGTAATACCAACTTTCATCTAAATCTATCGGAATGTCCACCATCCATTCCGATAACATTAATTTAACCTTAAATTTGTTTCGACCTTTTTCTTTCAACGGAATCGTATCCGTTTGAACTTCCATGCTTTCGCCTTTTCCAAATATATCCGTGAGGTTACGTAGTTCATCCACAGCATCATTTCTTCGCCTAATAAAAACAATTTTCTTTATAAAATTAAATTTTTTGTGTGGTTATACTTTTTTAATTCCTCCAATTTTTTATTTCTTCTCGTTTCTTGATTTTCTACAACTCCGTTATATTTATATAGATTTTCATAATTTGATTTACTACTAAAAAAAAATTTTATTCATAACATAACCTCAAAGTTACTTAAATGCAATTTTACCTAGATTCGCCACTCGGATTCATATTGATTGATGACTTAAGGAATATTACGACGATTAATTGATAAATTATTTATAGACAATCACTAGTTTATAATTTATTTACATAAATAGGGAAATATTTAAACTCACAGTACACAAAATGATGTTTGACGTTTTAAAATCGTGTTGACATTTTAGTAATACCAACATTACCAACATTGATATATTCATTTGTTTACAAATTTAAAAATTAGTAAGTAATAAAATACACGAATTTATGTTAATATAATACATATTGCTTAAAATGATTTGGTATTATTAAATTATTACTTCTAAACCTATTATATTTGAATTACCAACTGTTGAAAACGAAAACTTATTTAAATATTAAATTTGAATTTATATATAAATTAGCTTTTTTTATAACTTAAAAGAAACATCATTTAAAACTTGGTTTATTACAAAAAAGAATTAATTAATAAAAGAAATACCTAAGTAAATTATCGATTTTTACCAAGTTTTTTTTGTTTGTATTACCGTTGCTATATGGTTGCTATAAACAATTACTTGTAATCATATAATAATTTGACATTTGACGTTTAATTATCATTTCTTATAAAGTTTGTTTAATTTTCAGTTTTCTAATCATATTTAATACTTTTGAAGAAAATTAAAATAATGGCAGATTTCGATTTAGATGATCCTTTAGGAGATCTACTTTCCGATGGAAGTAATGATAGTTTTTTCGACCCCAAACCCAAGAAATCTTCGAATCCGCCACCCGAAAAGAAAACGGTTAAAGATTTATTTAATTTAGATAAAAACGAACCAAAAAAATCAGAATTAAAGAAATCGGATGATTGGCTTGGATTAAGCGAACCAAAAAAACCTTTGGAACGAGTTCAAAATTCACCAACGCGATTAAAACAAACCAAAAAAATAAGCTTTGAAGATGACAATGATGATGTATTAAGCAGTTTAGGGTTGGAAAAGAAGAAGGAAGAGAAACAAATAAATTTAATGGAAAGTATTTTGGGGAAAAAAGAAGAAAAGTCGACATTAAAAGGAGATAGTTTCGGGTTTTCTTCATTGGATGCACCAAGAAGATCACGCCAACAACAACCATCGCGAAATTTGGACCCTTTAGGGTTATTATCAATTGAAAATAAATTAGAAAGTGCCAAAAAAATAGAAAAACCATCACCAAAACGCTCATTAGGTTCAATCGAAGGAACTAGTTCGACTGAAATTTTATTTCCAGTTCAGAAACAAAGAGATTTAAAAACTAAAAGTGCTCCGAATATCAGCGAACTCCCAAACTGGTTGGAAAACAAAGAAAAAGAACCAATAAAAAGCCATAAATCCGATAGCGTATTAATTCAAAGTAATAATAAAGAAACAGAAATAGAAGTGGATAAGAAGCATGAAGAAATAAAAGATTCAAAGCCAACAACACCCCTACAGAAATCAAATTTAGATTTTAATCAAGAAAATAATCCTTTTTATCCTCAATTTGAATATCAAACCGCAGCTATTACAATGAAACAACAAGAATCACAAATTTTAATGGCCTTACAAATAAAAAAATATGATGAGAATTTGGTTCAACTCCAACGGAAACAACAAGAATTATTAAATAAACAAGAACAACAATTTAATGATTTACTAGAAAAGCAATATATTAAACAACAAATTATTGAAAATAATTTAAAATTGCAACAAGAAAAAATCAATAATCATATACAAACAATGTTGTCACAACCATTCAAGCATGATTTTCGGGGAGAAAATGAAGTTGATAATACAAAAAAGAATGAGGAAGAAACGAAAAACGAGCAAATTAACGAAATTGTGAAATCAATAAAAGATAGGTCAAGAGAAGAAATGTTTTTGTTGGAAGAATCTTACAAGTAAGAATAAATTTTTTATTTATTTATTTTTTATTAAAATAAATTTTAGAAAACAAATTTCAACTTTAGAGCAAACGATGGACTCAATAGAAAATCGTTTAAAATCGGAAATAACAAATCTAAATGAAGCTCACCAAAGGAAATGTGAAGAGTTAAATAATGAACACGAATCTGAATTAAAACGCTATAAAGGAAAACTCGAGGAAATTGTTCAGATTCATAATGAAGAAATTAAAAATTTAAGAGACAATCATAACAGAATTATCGAAGAAATTAAATATGAATATCAAACAATGATCGATAATATTAAGCAAAACAAACAAACGGAACAGATCTTATTCCAAAACGCTTCCGATTACTCCGAAAAATTGAATAATAATATTAAGTTGTTAAATAGTACTTCCACAGTTTTATTCGAGGTTAAAAACAAAGTCGATAACGATTTTAATGTGGTTAATCAAGCGAAGGAGGAAACATTAAAAGCTAAAGAAAAAGAAATTGAACGTAAGTAATGTATTTAAGAAATAAATTAAATAAAAGTCGCAAAAATATTAAAATAAATAAATTTAGAGTATTTTGACATTTTATAGTTACGCCATCTATGAGAGAATCGATACACTATAAACGGTTTTAATTTAAAATATAATAAAAGAATTTTAAATTTAATTATATTTGAGTTAATTAAGATTTCAACATCCTTTGTTAATTTTCATGTTAAAATTAACATGAAATTTAGAATATGTCTTAAAAGAGAAATTTTGATTTTGACTATTATTTGAGGTTAATGTCAAATTAAAATGCTTACCGCAGTTTTGTGTTGTAACGTACATTTTAAACGACTTCTTAACAAATATTTACAATAACATTCCGTCATTTACTTGTAAATATCCGTTTTTACTATTTATATTGATAAATAAAATAAATAATGTAGAATTCTCAAATATACAACTTGACAAGGATTTTTTGACATTTATGATCATACCAACTGCTGATAAGAAAAAATAAGATTTAATTTAAAATAAATTTAATTTGTTTCTTTTAAAAAAAGAAAATTTCTTTAATTTTGTATGTTGTTAACCGACAATTAAAGATCGTTTGATTTTGTATATTAAATCAACTGGTATGTTTATTTCAGACATAACTTCAAAATTTGTCTTAACGGAATAAATAAAATAAAAACTTAATAAATTGAGAAGCAATCACATTAGTTTCATTTTAATTTAATTACTTTGAAATGAATTTAATTAATATAATACTTTCTCATATTTTTTTAGTGATGAAGGAAGCTTTAGAAAAATCACGTGAATCAACTGAATTGGAAAGATCTCAGTTATTAGCATTAATACGTAACTTAGAAATAAAAATAGCTGAACAAAGTCAAAATGAACGTGAAGAACGTTGGGCTTTACAACAAGCCACAGCAATTTTCACAGCAAGATCAAAAGCTTTAGATCGAGAAACTGAATATAATCGAACTGCATTAGAACGTGAACGTGAAGAAATAAAAACATTGAAAGACACCTTATTGGGTGAACAAGAAAAATTAATTTTACAATTAACGGAAGAACGTTTAGCTTTAGCAACGGAAAGAAAGCGATTTGAAACTCAATCGAAATTAAGTCAAAATTATGATTCGCAAAAAGGTAAAGCGGAGTTAGAGGCTGCTATTCAAGTTGCGAAAGAAGCGGCTGAAATGACTGATAGGGAGCGAGATGTTTTGTATAAACAACAAGCTGAATTGGAAAGTTTAAAACGGGTTGTGATTGACCGCGAGAAAAAAGTTTCGTTTAAAGAAAAAGATTTGGAAGGAAAAATTAAGGAGACACTTCGAAAATCAATTGAAGGTGAAAAAGCGATTGAGGATGCCAAGACTTTGGAGAGAAACGTTAATAATCGCATGAGAGAAATTCAAATGCAATTGAACGCTTTAGCGGGGCGAGAAAAAAAATTAGCCGATGAAAAAATCGCTATGTCCAAGGAAAGGTTGAAGTTAAATAATGAATTATCAAGAGTGAAAAAGTGTAGTTTGTGTTCAGCTGGTGAACTTGGAGGGAGATTTCAAGAAAATGATGAAAATTCTGAGGTGGAACAAGATTTTCCACAGTTTACCACAGCCAGTGATCCTGATTTATTAAGATTAAGAATGAAATATACTGATGGGGAGAATTTTAATAAAAATTTATTTCAAGATTTTAATTCAACATAAAAAATTCTTTAATTTTAATCTAAGTATGTTTTAATATTATTTGTTGTTTGATGGTAGTACATACATACATTTTTACCAGGAATTTCATGTAACTCGGTTTCACAAATTATATTGACATGTTGCATTTAAGTGGAACAAAGGAAGTAGGTACGCCCCAGTTTCTATGGAAATATATTTTTGTATATTACTGTATTGAAAGTGAAATTCACTGTATTAATCATAAATACTTCTAATTTGATTTGACGCCAAAATTAAGACGTCATTTTGACATTAAAATGTCAAAAAATATTTAAGGTTATTATTTGTAAATTAAAATTTAAAGTTTAAAAAAAAAATTTGCAAAGTTCATCGAAACCTTTTCAGATGTAACCGTAAAATAACTGTATCTTTACCAGTTCTTGGTGGTAACCTTTCCTCTTCGAACAGATTCGTTCACCTTTTCCCGTTTATTCTTCATTCCAAGTTTATTCCCCAACGAACGAAGATGTTGAATCATCGTTACGTTCCGTTGATAATTTTTTTCTTCGTTACAAAATCATCAGTAACTTTTCCTTTAACAAATTCCGAATTAACGGATGCTAATAATACGATAGCTGAGGATTATATTATCATTGATCAACGACAAAATGGTACAGATAACGTACGAGTGAATATCGATGGGGTTATTATCGCTTTGACCCCGATTGAGGGATTATTTGGAGGTGGGTTAGAGGATTTAGATTTTTTGGATGAATTTGATATCACAACAAAAGCTTCTGTTGGAGGTGGAATTACGAGTACAGAGAAAGGGGATGGTACTACCAAAAAGAAATTGAAACGGTAAAAATTAATTTATAATGTAACTTTTCAAAAATGAGTTATTTTTTTAGGAGAAGAAATGGAATGTCTCAGTTAATGAGAACACTTTTTGGGCATAGAAGAATAACTTCTAAAGATAATTAAATAAAGATAACTTTATTAAGATTATTTAATGTATTTATTTTTTTTATAATAAACTCATTGTTTGGTTTGGTTTTTGTAAAAACTTTTAAAACTTAACTCATTATTGATTTATATTCTTTTTGATGTTCTAACATTTTTAAAAACACCTGGTACTTTTTACGGTGATAATCTTGAGTATTAACATCCGGACATACAACATCTCCTTTCCCAGCCATTGAATGTATTGCAGCTTCAATATTTTCGAAGAAATTAGCAGCACAAGCTCCTAATATAGCTGCACCCAATAATACAGGTTCTTCTTCATGCGGTACTATCACTGGCAAAGATAATACGTCCGATTGGAGTTGGACGTATAATTTATTTTTACTTAAACCACCACAAATTGTAACCGCTTCGATATGATGACCAGATTTTTCTAGTTCCGATAAGATATGTTTAGTTCCGTACTAAAATTGTTGAGATGAATTTTTAATAATGTTTTAAATAAAGTTTTACTTACTGCTAAAGACTGAAGCGTGGCTAAATAAGTGATTGCCAAATCTTCTTCATCTACTCCTAATTGCAACCCAGAAATCTATTTTATAAATAATTATTTTATAATTTTGACGTTTAAATGTCAAAATAAATTTTTAGGTTATATCAAAATTAAAATAAAATTTATTAATTTTTACCATTCCTTTAAGTGTTGAGTCAGCAATTGGTGATCGATTTCCATGAAAATCTGGCCAAACATGAAAATCTTTGGTTAAAAAACAACTTGAAGGAAGATTTTTTCGCTCAGCAATTTCTTCAATAAAATCATTAAGAACTTGTTGTATGATTTTATTTGGATGTTTCTTTTTTAAATCTAATGTAGCTGGATGAGTATTGATTATGTGATCAATAAGTTTCCCCGTAGCACTTTGCCCACCTTCGTTTAACCACATTCCGGGTATCATGGCACTATAATATGGGCCCCAAACGCCATTAACAAAAATTGGATTTTCAGAAACAATCATATGACAAGTTGATGTGCCGCAAATTAAACCTAATCTGATACTAAATTTATTTGCTACACAATCAACAAAACTGCCTATAATTCCAAGTCCACCAGCATGAGCATCAATTGCTGATACCCCAACCGGGGTTTGATGATTTAAACCTGTTTCTAGAGCTGTTTTTTGATTCAAACCCAATTCAATTGGAGATCCTGGAGGTAAAACGGAAGTACCAATTTTTGTTTGATCTTCGAGGAGATCTTCTAATCCAATTTGGTGAAAATATTGTTTATTCCATCCTTTAATTTCTAATGAACTAGCTTCGTACGTCCATTTACACACTAAAGAGCATAAAGATCTTATTTCACTTCCGGTAGCTTTAAATGTTAGAAAATCTGGGAGATCGAAGAAATAACCGGCTTTATCCCAACAAGTTTCTTTCATATTTCTTTTTAACCACATCAATTTTGGAGTTTGCATTTCTAAGGAAATCTTTCCCCCAACATATTTCAAAACCGGATGATTCAACTCGTTGATTTCCTCTGCCTCTTTGTGTGCTCGATGATCTAACCAAAGTATTACATTTTGATTCTTATTACCAGTTGTGCTTACACTTAGCGGTTTTTTCTGTTTATCAAGGACAACTAAAGAACATGTTGCATCAAATCCTATACCACGAATATTTTCACTTTCAATTCCCTCACTAACTTCCTAAAAAATATGTATTTAGTGTGTATTTGGTTGCCTATATTAATATTTTGGGAATGTTGCTTTTAATTTTATGCTTCTTTTTTTATAATAATATACGTTTAGTATCATAATAAAAAGATAAACGTAAAAATTAATTCAGTTAGTCGTTTTTGTAAGTAATATCGGTTTTAATTTTTGCGATTTGCTTACTTTGATGCAGTGAAGACAAGCGGCCCATATTTCTTCTGAAGATTGCTCATAATGGTCGGGAATTGGATTAAAACTGTTTATATCCTTTTTAGCAATTTTAACCGAATTACCTGTTGAAGTAAATAGACCAACTCGTACGCTACCCGTGCCAACATCAACACCTATAAAGTAACTTTCCGGCATGTTAAATGTTTAACGCAAAGATGAAAGGCACAAAATGAATAAATACAAGATGATAAGTGACCTCGAAATAACCTTATGACAATCTATGACCTACATTAAAGTCATGTGGAATTTTAAAAATCCCGCAAATTTAAACGTTGAAGTTATGTTAAAGTGAGGTTATGTTTATGTCAAATTGAAGGTTAAATTTTTTAAATTTATTGATATAAAAATGGTTAGACATAAAAATAGGTAAATATGATTTATCAATATTGTTATAAATTAAATTATGTTACTTTATAGATATATCGTCGTATTAATAACTGAAAACGATACAAATGCCACAAAAAAATTGCATTTAAAACCAATTACATTATCGAATGCAATTAAAGACACCGTACAACAGCTTTACGGTGATTTTGGACTCGCCGCTATAAAAGCCGCTTTCACCGCTAAGTACTGCAACGAATTAACGAAAATTGCAATCATTAAAGTACGGCATGGACCCCACAGATTCGTTACAAGTGTTTTACCATTGATAACCTCACTGGAAAATAAATCAATTACGATTAACATTATCCATATAGGTGCTACAATCAAACAAAGTTTTAAATTTATATTAGAATATCAAGAAAGAAAATATTATGAATTCGTTGCTAATTTAAAACGTGATGAAGATAAAAAGGCATTGAGAGAGTCGTTAATGGATATTGATGATGTTTTAACGATTGTGTAAAGAGAAAATAAATTAAGATATCTTAATTCATAATTTTGTTTTATTATTATTGCTTAAGTATGATTAAAGTGGAGGGAAATGAGGTTATATTACAAACAATAATTAAGTAATTAAAATAAAGCTCAAATTTTATATTAAACCAATATTTTGATTTATTAAATCACAGTAATTAACATGATATAAGATTATTGCTTAAAACTATGTTTATTTTTATTTAAATTGTTAAAGTAATGTGAGTCTAAAAGCGATTTAAAATATTACATCATAATATTGCGAAACTACTGGCCAAAAAAACAACAACTTTTTTTAATTTCTACATAATAATGCAAGAATGAGTAACGCTTCTAAAAAACTTTAAGAAATAACAAAAATAGTTAGTAACAGATCAAAAAAAAATAATAAATGGAAGAATCGTAAAAAACAAAGGTACTCAATATAATATCTTTAGAGTCAATTCATTGTTAAATTAGAGAAAAAAATGAAACTAATCACTTATCCCTCCACAATAACTAAAAAAAATACATAAGGTAACTAAATACATACTTAAAAATCGAAAAAATATAATTTTCAATAACTATCTTTCTTCAAATTCTTCAGGGAAAAATGGAATGTCATACATATCCATAGCAGGAGTCCAAATAGTTTGTAAATTTTCAATAACCGATTGTTCTTGTGTATCATGTTTTTTCAACGATTCCAAACTAATGACAACATATTGCATATTTCTTAATGCATTCACCGATTCCTGATCGTAAAACACATCTTCTATGTCAACAACAATTGTAGATAAGGATTTTATGGTTTCTCGAATTGTTTGTAGCAACCAATCATCACGTTCTTTACTTTTCACTTCATGTAACATTACATCGAAAAGGTAACGTGGTGGAGTATTCTTAAAATGCAATTAAACATCAACTTTTAAATGTAACATTATTATTATTATTACCTTAATTTCTGCTGCACAAAATAATGGTTTATCACTCCTATCGATTTGATAACCAAACTTTTCACATCCGTAGGGATAAATATCGATGATAACTACGGAACATTCACCCCCCAATTTATTTTCGTCGTTTCCGCTAACACTTTTAGCATAAGAGGAACAGTAATCGTAAACGTTTCGAACGATTTCTTCACCGACACCTTTATTGGGAAAGAATAATGTGAATAATAAACATAGATTAAATAATCAGGAATAAATTAACAATTCAAATCATTGTTTATTTACCTTATTTCTTTTTGCTCCTTGAAGAGAAAGCAACAAACACATAAGATTAGAGTGTAATTTAGACTTATGTAATAAGTGTTTAGTATAAGAATAGAAAGGGATTAATTATTTTAAATTAAAGTTTTACTTACTCAAAGAGATTATCGTTTGTTTAATGCTCATTCCTACCGACCAATTGCAAACTATTTTTAGCACATCCTCCAGTTTTAAAGTAACATTAACAGGGGAGAATAAATTGAATAAATGGTTCGCTAAATGTGGAATAAAACCGTTTTCGGTTTGGGTTGCCATACAATCGACCATCGTTTCCAAAGGGCTACTGAAACAAATCTTTCATGAGGGACCCCTATGAGAAAACTCCAATTCTTTATTTCTCAATTAATCCAATTGAAATCTAAACAAGCCATGTGGGCCACGCGATTTTTACTTTTTCATTTCGTCCCCGCACGTTTCTTTTCATTTTTATTTACACCAAACACGCAACAAGTGATTGTGAACTCACCTAGAATCGAAAAGACCAGAGGAATTTATGTTTCTTTTACGTTCCAGTTTAGTTTCCATTTTTAGATTTATCAACAACAGACAAATAAAGAATTTCTTATAAACAAATTAAATTGATGTTGTCCGAAAGACTCCACGTAAACAAGAAACGATTGGAGGAGGAAGTTCACTACAGCGCGTGTTCGTGATGGTATGTATCCGAGATATGTATGGATTTTGCCTCAACAATGAGCAGGTGTTGACTGTATGCGCAGATTCTTTCTGCGCAGGTCAATGTTGGTGAATTTATTTATGGTTATTTAAATTAATTATGTTATTAAATGCAGTTTCTGTTACATAAGTAAATAATAATTATAGTGAAATTATTTTTAAATGCTTTCTCTGATTAATTATGAGGGAGTTGCAGTTATGGGAGGCCATGATGATATGTATTTGGAGAAGTTTCACTTAATTAACGTCTTGAAACGATTATTCAACAACATCTATAATTCTGACACTTCCCTGAGGACTGGCTCCACTCTACGTTCGTCACACTACCAAAATCAAATAATGCAACCTCGTGTAAAGAATATCGTCTGATTAGTTTAATGAGTCACTTTCTAAAACTTTTCCTTCGAATTCTACATACAAGGCTTTATCAAAAATATGAGGAAGCAAGTTTAGCAAGTGAAGCTAGTCAGTTTGGATTTAAAACCAGAGAAGCCATGTTTAGTCTCCAGACACTGGTGCGAAATTGCCAAGATCACAGAAAGGACGTCTTTATGTGCTTCATCTACTATGAGAAGGCATTAATTTGACAACATTAAACACAATCTTTTACGAGTTCTGGGACTGGATGCAAAGGATATACGACTGATTGGTAATTTATGTTGGTACCAAAAAGCGGAAGTCCGAGTAAATAACGCTGGAACAACTGAGGATTTTGAAATCAAAAATGGCGTTCGCCAATGGTGTATCCTGTCCCCAATGCTGTTCTACCTATACGTAGAAAGAGCATTCTCTGACTCAATCTCGAATAGTCCCTTTGGAATTAAAATAAATGGAACTCCATTAACAATATCTGCAAAACCTACTAAACCTGGTTAACGAAAAAAGCCAAAGACGAGGTTTAAAAGTTAACATCCACAAAACCAAACTTATGGTGGTTAGTAAGAATGATGCTCCACACACTCGAATACACTTTAAACAATTTAGATACTTGACATGCATGATCAATGAGGGATGGAACCCAGATCAAGAGATAAGATGCAGGATTGAACAAGTTAAAACAAGCCTTTCTAAGTGACTTCGAAATGTGGGGATCCTGCAGCTAATGTAGGAGCTGTCTTGGGTTGATTACCTGAGTAACGAAGACGTTCTAGGGCCGGTCTAGGAGAACGAAAAATTTTTGAAAATATCGAAAAAAGAAAGATAGCTGAAATTATCATGGCTAAGAAATATCGATATACAGAATTTCCAAACATTACAGAATGCTGCACATAATAGAACCATCTGATATTAAAAGAGATTAACGCCTACGCAGGAATCTGCATGGCATTTTAAGAATTCTTAAATAAAACAAAGTTGTATAGACGAGAATTTGTTTTTATTTATTCTTTCACATTATTTTTTTATTACACATGCATTTTTCTTTATTTATAATAATAAAGGCAGTGCCCTTAAAAAGTTCTACCCTGTTCGTTATCGAATTGAATGAAAATTGAGAGAGAAAGAGTTGATTACAAGCAATGATAATAATAATACCAATAATTATAACGAAAGAAATAAATTGAAATTATCTGAAACAACTTGGGTTATGTAAAACTTTAAGCGCCCTACTACAAGAAAAATACAAGAAACATTTTCTACGACTACGTCTTGAATAATTATGATTAACATGATATTTTAGCCTATAAATACTGATGTCGATTACTGTTTAAAACTCTACCGAAAGGACACGGGAAAACTATTTATTTCTTTACCGTTTATCTCAATCCTCGTACACACACGTATAAAAAAGAAAAAATTATCGTTATAATACATTTAAGGGCGGTTTCTAAATTTACAACGACAATTTCTAAAATTAATTCCGTTTCTCAAAAAGTTTGATATATTTCTAAAACGCGACACCCTCGATACAATAATTCCAAATTAATAAAAAAAATAACCTCACTAACATACTTATCGTAAATTATAATAATAATAAATGCACAATACACATTATTAAAAGAAAATAAGAAAAAGGTTTTTGTTATTTTTTTTATAAGTCGGTGTCGTACCAAGCAGCAGCTTGGTTATTATCTTGGGGTGGTGTGGGAAGTTGCTCAATATGATCGAAATTTAGGTCGGGGTCCGCGCAGCCAACGTCCATCGGATCAACACCACTGTAAGTCGAACCGTTACCTCCACCGTGCGAACCAATCTCTAAACTTTGCATATCTATTGGTATCTGGTCATAACCTACAAAAAAAATCAGTAAATAATTCTTAATTTTAATAAAAGCAAAATAAAAATAATTTTTTTTTAGGTTAAATGTCAAAATTTGTGTTAAAAAGATTAAACGTCAAATCTTGACATTTAACCTTTTAAAAAAATTATTTTATGAGGTTAAATGTCAAAATTCATCTTTCAAAAACTTAATTAAATTTTAAGTTTTATTAAAGATTTTATAATTATGTTTAGCATGCTAAATACAACCATAAAAATTTTGTTAATAATTTTATTGATGCTCACCCTTAAGAATAATGAGGTTATGTATAACACTTTCGATTTCTTAATAAAAACAAACACAGAAATCAAACAAAAATGTAAACACTCAAAAGCTTTTAATGAATATAAGAGAAATACACAAATTAAAAATATTTTTTCTTGTAACTTAAAAAAAATTACCTTGTTGTTGAAAAGGACGGCCTCCGTGTGGGCTTGGAACGCTTGGGGGGCCTTGACCGTATAAATCATATGGCTGATCAGGACTCAAAATGTCCTAAAATAACCGTAAAAAAGAGATGCAAACACAAAAAGAAAAACGAAAAAAAATTAACTAAATAAAAATAAATCTAATAATAATTTACTATGCTAAGAAAAGCTTTATAATTTACAAAACGATAACAAAACTTTTTATAAACTTACCTTGTCTTATAACAACTGATGATTCATTGTAATAAAAATTGATAGAACATATTTATTATTTCTTTTTTAATTTAATATTTTAAAATATTAATTAATATTATTTGTATTTACCTGCAAATCTGGGGCCATTCCCAATTCAGCATTCCAAAGATTCTCCTCTCGGAATAACGAATTTGTTAATTCTATTGAAAGCCTCTTTTTATAATCTTGCGGTTTATCTTCACTCATTCTAAACAAAACAGCTGCAGCGTACGTTGCAACACCTAAAATAAAATATAAGAAATCGAAACATAATAAAAATAAATCATTTGCCTTCATTTCGAGAATGTAAAAGCTCCGTTAGCGGTGCTGTAGCTCCTTCTTGTTCAATAATTTCCGCTCCTTCTTTATCCGCTGCTAATTCACAAAGAACTCCGGCGGCTACTCTTTGAATATTTTCAATGTCATTAAAAAGAAGTTGCACGAATATCGGTATGACCGCTTGTTGACGGATTATGGCACGATTATGGGATTCCCTCGCTAAAATGTGTAATGCCCCAACAGTTCCTTCAACAATCTCCTCCATGCGAACACCATCCGCGTATGTTCCAGGAGGTTGATTACCACCACTAGCTACACTAGCACGCTAAAAATACAAAAATTAATTTTCCTCTTACGCGGAAAAATTCAAGAATCATCATGCGGCTTAAAAATCGACGATATTTCTTTAATCAATGTGAAATGACCCAAAAAATTTTATCGTTAATCTCCAAAACACGATCAGCTGTTTATATCAACTTTACAAACTAATGTTAATTATTCAAATTTGCCCAATCACGTTTCACTTTCGTTTCTAAAATTAACACTCAGGGGTACCATCTATTTTCTATCTTGTAGTTTGCTGCCTGTCATGTAGAAAGTTGCTGGATAAACGCTTCACTGATTGTGAGGTTAACTGTTAGGCAAGTATATCCATCAGTTTCGTATCTAACAGATTTAACTCCATATTGATAAACCGGCCCTAAGTGACATTTTAAATGACATTTTTTGGCGATTTATCGAAAATGTTTGGAGTCGGTATAAGCTCCGCCCATCTCTATGACGTCAAGGCTTAGGTTATCTATTTGCGCCCAAAGATAAATTACGTCACTTAATTAGTAGTATAGATAAATTCGTAAATTTTTAAAAGTTCAATATCTGTAAAACGAATAAGTTTAGGTTTATGATATACTACATGAATTTTGTGATGAACTGAAATATGGAACAATATATACAGGGTGTTCCATTAAAGAAAACGTAACTTTGTTTCGTCATAACTATTTGACTGACCTGTATACTTAATTTATCTTTATTGTAATAGATTTAAAAAATACTAAAACTTTTGTATCTTAACATTTTTGTTAGCTATCTTACTTTAGGAGATAACCGACCGTTTCCATGCATATCAGCGACCCTGTATATGGTTAGCATGGTCAATGAAGTCACGTCAAAACTTTAAAGTGATTTTTCGGTAAGTTTTACACTTTTCCGCATTTTTTTTATTTGTAACGGCTTACATGAGTGATTAATTCCCGTCGATTAAAAAAAATTGTCGATTTTTAAGCGACATGTTGATTCTTGAATTAAACCCACTTACGCTAACTCTTTGGGTGTCTTGGAAAGCTCTCATTAATAGTTGTACAAGGTGATGAATTGCTCCATATTCCCTTAACGGGGCATGATTAGCCGGACAGAGAGCCAAATTTCTTATTAACCCAATAACGGCTTTAACAAGGGGCCAACGTGATGGTGGATTTAAAAGTTTCACAATAATCTGTATGCCATAATTTAATCTGACAGCGTTTTGAGCCATCTCCGATTCTACATGTCTCGAAGTTAAATGCCGCAGTGCGCATACAGCCGGTTCTGTTATTTCCTCACGATCTCCGGCGTTAACAATCGTCCGAACCAAAGCATCTACGCCTCCAACTTGGCAAACCGTCGCTTTATTACGCTGATTGTTGCAGGTTAAATTTGAAAGAATACCGGCGGCGCAAGTAACAACGTTAACGTCGGAGGAAGCGAGTACTTGAACTAAAGAGTGAAGAAGACCTTCGAGTCCATCAACTTTTGTTGCTGCATCTGATAAATTGCGTAATGTCCACAAACAGTTTTGAACGAGACGTTGGGATGAATTCCCTAAATGCATGGCGAGCGCTTGCATTCCTCCAGCTTCAACTATGGCTGGTTTATTGCTTGAACAAACCGAAAGTACTTTTAAAACTCTTGATGTTGTCCAAAGTAGCTTCTCATAATCGTAGGAACGCATGATTCGAACTAATTCAATGGGACCTTGAGATGCTAATATAATCAATTTGCTTTCTTGATTTCCGTAAGCAAGAATTTGAAGACAATCGGTTACGATTGCCAAAAATTTAACATTATTTCTTTGTAATAAAGCAACCATTTTTTGTAAACCCCCGGCTAAACGAACCGCCATTTTCGAACCATCTTGATGCAACAACAAATTATGCAATGTGGTTATAGCGTAAAATAAAACGCTTTCAACAGGGGAGCTCAATAATTTAACCAAAGCCGGTATTCCACCACTTTTAAAGATGGCGAGTAAACCTTGTCGATGATGAGACAATTTATGTAATGTACCAACGGCACCTTTTGTAGTTTCTAAATCATTAGAGTTAGATATTGCTCGTACTAAAGCCGCCACCATTTGTGGACTATTCATAATAGCATGACGAGACGCCTCCTTCTTCGATAATTGATGAACCATCATCGCAGCTTGAGATACCACAACTTGATCTTCATCATTTAAAAGTTTAATCAATTCGGGAATCGCCCGAGTTGCTAAATCAGCATCATCTTGGTAGTTAATTAAGTTAACTACGGCGTGTTTTAACATCTGACTTGGTTCAGCTAAACGCTGTACAGCTGTTTGATGTTGTTGATCAAATTGAGTTGATGGTATCTCAATACCTTCGTCGAGAGTTTCAGGAAACATTGCTGCTCGCACTCTTTGTGAACGAGTTTGATTTAGTTGACTATTCATTTCTAGAAAAAATAGTTTTTTTTTTTTAATTTTTCATTAAATAATGAAATCTTATCAAAAATAAAGTGATAAGATCTTTTTGAATCATTTGTTACAATAATAATCTTACCATCAACTTGATCTTGTGTAAATCCTTGATTATAACCTTGATCCAAATCGAATAGATCCATTTCTTCATCTTCTTTACCACTTAACGAAGGTACTTGTGTGGCAGCTCCGGAATTAATTCCGGAATCAACTCCTAAATAGGAGTTTTGCTGCCACATTAGGGTTTGCTCTTTTGGAGAATTCATTGGAAGATCCCCGGGACCCTGGTAATTCCCGTGCGATACTAAATCAAAATTTAATTAAAAATGATCAAAAATAAACACAAAAATAATCGTACTTGATCTGTTTTGATTCGACTGCATGTAACTCATGGTGATGCAAGAGGTTTTGCAACTAAAACCATAAAAAATAATAATTTTAATTAAACGTGTAACACTGATAATGGATTTTGATATTGAAGTGGTTATTTCTCCCACGCACAAAGAAATAAGAAATCCACCATCTTGTATCGAAGGTTCATCGACATTTGGATTATGTTTTCATTCGTGATTTGAATCCCGAAATAAAAAGTTCTTATCCAACGCAATTAATCGAAGGAAAATTAGTTAAAACACACGATACATACCCTTAACACCAAAGAATTACACACTTCGATTGGGAATTAATTGTAGATGAAGTATGAATCACAACACACACCCACCTTTAGCACGAAATAACTTTAAAGGTACCATTTACACTAAGCAATTTTTGGAAACGTCAATTTTACTAACCTAAAATAAATCGAATTTACTCGCTTTTATTTAAATTAAAAAAATAACTTGATTGATTGTTTTTATTTAAAAATTAAATACACGAGGGGTAATCCAAAAAAAATCAATGCTGAACTCGCAAATGAACGAAAATAATTCCATTTGTCCTTTCGTTTGGGCGGTGTAAAACCAACTTTTAGTAGCGACATCTAACATCCGAACGTACAAGGTTTTATATACCAGAAAAACAACTCCAATTTAGTTTACTACTTCTAAATTACTACATTAAAACAGCCGGGGGTAATGTTACAGCTGCATGTCCTGATAAAGTCGTTGGTAAGCAAGCTATACCTCGAACCCAAGTTCCTTAAAAAAATATTTAAAAATAATTTCAGATTTGGGTGACAACTAAGAGATGGCGGAATCAAATTTTGTATCACCAAGTCAAAGTAAAAAAATAAGGTTGTGTATATTTTTAGTATTTTTACCTCTACTGGTACAATAACATTCAGTATTACTTAAAGCTCTCATATAAACCGTAGTAACACCACCAATAATTAGAATCTGTGTACCCAAATAAGCCACACAATGGCCATGCCTCGGTATTGACATTTCTGTTTTGCACTCCCATTCTCTTAATTCCTCATTCCATAAATCAATTTCTTTTACACTACTCGTTGTTTTATCTCTATCGTTCGTTTTTCCAGCCCCTCCAATCAAGTAGAGCTTATCAGACATTGAAAAGAGTGTAGCAAAACAACGAGGAAATCGTATTCTTGATATTTCAGTCCATCTAAAAAGATAAAATTTTAGGGTAATAAGGTGTGGTTATAAAAAAAAACAACAAAATTGTATGTACTGATTTTTATCTGGGTCATAAACTTCAACGCATTCGCTTAAAGGTTTTTTTTTCGATCCGGACATTCCACCAACGGCCCAAATTTTTTCTTTATGTTTTGCACAACAAAGTCCCATTCTTGCAGTTAACATGGGCGCTTGGAATTCCCAAGTACCACTCGTCGGGTTATATTTTTCAACTGATGATAAAGTCCTTGCATGTTTATCTTGTCCTCCAATAGCGTACATATTTTGTTTAATAGCGACTAATCCAAAGTTTTTTCTACGCACTCGTAAACTACCCTCACTAAACCAACTTCTTTGAACAGGATCAAAACTCCAAACTGTATCAACAACAACCGACTTTCCTTTGAGTTCGTCTTCTCGTGGATCTGATCCACCTAACGGAAAATACAGTGAATTTCACTTAAGATGTAATATACAAAAATATATATCTGTTACTCGCAATATCCAACTTCGGATATTGTCCGAAATTTTTACCCAGAAACCGTGAAATACTCACATCACGTTGTGGATACTTTTTGGTGTCCACAACGTGTTTTGAATAAACGTTAAATACTCACAACGCGTTCTTGGTACCTTTTGGTGTCCATGTGCAAAATTGGTTAATTTCGCCTATTGAGTAAATCTAAATACCATCAACGCATTGTGAGTATTTTTCGCTTCTCAATGACCGAAGAAATTGCTCAGAACGCATTGTAATCATTTAAGGTTTAGTGTTTTTTAAAATTTATTACAATAAAGACAAATTAAATCAAGTCATTCACTTATGACGAAACATAATTACGTTTTCTTTAATGGAACACTCTGTATATTATTCCAAATTTCAGTTCATCTCGAGTTTCTAAACGAAATTCATGTAATACTTTCAAAGGTACCTGGATGAATTATGAATATAATTGACAAAAATATTTTTGTGTAATTTATAAGAGTGATTTTTAAAGTTCAATATCTCGAAAACGGTTAAGTTTAGGTTTATGCTGTGCTACATGAATTTTGTTTAGAATTTCGAGATGAACCAAACAATATACAGGTGTTCCATTAAAGAAAACGCAACTTGGTTTCGTCATAACTTTTTGACTGACCTTGTATACTTAATTTGTCTTTATTGTAATAGATTTAAAAAACACTAAAACTATTGTATCTTAACACATAAACTCGACTAAACTCGTTTTGCGCGGATTTCACATCTTTAGCGGGAAACGACTAAACTCGTTTTGCATGGTATTGATACCCGCTACACCGTAAGACCTTGGCGGCAAAGTGCCCGCGCAAGATGTGTTAAGGGGTTTTTGCTAGCTATCTTACTTTAGGAGATAACCGACCGTTTCCATACATATCACCGACCCTGTATTGCGAGTTCTATTAAATTCCCGGTATTTTAACAACTTAACCAATAAGATTTCATTGACACTTGCCTACTATGTAAACTCTACCAACCATAAAAACAACATTATGATGATTTCTTGGTGCTGGCATTTCCCCAACATATTCCCAAACGTTTACATCGGGTAAATATCTAAAAATATCTTTTCCGGTGTTTCTGCCAGAACCATATCCGCTGTGAGGGTCAATTCCACCAAATACCATAACGGATTCACGTTCCGCTAAGAATAACGAAGTGCTATCTAAGTACCTTTCTTGTCTTGGTAATAAAGGTATGGTTGATGAAGCTATCGATCCGAAAGTACTAAGTTTAGTCCGATCTATAGAACTAAAAAAGGGATTTATTTAACATAAACTAACATATCTTTTTCGAAACCACTTACGAAACTTTTTGTCTAAATACGTTTGAAAATAAATTTTTTTGTTTTGTCGTTGTAAAATATAAATCTGTTGATTCGCCAGATATTCCACACAACCCATTATTATTTAAATTTTTTTCTTTAGCTTGAAAATGCGAATTTTCTTGTTTTTCCTTTAGCATACGTTCGGCAAATGTCATTTTTCGCGATTTTTGCGTACCCGCCCCTTTTTGTTGTAGTCTTCGCTTGATTTGTTTTCGCGCTAAATAAGCTCTAAATGCGATTTGAATAATTCTAGCGGCGTGATTACGGGTTAAAACACGTTTTGGTTTGGGAATACCATCTCCGATGTTTGTCAATGTGAAAAGTGGTGATTTTGACTTTTCTTTTCCCTTCTAAGAAATAAAAGAAAATTTTATATTATTTTTCCTAAATAAATAAAGATCGAATACAAAGGTAAAAGTTTTGCATTGTAAGTGCTTTTAAAGATGCTGCAAAAATTATCACCACAATGCTTCCACTTTTACCTTAATTTTTTTTTAGGTTATGTGCACTTACATTGCAAAACTTACCTTTTCTACAAATTCATTTTAATATGTACCTAACAACATTAAGAATTATTTACTAATTAAATAATAAATATGTATTTCAAATACTCACCACAAAAATAATAAATAATTTCAATGAAAAAGTGATGTTAGTTACAAATAATCTATTTTTTCTAATTATATTTTTTGCGTATTTAATTATTTATTATTGAATTTAAAGACACCTTATGGTGTCCTATTTAATAGTCATGACATGACATAGTTGATTTTCTTACGAACGCGACGTTGATTTTTGTCGTTTTCATTACCTACCGCTCTTCTGGTGGCCAAGAACTCGTCCATGGTCGGTAGACGTGGAGCCGTCGGCGACGACGACTGCTGCTGCTGCTGGAGTTGCTGTTGTTGTTGAATTTGTAGTAACCTCTCCATTGATTGTCTCGGCGACGCGTTTATCGCCTCCGGGACATACCTGCGGTGATTTCCGAATCGTCTCGCCTGCCGGGTCGGTTTTGTTTTTTCAATCATTTGTGCCCTTCTATATTGGTCCAAATAAATTAAGAATTCACGGTACGTAAAATAAGTTTTATCCATTCCACTCCAATTCCTAGCTGCCGGTTCTTTCAATGCTAAAATAGAATTCCAATGTTGATAATCATCGTTCTCTTGGCCATACCAATATTTTATTATAACGAACCTAAAGTTAAAAGTAATTTAGATAAAACAATTTCTTTGTTAAACTACCTTACGCTAATCCATCATCAATCATTTTACAAATATCAGAATCTTTAGAAAGCTCTTTAAAGTCGGGATTATCCGGGTTTCTTTTAATATCAACTAATTGCCAAGGAGCTATATTTCCAAATCTTACACAATTCAACAATTGAACTTTTACGCAATCTCTTTCCGGCCAATCCTGTTTTAGCCATCGAACCGCTGACATAAACACCTCCATTTCACAATTAACGCAAATATAATTTGATTGCAGAAAATTTTGAACGTCATCTAGATCCAAATCTAACCAATCTTGTGAGCTGACCAACATCAAGAAGAAACGTTGAATCCTCGGTAACATTAATTCCCGAACTTCAGGTAAATTTTTTTCTTTTGCATCTATATATAAAAGAAAAGCGGTATCTTCGCAGAAAACTTCTTGATTGTCGATAAAAGCCCAACATTGTTCTATTAAATCTAAAAAATTAATTGTTTAATAAAAAAGAGTAAGTGAAGTTAGAAATTTTACCTCTTATTTTTAAATATTTCGCCGCATTGAATACATCTAAAACATTTTCGCGATTTAATTCTCTATAAGATGGGTCTCCTGTTATCATCCATTCATAAATAAAAGCGAAAGATTGGGCGCTACATTTATCCTGTAAACGATTTTATCTTTAATTTTTAGTAAATGTGTTTTTTAATGGTTGGTTTTAAATGTCATTTAAATAAATTATTTAAACTTACCGATGGTAATTCAACCTTTTTAACGGCTACATAAGTATGAAAAACCTCGGAATAACATTGTAAAACGAGTAGATGGCAATTAAACTCCTCATTATCAATATAGATTTTGCAGTCGGCGTTACTAATTGAATATTTGTTATTAAAAGGTTACGATTAATTAAAATTGATTAATTTCTTACGTAAAATTTGTAATTCGAGCGTATAACTCAAGATATAAATTCTTTTTTTCGGGTAATTTGATTTCGCCCCAATCGATAGCATCACCAGTTGTGTATCCAAGTCTATTTAAATTCAACTCCGGATCTAATATTTCGTGTGTAGCCTTTCCTTCGTATTCCGAAGATTCCTTTTCTTTGCGTATCGGAGCATCCGCCAATTTGCCGACTAATAAAGAACCCCAGGGGTAACCAAAACCCTTTAAATTACGAGAAATTAGTTTATTTCATCATTTTTGACGCTGTTATATTATTAAATTTTAATTTAATTATTGATTTATTTTTATTACGTACATCGCCATCATCTTCGCTAGTAGACCTACTATCAAAATCGTACGGATCGAAAAGAACGATCTTCGACGAGTCCCTTTTATGTGGGGGGCCCATTTCTTTTAAATTATATCCCTTAACTTAAAAAAATACAACAAAACATTCCCCGAATTTGACAGCAAAAATGTCACATTGATTTGTGTCTTTAAAAATCAGAGAAAATGTAGAAGAAAATTTAAAAAAAATGAGGTTAGGTTGTAATTAAATTATTAACAAAAAATTAATATCAGTAGAAATAATAAAAATTAGTTCATTAATATATGATTTGAATTTGAAATTGTAATATATGATTTAATAAAAATATTCTTATTCTTTATTTTTGGGGGAGATGAAACAATGAAAGAAAAATGTTAAAATTAATTTACCTGATTCATAATAGAATCCATAGCTGCTTGTCGCGTATAATCTTTTTCTCTAGGCATTTCATCGACCGATTCAATGTTAACAGTTGTATTTTTTGGATCGGCAATTAATACACTTAAATTATTTGTTTGAAAAGCAACCTGTTTTGAGCTAATTTTAAAATTTCCACTTGGTGTTTTTCTGAAGGGAAACGCTGGATGATTTTCAACAGTATGATTTCTAAAAGGTTCCTTCCTTAAACAAATCTTAATAAAACTATAAATATTTTCGTTTTTCTTCCTTACTTTGAATTTTTTTCCGATGGTGGTTTATCACAATTTCTTTCCAAGAATTTATCGAAATGGGCTATTTTAGAACTTCTTTCTTTTTGTTCTTTATCTGAATACACATAAACAAGACCTCTTTCAGTAAGAGGATCGGTTGAAGTGGTCGTACCTTAAACGATAAAAAGGTGAGAATAAATAAGATAAAAATAAAGAAATTTACTTTTAGTTGGTGAATAATAATCATTTATTTCTTTCCAAGGAAAATCACCTCCTCCTCCTTCACCTTTTTTAGGATTTCTCTAAAGTGTAAAAAACATTGATTTGATTTAACAACTGTATTAGGTATAAATTATTAAATAACTTAAATTTATATTGACGTCGCTAATAAATACTTAACAACATAACATTTGCAAAAAAAACTTCTTTAAAAATCTAATTTTTTTACCCCAGTATAATGTAACATAACATGACAAGTGTCAAGATGTTATTTTTGAACTTATTTATTATTAAACTTATAATATGGAAGGGCCATGACATCTTTGACAAGATTACTTAATGGCATATTAATTAAAAAAATAAATTGATCTTTCTTGTACCTTTCCACGTGGTTTTTCTTCGTGACTAGTCTTTGTGCAGAAGTTAATACTAAAACACAAACAAATAAAGTTAACAAAGATATATATGTAAATAAATTTCTTACGGTAAATTAAGAAGGTCAATATTATCCAGTGTGTATTTATCGCTATCGGAACATTCTTGTGAATTCAAATTCTGAAACGGATTGTTCTTGATTTTAAATTGAGTATATTAATAAATAAAAAATCGTACAAACTCACCTCTTCGTCTGAATATAAATTTTTAGTCATAATCTGTTCCAAGTGGACTAGGAATTTCCTCTTTTTCTTCGACGGTGTAATTTGATGAGATTTATAGTAATTCTTGCTGAAGTTACACAATAATTTATCGTTTAATTTTCAAATTATAATAATTACAAAATTTTATTTTGCCGTATAAATGGAAACCAAAAGAAAAGTGAGGTTATGTTTATTATTTTTTTGGTGACTTTTCGTTAGTTTTTTATTTTAACAGTTGGTTAAAATGATTAATAATGTCAAAATTTAAAGAAATAAATAAATAAGAAAAGTTATAAATTTAACATTATGTAATGTTTATTTAATTTTTATTTAAAAAATTAAATAGGTTATATCAAAATTCGTCTTTTTGTTTTGGAATGAAACATCACTATAGGTACTCACCACTCTTGATGTAAGCTTCCTCAAAGCTTTTAGTAACCAAAAAAACTTTTCCTTTGATTGTTTCCCGGTAAAACTTGAAAATTCTTTTTAATTAACTTTATATTAGTATCACATCTAATAAATTGAATTTAATATCTTATCTGTCATTTTGACAATTATTATTTATCACTTTCAGCAATAGATGGCACCGTAAATGTATTTTGTTGTGAAATTGATATCTCATTAAAATTAAAACGTTATTCTACATTACTAATAGTATTACTAATATTTTAGAATACAATTTTGTGGATCACATTTTTTAGCTTTTAATTATTGATTATTGAATGTTTTAAAAGATATTATAGTAAGTGCGCCATCTATGAGAGATTATATCAATGATAGTTACGGGACACATGAAATTAGCTTCATAATAATCATAATATACAGTGAATTTCACTTAAGATGCAAGATGCAATATATTAAAATATGTTTCCATAGAAACCTGGTCGTACCTACTTAGTTTGTACCACATAAAATGCAACATGTCAATATAATTTGACGTTACAGTCATATTACAGTAAAACCTCGATATAACGGATCAATACTGGGAACGCAGTGTCCGTTATAGCTCAATAAAAGTATACATCAATTTAACGCTAAATAACAAATAAAACTACACTAACACTAGCACTAGAACTAATACTAGACCTAGAAACATTCCGTTTAGCCGTACCTCTCTTAAGACGGCTGGTAGGTGATAGGTAACGCTAGTTAGCATAAAATATCACTATGTTGCACATTCTTATTGAACTAAAACTAGAACTAACACTAGACTTAGAACTAGAAAGAATGGGGTTTAGCCTTGGGTCTCTTATAACGGAAACTCAGAGTTATCATAAGGCTGTCACCCTTTCCAAGCAAAACTTTTTCTTTGCAAAACTACCCGATGCCTGTACTATTAAGGTATGTTGCATTTTATGTATGTTGCAACTATGGTTACTTCATTCATATATTGCGAGTTTTATGAAATTCCCGGTATAAAACGAATATAGTAATTGATAAAAGATGTTTTATTTTATTTATTATTTTTTTAATATTTTATTTATCCTAAATTTGTTGATTGATTACAAATACGTTGACCACGTTCTTGAACACCACATTTTTGAACAGGTTTTGATGATTTTCGTGATTTTTTTACTCTCAGTTTTGTAGGTTTTGTTGGTACCACTTGTGTTTGATTTTCATCCGTATTTAAATTTAAATCTTTTGAATGTACTTCTTGTTTTAAAATTTCTTCTTGCAACAAATAATCTTGTCTCAAATTATCTTGTGTCAAATTTTCTTGCCTCAAATTTTCATCTTCTCCTAAATATCCTTCCGATTTTAAATATTGTTCTTGATTAACATTTGCCTGTGTTAAATATTCTTGTGGTTTTAAATTGTCTTCTGGTTCTTGTTTAATATCGGGAATTTGATACGTTTCAAAATAATGACCGTACCCCATTTGATAACACGCATTTTTAAACTCTTCATATTTGGCGTCTATCATTTCTTCTGATGCATTTTGCAATTCATATATTGTTATAACGTATTGTCTTATAGTTTGTTTAAAACTTTCTGGTGTGTAAACGACGTTTTTATTTTCTGGTGTTGGCACCTGTTGTAAGTTTATATCAGTTGGTAATGATTCAATGTCATATAACGATGAACTTGACTGAATAGTGTCACAATTAACATCATATTTTTCAACAAATTTATGTTTTTTCGGTGGTTGTTCTCTGTGCTTATGTGGATTACCATGTATTTCTTTTACTTTTTTAACATTATTTTTTTTTGATATGTTTGATTCAAATTTTTGAACCATTTCTGTAACTCGGTGGTTTTTAGTTTTTTTAATTTTTTCAAGTTGAACACTTTCAGTAACATTACACTGTTGCGAAACTCGATCGATTTTAACATCTTCAACGACTTCCTCAACATCGGAAACAGCTTTAACAGAATCTTCTTCGACTTCATCATCAATTTCTTCATTTATCGATCGTGTATCTAAAATTTTTTTTTAATTTTTGAAATTTATAAAATTTTTTGATTTACCTGCAATTTCTAAACTTTTAGCAAAAGTTACTTTAAGTTTAGAAACTTTTTTTGATCGAGAACCGTAAACCGCGCTATGTGAAATTTCGTCATCTTCAATTTCATCATCTTCAACTTCATCTTCTTCAACCTCATCTTCTTCAACCTCATCTTCTTCGACCTCATCTTCTTCAACTTCGCCTTCTTCAACTTCGTCTTCTTCAACCTCATTTTCTTCAATTTCATCTTCTTCAACTTCTTCTTCTTCAACCTCTTCTTCAACTCCATCATCATCAATTTCATTCTCAACATCATCTTCTTCACTTTCATTCTCACTTTCCGGTTTAGCGTCACTTATATATTTATCATTTTCTAAAGTACCCAATTCTTCAGCGTCTAAAACTTCCTGATTTTCGCTGGTTAATGAAGAGCAATCAAAATCGGAGTAAACTTCAGATGATGGGGATTTAATTAAAGAAATAGGTATTAAATTTGTTGATTCCCATTTAAATTTATCTCTCACATAATTGGTTCGCGAACGAGAAGCTTTGTAATAAATTGGATACTTAGACGACCTTCGACATCTTGGAGATGGGATTTTTTCGAAAAGTTTATTGTGGTACCAAAGTCCAATTAGTGGAGCGTTATTATTTTTCAATCTTTCCTCGTTGATATCTTTATACAGATTTTTATTCGTTTCGATTCGAATTATTCGCGGAACCTCCATTGTTGAATAAAATTCTTCCAAATCCGAAAAAGTTTTCGTTTCTAAAAGATCTTGATTTATATTCATGCTTGTTTTCCCATAGTCTTTGTTATAATGGATTGATTTTCTACGCTTTTTATTTCGACGTATAAATTTTGGATCAACTGTAACCTTTATTTCGATGGCTTCTGGTAAAGGTTTTCCAATATTTTCAAGATGATGAAAAGATTCATCTTTTGGAATTGATTTTTTAACATGATATTGAACATCTTTTCTTTCTGACTCTTTTTGTTTCCTCATATCAAGGTGACTCTTTTCTTTTTTCGATTCATAATGAATCTCAGTGTGTTTTTTTCTCCTACTTTGATGATGCTTCTGTGACTGAACTTCTTGGTTCTGGATCTTTTCTGATTTTCTGGCATGATTTCGTTTTTCTTTCCTTCCTTCATGATGATAACGCTCTTTTTGCACCTCTACTTCATGAGTAACATCATTATCCACAACATTACCTTCATAACGAGGACAATTCTTTACCTTTCTTGAATGATGATGAATTTTGGGTTTCACATCATCTTCATCAGAAGGTTCAACATCTAAAATTGTTTTTTTACATCTATTACGACGATAATGTTTTTTTGGCACCTCCACTTCATAATCATCATTAGAAGAATCTTCGTTATCGATTTTTTTCGTTCTTCTCTCCTCATATTTATGACGATTATAATTCTTGTCATATTCCCCATGTTTTTGTTGTTCCTGATCCGATGGAGGTTGTAATTCGTGATAAACCTCTTCATAACTATAAATTTTGTTGTGATCATTTCGATGAGACTTTTTAGGTTTTATCGGGACATCCTCTTTAATGGGTTTCATAATTAATTTATACGCACTATTTTCGTTTTTAACTTGATGATGTCGTCTCCCCGAGACATCACTCGGAGCTTGAGGTATTTGAGGTTTCGATTTAACTTCGTTAACTTCATTCAACAATAAGGGAGGGACAACATATTTTGTTTGAGGGGCTAAATGATTTTGATAAACAATATTTGTGTTGACGGGTTGAGTTTGATAATAGTTTATCTTCATTTCTTGTGATTCTTGTGGTGCAAATGAACCGTATACTTGATGATAATTGTTTTGATTGCTTACCAAACCATTGTATGATAACCCAACAGGGGGTTGCATTTGGTTATAATTTGCATTCAACAATGGAGGATGAGAATACTAAAAAAAATATTTTAATTTCAAATTAAAACTCACATTTTAACTCACCATCATTGCTGGGGCATTATAAACTTGATGAACATTATTTTGATAGCAACCATTCCAACCAGGAGACTGAACATATTCTTGATGATAATTTGACATCATCGGCGAAGATTGACCAACATTTCTATTTATTAAGTTTTCATAACACTGATTTGGATGATAACTTACAAATTCTTGTTGTTGCAAAACTGCTTCATTTTGGTAATTTTGAAACTGTTGGCAATCATTTCTTTCTTTATCTTCAATTAACGGTTGCATTTGTTGAACGTAATTATTTTTCGGTACCAAAAGTGGTACATTTTTTGGTACATACGCGGGATGTCCTAAATTAACATTCGAATATGTTTTTTCTGTACTTGCATAAGATGTGCTATAAAGTTTATTTCTCTCCTCAAAACATAATGAGCACCTTTTTGCATCAAGCGAAGACGTCGACCTAAACAATTTGAATCTTTCAACTTTCTCTTTATTCATACCATTATTGCGTTCGTTAATAATCCGAGCTTTATCCATAACATTAATAATATCGATAGGAATATCATTAGTTGAAGTATGCTTTTTTAATTTTTCGATGATGTTCAAAGACGAAGTACTCAATTTATCTTCGTTTCGATGACTCTCGGGAGGGTAATGATAAAGACATAAAACCTCGTCTTCTTCGGAACCGAAAACTTTTATGCCGGTTGAGTGTTCTTGAAGAACCGATTCCATTTGTGGAAATAGGTCTTTTCGGGGTGAGACTTTTGAAGAAGATTCGATTTCGGACATTTTAAGAGTTTTATTCTTTTAGAATACGTCACGTTTCGGTGTCAAGAAAAACGTCAACAAAACAATTTGATTTTTTGTTTTTTTTTCATGTAGATATTCGAAAATATCACTCTGGAATAAAATTTTGAAAAAAAATGTTGAGTGAGGTTGAAGATGTTTTGGCAGGTCAAACACGATTCGCGAACTTTCGACATTTGACCTTATGATCTCATTCGATCCGTTCGCCCTGAAATTCCCCTGAAATATACTACGTACCACTTCGTTTATTCCTTTTTATTTCGATTTTTAAAGAGAATTTAGGAGTTTAAGGATAATTTAATTCCTGCAAAAAAAATGAGTAACTAATTACTATTAATTATGATAATTACAACATAACGTTACTTTATACTTCTTATTAAAAAAATATTCGTGTATAGCAGAATCGATTCAAGCAAATCTAACCTCTAAATTGAAATTTTGATGTTAAATTGAAACATAACCTCAAAATAAAATTATTTTTTGTTGACATTATTTCAAATAAATTATTTATATAGGAAATTCAACTTCAAACTTAATCTAATAACAGATAAAGTGAATATTTAAAAATTAAAAATACACTCAAACAAATTATTTTAAACATTTCTTAATTGGTGTCATAATTATTAACATAACCTCAAATGTTACTTTGTATACTTGTATATAGCGATATATATCGGGAATTTCAGAAAATCATTTGAATAAAAGTTATTTCTTATTAAATTCTTAACAAATATTATTTGAAACATTTTTTGATTCGAGTAATAATTATTAACGTAACCTCAAACATTACCTTTTATACTTATATATAGCGATATTTAACGGTAATTTCAGAAAATAATTTTAACAAAAGTTATTCCTTATTAAATTTTGAGCAAATATTGTTTGGAACATTTTTTGATTGGAGTAATAATTATTAACATAACCTCCAAAATATTATCTTTTATACTTATACAGGCTGTTGCTAACTTGATGCGAGGGATTTGAAGGGGTGATTTTTCATGAAAAATTAAGAGGGGTCTTTCATATAACTTTTTGTTCAAAACCTCTTTCCCACCGAGTTACAGCCGTCTGAAGTTAGGGAAAAAATCATTTTTATTTAATAAATCCACTAAGCGGGAATTTAGAAGAATGAAATTTGGGAGATAACTGTTGCTAATAAAATGACATTTTATTTATTATTATTATTATTATTACGAGTTTTATAAGACACCGTAATTTTCACTGAAAAATCACCCCTTGAGATCTTTCGCATTAATTTTGAAACACTTGTATATAGCCTATAATATCTTTATTCGTAATACACTCAATTTATTCATAAAATTATATCATAATTTTAAATTAAATCGTTTAATAGACTATTTTTTTCTTGTAGAATAATGCACGGGTTTGCTGGTTTGCGCAGAAACGCTGCATCGACCAGCCCACCCCTGACCTCGACCCACAATCCCATTTCGGGTCAAACTTAGGGTGGAACTGTCCCGTTTATCTAATCGGTTTATTTAACATTTTTTTGTACGCAAATTTTCCATCTAACTTTTTTCCTCTTACGTATTTCATTTTATTTATATAAAGAGCAAAAAAAATAAGAAATAAAAAATAACAACTCGGTTTTTGTGATCCAATCTCATTGTTCTCTTCCAACAATCGTTGTTTTTGGCGTAGGTTAACCAGCTATAAAAAAATAAAATTATCGTCATCGTGAACGCATGGCGTTTACGTCAACGGGTTTCGCACAATCTTCATCTTCTCTAAGGGCAAAAACATCAATTTTCCTTATTCTCAAGACGAAATTAAACCAAGATTTAAATTTAAACTGTCATTTACATACATCTTTGAATTGAATAAAATAGATTTTCAAGAAATATTAATGACGCTGACACAAGGAAATATCGGAGGCTTATTATTAATCGGTTTTACAAAGATATTTATGGACACGTTCTAATTCTAAAACCCTTTGATTAAACTTTACACGTGAAGTAGACATTGATGGCAGCCCAACGACAACGATCGAAAACCGATTTACATCACAACCGTGTTCTAGAACACGTTTTGCATATAAATTAGTATATTCAGGGTGTAATATTCTAATTTATAGGTGTAGTTTCAATAAGATTTGAATTTTTCCTTTATAAAATTCGAATTTTTAAATTTCGCGCCTATCTTATAAATAAGTTTAAATAACCCCACCCCTATTAATTTATTTATAACGATTTAAAATTTAATTAAAAAATTAACATCAATTTAAGTAGAAGTAAATTTAATTTTATTTAATTAATTATTTTTATTAACAAAATACATATTAAATCGTAATTTATAAAAATATATTCAAATAAATTTAAAACTTAAAAACGCCATCTCTGTTTTTTTTTGTTGATATAATGACTTATTAATTGAACGTCAATTAACTGTCAAATTAAATGAATACAAAATTTAATTAATCTTAAAGATTTCCTTTTTGAGGTTTGTAATTTAATTGGTGACGTTGATTTTCACACGTGCATGCCGTTACACAAGAGGGAAACCACTTCGTAACATTAAAACGGGCGAAGAGATCCTCTCGTCGACCATAAGTTAGGTTCTAAAATAGGAATTCGAGATTTGCGGAGTCATGTGCAGTCACGTGCCGTTCTCTACGGTATTACACGTGTCCATGCACTTCACCTTCACCCCCTCGTAATTTCAGGTAGTACATATTTATTTCAAAATTTTTCTACATATACAAGTTATAAATTGTTTTTGTTCTTTATTACAGATTATTGTTAATTTAGATTGAGTTGTTGACACTCAAAGTCGAAGTTTTTCAGGAAGAGAATTTGAAATGACAACCTTGGACGGTTGGAGAATCCCGGGTGTTCGCTGCTATATCGATTACCACCACCGCAACTGCTGGCGAACTCTGACATTTTAGAGAGAACCGGCAGAGCCCCCGTTCTGACGTCAGGGGCGCAGCTTGCGTCCTCCCCACCCTCTGTCGTCTCGATACCCTCGGTGCAACCTGCACGTGGCCAAAATCCAGATTCCTAAATGTGCGTTTGAAGGTATAAAAAATTAATTATTCGATTTTTTTTCCGTAACTTAATAAACGTAGAAACTAATCAAAACGGAATTCTTAAAAATGTTTCTTAAAAGAGCCACATCGAGATGTTAATTTAAGCTTATTGGATCGTTTTCGTTTCGTTTAATTGACTAATCAGAAGAGTAAATGTTTTGCGTCGTCTTGTTTATTGATTCTACAAACGAAAATAAGATGACGTCAAAAAAATAATGAAAATTTAAAATTATTTTTAATAAATTCGCTTCATAGAATAAATTTCAAATAAATGTTTTGTGCATTGTTATTTAGAAAATCATAAAAATTATTTTTCTCTTTAAAGAAAACGAATCGAAAACGACCTAAATAAAACCGCCCATTATGCAACGGCACGATTCTGTTGTATGTTTGCGTACTCCTTTTTTAAGGTCACATTAGTTAAACCCACATGGATTAGTTACATCAAAATATTATGCATAATGTATACAAAATAATTATATGTATTTTTTGAGAACAAGAAATGTTGGATTATAGGGAGAGGATGTCCTCTCTAATCGATGCTTTGGGCGTGTGCAACCCCGGATCGGTAGAACGCGCGGGATGGGACCGGATGGACGCGAGGGCGAAAACTCCATCGAGAAAGATAGAAAGATAGAGATAAATAAAGAGAAAGAGAGTGCCCAGTGGAGGCAGTCAGATCTGGAACTTTACCAATTTGACCCACTTTGATAATCAACCCCACGCCCTATGTGTAGTGCGAATATTGTATATTTACAGGTCACAAAACATGAAATATTATTTTAACTACAAATACAATTTCATTTTAATTAAACTTTTCTGTCAAATTTGACGTTTCCAAACGTCAACGCTTTTTTTTACATTTTCTTTCATTTTCGCATTATCTTGCGAATTATTCTTAATATAAATACACAAAAGACTTAATAGAGTTATAATTTATATATACAACGCATTAGTATAAGAAAAATAAAAAATTGACTGCAAAAGTAAGCAACGTTCAAAAGGCAATATGGAAAATGATTAACTAGAAAATAATCAATAAGAAAATGAACTAATAAGGGAATAAGGTGAGCATAGTGACGGAGATTGCAAATAAAATCGAGGTAACCAATTTGTACGATCAGTACTTGAAGAAAAAGAGCGTCATTAATACCTGTGTTGGTGATCATGCTGTTATACTCAATAAATTTGCTTAAGAAGGTGTTTTCCCAAATGAAATGTAAATAATAATATTTCTTGGCTTATATTTACATCTAATACTTTAAAAGAAATAATTTTCTATTCCTATCAGCATGAATATACAAAAAGCAAATCCGACTAAACCTTCTTGATTTGAGAAAGATTTTAGGCATTGTTAATGAGTTGAGTGTAAATCAATTTATATATTAAATTATATTAAAATTAGACTTTATATTAAAAAAATATATTAAACCGCGCTGTTTACTATGTAGTAACGTTTTATTTGCATTTTATTTTCTAAATAAGAATTATTAAAAAAATACGTTATCTTTTGCGTATCGTCAACCTTGGATTATTTACAATAGAAATTAAACCGTGTCATAAGAGCCCCCTTATTGCGTTGTCGCGATTCACGCAACTAAAAAAACTGTTTATTTGTATTTTGTGTAAGTGAGTGTGGGTACTCAACACTCTTGACCTGTTAAACCATTCTCATTGTTATTCTCAGTACACTGATTACGTTTTTTTTTCTAATTTGAATTTTAAAAAGTTTTGCAAATTAAATATAATCTGAATAAATCTTTAATAAAGTCCCTTAATACAAGTTTCTTAGATAATATTTGATATCTTAATTAAACAAAAAATGAAATCATTTACAATTGGAATTTTATCAATAATATAGTGGAATTATAACTAATTTTTTTTTATAATTTTATGTTTTTAGATGAGACATCGTTTGTATCTAAGAATAGCTTTGCGACGGTTCGTTCGTCCTTTTTAAAACGTTAGAAAATAAATGGATGACGTCGAGAACGACAACGACAAGACATTTCGTCGACAGCAACGGCGTCGAGCGGTGTCCACGACCCCATATACACATAAAACGGAGCTCCATCGCCACCGTAATGTACGTACACACGAGATTTTCTCTCTCGCGTTTCATGTTTGTCTCTTCGTTGGGATCGACGTACTCTATTTAGACAATCTTCATCTAACAAATCTTGAGATTAAAGGAAAAAATCTCTTATCTTTTTGCTAAAGGAAAAAAATATATGTTTTAATGTCAAACTGAATTTAAAACGAACGTTATGCAATCGTCGTTTCTTTTATGGGCTCGTTTTGTGAATACTTTCAAAAACGCGTTGTAATTTTGCTAATTATAAAAGCAAATAATGGTCCATGGTCAACAATAATAATAAATGGTATACGTGAGTGAGATTTTTAATTTTATATTGTAAACGAACGATACAAACCGAGTGTTATATTTTTTAGCGATCGAATAAAATCTAATTTTATTCGTAGTGAGTAAAAAGATAAAGTTAAGGCGCAAATAACCGTATTTTTCATTTATAAGTAACAATAAATAAATTAGTCTGGTTGAATTTATTATTAAAAACTTGATTTTACAACAAAACCCGGCGAATATCGGTTTAATTTTATTGTTGTTTGTTTAACAAACAATAAACTCAGCGCCAGGTTCATTTTCAATGTTTAATAAATATCAACAATGGAACGAATTCAATGCCATGCAATTGTAATAATAATTTTAATTGTTTCGTTTCAATGCTGAGATGGGAATAATATTATAATTTTTTTGGTAAAAATGGATTTCTGTTTAGAACTAAAACTCTAAAGTATTTTGCAAATACCTAATAATAATAAAAAATCTCGCTTTTGTTCCTTAAAAAAATACAAAAGGTGATAACAAGGTAATAAAAAGTGATAAAAATCTATAAAAGCTTAAAAGGTAACAACAAATAAAACGAAACGATGCAATATTTAGCGTATTTAAATCAAACATCCTTTTTTTAGAAATAAAGAGATTTTTCGAGGAATTCTTTCTCGTTTTGTAATAGGGTTATTTTATACTGCGGTTTATTTCTGGATTGGAACAACAACAATACAAGGTTCCTCTTTTCTGACTTTCGTCTCTTTTGCCAAAAACACATGATTTTGTCAGTTCAACTCGCCCACGCTCAATTGCAACTTGAAAACGGCGATATTTTACTCAGTGTAATTGCCAATTTGACATTAAATTATTAAAAATTTACTTACTTATACATCAAATTGATATTTTAGTTACAAATTTAATTCAAAACTTTAAGGCAATATTTAAATTATCAAATAAATATCTACCAATATCTGAAGAACCAGATTTACAATATAGTCCGAGTGGTTTATGGCTAAATCATCCTTGGGTATGTCAAAATGATATGTTTGGTTTCCACATGCCGTGTTATGCGCAAGTAATTTAAAAATAAAGAAGAAATCTTTTTCGTTATTACAGGAGAACACATTTTCATAAAGCTTCTTGGCTCAATTTGGAACTCAGCTACCAGAAATAGCTAAAATTTTGATTCACATTGGATCATATCATATCATTTGGATAATATTGATATCATGTTTATAGATATATTTAGGTGGATTTGGGTTGCTTTTGGGTTGGGATAGATTTGCTCTGAAATTAGGGTTCGTTAGCCTTTAGATTATATTAGGTGGGTTTGAAGTTGATTTGTGGTTAGGTTATTATTGAGATGCCTTACGATTGAATTTTGTTAGTTTAGGTTCAGCTCAGACTCCTGGAACGAGATAACAAGCGCCAAAATTCTGCATATCTACAAAGTATCTCAGTTTACTCGGAATGCAGATCTTAGAATGCCATATAAAGTCAATATCTGAAAAAGTAGCAAAAATCCACTCTTGTACTTCCTAGTCTAGGAAAAAGTAAACAAGTGGGTGATTAACAGAATTACAAGCCCTATGTATACAAGACCTATGTATACAAGTAGATGATAGAGAAGAATAAAAGAACTTCTGCAGCATATTACATTAGACAAATATTTATACTGTACAAATTTAAACTTATTACACAAGCATGACCATAACCCTGAAAGGTCTGATCGGTGCTGGTTTAGCTCCGGGGAGTTGATCACTCAAACATACGACCTTTTTCTGTTATGGCAGAACACACAATAAGTTCAGAAAAGAATCTTAAATTTATATAACATCTTTTTGCAATGATAGCCATGCGCAATGCTGAGGGGGAGAGTTATTGTGGGTAGCTGGGACTTCTAAGCAAATCTACACTCCTAGCCGAAATACCGTCTTGTTTCCAGATATCCATCTTTATGCACCTAGGTCAGAAAATTTTAATACTTCCTTAAAGGAGTCAAACTCCAACCAGAAACACAGAAGGATTAAACTCAGATATTTCGGTTCGGTTGGGTTTGATCCGTTACATGAATAAAGTACACTAATTAAAACATTTAAAATAATTCTAAATTAATAATTTTTGTCAAGATTGACCATCCATTGCGTTCCATATGGTACATTAAAAATAATATTTAACGGCTTTTGATTTTAATGGATTTTTGTGATGAAGTTTTTCTTGTTGTTTCAATTGTTTTTTTCGTTGCCCTTTTTCGGGTTGCATTAACATTAGTGACGCAACTGAAATCCGTTGTTGAAACCCTCGTAAGAACCCCTCGGCCCCCGTATCCCAAAACAAACCGTTGCCCGGTAACGATTGCGCGTGACGTCACTAGTGACGTAAGAGACCCCAGAACGCAGACCGAGTTATATATCGACACGAGCGGCAGTTCTAGTGCCACTGTGCTGTGAAAGCCTCGTGAGTGAGTGTAAAAAAAGAATTAATTATATTAATATAGAATATATATGTATACATTAAGGTTTTTCACGTAGCGTTTAAAAACGTGAGTGACGAAAGGAAGGAAAAGATTCGATAGTCGTAGACTACCTACACTTTTATATTTTTCTACTTTTATAACTTGTAACTGTAACCAAAAAGAAAATTAAAACAAAATAATATTAATAACTTGACGAGAAAAGAAAGGAAGCTTAAAAAAAATAATTTGAGGAGAGAAGGTGACTTTTTTCTGATTAATTTTATTTTTGAATAATTCCAAAGAAATTGTGTGTTGGATTTGGGTTCGCTTCGTTGAAATCAAGAACATTTGGGGTGAGTTAATTTATTTTGTCTTATTAAGTTTAGTGCTTTTTGAAAAACAATAGTTTTTGGGAGGGTTTGGCCATCTATGTCGGTCATGTTGGGCTTTTAGGTCGACCTAGGATCCTCTCACCTAGTGAACTCTGCCCTTAAACTCCGCCCTACCCTGTACAAATAACCCAACCCTGCAATAGAGAAATTCAATATTTTCTGTCATCAATAACAAAATCTTTTAACGATTTTATTCAATTCGAATTTAATTATGAACATTAAAAAATTACCGTACAAAGATGATTTCTTATTATTATTGAAGGTTACGATAAATCCTGTGGAATTACTTGGAAGTGTAATTCTAAAAGAGTAAAATATACTTTGTACCAGGCATTTACTATGACATAACGTACAGTTTAATTCTCGGAATTTTTAAGTTTCTTTTTCTTTCAGAGATCAGAAATTTCAATTAAACTAAATTACACACTTTGGAAATTTGACTTTTAAATTTGGCGTTTCGGATTTTTTTTTACGTTACATTTGGCTGACAGTCAAATAAGGCTATTATAAAAAATATAACCTCACTTTTCAGATATTGATTTAAAATTTTTTTTTTTTTAATTTTAAGATGAATTTTTTCTCACCTATTTCTCGCATATTTTAAGGATTATTGACGTCTTATTCCTTTATCGCAACGATAAGATAAGACTCCGATGTTAATAAATCAACAAAACACACGACTGATTGAGAAAAAACTAATTTTATTTATCCTGGAAATGATAGAGTGGTAAGGTGTAAAATAATAATAATAAATAAAGTGAAACATTGAAAACTTTTTGAATGGTTAATCACCGAAATTCAAAACACAAGTCAAATACCTAGGGGTAATACTAGACAGTAAATTAAACTGGAACTCCCACATAGTCAAGGTGAGGAAAAACGCTATTATCGCTAACCAGATCTGCCGCAGGCTCCTTGCAAGAAACTGTGTCTTAAAACCACGAATAGCAATAATCAGGCTCATGGTCGCCTATGCCTCACTGGTTTGGTGGTCACAAGAAAGCACGGCAACAGCTGGCACAAATCCATCGGTTAATATGTCTTAACATAACGGGTACAATGAGATCTTGTCTAACGGCTGCTCTTGAAGCCCTACTCGGTCTCACACCACTTCATTTATACATACAAAAGGAGGCAGCTTTAAGTGCCTTATCACTGAAAACATGCTCTTCACTCAAGTTGATGCAGGGTAACCTCAGAGGACACCTCGAAATCCACAACGACTCACGTCTAAACCACTTGATTGGAATTAAAACGGATCTTATACCGACAGAATATAATTTCGACCAGCCATATAAAGTCATATACAGAAGCAGGGACGATTAGACGCAGGGTGAGCCTCAAGTTAAAAGAGGAGCCTTTGCCTGGTACACCGATGCTTCAAAGACAGCATTAAATTGCCCCTTAGCTCGGACATAATCATTTTTCAACCAGAAGTTCTTGCTATAAACTTCTGCACCGTTTTGAACCTACAAAAGGTACAGAAAGGTGCATATACATTTTACGGACAGTTGGGCCTAAAGGCAATTCAGGTCTACACGTGTGCTTCCGCGCTGATCAGAGAGGGTACCAGCAACCTGAAAGAACTCGCTAGGGTCAATGATGGTGGGTTCCAGGTTACAAAGACATTGAGGGCAATGAAAATGCGGACAAGCTGGTCAAAGAGGCAGCAAAAACGCCCTTTATTGGACTCCAGCCCGGCTGTCGACTACAAAAAAGCCACTTAAAATAGGCAATCAATAGCAACTTCCAGCTTCCAGCTCACAGAGAAGCTAAGAGTATGATAACTCCGTCGCAAACTAAAACCAAAGAGGTTTTAACCTCAGCACGGTGGCTCTAAGGCTTCCCGACCGGCCATGCGCCCCTAAAATACCACCTTTTCCATATTAGACAAGCTAAGGATCAAACTTGTCGATTTTGCAACGACAAGTCAGAGACTGCTGATCATATTATACTGTGTGAATGCGTCGGTCGTCTAAAACACAAAATTTTCGGTAAAGTTCGCCTGACACCTACCGACATAAAGGAACTAGACCTTGGAGCAATAATACTAAGGTTCATCAAGGACCTACATTTGCCTTAAACCTTTGGAGGCCTTAAGTTACAATAGATCTTATAGGTCGCAGTGACGATAGCCCCCTCCCCTCAACAATAATAATAATAATCACCGAATAGAAATTGAAGCATGTTCTAAATAACTGAAAAGCAATAGCAATAATCATAAACTCGAGTACTAAAACTTAATAAAAATTTAACGACAATTTCATTTCGCAAAAACATTTACAAATTTTAATCAATTTTTATGGTTTTTTTAAATTTTCTTTTGAAGGAATTTTTAGGTTATGTCGAAAATTAATTTTGACATTTATGAATTTCTTTTTTACCAATATGTAATTATTGACCTAATCTATAATTAAAATGTCAGTTTCGAGGAGAATCGATCTTCAGAAAATTTTGTAATAATTTGTAAAATTTAATTTAATTTACATGCATACAACACGTGTTTTATATGCATATATTTTTTATTTAAGGACTTAGGAGTTTTAATAAAACGCAATCGGTTACAGAAGCGGATGAGAACGATTTCGTGACGACCTTAACAATTACGAGACTATGTTTCGACCAAATTCAATAAGCGTGTTTGTTTGTCGTATGGAAAATATACGCTTTACAATCTTTTTTTTTCTTTCACGCAACAATACAATGTATTCCTTCAACGCAAGAAAATTGTGTAGCTATAAAAACGATTATTGTTGGCGAAATGATTGGAATGATTCTGGTTTTGTCCAAGGATAAACGTTTAATTATTAATTTTTATTTTTGCGTAACACCGCACGTTCCCTCTAATGATAATAATAAGTAAATCAACAAACTTATTAATACTAATGACTGGTTAGCGTGAACGAAACGCTTTTCGTTACTAACTTCACGTTGTAATTGGTACTTTGATTATAATTTTTCAAAGGTTAAGGTTTTTCTTGTGTGTTTGAAATCTCATAAGAGATAATTGATCTTATTTGGGCCGAACAACAACGGGTGTGTATATGTATACCCTACACTGCCAAATGTGCCAACATTTGGCCCAGTGACAGAGCATTGGTTTCGGGACTTCGTGAACTCTACTGCTGCTGTGAAATCAACGGGATCGATGCCAACATTCCGGACGACTTTATGCCTCCTATGAATAGGTGTGCACAGAAATTGGCATTTGGTATTTTCTTTTCTTAACAGCACTCACTGTGCGGCATTAAATGTCATTTGATTACTTTTTTTTGTTAAAATTATTCATACGAATATTTTCGTCAAATTTATTTTGACATTTTAAATTTTTATCGATAATGTGTCATTTCCTTTCTTACCAACATCAACAACGTTCACTGATATAACCTATAATTTAATTTTTATCGATTTTTTTATCGATTTCAATAGAAATAACGATTTAATTAAAGTGTATTGATAGAATAAACGTTTTTCTAAGTATAAAAAAATACTGAAATCGTGTGAGGTTAGATCATTATTTTTCAATTAGTATTTTAAAATTAAGAAAAAAAAACATAACCTAAAATACAAAATTTGGCTTCTCTTAGGTTTTTGAGTTTATTTATAGGTTGATATTGCGTAACATTCGTTCACGGTATGGAGGAAATAATATGTGAGAGATTCTGGATAAAATAGAGGTTAGTAAACATAAAACTGGGAAAATTTGTTATTGTTATCTCTATAATCGATTAGTGTTGAAAGTAGGGCGAACGAAGTAATCGTAAACAGAGAATCGGGGTGGGCATTTGAGGAGCGACTTCGGCGCTGCCGTTGTCACTGCAAAACGAAGAACCTCTCTTTTCCGCTGCTGACAAATCGATATAACGCCCCACGTGTGAGGATTCTAAATGATGAAATAGAATGGGCTTATCACCTTACTTCGGTTATTATTAACCCAATAAATTGCAATTCTACTTTGGCTTACAATTCTTGTTTATCAAAAATCGTTACTTTTAGCACGAATTATTAATAGGAATCTTATCGTTTGTGTGAGAGTACGGTTGTACATGGTGTTAGTATCAAATTTCCAATATCAGAGAACGTTTATTTTTAATTTCGTATTGTGAAATTGTGAAACGATGATATCGATATTATTATTTGTTACAATAATTTTAGTCAATTAGGTTGTGTTATACAATTTGACACAATAATTGAACCTTGTTGATGTAACCTTGAAAGAGTTTGTTTTTTGTATGTATTTTTAGTTACAAAAGAAATTGTGAAACGTATTTCTTTTATAAACTTTTAAATCATTCTGGGTTACAAAACGTGCACAAGTAAAAATAGCATCGCTCAACCGTAGTAGGAAAACAAACCAATCGTAACTGGTTTTTATTGCAAACAGTTTCAGATCCTGAACGTTTGAAATTCGTCTCTCTTTCTCTGTATCGATGAATCACCAAAGGTCTTTTGATATTTTTTTAAATATTTCTTCATTTTTATTATAACAAAGAAACCAAAAACGTTTAAAGTTAATTTTGTTTGAAATTTGATTCAATAACAACATTATGAGGATGACTTTACTTTTCGAGTTGTGTTAAATAGTTTGTGTATTATAATATTTTTTTTACGCAAAAAAAATAAGCAATTCCTGCGTCACCTATTTCTTATCAACATTAACATATTTTTTTTTATTACAAAATGGAATTCTTTTTGTTATGTTAATGTGAATTTTTTTTGTAACGTCATGTTGCGTTTTTATTTATGCAGATATGCTTTATTATTAATAGACATCTGGCCGATGATATTATTGTGTACTCGAGTGCTTTGTAATTTACACATTTTGTTGAAAATGTTGGTTAAAAACCCGGTATTTTATCTGCTTCCGTTTATTAATCACGATAAAAAATTAATTTATCGATAACATTGTTATTGTAGTTTGTATACTTTGTATATGAATTCCTCAAAACAATATCTTTATCATCATGATTGTCACCACAACCCCTCGTGGGTCTTGGTCTGTTCTATGATCAGCTGCCACTCTCTTTTACCTCGTGCCTTGGCTTTCCAGTTTCTAACTCCCAGCATATTTAGACTTTCTTCCACCTGGTCCTTATATCTGCCATATTCCTACTGGCCACCGTCAGATGTGACAGTGTTGAAATGGGTAATTCGATGATCACTTCTTTCGACATATTATGCGCTCTTCAGGAATGTGTTTAGCATCATTATCTTGTTGGAATCAGAACACAGTCGGAAGGTTGAATTTTTAAGAGCTTTGACATAAATTACATTTTAAAATATCCAAATAATTAGATTTTTGTCATATTTTCCTGAATAAACTTCCATTGATGGCTGCCATTGATGCCCACAGCATTACTGAACCACACCCATGTTTAACTGTTCCGTTAGAAGAAATATATTTTCACGTTTGTGAAGCATATCTGAATCAGTTTAAAATTAATTTTCATAATTTTGAGAATTATTGCTTGACAATGGCCACATTTCGAAGAGAAACAACTTTAGAAATAAGACAACTCGTGGTAAAGCTATATTCTGAAGGTAAATCGTTTAGAGATATTGGTAAAATTGTTGTAAGACCTCATTCCACGTTACAAAAAATCGTGAATAAGTGGAGGTATGATGGAACATTGAAAAACTACACTGGCACTGGCAGAAAGAAAGTGCTGACAGAATACGATGAATAGCCTTTTCCAAAGCGATGTTAAACAGTAGGCATGATAGGCGTAACCCCACACCTGTCTGAAAGGATCTTGATAGTTATTTTGGACCTTCACTTTAACTCAATTTGTGGAGCGTTGCTTTTACTAATTTTATTAAATGTATTAGGATATTGAATTCTTTCATTGTATTATACAGTGACCTTTTCTTTTCTTTCTACACTATCGTAGGCACTTTTAAAATCTATATATAAGTGGTGGGTGTCCATCCCGTATTCGTAGGTCTTTTTTAGGGCCTGCTTAAGAAAGAAGATTTGGTCGACGGTTCATTTTCCTTTCTTTTTAAATCTTTTTATAGAGAATTTTAATTTTCTTATTTTAGAATTGTAGTCTTGGTACATGAAGACATAAGGGGTCGTGAACCCCATTTTCATGGGATTAATACCGTCATTATCAGGTCAAGGGCTGTCTTAACAACCGAGAATTTCTCTCAACTCCTAATCGTCTCTCGTCATTACCAGCGACTACTTAAAAGCTTATATCAATTAACTAAAAAATAAGAACTAAAAACCATATTATCATTTTAAAATTTTATCTAATTTAATGACCATACACAATTTTCGTGATTACGGATAAGAATTAGATTAGATTAAACATTTTAAATGATTTTTTTTTATTGTTAGCAAAATAATAAATTGTTTTTTTTTGTTGCAGTATTTCAAAAATTTCATCTCTACAAACCTACGTTATCATAACAGGTAAGCTTTTTATTTAAAATTAATGAAAATACAACGATAAATAAGCATAGTTGAGCAGAAGGTTTTTTAAATTCACACGCAGATGAGTATCGGGCATTTTTTTAATAATGTTTTAACAAATACAACCTTGACATAATTGTTTTAGCTTACGCGAACCAAACAATAATTTATTTTCAAGACTTTTCAAGTCTTAAATTAACTTTAAAAATTATTTTGAGGTTTGAATCAATTAATCAAAAATCAAACTAAATTTGCGTTTATATTCACTGCGAAAATTTATTGACAGGTTTAAAATTGAGGTTATCTAAGATTGGGATTTTCGAATCACCTTCGCATCCGCTTAAAAAAAGTCGCGCATGTAAACAAAATTTTAAAATAGATCCGGGGAGAGAGTTTACCGTGACGAAACGCATTCCGGGTGAGTCTCTCGTTCAGAACCTAAATCTAGAATTTGTTTTGTGCCGAAAAATAAAAAAGGAAAAGGGGCGCCAAATCGTTTTGCCACGAACTGTGTCTCTTTTCGATCCATTTTTTGGTCGTCGCTTTTGGACGTGGAGGGATATTTTGTCCCCCACCCCGCGATGAGCACGATTGGGGGGCCCAATAAAAATGGACACGTGCTAAACGAGCTAGTTCAAACCGAAACTGCACCACGTTTGGTGTGTTACGTGCGTGTGTGCGCTTTTCACGCTGCTGTGTACACGTCTTAAAAAACATAATTAAGTTACAAAAAAATCATAAACAAAGGTGAGTTATTTATTTATTTTTTTGAGGTTATGCTTCAAAATTCGAAACGTCAATTTAAATGAACGTATCCCAATAAAATTATTTTATAACCAAAAAATTATCTTAATTTCGTTACTAATTGATTTAACGTTTCGATTGAGAAATAATATTGTTTTAGTTTCTCTTTTAGATTCGATTTCAAAATAATCAATTTAAAGTTATGTTAAATCATCCAAAATGACGTTTTTAATACCAACCTAAACGAGCGTATCAATTTCTTTAACGGAAAGTTATACTATAACCTCAAAATTGTTGAAATTTTGAAATCAATCGGCTACGAATCGATTAAAGTGTGCCGATTAAGAAAAATAAGTAGGATTTTTCCTTTCAAGCATGAAGAAACATTTTAAAATCTCGAAATAACTATGTTTGAGTAATTGAGCAATTTTTTAGAGATTCATGTTGATTCGGATAAGGATAAGTCCATCTTAGAAATCTCTATCACTAGAAAAGATTCGGAAGTACGCCGAATGATTGGGTTGGCATCTTGATAGCTCCATTTATAGACTTATTAAAAATAAATTGTAAGGATTTAGGTTCATCTCATTCTTGACCAGACTCTAGTCTAAAGATTGTGTAAAAGCGAATTTTTGCTGCCTAGGTTCGATCATTTGGTAGACTAAAAGCATGTTGTGTTAGTTACTTTGTCACGTGTCTGAAGACGCACGGCTAAACCCGAATAGTGACAGTGCAAGTGTAAAACTAGAACGAACACTAGACCTAGAACTAGAAAGTTTCGGGTTTCTTAAGTAGTGAATGTTACTTGCTATAATAATTAGCAAAGTATAAGTTATGAACATAGAAAAGAGACACCTCAGTTGGTGGGGACATCTACCGAGAGTGTATGATACTAGACAGGTAAACCGAGTAGAGTTGGCAAGAAAGCAAAGGAATGAGGAAAAACTGTACAGGAAGCTAAAAGTTTAGCAAAAAATAAGAAAATGTGGGCAAAACTCGTTCATGGGGAAAGATTGCCAGAAAACAGTTAATTGTAAAAAAGTGTTAACATAACATATTAAAATAAAAACGTAAGAGAAATGAATGCACAATACATTTTTAGAAATTGAAAGTGTTTCTCGAACCTAAAATTTGTGCAAATCTAGAAATCAATGTTTCTAATCGATTAAAACGTTACGGTTGATTGATCATTAACTGTTAATGAAAAGTGAAACGTTTAATTTTAACTTTTTGTTTAAGTTGATTGTATTTTTAAAAAATAAGTGAGAAACTGACTCATTTTTATTATCAAAGCTAACAAGTGACTTAAAAAGCATTAATCTTAAGTAATTTGTTGCTAAAAAGATTCTAGATTGACTCATAAATTGCGATGAAATAAAAATTCGTTGAACATTAGTTTCTTAATTCTAAATTTTTATACTTTACATTTTCTCCTCCGGTTTAATAGAAAGAAATAAAAGTTTAATGAATTTTTATATGATATTAATATTTTCTTTGAAGTGTCATTACTCATTACTTTACTCATTTTATAAAAATTCAATGTATTAGTTAAAGAAAAAAAGTCTCCGGTTTCTTATCTAACTGTAATATCCAAGATAAGGACGTTTATAAGGCGTAAAATTAAAAAAAAATAAAAGAAAGATTTATGAAAGCATTGTTACATTCTAAAATCGATTCATGTAAAAAAATTATACGTAACGGAGGAAAAAAATAGAACGAAAGAAACGTAGAAAAAATATGGAGGTATTTACGATGGAAAAAGCCAAAAGAGAAGGAAAATATTTACATTAATCCAAACGCTAAAAGTTTAACGATTTTTCCATTCAAATAATATGACTAAATTGTGATTTGATCACAATTTTGTTATTTTAGTGTGATTTGAAACGCAATCGTCTTTACTCTAAATATTTTTATTTTCTTTTTCTTAAATTAGAAATTTAAACATTTCGTTTTCACAAAAAATAATCGTATACTGGTCGTCGTCTCATCTTAAAAACATTTCCCGATAAATTTAGATTAACCACGTCATTATATTTGTGTGGCGTATTAAGTTGAAACTTGGTTGAAACGGCAACCTTTTCAAGTTGCCAAATTAGCACGGTGAAAATGTGGCGGCGATGTTTCCGGGCCAAACGCGCTCGCAAATATAGAACCCTGGATCGATACACAATCTCTCCTATCTCACGTCATTGTTCAACATCATTTTCTTTTTTTAACTTATTCAAAAAGAAATTAGTTTCTTTTACATGTAATTTTAAAATATGTCGCAGTCCGGTTTATTTACAACTCATTAAAGCGTTTATGACGTGAGCGATAAACACCGTTATCGTTCAGTATAGGCATTGTTATCTAAAAATGTACCTTGTATAAACACACACAGGTTGTGTGATGATAAAAAACATCGAAATTTAGTACGAGAACGTGTCGGGTTAGTTCAAGTTGTAAAGTTGCGAAAAGTATTTCCTTGCGCCCTTTTCGTGTTGCGATAATAACATTTTCATTCCCTCGAGATAACAAAAAGGTTTGAGACGGTTCGGTTTTGTTATAAAAATAGAACTGGATTGTACAAGTTCCAAGAAAACAGAACCGAAAAAGAAAGAAAATTATTTTAAAAGTGAACGAGAAAAGTTGAAAGGTAATTATTAAGTTTTCTCTTAATTCATTCACTAAATCAACACTCATTCAATAAAATTAAATTTTTTATTTGATAAGAACTAAATTGATTAAATTGAAACTAATCGAGGAAGTAATTTTAAATGTCATGTTGACGTTAAACTATAACTTAGTTATTTTGAAATGTCACATTGACATACAGATTTTTCTTTTAGGTTATGAAACCGTCAAGTTCATTAAATGTACTTAAATGTACTTATTTAATAATAATGCTGCGATAAAAAAATGATAAATGATGATTTTTTGAATCGATCTTGTCACTTAAAAGTACAAATTGACTGATAAATTAATTAATATCAATTTGAAATGGGTGATCAATTTTAAAAGTCGAAATGTCACTTAAAACGAATTTTGCAATAATTCACTGTTTTCGAAAAGAGTTGTTAAGTATTAAAGCTAACCTGACGACGAAAATCGATGGTAATTGAATTACTTGAGTATATAACGAATTAACTGGTACGTTGTTGGGTCAAGGTGAACCGATCGCTATGTGAAACTGAAAGGGAATCCTTATTATTTATTATCGATCAACCCGTATATAAAATTGAATTCGTTTTGAGATACATTTCTGGGCGAGATCTGCCAAACGATTACTAACCTTACAACCATTTCGAGTTATTTTGCTTTAAATATAGAAAATACGCGCTCTTAGAAAAATAAGTTGTCCCTCGCCAAAAAGTCATTGCATAATTGCTACTTTTTTTATGATTCATGGTTAAAAGAAAAATAAACACTTTGTAGTTTTTGTGCCAAATAACCTTTGTGATGAACGTGGTTAAGTGGCGCGACTAACTTCACAGTAGTCAAAAAAATCATTTTTGTTTTATTCCATCCAGTTCTATTATTAATTATTATTTTTTTTACAAATATTCTCATCATTGTCTCTATTATTTCAAAGTAATAGTGATAAAGCAAATTTTTGTTTCAAACTTTGATGAAATGACTAATCAAAGTCAAGGTGATAATCAAAGTTAAGTTACCCACAAAAGAAAAATTTTTGTATTCAAACAAAAATGGTAAAATTTTAACGGAGAAAAAAGTTTATTCTCATCAAAATAGCACATAATTGTGAGGAAGTAGTTTGTCTACTAAACAACCTAATTGTAAAACAGTTTCTGTACGGGATGTGTGCAGTTAGTTACGTCATATACTCAGTTTGTAAGCGCAACGGCGAATGTTATGAATGTTAGGACACAGAAAAATAGTTGAAATAGTTTATAATTTATAAATATGTAATATAAAAATATATTTTATTTAATTTTTTTTAAGTATAAGGTTTATACTTCAAATTCCGTCAAATTAAATTAGAACTGTCAACATGACAACTTACACATAACCTAAAAAAAATTTGTTTACCTAATTTTTATTTCATAAAAATATAAGATTTATTGCTATAAATAAATCAAAAAAAAATTATTTACACGCATACTTTTTGGTCAACTTAATCCAACCTGATTTATGGATTTTATAAATCTTTTAAAATGTAATCTTTAAATCATTTCCAAATGTAACGTTATCCATTCAGATTAAAATTGAAATAAAATCTTTATCAAAAAAAAAAGCTAAGAAGATCCAAATCTCATCTTGCCACTTGCCTCTTTTGAATGGAAAAGTTGCGTTTTAAATTTGAAACCGACACCAAACAGCACTCCTCTTGAAGTGTGTCAGGTCGTCGCCTATTTTTTCTATCCTTTTTTCGTCCCCTTCTATTCTATTTAAACGCGAATTCGCCCCAATTGCTCCTGCGTTCTCTCTACATATAAATAGTACCAATTGGTGTCCGTTGAATCCGTTCTTTATCTTTGAGACAGTTTGGAAAATAGGGCGACAACGAATATCGCTATGCAGTCTGTGTCAGCTTGCAACAGAGTTGTTTCGGTTTGCCAACGTGCATTACTCAATTAGCAAATTGCGCATTTATTATTCGTTATTACTCCAATGCTTTTTAGGTTATGATAAAAATATCTGCAAAAGAATTATTTAACTGCGAACAGCGCCATCTCTATTTCCTTTATTATCCCAATAATGATAATATAGAATCCTACCTTAAGTTTCTTGAGTTGTCTCATTAAAGATGTTTTTAAATCAAATTAGGATTACTAAATAAGCATAACACAAATTATAAATAAATCTCGTACAGTATAAATCATTTTAATATTCATATAGATTTATTTAATTCAATTAAACGTTTTTTAGGGATTTGATAAATTGTTTTTTTTTTTTGGGTTAGAATCTAACGTAAAAAATTCTTGGTCCCCTTTTCCTATTTGAATGAGAATGCAGATGAGATTCTGCGTACGGAATTTTCAGATGGATCAATACTCGAGCTTTAAACGAATAGTGGGTAACTACAACCACCCCCCGGAGGGTGGTTTATTCAAGAGATTAACCAAAATTTAGAAGGAAAGGTGTTTTACCATGTTAATCCAGGATCCTATCACAAATGTGGGTTTATCGATATTATCCTAAAGGATTAAATTAATAAATCAACCCTTAAGTCGATACCATATTAATCCATTTCATAAATAATATTTGTATTGTTACTTAAGTGAATTCGCCCATACAAACAAAGATGATAGCCACACTTTAATGAAAGCAAGCGATAAGGATGTAAAATAATTTGTGTTCATTTTAAGAGGTCAAACTTGAATCGGCCAGAAAGGAATCGCGACCTCATAAATAAATATAGCGTGTCTAGGCAAAATTAAAACCATCAGGAACTCTAGCGGAGGGGTAATTTGCGAAAATTTATTCCGTGTTTCAACGGTCTTTGGTCTCTACTACCTGATTCAGGACACGAAATCTCGTTTGATATTGGCATATTAATTCAAAATAAAAAAGAGGTCAAAAAAGGGGTTTTAAAGGGATTTATTGTAAGAATAAAGAAAGTTGAAAAGAATTTTTCATGAACTTGAACTAAGTATATCGATTTTATGTCGAATAATAAATTTAATAATAGATTGTAATTTTAATGTTCGATTTTATAGAGAGGGGACCTTTATTAGATAAATCGTAATATAAATTCCTTGTAGCTAAAGTCTCCCGGGGAATTGCCTTTGGATGGATTCCAATAATAACACCACACCGAAAAGTTTTCATTAATATACGAGAAAAGCTGCGCCTCCAATGCCGCTTTGTACACTTTAAAATAACCCGGTTTAATTTTGTTAATGTAACGCAATTTTAAATTTAATCAGGACGCTTTGAAATGTTTCTAAACCGTCGAAGGTTAACCTAAATTGCTACTCTAAAAATAAAGGTAACATCAATTTTAAGATAAAAATTATTACAAATATCAAAAGTATCTCAATAATTAAAAAATATTGAGACGAAATTTGACATATAAAAGTAAGGTTAGAATATCTAACTTCACTTTTATAAACGCATAAAAGTGAAGTTAGATATAATTCTGAATCTGTTATATTTGGGACAAATTTTGACATATAAAAGTGAGGTTAGAATATCTAACCTCACTTTTATTAGTTGAAAATTTAAAACAATTTCTAATAAGTGTTATTGATTAATAATAATTTCTAATAATATTTTAAAATAAAATTGGTTAAGTCATTATTAATGAAAATATTGAATAACCTTTTTTAATGGGTAATAAATCCTTATGTTGTAACAAGGAAACGTTTTCAGAGTTAAATTGAGTATCTAAAGTATCTGTGCCAGCCATCAGTTTGGGGCGTAACCCAGTTTTTCACCCTCCCCTGGTTCGTAGTAGTAGCGTAGCACAGAACCGGGATCCCGGAGTTTTGTGAAAACGCCCCCCGCGTGTATTGATCCCTTTTCGAACACACGCAAGACGACGAATCTCATTGACCGGAAAAAAAAATATTAAAAAAAAATCTTCTTGTTTCAGAATCATCAAAACCATCACCAAGACATCACAACAAAAAAATAGTAAAATAATTAAATGCGCTACTAGAAACCGAAAAGAATAAAAAATGCATATAGAAGTTCAAGTTGCGCTAAACTTCGTTATTTCGTACCTGTATAATAAATTGCCCCGTAGAAGAGTAAATATTTTCGGGGAGGAATTAGAAAAGGCTTTAAAAGACAAATTTCAAGGACATTGGTATCCAGATAAACCGTTTAAAGGGTCGGCATTTCGATGTTTAAAAACTGGCGATCCAATCGATAAAGTACTCGAAAGGGCCGCAAGAGAAAGCGGCGTCCCAATTCAAGATATCTTGGAAAATTTACCCCAAGAATTAGCCGTTTGGGTTGATCCAGGCGAAGTTAGTTATCGAATCGGCGAAAAAGGAGCCGTTAAAGTACTTTTTAGCGACAAATCTGATCCTCAAGATGAAAATAACGCAGATCGCGAAGTAACGAAAACATTTAATCCGGAGGCCCAATGTTTCAGACCGATCGAATCGGTTGGTTGTAGTTTGAGTAATCTCAGTTTGTCGCCGAAATCCTCGATTGCGGCTCCGTTTATTGCCACGGCCCAACAACCACCGAATGCTGCCGCTATCGTTGTTGGTGGCCATCAATTGCCCACGAACGCAATAGTTACTGCTCACCAAGGTGGCGTTAATCAGAATCTACCACCGAACGTGATCAATAACGGTCATCTTCAATCGCCATCTGGGGCACCTTCGCCAACTACAATGAGTTCGTATAAAAGTTCACCATCACCAGTTCCATCTTTTATACCAAGAACTACAACTCCACTTACATTTACTACAGCTACTTTTGCTCAAACGAAATTTGGTAGTACTAAATTGAAAACAAGTAGCAAAAGGGCAAATAGGTAAGAAATTCTTTTTCTTCTTCCGCTAATGAATAATAGTAAAGTAATAACAAAGAATTTTAATTAATTTTTGATGTATTTTTCATTTAATTTATTTTAGAATGTCACCAACGGAGTTCTCGAACTATATAAAACAGCGCGCTATGCAACAACAACTTCATCAGCAACCGCCACCGCCGCAACATCATTCACCTGGTGGCGGTCGAGCATTGAGCCCCGATCCAACCGCGGCCGCTTACTACTTCGGACCCGCAGGTCCCTACGGGGGCGGGCCCCAATTTGCCGCACATCACCGTTCCATGTTCGAGTCTTCCAGCCAACAGTTCCTCAGCCCCGATTTGTACTCTGCTGGCGGCAAATTGCCCGGTGGTTTTGAACACGCTGTGCAACCAACGCCGATGGGCCCTTATTACCCCGCTAATAACGCGACGACGGCACCTGTTACCGCCGCGACAACTTCAGCTGCTCAACCCGGCTCCTCCGCCCAAGACAACAACAATAAATTGTTGGATAATTGGACGACGTATCCCGCCGCGGGACAGTATCAACATCTTTTGGTCGCCAATTAAACAAGATGATTTAAAAAAAAATGAAAAAGGAGGAAGAATTAAGATGAAATCATTGGGTTGATAATTATTTTATTCGTTTAAATACTTTTTGGTCGATGTATACAAATCTTTCACAATCTTTTTTTACAATTTTGATTTAAGCGGGGGTTTTCGAGGTTCAGGGCAGCTTAAAGATTTAATCCCCTTTTTTTATTTAACGAATAACCAAATCAATCACAACGTACCGAATGAAAAAGAATTTATTAATTTTTTTAAATATCGGTTAGCGCCATCTAGCGAATTTTCATTTAGTTAAAAATTGACGCATTTTTATTCGGTAAGTTGTGACGTTAATTTTGAGGTTATGATTTTGATAGGTTTGTTGACAACTAAAAGTGAGGTTAAGATTTAAAAAAAACCTTAAAATTTATTGGAAAATAAATATGTAAATAAGGTAGATAAAGTTGATTACTTGATTATTAATTAATTTTAAGTTAATCTCTTAATTTTTTTATACGAAAAGAATTTTTAATGTAAAAGGGGCATTGACATGTGATATACAGTGGCGGACAAAAGTCCACATACAGCATTGAATTATGAGGTATTTGTACAACGTAATAAGATAACAAAAAATTAGTATTACAGTGTGATTACATAAAAAAAGGACAAAACACAAAATTTATTGTCTCTTCTGCTGTTATTTCAATCCAAGATTCGACTAACCCAGATTTCGGTGTTTTCGCATCTATGATTTTCCATCTTACGTTTTAAAAACTCCCAAACATGCTCGATTAAATTAAAATCATGACTGTGAGGAGGTGTATTCAACCGCATAGGTGCATAATATAGCAATTAATGTTTGATAAAGTGTGCTTGGGGTCATTGTGTTGCAATATTCTTTTCCGAAATCAGCGGTTTTCTTCGGGACTGAAAAATCCATCATCGCGTAGAACTCTTTGTACGGTTTTTGGAAGTACGGACTTATTAGATACAGTCGCGATGTGGTCAGCTAATTTCGGTGCGCTAACTCTAGGGTTTTTGCTCACTTCTTTTAATATGGAGCTAATATCTCTTCTAGAGAGATTTTTTGGCCGAACTTTGCTAGCGAATGAATCAGTCGTATTGTAAACTTTTGAGTAAACTTTTGCAGCCAATTAGAAACACAAACTAAATACCAATAACTAAATCCCTGCTGAATTAAGAAAAGCGAAATGCAATACCAGCTACTTTATGCCACTCCTTTTTGATTTCTTTAACTCAAGTGCATTGTATGTAGACTGTGAAATTTTTATTATGTAGCTATTGAGCGATTTTTTTTTTGTGAATCTTTAATCACACTGTAATACTAATTTTCTATTATCTTATTATGTTTTACGAAAACCTCATAATTCAATGCTGTATGTAGACTTTTGTCCATCAGTGTAATTGATTACTTCTTATAAAATAACTGGCTCTTTGTGATAGATTTGTATGTACGTTCAATAGAGTTAATTAATTACTTGAAGAGGAAGCTTAAAAATTAAAGGTTTTTTTAGATGGAAAATTGAAAAGTAGGTTTTTTTATAAAAATCGTAGCGTATTAGACTAGATGTTTATTATTTTATAATGAAATATTAAAAAAAAAACGGTGTTAACAGTATTCTGGTAGAGTATAGAGTGTTTTTCTAAATTTTTTATATTATATGTATTTTTTATTTTTGTATGAAAAGCTCAATCCTATCATCTAGTCCCATTTTCATAATATATGGTTAACGATATAAATATAAATTTAAATTAAACAAAAAAAGAACTTTGTAAAACTGTAAAAGTGTTGGCATATCATATCTAATCGGGTTCAACATAATAACTGTAAAAAAATTATGTGTATAAACGTGGAGAAAAACTAAAAACACACCTTACAGAATATAACACACAGCAGCGTGTTTTTTCTTGTTATTTTTATTTGTATTTTTTTATTTAAAACGGTATTTTTGTTTTTGATCCCGATCTCTCGTTTTTTAGGGTTCCTAGATGCTTTTTTCCAGTTTTTATTATTAATTGATTAATTATTAACATCACCCCTCCCCATTTTTCTTTATATGTAGTTATTTAGTTTGTATACGTTTTATATTTGCTTTCTTATCTCCCTCACCTTTATATTATCGAAAAAAAATGTTAATTTTACTTTTTTTGATTTGTATAGTTGTTGATTTTAATACAATATATTATATTTTGGTAAAAAATCCTTTTTTCTTCTTAAATTTAAATTAAATGATTTTTTATTCATTAAGCGTACCTGATGTTTAACATAAACGGAGTTTATGTTAAAAACGCCACTTATTTCTAAATAGGATTTTGCATGCGTCTATTTTCAACGAAAAATATAACAAAATAATAGAAACAAAAAAAAATAATTAAAACTTAGCTCTATGTAGTGATGAATTAAAATAAAAATCACTCGATAATTTATTATGGTTCACTCTTAGTGTTTTAATTATTAAAAGAAGTAAAATAAAGAAATATGTTTTCTCGTGTCTATAATAGAGTCTATTTTTTCAAAGATTAATTAATTAGTGATTAATTCGAATAGGAATGACTCAAAAATTAAAGAGGAACGGAAATCTAAAGAAATTTTATAATTGAGGGGACAATACCGAATAACACAAAAAAGAAGACATATCGAAAAAGAAAAATGAATGAAAAATTAAAAAAATAAGCTCATTAATTTCTCAATTAATGTAAATGATTGGATTAAAAAAATTAACGTGTAAAATCTAGTGAAGAAAACTTAGAAAGAATTTCCCTCCAAGTGATAATGAAGTATTTTTTGATCTTCGGCATAAATAGGACGAAAACTAAAAAAAAAATAACAGAAAACACGTTTGCCTTCGTACTTAAGGACGTATTAAAGAGAAAGGCGGCGTTTAGATTAAAGAAAAATAAATTCTTCAAAATGTTACCTGGTATTCTTAGAACAGGTATTAAAACCGAAAAAAACGAATTTTTTAATACCAAAAAAAAATTTCAATTTCTTTCAAAAATTAATTTACTCCTTCGTTTCTAAATCCGTGATTAAATTCAAAAAAGAAAAACAGAAAAGGTGCTACACTTTTTTTTTGGTAATTTTTAAAAGATTCGTTTTGGAAATTTTAAACTGTGTAAAAAAGAAAAAGTAAAGAAACCTGGCGCAAGCTACAAAATGTACATGATTTTTATAGATTAACATTATTTTATATACTTGCTTGTATGTAATCGCATTTTAAACCTTAAGATCTTTGTATATAATCTTTAGATAATTGTTGTTCGTGTAATCCCCCTCGTAAATATCTAGAAATTTTTATATTAATAATATAATAGTTCAATTTTTTACTGATAATTAAAAAATATATCTTCGAGCAAATCTTTTCAATCCCATTTTTTGTTTTTAGACGATTAGAAAAGATTTAGAAAAGATTAAAAAGGGGTTGGTCCATATACGTATAAAATAAAATAAAATATAATAAAAATGTGCGATTTGCTCGTCGAATAAAGAAAAGACAAAGAAAGTTTTTCAAAATTATAATCGCGGTATTATACATGTACTACTAAATTATTATTAAATGAAAAATACAAGGATTGTGATGGATCTTTATTTTTAAGTAACTTTAAATGAGAAAGTTAAAAGTAGTTAGAAAATAATACACCTTGCTACGGGTTTAAAAATAAACCCAAAACAAAAAAAATTTAAATCAGAACTTAATCTACTCCGGGGATTCCGTAGCGGGCCTACTCTTTGTATAATGTCACTATCTGTGTTAGTTTTTGTTACGACATCTCTTATTAAATTAAATAAACTAAGCTGTAATTAACTTCAATATTAAAAAATACATTTTAACTTAAAAAATTAATTTAAAAAAATTAAACTAACAAGTATAGTAAAAAAAAACATTAACTATTTATAATTAATACTTATAATAGTGAGAACGGAGTTCCATCCCGTTAAGGAAAAAAATTAAGTAATAAGTGTATAATAGTCTATAATTTTTCATATTGTTGTACGAATTTTTAAGTTTATATTAAAATGTTTGTGGATTAAAAAAACAAAGTCTTTTATTTTATTTTCGTTACAAATAATCATTTTTAAATTATTAATTATTAAAATTTAAACTTTCGATTTGCAACTAATTTCACCTTAATCGGGATTGATCTTTGATTGACAGTTTTGAATTTGTAGGTTATGTTACCGACTATTTTGTGTTCTATACCTTTTTGCCTGCTTTACTTTAATTAAGTCCTTAGAATAAACATGACATAATTCAAAAATAACAGGCTCCCTTAAAAATCGCCATGTATAGATATTGGAAAGGTTACGAGCCCTAAGAAAGTAAAAGAAAAACCTGGGATTAGTGCGGAGCTTAATGATTTTATTAAAATTAAAATTATTCTGTCCAAATACGGTTTTTGCTGTCTTTAAACTGTGATTAAAATGTCTTTTAACATTCGGTTGTCGAACTGCAGATGTAACCAACTTATCTACTTTTCCTTTAACTCTTTTAAGTGAAATCATGAAAAATATTTGAAGTTTCTGCTACCATTGTTGAGTAATTCTTGATTTTCAAATATTTTGGTGGGTGTTCGAATAGGCATTTTGCATACTATATAAGGTACTGTGTAGTCTGCATCGAGATATACTATGTTTGTAAATTATATGTATCTCGATGGTAGTCTGTCTGACCCCAGGCCTTTAGATATCATTTTTGATGTAACAGTACCTCTCAGTTATAGAATGTCTGGGATCTGGAGGACTCCATGGTACTTTCAGAGGGTTACCAAAATCACTGGATTATAATAGAGTTCGTCTCAAATATTTTTGATTTCGTTAAGAAGAAAATTAAAGAAACGTTCTAATTTTAATAAATTAATTTAATAAATAAAACAATAATAATTTAATCCCTCCTCTATTTGGATGTCATTACATTTTTTATGTCAATACACCTAATGTACAAAATCACTAAAGTCGAATACCATTCTGATACCTCTATATTCTTCTTTACATTTTAATCGTAGTTTAAACTGTCGATTTTACAACCCCCACAAATCAAGAATGTTAATATGATACCATTTTTAAAACTTATCAACAGGTTCGACAGTTTGGGTCATATTTATTGGATTTTCGTCATTAATGATGTACTGCTTATAAAGTTTTTTGGTAATGTATAGAATCTATATTTAATTCTAAAAAAGAACTTAATTCACTGAATTATAATGAAATATTGTACTGTAATATTGTAAAAAAATTTAGGACAAAAAGTCAGTAACCTAACCTATAAATTCAAAAATAAAGCATCGAACCAATCACGAACAAGGCCTTGTTAGTTATAAATTTAAAATCCTCTTAATTTAGATTTAGAACAAGGTAAAATATAATTTTAATATCAAATTTAACTTTAATACATTTTCGCTTAACTTTAATTAGAATTAACTAATTGAAATTATATAATTCTTTTTATTGAAATTTTGGCATAACCTCAAACTGTCAATTTATTTGAGTAATTTTAGGTTAATTGTTGTTTTGGCCTACTGTTAAAAAATTTTACATTTACGACCGGAAACATTTCTTATTCACGTGCAATTTCGTCGGAAGTAATGAAAAATACCTCAACAACTCCCTCCGAAGAGGTTCGAAACGACCACGATCCGATAAATATTTAAGCCGTCCTCTCGGAGTTTTGTTAAAATCGAATTCCGCGTTCCCGGAATCCGACCGTTGACGTTACTAACCGAGCGCGTTCGGAAAACGGCAGCCGCCGAGAAGCGTTTTGAACATGGCCGCTCGTTAGATGCACGTATCGTGCCTTTGTGCGATTTTTACGCGATTTCGTGAGTTAAAAGTGTTCGGTTTGTGGATATTTCAGCTGATTATTGGTGAGTTAACGATGATTATTTTGAATATAACTAAAATTCGATAAGTTTTATTTACAAACGATCATTTAAATGTCTCTCAACGCGTTACTAAAGTCATTGCACCTTGCGTGTTCAACATGTATACTGTATATATACAACCTAGTACATTCATTGGCAAAAAGTAAATAAACAAATCAAATTTTATTTAAATTCATAACTTAATCTAAAAAACTAGTAAATAAATTAATTTATTTAAATTCTTAACCTAACTTTTCTTCCTCATTTTTTTTTGTTCGAAAAGAAACTATTAAACCGGGTGAAAAAAATTTGTTTAGAAAGTTTGTTTTATTGCAGCGGCGTGCGCGTTACGCAATTATACACGATTTTAAACTTTATAAACATCGATATTTCCATAAGATATTTATTATCGTAAGATTTTTGTAATTTGATTGCGATGACTCATTGATTCCACGAAATTAACCCCGCAAAGGTAGGAACACGAGAGGGGTTGAGGCCACAGTTGACCCCTTGTATGGATCGATATCGAAGATACCTTTTGTGAAACAAAAAAAATGAAGAGGGCTTCGACAATACATCCGCGAAACAAAAAAAAGAACTCATCAGTGCTCTTATAAGTGTCTAGACGTGATAGTAGGGTTTCCTCTTTGTTTTATTTTTTTCAAACCCTCCTTATACCGGGAATTTCATATAACTCGCAATATATGAATGCTGTAACTATAGGTACGAAACTACTATGCACTTGCATTGTCCCATATAAAATGCAACATAGCTTAATAGTACAGTTATGGTTCTAGGTCTAGTGTTAGTTTTATTTTTAGTTCAATAAAAATATACCACAATCTAACGCTGAATAACAATAAAATAAAACTAGAACTAACACTAGACCTAGAATTAGGAAATATCGGGTTTAGTTCTAGTTTTACATTAGTACTGTTACTATGTAGAACTAACACTATACCTAGAACTAGAATCATTTGGGTTTAGCCGCACGTCTCTAAAGACGGCTAAATCCGAATGTTTCTGGTTGTAGGTATAGTGGTAGTTCTAGTTTTACACTTGCACTGTCACAAGAACTGACATTAGACCGAGAACTAGAAACATTTGGGTCTAGCCGTACGTCTCTTAAGACGGCTAAACCCAAATGATTCTAGTTCTTGGTCTAGCGCTGCATAACAATTAAAACTAGAACTAACTAGCCGCACGTCTCCAAAGACAGCTTACACTTGCACTATTACTAGAACTAACATTAGACTTAGAACTAGAAACATTCAGGTTTAGCCGCCTTAAAAGACGCACGGCTAAACGTTTCTAGTGCTAGTCTAATTTTTTTTGTTATTCTAAATTATTGTATATTTTTATTGAGCTATAACGGTCATTGCGTTCCCCGTATTGATCCGTTATATCGAGGTTTTACTGTAATGTCAAATTATATTGACATGTTGCATTTTATGTGGGACAAAGTATGTAGATACGCCCTGGTTTCTATGGAAATATATTTTTGTATATTGCATCTTAAGTAAAATTCACTTATTTTTTATCTTTATCTTTGAGTTTTAGATTTTTAAGCATTTCTTTTTGTTTTTAGAGCTAAAAAAGGTTACTTTACGTGATTGTTCGTTGAATAAATGTATCGGGAAGTTTTATCATCGAGTCCCTGGTAAATAAAAGATGAAGTGAAACGGTTTGTAGATTTATAGACCCGTTATCCAATTTCGAATCCCTTTTTGAGATTTATTGGGAAAATTTTTTAAATTAATTAGAAAAGGCACTCAATAAAATTGCAAAAAGTAAATTACTTACGTCAAATTTGACATATAATAAAATGTCAAATATTTTTTGTGTATCTATTTTGCGAGGATAAGCGGATCATTGTGTTGTAAAATATTAAAGAGACGCATGTGGCATTTAAACGATCGTTTCTTTTAAATGTTAACGCCGTAAAAGTACGACTTTCTAAGGCTTAAGGACGTGTGTATCGATTCTTATCTTGATTTAAATCAATCTATTATTTATTTATTACCTTACAATTCAACAATCACAATTTTTAGAATCGATTCTAAACCAAATTCTTTTATTTCAATTATCTGGCTTTTAAGAAACGCTCAGAAACGTAAAAATCTATAATTAAAATGTCGTATGCACTCGATCCTTTTAACTGAGCTTTACAAATAAAAAAGGACGTCTTTCTGTAAACTCCATTTAATTTACTTTCAATTTACAATATACTTCGGTTATAAGTTATAACGAACCCAAGGCACCTAAGAAACTGTCAAATCGCTTGTGTGAACATAATAACACTAATTTTTAAAGACTAGGTACTGCTTCCTAAGGACCTAGATACCTCTGACAGGTTTGAGTACTGCAAAAGAAAGATAAGATACTATTTGCAAAAAGATATTTGCTGTTGGCAGAAGACTAGAACTGTTTTTGAAGACTAATTACTGTTTACTGAGGACTAAATACCTCTCACAGGTTTAAATATTGCAAAGGAAAGATGGGATACTATTTGCAGAAAGATACTTGCTGTTGGCAGAAGATTAGAGCTGTTTTTTGAAGAGTAGTTACTGCTTCCTGAATACTAAATACTTCTGACAGGTTTAAATGCTGCAGAGGAAAGGTTTCTGCAAAAGTTTCATGTCTCAGCAAAGGAGATTTAAGGTCTCTTTCAGGTTTTTTACTTCCAGATCTAGCTCTTTTGCCATTTCTACAATAATGCCCCTTATTATGGTTGTCGGATCAAAGACGTTTTCATTGTTACTAAAATCTAATGTTTGCAATTACCCACGGATTCTTGTGTGAATAGGAGGACGAGGCTTATCATAGTTTTTCAGGATTCTAGGGTTTTCCCTCCGATAAATTAATGTTGGTTCCAGTTTCCTAAGGGACCTAACTTGGGATTTGTAAAATTATAAAAATGTTTCTACTGCTTAAATTATCGTCTCGGTATAATACTTAATCAAAATAGTTCTTTGGTTATAATCTATAATTTCTTATCTTTCAAATATAAACTGTCAAAATGACATTAGGTTGGTAAAACAAAAAATCACTAGGTTCATTTGTTTTGACGTTTCGTGTCGGTAACAATTTTCTTTTGACGTTTAAAATTGGTTATGTTAATTGAAATTAACCTAACCTAAAAAATCACTCATCGGTCAAAGTAACCTGTCACAGATAATACAATAATACTATTATTGTTAAATTAATCTTCCCACTATCATACGGGTTTACGATTTAAACGTTTTAAATCGACTAATCAACGACAACGGTTCTATAAACACTAATAAAACGTTAACGGACAGAAAGGTGTGGTGGTTAACTTTACATTATTTATATCTTTTTTTCGCCAATTGCAAGATTTACTCTCTAAAACCGGTAAATTACTACAGTTCGGTACAAAGCGGAGCGCAAATTGCAATATTTCACGCACGGTTGACCGCGAAAATACCGTTCCAAGTACCGCGACGACGTCTCTAAAACGGGCCCCGCAAAGAGTCGACACCGTTTTATTACAAATTTTCACCAGATGCCAGAAAGTTTTTCATTTAAGTATATATTTTTGTTGACGTTTATAACAATATAAAACATCACCTGCTAGATAACTTTATTTTTGAAACATCTTAAGTCGTTACTCAACTCGCTAACTAATCTACAAAATAAAAAAATAATAAATAATGTAGATGACATCCGGTTATGATGGTGTTTTTTTTTTCAAATAGAGAAAATGAACCACGACAGTTTCGCTTTTAAAGTTGAGAAATTGAAGTTTAAATAACTCGACCTAGGGAAATATTACGACGAAGAGAATGAAGATAATGATGATGATGGGTGATGATAATAATATTCTTCACGGTTTGCGCGTTTTCTAGTTGTGTTTAAGTGTGTACTACCTTCCTTCGTATTCGATTTCCCGCGGTGCGGAGTGGTTAACTTCTAAGTAGATACATAAGTATGCAGATCGTCGTCGTTGTCGTGTGAGAACACGACGAATGAAGAATTGTACTCCAAAGGGGGAGAACACAATTGAAGAGCGCGACCTTCGTTGTACACTTTTAAAGGATACAATGAGAGCAACAAGGTGTATTTATTTACACGAACGGTCACATTTCAAATGTTATTACATATTGTTAAGTTATAACAATACTTTTAGTTTTTTTTTCTAATTTTTCTTTAACTACCAAAAAATAATAAGTGCATATTAACAACTCCGTCTAGAAACCGTTTTTGATACACATTTTATGTGTGCCCTTCCTTTTCAGTTAACGGTGCGGTGGTTTCAAATTCCTTACCACACCATGCATCCTGTACATTCAATCTCATCTCTCTTTCTCTCACAATCTTAAGATGTCCCTTTGAAAAAGATTCTTCTCCTCGCGAGAGTATCTAGCGTTACAATTTCGTCGTCGTCGACGCGTGTATTTAATTACAACTTTCCGCGCCAGCATCCGTTCCTCCTTTTACACTCGAGGACCCGTTTTATACCTGACTGTACGAAAGAACCTATAGAGATAGGAATGTTTTAATTTACCCAGCTGTAAAGAAAAGAGATAGATAAGAAATTTTTAATAATTTAATAAATATAATTGACATAAAACGTTAAACATAACCTCAATTTTTTGTTTATCTTATTTTTAACAATTTATTTTTAACTTTATAGTAAATATTATCTTCTTGACCACAAGATTCTTTGTCAATTATTATTCTTAGCTTATTTCTTCAGTGGTTGTATTTAATTAAATGTGAATTCTTCAATTTTAACCTCTAAAAATGACATAAAGGAATTAAGACGATTAAATTGTAATTGGTAATTGTCAATATTCATGGTTACCAACCTAAAATATTTTCTGGGGACCATAACATTTTCTAACCTCAAAATAACATTTTTTGAAAATTATTTTTAATAGTTTTGAATGGAAAAAAAATGTTATCCACAATTTAGTTGTGCTTGAGGATTTAAAATCCCTAAATCGAAATTTGACGCATTTGTTACCAAAATTTTTTAACTCAAAAATTAAAAGTTGTAATTAGTCTGTTTTAGTGCAAAAATTAAAAAGAAATTTTAAATTCCCTTTGTGAAGGTGAACGGTGAAGGTTATTATTATCGCATTAAATGCCCGGAGACCTGATTTGTTTCGAATAGCTCGTTATAAACGGCAAGAACCAAGAGATAACTATTATTTTATTACGGTCGAATAAGTTTTCCCATAATTATTAATGGAAGGGAACCAATACAAGACAAAAACCAAGACAAAAATGTGATGAGTGAAAGAGCGAATAATTAACATCATTTTGTATTTACATAAGGTTTTTACTGCAAGTTAATTGGTTGTGTACTGGGAAGAAGGAAAGGAACTATTCTATGAACAACTTGAATCGACCTACCGGGCATGCCCGAAAACCGACATAAAGATTATAATAGGCGATCTTAACGTTAAAATAGGAAAGGAACCTTAATTTCAGAAAGTAATAGACGGACTGGTTCTAACGTCCTCTGTGAATAGCTAAAACCATATGCCAACCATATGATCAAAAAGGGATATGGTCGAAATAATCAACCTTATAGAAAGAACAGCACAATTGAGTGGTTTAAGAACACCCAACAAAGACAAAATATATGCACAAAATATCAAAACCCTAGGCATAACTAACTAATGCCTAATAGGTCGGAATGATGATGATGAATTGGTGTTTTGTTGAATCGTTTTGGAATGGGTGTGAATTACGTTTTGAAGTTTGAAGCCTTAAAAACATAAGTAAACAGGCTCGCTTACCGGTTCAAGAAACCGTAAACTTGTAATAAGATGTTACCTTATACTACAATTTTCTAATTGAATGCGTGTTAAAAATAATTACATGGTAAAAGTAAACTAATTATAAATACTTTGTTTATAAAAATTAAATAACCTGAATTTACTGCAAAGATTTTAAGATAAAAAGCGAATATTCTAATTAGCGTTATTGAATTATAGGACGTCCAATTAAAGGCGTGCCGCTTCACCTGCTGCATTTTAATTATCTAAAAAAGCCCTCGTGCTTTTAGTAGCAAAAGCGATCCCTTCGCTTATTACCTAAGCGGTGCTTATTACTTATTCACCTCGTACCTTCATATTATAACCTCAATTCAATTAAATTTCTTAAATTAGATACAATTATATAATATTTTTATTTTTGTTTTTAGAGAACATGGACCTTTTACGAATATTAAACCGATTCAACTAAATAATGCCTTTAAACAATGGTATCAAAACTCCTCAATTCAGAGAGGAACTCCTTATCGAAAATATTACCAGTGTTCTTCCTGTGGATTATCCACACCCAAGCTTATTTATTATTAATCGATGAAACGCAACAACCTGGTGAAATAGTATTTAACTCATCCGTTTACAAACTTGGTTCCGATCGATTATATCACATCAACGACGATCGTTCGGCACCGTTTGTACGGAATTTATTGGAAGTCGATGAAAAGAATGGACAGGTATCATTACTTAAAAGCGTCGAATGCGATTCGCCTTATTACCCAAATTTATTTACATTGTACATCGATTCAACATCGAATCGTATAAGATCTATAGATTACTACAGTTTACCATTAAGAGTGATAATAATCGGGAACGGTTGCGAGAGACGGCGACGGCGAAGTTATGATGATGAATTTAATATTTTTCAAAAATATCCAAGTGTAAATAATAGAATAGTTGAAGCAAGAAAATGGATCTCAGAAACTTACGCTTCATTCGCCATACCAACATCGGACCGATGGCAAAAAATTTGTTTGAAACGATCGCAATTTATCAATTCAATAAAAGCTTTTATACCGGAATCGATTATTCATTCTTGTACGATCGATTATCATCATGTTAGTGATCGAAGGTTTTCGATTGAAATGAAACAAGCCGATTTAGTTGCAACGGATGACGTTTGTATATCGGAATCGATTTGGAAAGTTATTATTACGTTTTACACGAAATGCGACGATATTCGAGTTTTAGATGGGGAACATCGTTTAAAAATCGTTTATCATCACCAAATTTTTAATGACACAGATATCGCAAAACGAGTTCGTCGTGAATTACACAATCAATCGCCATTTTTTGAAGAACATTTGTATATCGTTGGTGTACTTGAAGAATGCGAACCCGGCATAGATGTCACAACAGTTAAAGCTCGAGATCCCGAAAACAGCCCAGTAACGTACTCGATGACCAGTTTATTAGATTCCAGAACCCAATCTATGTTTGAAATAAATCCAAAAACAGGGTTGGTTAAAACGAAGGTAAAATTAGATCGGGAATTGGTTGACGTTCATTATTTTAAATTATCGGCGGTTGATGATATTTTTCCACCAAGATCTGGAACCGCCATGCTTCAAATAAACGTAGTCGATGTGAACGATCATTCTCCGATATTCGAGAATAACGAGTACGAAGCTTCAATTCGGGAAGGAGTTAGCGTTGGTTCTAATGTGATTACATTAAAAGCAACGGATAAGGATTCGGGGCCAAACGCGCAAGTTGAGTATTCAATTAAATCTGTTAGCGGAGGTGGATTATCGAATGAAGATGATGATAAACGTGCTTTTAAAATCGACGCTAAAAGCGGGGTTATTACAACAAGGACATTACTTGATCGTGAAACTACAGAAGTTTATACTTTAATCGTTGAAGCTACTGATCAAGCTACACCGGCAACAGCAAGAAGATCTTCAAGGTTAGTTCGATGTTTTTAATAAAAATTTTATTTATCTATATATTTTTTAGTTCTACTGTTGTTATAAAAATTTTGGATGATAACGATAATTATCCACAATTTTCTGAACGAGGATATACCGTTAATGTGAAAGAAGATGTTTCTTGGAATAAAAATCCCATTGTAGCTCAAATAAAGTAAGTACAGTTTTCTGTAATATCTGTCAACGTCAAATTTTTAGGGTTTCTGTTTAGCAATAAGTGGTACTATAACACTTAGGGTTCTTATAACATTTATTTCTTATTCAGCGTTAGACTGTTGTATATTTTTAATGATATAAAAGTGGAAGTAATACTAGACCTAGAACTAGAAACATTCCAGTTTAGCCGGACGTCTCATAAGACGGCTAAACCCGAATGATTCTAGGTCTAGTGTTATTTTTAATGCTAGTGTTAATTATAGTTTTAGTTGTTGTTCAGCGTTATATTGTTGTATATTTTTATTGAACGAAAAGTAGAAAGTGAAGTACAAACCTGTCAATTTCAAATTTTTTGGTTATGTTGGTACTATTTAGGGTCCCTATAAAATTTACGTTTCTTTTTTATAACAGTGAAGTTAGTTACTTAACAGTTTGACGTTAAGAAATTTTAATTTTATTTTAATTATTTGTGTATAAATATAAAATTTTGTCATTTTCAATAACGAAATTGATTTTAAAACATGATATAACAAAATTAATCTTGTGGTTACCAATTTTATAATAACTTGACAGGTATTATAGGAAAAAAGAAATTCAATCTTATAATTGTAATTTTTTTTAGAGCCACTGATGCAGATCAAGGTAACAACGCTGCAATACGTTTCGCAATAATTGGCGGTAACACCCAAAGCCAATTTTCAATCGATAGTTCAACGGGTGAAGTATCATTAGTAAAACCACTCGATTACGAAACATTGCGTAGTTATCGCTTGGTAATTCGTGCTCAAGACGGCGGGAGTCCAGTTCGTTCAAACACCACCCAACTTTTAATCAACGTTAAAGACGTCAACGATAACGCGCCGAGGTTTTATACATCGCTATTTCAAGAGAGTGTCTCTGAAAATGTCGCGTTAGGTTATAGTATAGTTCGAGTTCAAGCTTATGATGCTGATGAAGGACCCAACGCTGAAATTAAATACACCGTTGGTGCGCGAGATTCAACTGGAGGTAGCACCGACGATATTCCATTAGCTGTTGATTCGCAATCAGGATGGATTTACACGACTAAAGAGTTAGATCGAGAAGAACAATCAAAATATATGTTTCATGTTATAGCCACCGATCAAGGTGTACCGCCGCAAAGTGCCACAGCAAACGTGATAATTATCGTTCAAGATATTAACGATAATAATCCGGTTTTTGAACCAAAAATTTATGAAGCAGTCGTAGCTGAAGATGATACTCCAGGAAAACCGGTCGCTTCTGTAATAGCCACAGACGCCGACGAAGATGCCCGGTTGCATTACGAGATAACGAATGGTAATATTAGAGGGCGTTTTGCAATTACATTACAAAATGGGAAAGGATTAATTACGATCGCTCAACCGCTTGATTACAAACAAGAAAAGCGATATATTTTAACAGTATCCGCATCGGATTCCGGTGGAAGAACCGACACCGCCACGGTTTATGTTAACGTTTCAGACGCGAATAATTTCGCCCCCGTTTTTGAGATTGCCCCTTATATCGGGAGTGTTTATGAAGATGCACCAATTGGGACAACAGTTTTAGTCGTTACCGCTACTGATAACGATGTGGGTTTAAACGCACAAATTACTTTTACACTTGGCGAAGAGAATGAAAATTCCGATTTTGTGATTAATCCCCAAACGGGGGCTATTTTAACGAATAAAAAGTTAGATAGGGAATCACACACCGGTTATTTATTAACGGTGACAGCTAAAGATGGAGGAAACCCTCCACTTTCAGATACAACCGATGTTGAAATAAACATATCAGACGTAAATGATAATTACCCGATTTTTAAACAACCGATGTACTCGGGATCGATTATGGAAGATGCTTTAATCGGAACTTCCGTTGTTCAAGTTTCCGCAACGGATCTTGATACTGGTTTTAATGGTCGGATAAGATACACTTTGAGCGATAAAGATTTAGAGGATGGTTCGTTTGTGATTGACCCAACAAGTGGGGTTATTCGAACTAATAAAGGTTTGGATCGGGAATCCGTAGCCGTTTATGAATTGGAAGCGTACGCCATTGATAGAGGAACCCCGGTTTTAAGCAGTTCGGTTCCTGTTCATATTCGAATTGAGGATATAAACGATTCCCCCCCTGCCTTCGATTCGGATAAAATCACCTTATACATCAACGAAAACAGCCCGATTGGATCAAAAGTGGGGGATATCCACGCAAAAGATCCCGACGAAGGTGTTAACGCCATCATTCAATATTCGATAATCGGTGGGGAAGATTCACAAAGTTTCTCGTTGGTTACTCGACCGGGATCAGAAAAAGCTGAACTTTTAACAATGACCGAACTTGATTATGAGAGTAATCGGAAGAAATTTGATTTAATTGTGAGGGCGTCAAGTCCCCCATTACGGTCTGATGTACACGTTGAAGTTGTTGTAATGGATGTTAACGATAACGCACCAGTTTTGAAAGATTTTCATATTATTTTTAATAATTTTCGTGATTGTTTTCCAACGGGGCCGATTGGAAAAATTCCAGCCACTGATGCTGATGTAACCGATAAATTACATTACAGGATATTATCGGGAAATAACGCCAATTTAGTTTTGTTGAATGAAACGACGGGGCAATTACATTTAAGCCCCCAATTAAACACGAACGTCCCAAAAATCGCGTCGATGGAAGTATCAGTAGGCGACGGAAAAAACTTTGTAAAAGCAATCATGCAATTAACAGTCAGATTAATAACTGAAGATATGTTGTTTAATTCAGTAACAGTTCGATTAGATGATATGCATAAAGAAGAATTTTTATCGTCGTTATTGCAGTTTTTTATTGACGGTTTAGCGGCGATTATACCTTGCCCGAAAGAAAACGTCTTTTTATTTAGTATTCAAGATGACACCGATGTGAAACAAAAAATTTTAAACGTTAGCTTTTCGGTGAGAAGGCCCGATTTGCCCAAAGAAGAATTTTATTCGCCTCAATTTTTACAAGAAAAAGTTTATTTGAATCGAGCTGTTTTAGGAAAACTTTCATCGTCTACAGTTTTACCATTCGATGATAATTTATGTGTTAGAGAACCATGTTTAAATTTCGAGGAGTGTTTAACCGTGTTAAAATTTGGAAACGCATCGGACTTCATCACTAGTAGCACGGTTTTATTCCGACCTATTTATCCAGTTAGCACATTTACTTGTCAATGTCCGGTTGGTTTTACGGGATCTCGAGAACATTATTTATGCGACACTGAAGTCAATTTGTGCTATTCAACACCTTGTCAGAATAATGGAACTTGTCGGATCCGCGAAGGGGGTTATACTTGTATTTGTCAAGATGGTTACACGGGATTAAATTGCGAAATTAAGTTGGAAACCGATAATTGTAAACCGAACATTTGTAAGAGTGGATCGACGTGTTCATCGAAACCGAAAGGGGGGTTTGTTTGTGAAGATTGCACTTTATCGACGGATTTAGAGCATTACACCACACTTTGCGAATTAAAAAGTCGCTCGTTTATTAAACAATCATTTTTAACATTTCCAAGTTTAAAACAACGACATCGATTACATTTAGAATTAAATTTCGCCACTCATTCTCGAAACGGATTATTACTTTACAACGGAAGATACAATGAACAACACGATTTTATCTCGTTAGAAATAGTCGATGAAAAGGTTCAATTTAGTTTTTCACTTGGCAATACGGTCACTAAAGCTTCCGCTTCAATACCCGGGGGCGTTTCCGATGGGGAATGGCACTCGGTTGCTGTGCAATATTATAACAAATCAATTACGATTTCTTTGGATGGTTGCGACACCGCTTTGGCGTTAAAATATGGAAAAGAATTAGGTGGGAAATGGAATTGCGCCGGATTTGCAAAACACGAATTGGAACCGCGTTGCGCCTCATTAACCGAAACTTGTCATCGCTTCCTAGATTTAACCGGCCCGTTACAATTAGGTGGATTACCCGAACTGCAAGAAGCTTTTCAACCAAAAAATCACCACTACGAAGGTTGCATCTCAAACTTTAAAATCGATTACAAATTTATTGATCTCAACAGTTTCGTCGCCGACAACGGAACAATCGCTGGATGTCCGGAAAAAAAATCTTTCTGCCAATCGAAACCTTGCAAAAACGGCGGGATTTGCACGAATAAATGGTCGATGTATCATTGCGATTGCCCCGAAGGGTTTGGAGGGAAAGATTGTGGCGAATCGATTAATTTGCCGTGGAAATTTAGCGGCGATGGGACCCTCTCGTTTAACCCATCATTAAGGCCGATTCAATTACCTTGGTTAAACGCTTTAAGCGTTCGTACGATTCACGAAGATACATTTTTAATGTCGATTCATATCGGGCAAAATAGCTCGGCCGTTATTAGTTTAAAAAATTCTTTATTATTATATACTTATAACGGCGAAAATTTAATTTTAAATTCGCGTCCTTTATCAACCGGAAAATGGAACCACCTAGAAATAACTTGGTTTGGAACCGAAGTGAAACTCTCGGTTAATTACGGCGAATATTCCACAACATTTCCGTTTGCGCAAAAAATACAGAGTTTATACATAGGGAAAATTTTAATCGGAGGCCCCGATTCGACTTATAACAGTTTAAACGCGGGATATAATTATTTTGAGGGTTGTATACAAGACGTAAAAATCGGAAATCAACAAACATCCTCAAATAGACCTACAGTGCGTGAAAACGTTGAGGATGGGTGTTCATCAAACGGCGAATGTCGTTCCGATTGCCCCGAAACATCCACTTGCGAAATGTTAGAATCGGATTCTTTTCGTTGCAAATGCAACGATGGTCATGTAGGACCTTTATGTACCCCGGTTTGCGATGTTTCTCCCTGCGAAAATTTCGCAGCCTGCATCCCAGATTATTCATCACATAAAGGCTACGTTTGTCGATGCAACTCCACCGAATATTCCGGCGAATATTGCGAAAATAAAGTAGCCCAACCTTGCCCATCAAGTTGGTGGGGATTCCCCGTTTGCGGACCGTGTCATTGCGACATCGCAGCCGGTTATAACCCGGATTGCGATAAAAACACCGGGTTATGTCATTGCAGAGAAAATCATTATCAACCAAAATCAACAACAAAATGTATTCCGTGTGATTGTTATTTGACCGGAAGTTACAGCGCTCAATGTAACACAGAATCCGGTCAATGCCGATGTAGAGATGGTGTTATTGGAAGAAAATGCGATTCTTGCCCAAATCCTTACGCTGAGATTACACTAAAAGGTTGCGAAGTTGTTTATGATGGTTGCCCAAGAAGTTCTTCGAGCGGGATTTGGTGGCCGAGAACAAATTTCGGGGAGGAAGCCCTCGAAAATTGTCCGAAAGGATCATTCGGAAAAGCATCAAGATCTTGCGATAACCAATTAGGAGGTTGGCAATTACCGAATTTATTTAATTGTACCTCCGAGAAATTCGTGGAATTACGCACCCAATTATCGTTAATAGAACAAGATCAATTACAATTAAATTCTTTCGTTTCAATAAAACTATCCAGCGATTTACACAAAGCAACCAATTTAACGTTAGATTTATACGGAGCCGACGTTTTAGTAACATATGATTTAATCAAAAAATTATTAAAAGAAGAATTAAACGCGACCGGTTTAAATTTAACTCACAGCCAAGATAAAGATTTCATACACAATTTGGTTCAATCGTCCAGCGTTATTTTAGACTTAAAATATTTAGATCATTGGGCGAAAATCAAAGAGTTAAACGGAGAAAGCACCGAAAATTTAATCGGATTAATGGAGAAATACATAAACATCCTCGCTAAAAATCAACACGATACTTATACAAATCCGTTTGAAATTGTCGCGCCTAACATGGTTTTAGGTTTAGATATAATCACTCCGGAATCGCTTTATGGGTACGAACCGGATTCTTTATTATACCCATTTCCGGGCGAATACACCACTGAGAAGATCGTTTTACCTGATACATCGCAATTTTTAAAAAATGAAGTACAATCCGTAGGACCATTAGTTTCATTTCCAAAGTACAATAATTATCTTAAAGATCGAACCAAATTCGATCAATATTCTAAGATTTTAGTGCCTTTGAAGTTGCTGGGAATTCGTCCAATTGAGCACGGCGAATTATTAACTAAACATAGTTTATCCGATCATGGCGCTGTGGTTAGTTATGCTGAATATAAACAAGCCGGGGCTTTATTTCCGGTTGTTTACCACGAATCGGTAATTACAAGATGGGGTGTTGATATCACGATTGGATCGCCATTAATTTCCTTTAGCATTTATGTCCCGGAATACATAGATCCGATTATTAAAAATAATAGTAATATTAATCAAAAATTCGATGATTTTCAAAATTTAGATAGCGATAATATAAATAACGAACAATCGGATAAATTAATCGGACCAAACTCGGAAAAGGACCTCTATATGATAACCGATTCTGATCGAAATCTTAGATTCCGAAGGGAATTAAATCATATTAAAGAAAATCAAAAACTTTTTTACAAACGTTTATCAGATTTACCATTTAATTTACCAATACGTTTACAAATTTGGTTAGATTCCGATATAACCGTATTTAACGAACGCTCAAATCCCCAATGCGTACATTGGACCGACGCCCGAGGATTCGGCGAATGGACAAGAGTTGGATGTCGAACGGAAATTGGTGAAAATTGGTATGAAGAATCCGAAAATAAACCGTTAGTTGTAAATTGTACGTGTAATCACCTATCAACGGTAGCCGTTTTGGTTGATATCGTCGATTTGGAGTACATCCCCGAACCATCAATGCTGGAAAATATTTCAAGTTATAGCAGCTTTTCAATTTCTTTGCCGTTATTGTTAGCTGCTTATATCATTTTGGCTATTCTACGCGGAACTCAAACGAATTCAAACGCCGTACGAAAAAATTTGGTTCTTTGTGTGTTTTTAGCGGAGTTATTATATTTCATTGCTTTAAAAGCGAAGAAACCAATGGTGGGAAATGAGGTAATAATTAATTTTATTCAAAAATAAATAAATTTTCACTCCGATTTTTGTTTTGTAGCTTATTTGCAAATTAGTCGCAATGGGCCTTCATTATTTATGGATGGCCGCTTTCGCTTGGATGTTAGTCGACGCCCTACACCTTTATCGGATGCTCACCGAAATGAGAGATATTAATCACGGCCCGATGCGTTTCTATTATTGCGTTGGATACGTTTTACCAGCTATTATCGTCAGTTTAGCTGTCGGTGTTCGAGCACATCAATATGGAACTTACTTTTTGTAAGACTAAAAATATTATTATTGCTACTTAATTTATTTTTTTTTAATTTTTATTTAGTTGTTGGGTTTCACTTCATGAAAGCGTCGTTTGGAGTTTAGTCGGCCCCATTTGTCTCATGGTTTTCATTAATTTAGGCGTTTTAGTCTTTGCCATTAAAGCCGCATTTACGTTACAAGATCACGTTATGGGATTCACAAATATACGGTAAGATAATCAAAAAATATTTCAAATAATATATTGATATTTTGGACAATTGAGGTTATGTATTCTTGGTATTCTTATTGAACTGTCACTTTAAAAACAAGCGTTCCTAATCTCTACTGTGTAATATCTTCATTCTAAAATTATTAAAACATATTAACATAACATAATTTATGAATTAACACAATCTACATTAATATTTACGAACATTATTACAATTTTTATTACAACAAAATCACTAGAAATGTCATTTTTTTTGCGATTTAGGTTGGCACCAAATTTTTTTGACGTTTTAATTTGAAGTTAATTAATTTTCAAACTAGATTACTGAATCATTACTCACATAAATTAAATACTTTGTAATCACTGACGCGAATCCATGTACATATAATATAAATGCTAACACATTTTCTTTTCCTATAATACGTGTCAAATTGTTGTTGCTACTATTGACAATATTAACAGTTGGTAAGATTGAAATCAATTTCTGTCACATTGACGTTTAACAATTTATCACAATAAAATCACATTATATTATTAAAATTATTTTTTTACGTTTTCAGTGGACTTTTATGGGTGTCGGTGATAGCTTTACCTTTATTAGGAGCATCGTGGATTTTAGCCTTATTATCCGCATCTGAAAAACATCCCTTATTAACACCTTTTCTATCATTGGCGGTATTTTTACACGCCGCTTTCTCTTTGGGCGGTTATTGCTTCGCGAACGGCCGTGTTCGTCAAAATTTGCTTCGACTAATACTGACTTGTATGGGTAAAAAAGTACCATTACTCGAAACTGGATCGATAGCTGGAGTACCAAGTACGAGTTCTCAAAATTTAAATGCGCAATCTCGCTCGGCTTTAGCCTATCATAGTACTGGCTTGGACGTTGTTGGTGGAAATCGTCGAAATGTGGGTATTTCAACGTCTTCGACCACATCACGATCAACGACGAAGACGAGTTCAAGTCCCTATAGGAGTGACACTCATTTAAGACACACTTCAACGAGTACCTCAAATTATAATTCAACGAGTGATGTTCCGAGTTATATGCGTGGATTTGAACAAGAATCTCAATTGCAGCGAAGGCGCGGTGGTGGAGGGGATAATCATCAAGAGGAATCTCGTAGAACTAGAACGCGTAATGAGTCCGATTCGGATTCTGATGGATCTGAGGGTCGTAGTTTGGATTTAGCATCGAGTCATTCATCGGATGATGATGAGTCATCAAGTACCCGACGGCGCGAACGACCATCGAGAAATGCAGCACCTCGCCAGGGGTATTTACCGAATATTACAGAACATGTTGCTTCGAGATGCGGAACTCCACCTGCTTTAAATATTGTAACAAATTCTCAACTATTTCCAGCGGTGCAACCCATGATTTATGCACCAAGGTGGTCGAGTCAACTGCCGGAATCTTATCTTCCAAATACAAATAATGTTCAAGAAGTAGGAAGGTGGTCAGCGGAAACTGGTTCGGATAACGAGTTTTGCCATAAAAATAATTCCCCAAATCCGTTACCGAATCCTGATGTAACTCCTGATACTTGCTTGCCACCGTTGCAAAGCGAACAGTACATGGTTAGGACGACACAGCAATATGAAGCTCAGTACATTTCAAATTTACAAAATAAAAATGATTACGGGTTAGAAAAGAGGATGCCGTCTCATGATAATTTAAATTATCAGGAGTACTCTGAAAGGGTTTCTGATAATGATGAGAAACATCACGATAAATATCATTTTCCTTATACGGCGGAAGAAGATCATGTTTCAACCCATAATAATTACGTTCATACACCATCAAGTCGTATGATGTCACCGATTATTAATGATGTAAATAATCCAGGTAGATTAAAAAATAAATTAAAATTAAAATTTGTTATAAAAAACTTTTTAAAAGGATTAGATTACCATCATAGTTCAGCGATGGGGTTGCGAATGAGTTCAAGAGTTGGTTCAGCTTTGGGTTCATTTCATGGTTCCATTTGTGGCAGCATTCGAGGTTCTCCTTCACCATTAATGCCACCAGTTTCTATGATGCATACAGCTCATCATCCAGATTCAACACAGTAAGCTTCTAAAAAATTAATTAAAATTAACTAATATCCTCTTTTGGGTGACTTAAAATTATTTTATTTAACAAATTAACAAACAACGCAATAAATAAAATTAAATTGAGGTTAAAAAAGTATGTTGGCAGCCATGAAAAAGAATGTGTTTAAATCGCGATTTTAAACATAAACACGATTTAAATGTTTAATGATTTTAAATATTGCGTTATTTTCTATTCTCTAATAATCTTTTTAGATGGTGTTGGGAATACGGATTAAATAATTAAATAAAAAAGATAATTGGGTAAGGTTTTTTTCACATTGAAGGTTGTAAATTTGATGGATATTTTTTCTTTTGAATTGATTTAGGAAAGAAGATACGAATGAAGAAACGTCTGTATAATACTCAAAGAAATGCTAAAGTAATTGAAGAAATTGTACAAAAAGAATACATCCCGCTTGATGAATTTATTTAAACAAACCGCTATTTTAGATAAACTATTATATTATATTAATAGATGTAAGTATAAAAAGATACCTATCATATACTCTTTATATAGAGGGGATAATCTTAAGATGAACGTATTTTGCTAATTGTAATTACGAGAATCAGTCCAAAATCCGAATGAATTTATTCCTCGAGATATAAAAATAAAATATTCCTTATTAATTAAGTACTTAATTAAAATTAATGTATATTGTCAAAAAAACATTGCCATAGTACTTAAATTGTTTAATTGTAGTGATTTTATGATATTATTTTAAGAGTATTATTTTTTTTTTAGTGATGTAAACTCAAAAGACTTTTTTATATATATTTTTTTTACTTAAAATGCTCACTTAAGTTGATATATTTGTAGTAATAAATCATTATTTTTGTACATACAAATGCACTTTAAAGTTAAGTAATTAGAGCGAGACTTTAGAAGCAGATTAAAAAATCAAATACTAAATAGAGAAAGCAGGAGATATTTTAATTAAAAAAGAAACTTATGAGATGATGTGATAGAAACCAGGAAAAACCAGAATTAAAAATGAAAACGTTGCGAATTGATGAAATATAAACCCCCAAAAATAATAAAACCAACACAAAAACGAAGTTAGAAAGTAATTTAAAAATATATATCAATCCAAAAATGATATTCGATGCACATATTTATCTGGGTATTAAAAATAAGCTCAATACATCTTTATTATTAAACAAAGAAGTTTTAAAAAAGAAGCATATATGACAATATATTAAGCATTTATGTATTGTGTATTAAAGATCTAAAATATACAAGAATTACAATCTATATTATGTAATAAGAAACGTAGGGTTTGCATAAAAATAATAAAAATCGACGCAATCCCTTCATATCCATACAAATATAAATACAATCAAAATTTCATTAAATGGAATTTCTAATGGAACTGCTTCGACCTCTCTAAGTAATAATAATTGTGGTATTTTTTTTAGTGTACATAGGACTTAATTAGTTTTTACAAAGAGACGTAGGTTTGTTTAGCGACAGTGCGTTAGTTTTTTATAGAACCCAGTGCCTAAAAATGAAAAATAGAAGACGGAAACAATGCTTCTTTTTCGATTTATTTTCGTATACGACTCCTTTTAACAACACTTTTATAAATTAGATCTCATTTTTATAATAACTTTACATATCTTGTTTCAATTACATTTTTTTAAGGTTACGACGTACTATCTTTCCGACTGTGCAATGAACATTCCTTGTTTTATATATAATTTTTTTTATATTGTGATTTTTTTTAATAAATATTTATATACCCATATTAATTGTTTTATTGCGTTACGGATATATTCCTCTAGCTCGAAACCCTGATACTAGATTAGCCGCTAACATTGCCATAGGCCATACAACACTCAGAATATGTCCAAATCTTCCTCTGGTTATATTTCTTTCAGATTCTCGCATTCAGATCAAAACTTCCTAATCCCAAAAATGTTCAAACGGTCTAAAGACACTCTTATCTAGCGGTTGTATTTGTTATTTCAAGGCCTTTTCCCTCATCATTTGCAAATCAAGTTTTAGGCCTTATCTGGCACAAGTACTTATTTAAATTATTTAAATGTGACATAGCCTACCCAATAAACACCATTGAAAAAAATTTATTTTATCAAAATAATAATTATTAAAGTACGAAATTTTTTAATCTTATATATATCGATAATTTAATAATAAAAATAAATTAATAATAATTAAATTAATTTAAAAATTGGAAAAAATTAAAACGACTAACTTCACGCCGTTGTCTTTATTTTGACATTCACCATCTCAATTTAAATTTTTTATAAAAAAAAATTATCAAATGCCCACAATTTCTTTTTTAAAAACTATAAAAGTCATTTAACATTAACCATCTACGTTAATACACGGTTAATTTCAAAATAAATATGTTAATCCCGCGTTTAGTGAACCTAACCTCAAAAGTTTTTTCGAAGAATTCGACAAGATGCCTCAATTATATTCCGATGGTGATAGAACAAACCGGGCGAGGGGAAAGAGCGTACGATATCTATTCTAGGTTATTAAAAGAACGAATAGTGTGTTTAATGGGACCTGTAACGGATAGTCTAAGTTCTGTCATTATAGCACAGTTACTTTTTTTACAATCCGAATCTAGTTTGAAACCTATTCATATGTATATCAATTCCCCAGGGGGTTCTGTAACAGCTGGACTTGCAATTTACGATACTATGCAATATATACAACCCCCAGTTGCTACTTGGTGCGTTGGACAAGCTGCGAGTATGGGTTCGTTGTTGTTAGCCGCTGGAGCTCCTGGAATGAGATATTCATTACCAAATTCAAGAATAATGATTCATCAACCTTCAGGTGGATATACAGGACAAGCGACCGACATTCAAATTCATGCCGAAGAAATTTTAAAATTAAAAAAGCAAATTAATCAGTTGTATGTGAAGCATACCGGCAAAGGTTTAGAATACGTTGAAAGCAATATGGAGAGGGATAAATTTTTAAGTCCTGGCGATGCTTTGGAATTTGGTATTATCGATAAAGTTTTAACTACTACCCCAAAGAAAGATCGCAAAAGTAACACTAATACCTTAAAAAGTACACCGAGTCCAACTATCATACAAAGTACTAATAGTGGTGATGCCGATGTTAAACCTGAATTGAGTTAAATGAAATAATTAAGTGGACGTTATTTAAATAAATAATTTTTTTTTTATAATGTGATTTTAATTTTTTCCTTGCATAAACCAGGTAAGTTGTCATTGTGCTGTCATAATTTTTCACATAACCTTAATGACATTCTAACCTCACTTTATTTTGAATCTCCTATATTTAAAATTTGAATTATTTTAATTCAATCAATTGCAAAATGAATTAAATAAAATAATTAAGTGGATTTAAATAAATAAATTTTGTATTACCTGCTTTTAATGTATTCCTTGCATAAATCAGGTATGTTGTCATTGTGCTGTCATAATTTTTTACATACCCTTAATGACATTTTAACCTCACTTTATTTTGAATGACGTTAATTAAACGCCTATTTTTAAAGTTTGAATTGTTTTAATTTAATCAATTATAAAATGAAAGAATTAAGTGGATATTGTTTAAATAAATAAATGTTGTATTATCTGCTTTTAATTTATTCGTTGCATAAAACAGGTAAGTTGTCATTGTGCTGTCACAATTTACATAACCTTAATGACATTCCAACCTTACTTTATTTACATAAAACTTTAAATGTTAATTAAATGTTTTTGGGTTGATTTAAAGGTTTTTATTAATAAATACACAATATTTATTTTAAACGTGTAAAAAATTTTATTGACGCATCACATGGAGCGCATCATAACACGTACAAATAGCTAATCGCATCATGACAAGTCTTGAAAGGAATATAAGGTAATTAATAAATTGTATTGACAAGTATTAAAAAATAAAAAAAACATTAAATAATTGACTAAGTTATTTTGAAGAGAAATGCTGTAAAAAGAAAACATGAAAATTAAACAAAATTTTAAATTGAACCAAAGAAAATAATGTAATCTTGAAATTCTATGTAATTTTAGTCGTTGTTATTAAAGCGGTACTAGACACCCGTAATTAGAATTAGCACAGCCCAGTAGAGGTGCAGTACCGTCCCGGCATCAAGAACTACGAATTTTTTTACTACGAACTTTCGCTTGAAAATCTCTAAGCAAATCTTCAAAAGTTCCCGTACCACATTCATCATCGCGAGGATGATGATCAATATAATCATCACGCATATTGTCTAAATCCGCATAACTCGTTTTACAAAAGACTCTTCTACCACCAAAACTCAAATCGTAGCGCGGCAAACTGCAATCATCGTTACCATGTTCGACAGCTTCGTAAGCATCCTCCTTATAACGAAACGTAACGAAACCATAATTATCTCCGGATCTCCGAAAATGCACGCTAACATAATTAATAGGACCAAATTTAAAGAATCTACGTCGCAAATCTTCTTGAGTCGTCCCATTTGATATTCTACCAACATAAATTACCCTTCTTTCTTCAATTTCTCGAATACGTTCGGAACTCGTTCTTCGCCGTTTCCTATTTGTCGGCGAAAGCGATCTTGATGATGATGATCTAGAAGATGATCTCGATGATGATCGCGAAGATGACGACGAAGACGATAACCTCGATCGCCTTCGGATTATATCCGTTTGAACCCGTTTATTACAAGTCTCTTTTTTCGGACGATTTTTATCTAAATAAACAATTGTTTTATTTTCAGCTAAATGAGGTTCAGTTTCTGGTTTTTCTTTTATCGGAAGATGATTTTCCACCATTGAGGCAATCAATGAATTAGGACTAAAATTAACCGAATTTCCTTTCGTTATTTCTTGTACTTTAGCCCATGTTTGATCGGTATTAATACCGATACTAACGTACGTTTTCATTTCTAAATTTTTTGGAAGTTTTGGGTATGGGTCAAGGCCCCAAAATTGATTTTCTGAGGAAGTTACTTTTTTTTCTACTAAATTAATTCGATTTTGACGCCGTTTTTTATACTCCTCTAAATTTAATTTCTTTTTTGTATCTAATGTTTTTATTGTGTTCACTTTTAATAACGACACCATTAATTTCCCATCGGCCATTTTCACCGTTGGTTGATTTCTTAATATTGAACGTTGATTTATTATGTTTTGTTGGTTTAAATTATGCGTTTTAACGTTATTAGATAAACAGTAATCGTGATCTAAACGAATTGAATTAATTATTTGTGTATTTGGAATTTGTTGATTAACTTTTAGGTTATTTTCTAATTTTTTTTCTTCGATAATTTTTTTTGGGGTAATTTTCTCGATTAAACCGCTTCTTTCAATGACTTTTTTTAATACAATTTGTTCCGATTTTTGTTTAACTTCCTTTTTGATCACCCGTTTTCTTTCTATGTGTTCAGGTAATATTATTGGAATTTCTTTTATTATCCTCCCTTTTTTTTCTTCATGTTTAATTGAATCTACGCTTATTTTTTGACCTTGTACTATACATTGATTAGTTAATGACTTTTTTTGGTTATTATTAATACTTAATTTCTTTACTTTTTTATCTTTCTTCGCCATAACCTCTTTTTTACACAACTTTTCATCAATTTTAATTAATTTACAAGTACTCCCTATTTTATTTTTCACTTTTATATGCTTTATAGGAATTTCTTTGTCTTTAATTTTAACCTTTTTATCTTTAATTATCTTTCCATTAGTTGAATTAGTCATTTCAACTTTTTTAACTTTTTTCTCAGTCCCTTTTACTTCGCTAGCCTCAAACTCCTCTAATAAACTAACCAAATCGCCCGCTTGCAATATCGTTGGATCTAAATCAAATGAGGTAACTTCGGTTCTCTTAAAATCTAAATTATTTTCCTCTAATAATTTATTTTCCACAACTTTTTTCTCTAAATTAATCAAATTATCATCTCCACATTCTGAAAGTGTCTCAACATCGACATCTTCTTCAGAATCGGGTCCACCATCATCCTCCTCAACAATGTATCGTGCATTTTTCATATCAATCTTTTTCCCACCAGGTTGTTGCGGGACATTTTCGGGTTCATTAACATATTTAGTGATGTCGAAATCAGAATCAGCCAAATGCCCAATTGGATCAACATTTTCAAAGTTCCCGCTTAAATCCAACGAAGTCACCACATCCTTATCAAGGAGTTTATCGCAGAAAACATTGTTACTTAACACATCTTGAGCTTCTTCGGCAGTTTGAATAGGGCCACAAACTTCTGAGAGATCCGAAACGTTCGGAATCTAATTTTTATAAACGTAATAATTATAAATCTCAATTTTATACGATTGTTTTACCTCCAAACTTGAGATGTGTTGAGTCCACTTTTCCAATAACAACATATTATCAATTTCGTGATGTTGAGGAGAAATTGAACGTTCGCTGAGATCCCCGGTGGCTTCGCTCGTTGGTGTAGCACCAACATCGCTGTGTAACCTAAATTTAAATTGATAAATAAATAAATAAATAAGAGATAATAACAGTAAAAACTTACTCCCGCTCGCTTTCCCATTCATAATGATGATCCCTTAAGTCACCGTAAATGTCATCCTATTATAAAACCGATTTAGTGAATAAAAAAAAATTTTAAATAAACTACTTACCAAATAATAAGAGGAAGAGTGAAAGGCTTGGAAAGTTTCCTCTTGATGAAAATTAAGGAAGCTGGCATCCATAATTAACTAGTGAATTAATATAAGAAGTGGGTGCGTGCAAAAGTGAGGTTAGCTCGCACAGATTTCCCAAATAAATAAGCCTAAAATGACACGGACGATACAGCTTTCGAATATTTTTATAGTTACGATTAGTTTTTCGAATCCTAATGTATCAAAAAATCCTCTCGCCACCTTTCCAAGTTATATTTATTTGTAAATTATGAGCACATTTTTTGCGGGATATCCGCAATAAGGTTAGAAAGGTGGCGGACATATTTTTCGGTTTTTCCATGAAAATACGACTGGGGCGATGCCGCGTTGTACTCACGTAATAAATACGGGGGCTGCTCGAGCCCGTTCCTTAGGTAAAAGGGGGCGATACTTTATTTAAGTAGGAATAAAGTCACTAAAAACTAATCAACATATCACATGTGCCAGCCAACCATGCGGTACTTGCACGGTGCCACTAAACTTGATGCCCTGTTTTACCGACAGAACCGACCGCGTTTTAAACACCACAACATGTGGAACACTTGTTATTTAAGGCGGGAAAATTAAATTACATTGTATTAAAAAATCACACCAATGAATAATTTATTTCTGGAATTTCACAATCACCAACTATTATCGTTCATTTTTTTTAGTCACTTAAAAGGAATTTGTTCACAATAATTCGTATCATACTTTACATTGAAAAAAAAATTTCAAAAATGAATTTAATAAAAATTAATACAGTAATTAATAATTTAAATGACATAGAGACATTTATTTCAATTAATAATAATTTATTGTAATTTTACATTTTAATTACGTGGTTCTTTAATAGATGGCGCAAAAATAAAATGTCAAATGACTTTTTAATTAAAAATGTCGAATTGTTTTTATTAACATCATATATTAGCAGCATTATATTAACAGCTTAAAACGTTTAAATTATTTTAATTCATAAACGATTTTAAAATTGCATATTAGAAACAAACATCATCATAATTCATTCATTTTATTAAATTATAAAAAAGACATTGTTAAGTTATTAAATTATTACACCAGTTTATTTTTGAAATATATATAATTCGATTAACTATTAATAGATGGCGTTAATTTGCTTTATTAAATTATAAGAGAAGACATCATAAATTATTAATTTATTAGTTATTTAACCAACAAGTCTATTAATGAAGGCGATTAATTATCGAGATATTTTAACGCGTGAGCGAGCGAAGCGAAGCGAACGCGTTAATTATTGAGATAATTAATCGCATTTTAATATACGAGTTAGTTACAATATTTTTCCGTTGACCGTCTTTTCAACAAAATAGAGAAAATCCATCGTTGAAAAATCTCCCAATTCTGTCACTGACAAAATAACCTCACTTTTAATGTGTCATAATTTATTTTTGTAGTCTTACCGAATAGATATAGTGGTCGGTTGGGTCGGTATTACAAATTTCATTGGAGAATATTTATTAAATTGACTACTATTTAGTTCGGTCGGACTTTCTTAAAATCGTTTATTAATAGAAAATCGTTTATTAATAGGTGTCATTAATGAATGATTTTGTATACATTTATAAATCTTATAAATACACGGTCGACGGAAAAAGTTATTTAACCCTTTGTCTACCAGCGGTACTTAAAAGACTCGCAAAATATACATACGTTCAGCTAATCAAAGCTAACGTGATTATTATTGCTACAGTGAGACTTAAAAGTACCGCTGGGTGATAAATGACGTTTTATAAAATTTAATTCTGGTAGGGAAGGGGTTAAACTACTTTATTTTGAAATAAATATAATTCGATTAATCATCAATAGATGGCATGGTAAAAATGTTAACTGGATTTATTTCGTCAAAAATTTTATCTTATGTAGATTTTTAAAAATATAATTATTTAATTATAATTTAGAAAACCATTAAATTAAGTAAATAAAATTCAAAACTTATTTTAATTTTATAAGCAAAAAAATATTTTTGAATAAAGTTAGTTGAGTTGCCTATACTAACAGTTTAAATTATTTTATTTGTGAATTTTAAAATGATCATTAAAATTAAGGAAAGTGATTTGAAATAGCGAATATTTATTAATCAAATATTTAATTTAAATTACATATCTAATTAGTACCGATTTTTATGATTCAATAGATTTTATTTGATGGTAAATATACCAACGAGTAAAAAAAAGAGAAATCGATACATCTTCTCAGTGTTATTCTTGCATTAATAATAAATTAGTGGTCATTATTGGTGATGGACAAACATGCGTTGTCCCATGTAACGTCAGTTCAATAGTAATTATCCCCACCGCCACATCATAGTCACAAAAAATACAAAACCACGACTATCTTCCATCGTACGAATATTCGCGGTTCATCTTGCGTTGGTGAAGAGTGGTTCGCGTTTCGCGTTTCAGTGATGTGTTTGTAACGAAATATAACATAGAGACAACATTTTAATAAATACAAATTGAAGATTATTTATTAAAAAATCGTTTTAAAATTTAAACTGACCCTTATTACTTCATAAACCGGTTAGTATTTTATTAAGTTTAAATTCGTTAAAGTTCAAAAAATAAAATGAAATATAGGTTGGCATGGGATAGTCACTGTGTCAGTATTTTGCAACAAATAGTTACAACATAGGTTCTTTTCAATTTCTTCGAGCGCGGAAATCGTGGGTTTTTAGATTTTAGAATGGATGTTGTAATAATTGGGTTGCGTTCTATTATGTAAGGGAGGTTATTGTAACAATTTCTTATTTGTTTACAAATATTTAAAGATTAGTTATTAAGCGTTCGTTTTCGAGATTTGAATTAAGTATTAAGATGAACTGTCTCATTAATGCAGTTGAAATTGCGTGATTTGCGTGTTGATTTTAGGTTTGAAAGTAAAATTCTTTTTTCAAGGTTGGTAAACCTTTGAGTAAAAAAGTGTTTTGTGTACATAATATTGTTTGCTAAATTTATTAAAAATTTGCCGATCTCGCTAAACCATGTAGAAATATCGTTGACAAATTCAAATAGAAAATATAAAGTGTGCAAAAAAATAATTTACTTTTTATTTTTAACTTTAGCAATTTTTTTATAAAGATTTTTTTTGAACAACAAAAAAACATGCGTCATTCGGAATTCAGACAACTACTATTTATCGAATAAAGTGAAATTTGAACCTTGTTCGAGAACACAAAAAAAAGATAAATGAAGTGTACAGGTGGTTGGACCTTCTTTGAAACTTGTTTTGCTACATGCTCGACCTTGAAGGTTCATTTAAAATCAAGGCAAAAACAACGAAAATTAAATTAAATTCGATTAATTAAGACTGTCACATTAATTTAATTTTTATAGTAAAATAAAATTCTGTTTTTATTTTTGAATAAAGATAAATTTTAATAACTAACTTCACGATATTATTTAAATTTTTAAACGTCAAAATGACATTTAAAAATTGAAACTTTTTTTAGGTTAAACATTGATTTTTTGGTCTTTTTTAATATTGATAGTTTTTACTGTTAAAAAATAGAATAAATTTGAAAAGATAGGAAAAGTACTTATATTAAAATGTTTTTTCCCCTACAATTTTTTATGCAAACTTTAAACGGTTGATTTTGCATGTTTATAGACTTAAGTGGTTTTCCATGAACCTTGACGATAAAAATTAATGCTCATAAAAAGTTTATTTAAAACATCATTTATTTTTCAACTTTCTTTAAGTCCCAACTTGTTTTTTTAAAGATATTCTTTAATTTTTTGATTTTTGGAGGTCGTTATAAATATAACCTCAAATTATGACGTTTAAATACCTTATTCAATTTTAAGACGTTTTAATTTTCTAATTATTCTTATTTCTTGTAGTATCTTTTTAAAAAATGGCTACATCAGAAGGTGCCATCACCATAGAATTAAAACGTAGTCAACTTAAAACGCAAACTTCAACAGTTTCAAGTCGAAGACAACAAGCAGTATGCGTACGAAGAGCTTACAAAAGATATGGTACAAAGAAAAATCCTTTCGTAATTTTAGACGGTTTAAATATGACCGTGCCAAAAGGAACTATTTACGGCCTTTTAGGAGCTAGCGGCTGCGGAAAAACTACACTTTTAAGTTGTATAGTCGGCAGAAAACGCTTAAATTCCGGTGAAATATGGGTTTTGGGTGGTCACCCAGGTTCGAGAGGAAGCGGAGTTCCTGGGCCTCGTTTAGGCTATATGCCTCAAGAAATTGCACTTTACGGTGAATTTACAATCAGGGAAACCATGCGATTTTTTGGTTGGATTAATAATATGAAATCGAGTAAAATAGAGGAGAGATTACATTTTTTGCTCGAATTGTTAATGTTACCCGAAGCTGATCGACAAGTTAAAGTATTGAGTGGAGGACAACAGCGGAGGGTTTCATTGGCCGCAGCTTTATTACACGAACCGGAATTATTGATTTTAGATGAACCAACGGTTGGAGTTGATCCATTATTACGAAAAAATATTTGGGATCATTTGGTTGAAATTACAAAACAAGCCAGAAGAACGGTTATTATTACGACTCATTATATCGATGAAACTAGACAAGCACATTTGGTAAGATTTGTTATAAATAAAAAAATAATAAGAATCGAGTTACAACAAATTAATTAAACTAATTATTGAAATTATCGAATTTAATTAAAATTAGAGTATTTTATCGCTACTGAATTTAGGTTGGCAACAAACAAAACGTCAATTTTGACAGTTATGAAATACGATTAAGATTGAATTGAAGATAGTAACTTAATTCTTTTCATTTTTAAAAACTAATTTTATAATTTCTTATAAACATTACTGCATCAAAATAGTAAATATTAACCAAGTTACTACACGTTAATTAATTATTTAAAGTACAATTTAAATTTTAAGGATTTAATTAAAACTGGATTTTGTTTGCTACTACATTTAGGTTGGCAACAAAAACGCGAATATTTTTAAACATTCTTTTTATATAAATAATGTTGAATAAAGTTTCGACGATAAATATAAATCATTAAAAAATGTTTTAAGTTTGAATTGAAAAAAGTACTAATTAATTCCGTACGAACATGGAATTCTAATCTACCGACCACATTTAGTCATTAAACCTGAATACGTAATGTTTTTTTTTCAAGTTTATTCGTATGATTACAACTCGGTATCAATAAATTACCAATTAGGTGATTAATCAGAAGCCATATGATATTTACAAAAATTAATTTTCATGTAACAATAACGTATAATGTGGTATAAATAAATAAATTTTGAAAGGTCAATGTTGCCCAATTAAAATAACCTCAACAAAGATGACATTTAAAAATATATAAAATTTATTTAAGCATTTACAGTTGCTCACAAAATTGAGTATACAGGACTGCAAGATAAATAATTGTGAATATTTCAAATAATTAGTAATTTATTTTAAAGTTTGTGATTGTATTAACTAAACTGAATGTAATATAATTCAGATTTCCAAATAAAATAATCACAATATTAACAATAATAACAAACGATACGAAATTCACGCCATAAAATTGAGTATAGAGTTAAGCAAAAGTGATTCAGTTTAGGTTGGCGTCAATCATCGACGCCAACATCAACGAGCATTTGCCGTAGCATGGAGTCCACCAACTTTTTGGTGTAGTTGATAACATAGTGTAACTTAATAAAATGTAGCACATATTTTAAAACTTAAAACGTCAATAACATGGTAATTATAAAGAAATTACCAAATTGTCGTTTATTTGGTGTGACTCAACGTTGAGTTATTATAAGCAATTTAAATATTTAATTAGTTGTCATTTCAAAAATAGTAAGAAATTTACCGTAATGTTTAAATTTGAGTAGTTTTCAATTTTCTACTATATTACGAAACAGATTCAATTTAAATTGTTAATTGATGCCGAAAACAATTTAAAACGTTAATTGGCAAGGTGCCGTAATCTCTTCACATTTCATAATCTTAATATAACATTGTTAAATTATGTAAAATAAAAATAACTAAAGACAATTTTATTTTCTTTATTAACTAATGCAGATTAAAATTTATTATGTAATACAAAAATTCCAATAGAACTTTCTTTCTCTTCAATTTCTTGGCCTAGTTGGCATCTAGTAAGAGTTACAGTGAATCATCAGATCGAATGAGATTACTGAGAAGCTTCTTATGTAAGGTGTAAGTGACCAAAACAAAATTTCCTTGATCCACTTAAAATTTACCATGTGTATGGTTGCGGTTCAAGGCAAAATTTCGTCTCGTGCGTTACTCAATAAAAAACCGTCTACGTAAAGACACCGCAAAAAAAACTTTAACACATTATACTATCTTGAATGCCAATGATATTATGACGCAATTTTCAGTTTCAACATTATTTATTAAAAATCCCATATTATAAATTATTTATTCTGATTGCAGCGATATGAAGTTAATTTTTAATTTAATTTTAGATTGGATTAATGCGTGGTGGTTATTTCTTAGCAGAAGCATCCCCGGCAAGTTTAATGCAACAATATGGTTCCGATTCTCTTGAAGACGTTTTTCTTAAGTTATCAGTTATTCAAAATCAAGGAAAACGTCGTCGTTCATCAATTGCTCAAGTTGTAACTTCAGCGATACAAGTTCCCTCTGGTATTGTAAATGAAGCTGCTGTTATCGATGACGAAGCCGGTGAAATATCTGGTGAATTTGGTGATAATGTATCAACTACAAGTCGTACTAGACGAATTTCACTTACTCCTGATAACACCGATTTGCCACCACCGGAATTACCGCCAGAAGAAGATCCACCAAGAAAATTTGCTGACTATTTTAAAATTTTAAACATGGAACATATGAAAGCATTAATTTGGAAAAACTTTTTATGGATGGCAAGAAATTATCCGGTTATGTTGTTTATTATAGTTTTACCTATAGCTCAGATTATCCTATTTTGTTTGTCAATCGGTCACGACCCGACTTTCTTAAATTTATCGGTGGTCAATTACGAGTTGAACGAGGGTGAAAAATGTTATAAAACGCACGAGTGTAACTCAACGCGATTAAGTTGTAACTTTTTGGATTATCTCGAGAATAGAACATTGATTTTATCCTATTTTGACACGTTGGAAAAAGCTCAAGATGAAGTTAGAGCTGGTAATTCTTGGGCTGCCGTTCATTTTCGACACAATTTCTCCGACGCGATAAGAGCTCGACTCAATGATGGACGATCTTTATCAGAAGCTAATGTTATTAGTTCCGAAGTGGATGTTTATCAAGATATTTCAAGTAAATCTATAATGTTTAAATTTGAAATAACCTTAAAAAATTAAAAACATAACCTTAAAATGTCAAAAATATTTTATAACCCTAATTTTTCTTTTTGTTACTTTCAGATCAAAATATAGGATCGTTTTTAAAACGTGATTTATATAAAGCTTTTGAAACGTTCTTTCAAGATTATTTAGAAGTGTGTGGAATTGATAGAAAGATTGGGCAAATTCCTATGCGTTTTAATGAACCATTATACGGAGCAAATGCACCAGATTTTACTGATTTCGCAGCCCCAGGAGTTATTTTAACGTAAGATATCAAAATCATAGTTTTACTCTATTTTTTACTTCGGAGCAGTAAAATGAAAAGCCCATCTTTACACTAGTGTAATTTTAAAAAGCTATTTTTTGGCGGGTGTTTTAAAACCAGAGAGGATTTTAAGTAAACTAGTTACGAATTTAATTATTTATTTGTTTAAACATAATAAAAACCAGGGCGTACCTACTTACTTTGTCCCACATAAAATGCAACATGTCAATATAATTTGATATTACACTAAAACCTCGATATAACGGATTAATACAGGGAAGGTAGTGTCCGTTATAGCTCAATAAAAATATACAATAATCTATCGCTGAATAACAAATAAAACTAGACTAATACTAGCACTAGAACTAACACTAGACCTAGAAACACTCCATTTCGCTGTACCTCTCTTAAGACGGCTGGTAGGCAGCGCTAGTTAGCATAAAATATCACTATGTTGCATATTTTTATTGCACTAAAACTAGAACTAACACTAGACCTAGAACTAGAATCGTCCGGATTTAGCCGTCTTGAGAGACGTGCGGCTTTTTTAGTTTCTAGGCGGCTGGCAACATCTCGAATTGTTCTAGTATAATTTTTGCTTAAAACTGACCAATAACAACCCTTCTTTCTGGCGCTTCAATTTGAAAACACTTCTCCGAATTAAAAAATAGAGTATAATACTCCTTAATTATTGATTAATTTTGTTTTGTTTTCAGAATTGTTTATTTCTTAGCCGTAGCTTTAACTTCGGGAGCTATGCTTTTAGAACGAAACGAAGGCATTTTGGAACGATCCTTAGTAAGCGGAATAAGCGGTTTGGAATTACTTTCCGGTCATGTAATAACCCAATTTATTGTGATGGCCGTCCAAACCGGAGTCGTTTTAATTTTTTGTTTCGCTGTTTTTAATATTACAATAAACGGCAATCTAATGTTAGTGATAATTTTAACTTTAATGACTGGTTTATGTGGAATGTGTTTCGGTTGTGTTGTTTCTTGTATTTGCGATACTGAACGTACTGCTACGTATTTAGCTTTGGGGTCGTTTTTACCAATCGTAATGTTATGTGGCATTGTTTGGCCCATTGAAGCTATGCACAAATCGTTACAAATAATTGCATTTTTCTTGCCGCTTACAAAAAGTACAGAAAGTTTACGTTCCATTATGCAAAGAGCATGGGTTTTTAATAATCCCGTTGTTTATGTTGGTTTTATTAGTACATTTCTTTGGATGGCTGTTTATTTAACAGCTAGCATATTGTTACTTAAGTTTAAAAAGGGGTAAGGTGATTGTTATATTATTATTATTTGAGGAATTCTTGGTATTGTAATAAAATAAGTATTTATATTTCGTAGGGATTTTTTGATTTTAATTTTTAGTTCATAGTTCTTGTTGTTTTTTTATAAAATTTGCCGGCTATGGTGCAATAAATTATTAACAAAAAACACTTTGTTGTATTATTATTAAAGGATCAAAAAATTGAAATAAACTTAAAAAAATATTTTAACTGACATTAATTTTCTTACTTTTCCATCGTATTTTATAGATACACTTGATTTATAGTGCAATAAATACAATTTAAATTAATGTATACAAACTAATTTAATGTATATTTGGTTGCCTAACTTTTCAACACATGCGCTGTCAATAAAACGTAACCTAAACGTAAAAAATAAGGTTATGTCAATTACCTTTTTGAGTGGTTCGTATTTCTCTGCAATAAACTAAGTTAATTTTATGGTGGGTGTGTTTTTCTTTATTTAAAACGAACTCCGATAAAGATTCGATCATAAATAAACTAAAAAATGGGTTCTAGTAGTAAAAAATATAAAGAGAAAGATGCTAACAATAAGAAGAGGAAGCAAAGCCCCAGTAGGAGTGATTCGGAGGAATACGATCGCGATCGCCACCGAGATAGGAAACATAAACATAGGAGACATCATAAGGATAAGAAAAGGCATAAACATCATGATTATGAAAGTCATGGTAAGATTTTTTTCTTTAATTTAATTTACTAAATAATGGTAATACTTCTCCAAGCAGATTCGGACGTTATCGAGGTATCCCCTGATCGCGCTCCATCACCAAAACGTGATAAAACTCCTGAACAATCAGGACAGTCCCAAGAATCCCTTTCGATTCAAGAATCAAATAAAATAAGAGCTCAACTTGGGTTAAAACCACTTGAAGTTAACAAAGCTGATGATAAACCCAAAGCTGATGGTAAAAAGAAAGATGATTGGGGTGAATTTTATCACAAACCAGCTGGAAATATCAGCCAGAAAAACCAACAGGAAAAAATTAAAACAAAATTGGCCGAACATAAAGAAAAAAGATTAATTGCTACTAAATTATCAAAAATAAAACCATTAGGGGAAAGCGATAGTGATGATAATGCGTCAAATTGGGTTGATAGATCAAGAAAAATTGAACAGGCTAAGAAAGATGCCGAAAACCGTGCTAAACTTTTACAAGAACTGGATGAGCAATTTGGAGTAACCGACATAATTGAATCCGAAACCAAAGGAAGAAGACAACAACAATATTCAGAAAAACATTTAAAAGGGTTAACCGTCGAACATGACATCAATGAGATAGCTGAAGAACGATCTGTTATTTTAACATTAAAAGATAATAATGTTTTAGATGAAAAAGATGATGTTTTAGTGAATGTTAACATGGTTGATAATGAACGTTACAAGAAAAACGTTGAAAATTTGAAAAAGAAACCTCAGTATAATGCTTATGATGTAGAGGAATTCGATGAATTTGGTAATCCGATTGAAAAATCATTATTGGATAAATATGATGTTGAAATTGATGGTGAAAAGAAACAATCGTTCAGAATTGGGCATGATAATTATTTGGAACGAAAACACGCCGCTATGGAAAGTGTTAAAAATAAATTGGCTAATAAAAAACTGGAAAGCTTACAAGGACCTGGTTTAACTTTGGCTTCGGAATATTATAATGAGGAGGAGCTAACTAAGTTTAAAAAACCAAAAAAGAAAAAGGTACGAAAAATCCGCGAAAAAGGAAAATTAACAGCTGACTATTTAGAACAAATACAAGATGAAGAAAATAAAAAGGATGTTAAAAAAATTGAAGAAATGGATATTGATGATATCCCAGGTGAGTTATTTATAAATTTACAAATTTTTGTTTTAATCAAATTTTTCTTTAGATATCAAATTACAACCGGATCAATTAAAATATGAAGAAAAAGATGATGCATTTAATCGTGCAATAAAAAAAACTCGTCTCATGAAAGACAAAGAAAAATTAATTGATGTAATTTCAGCTTTAAAAGCGATTAAAGATGAACCAATTGAATCGTCACAAATCGATACTGGACACATCATTTTAAATTCAACCGCAGAATTTTGTCGCACACTCGGCGATATTCCAACTTACGGTCGTGCAGGAAATCGAGATCAAGATATTGTCGAGGAAGATTTATTAGATTTCGAAGGAGGTGATGCCGGAGGTAATAAATCGGATGATGATTGCCAAATAATCAGCGATGATGAAGGTGGTCGTTGGAACTCCGTCGATTTAAATGAACACAGACACTCAGAATTGAAACAATCGGAAGTTCCGATTTTAGATGAAGAACCAGATGTTGGAACGGGGGTTGGAGCTGCATTAAAATTGGCTATGAGTAAAGGTTATTTGGATAAGGAGCAAAATAATCGGCCGTCCAACACACGGTTAGCTCACTTACAAGCAAAGCATTATTCAATTGAAGATAAAACGTACGGTGATGATATAGAAAGGGGCGGGCGAAGAGAACGATATACGGGACCAGTATCGGAATTTAAAGAGAAAGATACCTTTAAACCCAACGTTAAATTGGAGTACATTGACGACGAAGGTCGAGTTTTGAATTCGAAGGAAGCTTTTCGGTATTTATCACATAAATTTCATGGTAAAGGACCGGGTAAAAATAAAATTGAGAAGAGATTAAAGAAACAGCAACAAGAAGGATTGATGAAGAAAATGAGCTCCACAGATACACCGTTAGGTACTTTGAATATGTTACAAGCTAAGCAAAAAGAGATGCAAAGTCCTTATATTGTTTTAAGCGGTGGTAAACATACTCATTCAACCACAATTTCAAAACAATCTCGTCGATAAATTTTTTTTAATTAATTATTTAGAATAATTTAACGATTATAATATACCATGTAATGAATTAATATAATTCAATAAATATATAAAGCACAACTTACAATGTATGGGGTACAAAGAATTAAATTCAAAACCTCACCTTCTTAACCTAACTAAACTGACAGTTGACGCCATCTATTGAAATAATAACAAAACCTAATTTAAAGTCAATTAAATTGACTTATAAAATTTTTATACATAATATAAATTAAAGCTCTCAATTAATATAATGATTTTAAAAATTATCAATGTAATTTATTATATATAGTACTTAATAAATTAAATTCCTTTTAAATATTTTAGAACGTACACTATTTTAATAAACTAACTGTCAAAGTATCACAACATAACCTATATAATATTTAATAAACCCTCTTCTTAGTAAGTTATCATCTTCCAATACATTTCAATAAAAAAATGTGTGTGGCACTAAAATATATTGTTGATATGTACGAAAAAGAATTGTATTCCAACGTAATAAAAACAGTAAGTCAAGTTTTAATTCATAACATCTCAATATATAGATTTATTTCAATTTAAATTAAAAACAGATTGATATGGCTTTATTATCATCCGATCAGAAATTAGAGTCAACTCCAATCACAAAACTTCAAGTATACTTATACTATGGCGACTCGCATTATCAACTACAACAGTATTTACAAGCCGAAGAAGCTTATACTCAAGCGTTACAATTGAGAATGTTTCTAATGAAATCCAAGTCAAACGGAAAATTAAATGAAAGTCACCAAGAAATTCCTAATGATGTCGATATAAAATATAAAATGCATTTGTGTTATGTATACTTGAAAAAGACGAAAAAGTCTCTTGAAATCTTACAAAGTATTCCAAATAAATCCAGGGATGCCAAAATAAACATGGCTTTAGGAAATTTATACAGAGATGGTGGATGTGAAAAATCAGCCATCAGTTATTATAAGGAAGTTTTAAAAGAAAATCCTTACGCAATTGAAGTAGCTGAAAATTTATTGAAGCTGGGTGTCAAAGTGAGTTAAATGCCAAAAGTGATAACAACCTAAAAAAAAATTTATTAAACAATGATTTTTAGGGTACAGATGTAAATTCTTTAATGTTAGAAGTAACTTCAGAACCTAGTTGGTTAAATCTATGGTTAAGAGGTCAAGCCCAAATGTATTCGCAAGATTACAACAGCGCAATTGCAACGTTTAAAAGTCTGGAAATTCAAAATCTTCTCAAAGACAACAGTTCCTTATTAGTTACTATTGCTTATTGTTATGTTTATCTTTGTGATAACAAATCCGCGTTACAATATCTTCAACGGGCGATTAGATCCGATCCAAATATGCGTTACGGACGGGATTTATACGCCTCTTTATTGGCGCGATCAACAGAAAAAGAACATTTACAAGAACTTGAAAGACTTGTAAACAATGTCGATTTAAACGTTAACTTATGGACTGCAGAATATTGGGTAGTGATGGGTTACTGTATTTTTGTACATAAAAAATTTGTGAGGGCGTGCAATTTTGGGCAAAAAGCTTGTTCTTTAAATAGTCGATGTGTGGAAGCGTTACTACTTAAAGCTTACACTTTATTTGAGGTTAATAAGTTATCCGAAGCTTTAACTCATTTTAAAGAAGCTAAAACCATTGCTCCAACAAGGTTAGAACCATATAAGGGAATTATTGATTGTTATTTGGGATTATCACGTCCACGAGATGCTGTTAATGTTGCTATTCATGCTTGTAGAGAATTAAAAAATAGTCCTCAATCATTAACTGTAAGTATTATGTATTAAAGAATTAAAATGATTTAATAAATTAATTTTCTTTAAGTTATACGCTAAAATTTTACAAAAAAATCCAAATATGACATCAATGAGAGTTCGAGATCTTTTGGATAAAGCGTTAAATAAAGATCCAACTTATCATCCAGCAGTATGGTTATTAGCGGAACATTTAGAACAAGAGCAACGACACGAAGAAGCGTGTAGTGTATTAACGGCTCATGTTGCTGAATATCCATCGTCAAGAACACATCAAATGCTTGCGGATTGCTTTTTAAGGTTATCAAAGGAAGACGAGGCTGTGTCGCATTATAGTGCCGCTATAAGATTGGATCCGTGTAATCAAAGGGCTTTAGATGGATTGAATAGCATAGGAAGAGGTGGCAAATTAGACGCTAATTATTATATGTCCGTGGGTGGGGAAAGTTCTTATACTCCATCGCAAGGTCCGAGTGTTCCGAGCGATCAAGATTTAGATGGCGAAAGCGAACCGGATTTATGGGCAAATAATGGTGATTTCATGAATTATGATTAAATAATTAATTTGTATCAAATTTTTTTTAACCTTACTTTTTATGTATGGGCGAATAATTTTTTTTCAGAATACTTATTAATCCAATAATAAATTGATTAATTAGGAATTTATAAGGTTTTATTCATCATTAAGAAACCTTCCAGGTTTTTTTATTTAAATTTCGTTTCAAATCATTAATAAGAGGCATTTTAAATTTGGAACTAAAATGACCTTGTTTGTGATTGGTTGAATGCTTTATTTTGACAGTGCTTTGTATTTATAGGTTAGGTTCCCGACTCTTTTGTAAACTTTTTTTTTTCGTCAATTTAATTGAATAAATTCGGTTCTAACAAATATGGATCACAAAAAATTTCATTTCTGAAAATGCGTTATCAGCTTTACCAAAAATATTTTATTTCGACGCATTTGTAAATAAAAATACACTTAAATTCACTAAAATAACAAAATAAATTAATAATTCTTCAAAATTGTTCCATTGTAATCTCGCGAAAGTAATCGTACAGCTGAAAACTGACGAGAATTTCCCCATGGCTTTGTTAAATATTTTAATTTACCGTGCGGTTAACCTATCAGTAATCTTTGAGATGAACGAAGCATGAGAGAAGAAGTTATCACAAATCCTCGGACAAGCGCTCCAAAAATAGCAGCAAACCTTCAAAATCAAATTAATAAAACTGTAAGTGCAGAAACTGTGAGATAAGTTTTGCAACCTGCCGGTTATAACGGACGTGTACCGCGAAAGAAACCCTACATTAGCAACGTGAATAGAAAGAGCCGTATTGACAAGATTAAAAGTTGTACTAAAATCGAATGGAGGACCAATTAAGTACTAGTACTACGCAGGTTTCATTGTTCATTGCAACATTTGGAACTGTACTATTACTTTTGTGAGGTTGCAATTTTGAAGAATTATTAATTTATTTTGCTATTTTCTTAAGTTTAAGAATTTCTTACCTATAAATCTGTTTAAAATGAACAATTATAACTATTTAAAAAAAAAACTTATTTACAATCCTATTTTAGAAATCATTCAAAACCCGTTGCTGTACGATGACTTTTGGGACTGACTGTATATCTTAAGTGGTCCACCACCGGCCTGTTTGCCCTAATTCTGTTTTGATTAATTTATTTAACCTAAAAGATGTTTAAAAAACAAAAAAAAAGATAATAGATTTATTTTTGCGGTATTTCAACGCACGCTTTCCACGTAATCCTCGCACACGGGTACCCGGCAATTTTCACTTTCGCATTTGGTTACGTGCACGATCACGTTCCGCCGTCACGTGTTTCCGCTCTCGTAGTCGTCTTTTTTCCCCGCATTACATTTTTTTCTCCTCTCGCGATCAACACGGAAATTAAGAATTTTTTGGTTACGCAACGCGTTCTTAGTTTCTTCGATTTATTTTCACTCAAGGAGAAAATAAAAATTGAAGAGAACTTTATTATAACGCCCTCTTACAATAAAATTCTAAATCTCGTTTCTTACATTATTTCGGCTAATAAATAATTATGTGTGCCTGTTAATAAGATGTTATTTTAGTGTGTGAATTTATTTTAAATGTGTGCGTGTGTGTGTGGCCGCCCGAGATTATTATTGGAAGTCACGTGGGAGTCCACGTTACCCTGAACGTGACACTAGACTATCGGAGGCGGCTTTGCTCGTATCGGAGACGCCACTCGTGTTCAGAACGACGCGACGCGAGCTCCACAAACGATTTTTATAGATACTATAATCGTTGTCCGAAAAAATAACGAGTTCACGTGTGCAAAAAAAAAACACTTTTGATTTCATTTTTGTTAGCATTTCATTTATATTCGTTTTTAATGATTACTTTCGACGACTTTAATATAAATATAATTAAAAATTAATTTGGTGAATACATTATAAATTGGATAATTCGAGAATTTGCAAAATGAATCACGGTTATTGGGAGGAAAACGCGGCAACGCAGCACGTTAAATACGAAAGGTGAGTGTTATGTGGAATAAATATTTAAAAAAATCGAATTTAATTTAATATTATTTTTAATGACGCGTTATAAATGAAATTTCCCTTTTTTTAACACTAGATCGCGCGATATCCGAAACAAAAACAAGACGATAACCAGTGGAAAGTTTACTTATCGACGTCACGTGCGCCTGTCATGCGACACGTTCGTACTCGATATACGACCCGTTTCGATTTATTATTGATAATCTCTTCACATAAATACAACATGTCATAAAATTCAAACTTGGCGATTCTCAATTAATCCAATACGAACAAAAAATAATAATAATAATAGAGATTATTTTTTTTTGAACATTTTGTCACATGCTTCTCATTTAAATTGAGATCAAGAGATCGAGTTTTTATCGTTATCATGTTTTTTTATATTTGTTATCTTTATTTTATTTCATACTACTTAAATTTTATGACGTCACAATATAATAAAGTTTTAGAAGTTTTCGTAAATAACTCATTGTTCATCATCTGCACCAAACCGGTTCAATAAATTAAACAAAAATAATTCCATTAGTTGCACATAACCTAATAAAATTTGATAAGATTACTTGATACCTTTAAATAAACTTTAAAGAATGATTTCATCGCTGTAATGACCTACGTTATTTTTTTGTATAACCTCAAAAAGAAGAAGATTTATTAGAAGAATAAACAAAAATTATATTTAGTTTAAAATCAACACGTTAATTAGGTAAAATGTTCGTAATTAATATTATTTAAGTCGTTCACGTGGATAAATAAATATTACCACAACACAAAACATATTTTGAATCCGGTTTTATCGGTGCCAAAATTCCATCGCATCCTCGTACGATATCAATAATATCGTTTTGGCTATAACGTTTAACATAAATTATTTATTTCGTTAAATTACTTTTTAATGCTTTAAATTTTAATTTTTAGGTTATGTTCTCCGATATAACTGTCATTTCTATTAGAACGCTTACGTTTTTGAGGTTATGATCTTGTTACGATTTTAACTAAATTTAAAGTAATTCTATGTGATTTAAACTTAATCAAAAGGCATTTTAAAATATGTCGCACCTACATTAAAAGCTTTAAAAAGCACTTAAATAAAATAACACTAAATTTAAAACGAGCGCCGACGACTATCAAATTGATCTTGTCAAATTTTGACATTCGAAAGTGACATTTGACGTAAAGATGACGATAAATCGAAAACCAAACTAATTAACATAAATAGATGTGGTTAATTAACCACAAAGTTAATTAGCACGAAGACAAAAAATGTGTATTGCTTAGATATCGTTAAAATTCTAAGAAATCCAAAAATCAGTTCACAATACAAAACATATTTTCAATTTTGAATCCGGTTTTATCGGTGCTAAAATTCCATCGACTCCTCGTATGATATCAATAACATCCTTTTGGCTAAAACGTTTAACATAAATTTAAATTATTTATTTCAGTAAATTATCTTTTGATGCATTTAAATTTTAATTTTGAGGTTATTTCTCCGACATAACTGTCGTTTTAACAAATTTCTTTTTTTACTTATTCCAAAAAGTTTCCCACAACATATTTTAATTTAACCAATATTTAAAATATAATTTTAATCGTAAATGAATCAAATTGCAAGAAAAAATAAATTTTAATATAATAAAGGTATACATAAATGAGTAATGATAAACCGATTTGAAGTTAGTTACAAATTGTTTAGTTATTAAATTTCAAGGTTGGCAGCAAAATTACCCAAGATTTAGGTTAAAACGTCAAATTTCTTTTTAATTTTTAAATCATTTCTACTAATTTCTTTCCTTTTGTCAATTTTTGGTATTTAATCCTTTCTTTTAATTTTAGTGGAGATTCAGTACCATGTTGTGAAGTATTGGCACCATATTCGGATTCAGAATCAACATATGGAGTTCGTTTAACAAAAAATCGTGTATCCAGACAAGATCCTTTATCACATCGAATAATCGAAAAACGTCGTCGCGATCGTATGAATAATTGTTTAGCTGATTTATCAAGATTAATTCCTGCGGAATATCTAAAGAAAGGTAGAGGCAGGGTTGAGAAAACTGAAATAATCGAAATGGCTATTAAACATATGAAACATTTACAACATTTGGACGATTATCGTTTGGGTTATCAAGAATGTATGTCGGAAACGATGCGTTTTCTTGTCGAAGTGGAAGGTCGATTTCCACGGGAACCTTTTTGTGTTAGATTATTGGGACATTTGCAGCAACACTGTGATTCGTTAACGAAACAAGCGCCCGTTGAAGATGCTTCGAAAGTCGAACCAAATAATAATCATATCGAAGAGGAATTACCTCAACATCATGAAAAACACACGGAAACTTATAAATATAAAACTAATATTAAGTTGAGGTTTAATCAAGACTTACAGCATGCAAGAAGAAACTCTACTGCAAGTATTGAAAATCATAGGTAAACATTAATTTTATTTTAAACAATTTTAAGAACTTTAACCTACCATCTTATCTGAACTATTTATTATTTTTAATAAGACACTTTTGCTTAATCATTGTTATGTAGGGGAAAATCTCAAGGTTATAAAATTGTCTCAAAAAGAAAATGAGAAAACAAGTTGAGTTAATTTTTCCAAGAGTCGGTGACTAATTTACCTGTTTTTCAAATTGTTCTATTCTAACTCTTACAAAAACGTAAACAACATCTAAACTTAAAAAGAATCTTAAATTTTTTATATTTTTATCTTGGTCTTGTATTTTTCCGTATATTTTTATTATAAATACCGCGCAATTTTAACCTATTAACCCGCACTTGTGCCTTAATTACGCAATTTTTAACGATTAATACTTATCCGGGCACATTTACATTACAAATTATGATGATGACAAACGTTACAGGTTTTCATTTCAAAATGAGATTACGAAAGAACGAAATAAGGTGTGGTTAATCAATCATCAAGAAAAGAAAAATGTTTATTGCTTAGACATGTTTAAAATTATGGACGATCCAAAAATATATCATAGAAAAATTGTTTTCACTGGTTTTCACTAATAATTAGAATGAAAATTCAACACTATAATTAAAAGCGTTAATTGAAACGTTTAAATTCGAATTCACTCATCCGTTTGTGTTTCTGAGGTAATATTATTTTAAAATATGTTCTACCTACCTATTATTTAAAATGAATGCCCACGATTTTGATAAAACTTGTTTGCTTTTTATTTAACGCTAGTGTGATATTTGACGTAAAGATGGCGCCACCAAGTTTGTGTTTTTGAGGTTATGGTTAGTTGTTCTTCCGGTAGGTTATTGGAGTTCGAACTTTTGTTCATACTCCAGCAACTGAGTTTACTCTGATTTGTTTTCTCTCTTCAATGTTCTTCTTTTCTCTATCTTCTATGCTCTATCATCCGCATAACTTTTTGCGGTTATAATCTCCTTCAATTTTAACTAAGTAATACTATATGATTTAAACTTAATCGAAAAGTATTTTAAAATATGTTCCACCTACCTTAAAAGCATTTAATACAACTCGAGTGTAACATTTAACGTAAAGATGCCGCCACCAATTTTTATTTATTTATAATAAATACTTGTTTTGTTAATCTTATAGGCTAATTCATAATATTTTATAGACCGTCTTTAATTTCGCTAAATAGAAATAATGAAAAATAATACATTTAAATCGAAAGCCAAATTAATTAAACTAAATTAGTGTGGTAACCACAAAATTAATAACCACGAAAGTAAAAAAGGGGCATTGCTTAGATATCTTTAAAATTGTGGGCAATCCTGAAAGCAGTATAAAAAAATTTACAAAAATTATTTTAATAAATAATAATAAACATGACAGATCACAGTAGTGACATCTATGAGTGGTGTTCAACAATATCATTGATTATCTAAAAATACTAATAAATCTCAAAATAATTGCTTAATTGAATACTTAAGGTTAAATCTGGAATAAAAACGTTAATTGAAACGTTTTATTAAAACATTTAAGTTTGGAATCGTTCACCCGATTGCGTTTTTGAGGTTATAATCTTGTTATGATTTTAACTAGATTTAAAATAATACTATATGATTTAAACTTAATCGAAGGGTATTTTAAAATGTTTCGCTTACCTTAAAAGCTTTAAAAATTAATAAAATCACGATTTAATTTAAAACCGAGTGAGTTTGATCTTGTCAAAACTACTTGATTGTGCTACAAGACATAAAGATGGCGCCACCAATTTTAATAAATCATTTATTAATTTATAATAATTTTTAGATCGTCCATAATTTTATTAAATAAGCATAACCTAAAATAACTCATTTAAATCCAACAAAATAACACTTTCCCTCCCTTCACAACTAATTTAATATTTTTCTAGACGGTATTCTGCTAAACGACACCGCCTTGGTAGGTGCCATCTAGCGGAGAATTTTTAGTGTTGTAAGTCACATTATCTAGGGGATGTCCCAGGTTCACTCTTCCTCACTTGAGCCGCCAAATAGGGGGCCGGTGGTAAACCAAGACAGAGTACTCGCATTTACATTAACGGTGAACACGCAGTTTGATTCTCAAACATTTAATAAAAAAAATATTGAGAGCAAACCGCATGTTCCCCTTCTCTTCCTCTTTCTGTTTACAGTTCAAGTCATAGTTCGCCACCAAGCAGTGAGATGACGTGTACGAGAATGTCAACGGAAACGGAATTAACATCACATCCGGGGGAGAATCATCTACATCATCACAACAACAATCATCAAGTCAACAATAGGGTTGCAACGAGTAGGCCGACACCCACTCGCGCGGCACAACATCAAACCACCAATTTTAATGTGCCCGTGTTCGTTTTACATTCAAAAGGAACGTTTTATGTGCCTCTATCGATTGATTACCAAACCTTGTTGCCATTTTTACACGATTGGGACCTCTTGGAAGTTCATAGCGTCGTTCTACACCCCGTTACCATTAATGTTAGCTTTCCAACGCCTTCCGGTGGCGGAAGTTCGGTACTTCGAGGTAGTACTACTTCTTAGCGACGACGACTATGTTGGCCGTCGTTTTTGGCTGTGATAGTCAGGGAAAATAGATTCCGCGATTTTAATTTTTTTTATTTCGTTTAATGTGAAAGGAGAGAGTGCTTTTTAAGATTAGGTGCAATCTTTTTTTTGTATTTTAGGTAATCAATGGTGGAATTTGACATTCTATCAAAGTGGATGGTCAATGTTAAGTCTTTTTTTTGGGGGGTTATCTAACAATACTGACTGTTTTAGAATTTTGTTCGAAGTGAGATAAATAAATTTTGATCAACCCGTCTAATACAGCCTAATTATTGATTATAAATTTTAATTGTTGTACAAAAAATAAAGTTAAAAATGTATTTTATACAAATTCTTAAAAAATAAATTCTTTTTTTTTGACATTTCGAAACGTCATTTTTCAGTGCCTAAATTTACCAAAATTTTTAGTGTTAATAAATTAACTTTAATAATGTAAAAAAAAATTAAAATGAATTCAAAGAACCGTTTTTGCTACGAAGAGGATAATTCTCCTATAATTCTCACTACGAGACCCGTAAAAATTCATCGTTTAAAAATTGTTAATAATTTCATTCCAAATACACGACGAATCAATCACCGTGAAAATGATGACCATAACTTGAAAAATATTCGCGAACAAGAAATACAAACGGAAGAAATTTTTACCTCAAGCGAAAATGACATCAAGAATTTGACCGAAAATCGACCAAAAACAGGATTGATTTATAAACGAATCATTTACGCACCTTATCCACCAACATTTCAGAACGTTTTAGAATATTCGAATCCTTCAACCTCGAGAAATTCATCAATACCTTTTGAAACAGTCACTCACGAATTTCGATCGAAAAGTCAATTTGAATTTGAAGATAGAGAGACAAACAATTATGAAAATAAAATTTATGGACGAGATTTTAATAATCAATATTTCGATTCAAGTTCAAGTTTAGGATTTTTGAGAAACCATATAAATAACCCAAAATATTAAGATGTTAGATGAGTCGAATTAGAAATAAATTGTTTAATAACTCAATTTAATAAAAAAAATATACTTACTATTTACTCAATTTAATAAAAAAATATACTTACTATTTATAAGATTTGTTTTAAACGTGTGATTTATCTTTTTGACTTGGTGTTGGAGAAACGTAATCATCAATCGTTGCAATATGACCACATTTTACATCACATTTAGGCATTTTCATATGGGGGCATGGATGTGGGATTCTTAATGCGGAGCAAAGGTTTTTGTTTGCTGTACAAGAACTAGTTGCGGTACATTGCCCTGGAACGCCTCTGTTCATATCACATATAATTCGACAACCCTGATCGTTTCTTTTTTTAGCAATTCTCGTTTGTGATCTTGGTTTGTAGGTTCTCGCTTCTTGTTGAATTGCGGTTGATCGTGCTTTTTCAATTTCTTTTAATATCCCAGTAATATTTCTTGGTAATTTACCGTTATCATCTTTAATACATTCTAAATAATTTTCGGCCCAATCTAAATAATCCATCGTCATTTCAATTTTTGCTGCCATCATCATAACGCAGGTTATCGTAACGGCTAACATATTCATCCCAAAATGGTATGTATTCGAAATTCCCACAATCGTATCCGTTTCATCAATAACTGTCGTTTCCCAATCGTTTTCTTCTAAAGCTCTTCGAATGCGAAACTCTCTAGATTCTGTTTCTCGTTGAACCGGATGTATAGAAACTTTTGAAAACTTCTTTTCTGGTGTTTTAATCCTTTTTTTACGTAAAGTGACTTCGTGATCGTAAATTTTGGTGCAACGTTCACAAACATCCATATATTCTTCAACATCGGTTTTGGCTAATTCTTTCGGTTTTATTTTCATAAACCCACCAGGTCGTGGTGGTGTAGCAAAAATATCGGGGTTCCTTGCAGACAAAATATTTGCGTTTGATGTAACCGTTTTAATTTTAGCACGATCTTTTACCAAACTATTACGACTTTGAACCTGATATATTCCAGAACCATCATAACTTCTATAGTGCATATCCCTTGCTAAAAAAAAAAAACAAAAAAAACCTCAATCTTTTAAGTTTTGACAGCATAAATAACAGTTAAATTAATAATTACTCATTCTATATCTTTGATAACCATTTCCATCTAAATCCATTAATACCGGATCTAAATTATAACCCGATCGTTTAGAATAAGCTCCTCTTCCTTGATTGTAATCTTGAGTTGGTTCTCCGTCGTCGTCGTCGTCGTAGTCGTCATCATCATCATCTCGGGCACGTCTGTTGGTTTCTCTATCGTAACATCTATCCCTACAATAAGTCATTTTGACCGATTTTTTTTAAATTTGCAATGACGAAAAATTTTGATACGCTTAAAGAATGATTAAGATTTAAATGTCAAAAATTAGATAAGAATAGTAGTGCCATCTAAGGAAGAGTAGCGCAACTATCAATGTTTTTGTAAATTTTTGAAATAATGGATTTAATCAACACAAATTTTGGTTAATAATAAAATTTTTGTGGTCTATCTCTTAAAGTATCATCATTTTGAAGGGCATCCTTCACACTATCAATGTTGGTCTCGGCACAACCGATATAAGTCTCAATAGATTTTAATCGTAACATTTCTGCTTGAATTTTCTTTATTTGATCTGCTCGCCATTTTTCTAAAAACTCCATGGTGTTTTCTTGTGGTAATTCGACACCGGAAATAGTGGTGGAAGCACGAGAATGTTTCGAATACATCTGATCGTAATCAACACGTACTTTATCAACTATGTCGGAATAATTAACAGAAAAAGGCATTGGGCTGGACGAAATATTCGCTTCATGACTTAACACCCTGTCCACATCCAAACACATTCTTCCAAAACAAGTTTCCGATTCACAAACAGTTTGTTTACTTTTCATTGAGGCGTCTGAGGAGGAAGGCATCACTTTTCGCATCCGTTTCTTCTTTTCCTCCTCTTCAATAAACGAAACTTCTTTAGCCATATCGGCGTATTTCGCTAATAAAAGATCTTCGATAGCTTGAATACATAGCGAGACATCTTTAGGATGTTCACCTTTTCTCGTATAAATACCTTGCAGGAAATTTAACGCCCATTGAAGTTGTACTATCCCTAAGGATACTGGGGGATTATCACTGAATAAAGTCCAAATAACCGCTAACGTATGATCTAATTGAAGGTAAAACGGGGGACATTTTGCGTTCATTCTCACAAAGCTTTTGGCTCGAGCCGGTGCTCTAAATGTATATGGACTTGGAATATAACTATCATCATTTCTAAAAAAGAGATTAAATGAAATTTAAACATTAAATTTTGGAAATTACAACTTACGTTTTCTCTGTAATTGAACCTTCTTTTGGTGATTGAGAAGGAGTTCGATTAGATTGAGCTGGAGATGGGGATTTGCGTTCCGGAGAGGCATTTCTTGCTGGTGATCCAGCAGAACCTGTCGGAGTACTACGTCTTCTTGTTGGTGATTTATTGGGTGATTTATCTTGGTTATCTAAATCACTTAAAGCTCCTCCTTGTGGAGGATTCTCTAAAATGGTACACAATTAGTAAGCTAACATAAAAATGGGGATATTGAAAAAATGTACCTTGATTTTCACTGAAACTAATTGAAGGTTTCTTTTGTGGTGAACCCGTTTTAGACATATTTATTATTTAAAGACTGAATAATTTTTAACAATTTGTAGAAAATGACAGTTCGGATGACAAAGTTTCATTTAAATTTAATTTATATTAATTGTTTTAACTAATTTTTTGTTGTATTATTTTTTTTTATTTAATCTGAAAATATCACAGAAAAGCCAATTGCAACAAACTCAAAAAATTTTGGTGTTTATAAAATGAGTAAAACAAATAAACATGATAAAAACCAAGTGTCATCGTCTGAATTTTTTAATAAAAATCCCGATTTATTCCAAGTTAGTCCACGACCTGGAGGATTTTTAACGCTTTTAGTTCCAACTAGATCACAAGGATGTTTACCGTTGGTAAATAAAAAGGTGTCACGGTAGGTTTGATATTTAATGTTCAACTAAAATAGAAAATTTTAATTAATTTTTAGCAATTCATCGATAGTCAACGAAATTGATTATTGTAAATATAACGATACGATTCCGATGTCCGTTACTACATCACCAAGTAAATTTTCTGTAAAACCACCCGATGCTTTTTCATGCCCCGTTAAAATCCAATCAAAAACGGCTTCTGAATATTACCCAAGTAGTACATCAACTTCGGTGTCTTCAAAAACTGAAACAACAGAAATCCATCGACTATCAATGGAAATGCTTGGGGTGACTATTAGTTGTGTTATGCAAATAGCAGCAAATTTGGATGTGTCCAAAGAAACTTTAGAGGTCGCCAAAACGTATTTAAGATGTATGAAAGATGAAAATGGAAACAAACCAAGAAATATTTTCGGTATTTTAAATGAAATAAGGAAATTATTGCAAGAAAAAACGAGCGATGTTGATGACGATGGTAGCCAAAGTTCGATTGGATCTTCTATTTTTGATAATCCGACAATTCCAAATTCAAGCAACTACGGTAACTAAAAGAATTCTTATAAATATGTATTTGTTTAATTAAAATTATTAAATCAAATTGTAAAGCTTCAATTTTACCACTAAAATCAATTAATTTGAACTCCAGTCGAAAAAAATAAAGTTTTTGTTTCAAAATTATTTATCTCCAAGAACGGTGTCAGTATATTAGTTATGTTATGAAAAAGGGGAAATCCAGTTATGCTCAAGACATGCGCATTGAATGATAATCTACCACCATCTGTAGCCCCAACCTTATCAGTTGACTTTACCGAGTATCTTATCATTTACAGCCCTCATTCAATACTCAGCAATCATTGCACACTCAACCGTCAACCAACACTCAGCAATCATTCAACACTCAACAAAGTGCTACAGATTTGTTTCGCAACCTCAGTGATCCAGGGTGAAGCAAAATAATTTATATTACCTACGAATTTATAATATTATTCTGTTGTATTGATTTGATGAGCCTATTGTTTGGAAAATATTTTTGTACTACATTTCTTGTGTATTTTATAAGTTATTAACAATATTCAATACCTTACCTTGAGATCTTTTAATGCCTTGTAAATTGCGTCGCATGTTTCTGGAATTTTGGCGCTTAGGGCTGATTTGGAAATAATTGTTGAAAATTTCAAATCCTCATTACTTGCCAAAAATCACGGCGTATCTGATATCCGTTCGTGGGGGTTAATAATTTAATAATAAATATAAATCAATGAAAAATACGGAACAATTTAACGCTGAACAACAATTAAAACTAGAACTAACACTAGACCTAGATGTAACACTAGTCCTAGAACCAGAAACATTCGGGTTTAGCCGTCTTACAAGACGTACGGCTAAACATGAATATTTCTAGTGTTAGTTCTATTTTTTGTTAAATAAAAATATATAACAATCTAGCATCGAATAACAATTAAAACCAAAACTACCTTCCTTGATCGAGTTTATCTATGATTTCATGGATTAGAATAACTTGAGGAGTAACCCGAGTTGGATTCGATCAAAACATTGTGTCCGTTCTAACGAGGTCCGTTATATCGAGGTTCTATTGTATTAAAATGTATATTTCCATTTAAAATTCTTTTTTGCGTTTCTAAAACAAAAAGGAAAATTTAGAAAACATTTGGCGATAATTAAGTTTGAAATAAAAATACAAATGAGTACAAAAATCGGTCTTTATTCATAAGAAATAAGCACACTTGGTACATAATCACTAAATACTCAAGAACGCAAATGTTGCATCCGTATATTACAAAAAAAAAAGAAAAAAAAAATTTAAGAGAAATGGTTAGTTTTTCTTTCTTTCTTTTTTTGAACGAAAGATTGAAGTAATGCATAATAGATATATGAGGTGTATGTGAGGGGTGGTCGATTCGAAGTATACAATCGATGTGGAAGGAAGAGGAAAATTATTCGGATTTTAAACACTTTATAACAAATAAAGTGTTGGTGTTTTTTTTTAACATTGTTATAAAGTGTTAACTTATTTTTTAATCCTTGATTCCGCGATCAAACTTCAGATTTAAAACAAAATATTCAGCGGGGATACGAAATGGCACAGTGCAAAGCGCGGAATCATCTTCTCCTCCACCTTCATCCATCTCTTTATTAAATCTTCAGATTTTTCAGCTAGAAGTAGTTTTAATGGTAGGTTGATGGATCTTCGTCGATCCGCGATTTATTAGCTTTTTCTCTTTCTCTCTCTCCCAGTCATTCATTTCCGCTTTGTTTATATTTTATTTTTTCTCTTTAACTTTCGCCTTCAAACTCTTTAATAATATAATCATTATTATTTTATTTAAATTATTATAATCGATTTATTAATAAAAACAGAGTGTTTGTACTGCTTGGTAAATGCTATTTTATTTTTTATTATTTTTTTAACAATCTCACGCATTCGCAACCTCATCATCATTATCATCAATTGCATTGAGCATATCAAAATCATATAAAAAATATCCGTCGTCATCACAAATGGACTTAAACCGGCAGGTACGCTCTATCCTAGCTCATAGAGTAGTAAGAGTTTATCACAATGTTTGTTTACAAAAAAAACGAACCACCTTTTTATTAGCTCATTTTTGAGGGCCCAAGTTTTTAGATACGACATTGTTTTCTAATCATATTTTTTCTTAAACGTAAAAAAAAATCGATTTTCGATATCTACACGGAAAAAAAAGAAATCAACTTTAATATTAACAAACAAAATAAGTTGTAAATATTTAATAATACACAGAAAACCTCATTTTTCGATGTTTTTTGTGTTAAAATGATTCCTAACTTTATGTTAAATGCATTTTTTTTGTAAGGTTAGAAATCATTAACACTTTAAAAATACTCGAATAAAGAAAATAATTTTAGCCGCATACTTTGTTGCAATTTTTTCCTTTGTGTAATTGGACCCTCGTCATTATATGGGCCAACATCAGAAAAAAAAATTAATAGAGAAACAAAAAAATAATAAAACAATAATAAACAGTCATCGAAAAGCAACGAATTTTTTTCTCAAAAAATTTATCGCGCGTATTTTATTTTTTTTAATAATAGGTAGTAGGTAGCAGCACCGATTATTAGATGCCCCTTTGGATGTTCATCCACTTGGACTGGGAATGGCAGGCGATTGAGGCGGCGGCACTAAGACTTGGCGCGCTTTGAGCCGTCTCTGTAGCAAAAGACTTTCGCTCGGCGGGCTAAGTCCGTGTGGCGGAGTCTTCGCCCCTTTATCATCCATTTCCGATGGATAAACATTGGGACGTTCCAAATAATCCAATTGCATACTGAAATGTTGTTGTACTACCCTGTTTACTGCCATCGCACTTTCCGCAAACTGAGATAACTCTCGAGCCGAATTATTTTTTTTTATTACTGATGGTGTCGGTAAAGGTGCAGAATCACTTGCACATCTACAATTTAAAACGATGTTAATATAATCATTATAACAAGACCTAAATTAATTTGATTATAAAATTATTATTACCTTAACCATGGATGGAGTAAAACAGCAGAGGCGCTTAGACGTTGACTGGCACTTTTACGTAAAAGCTTAGAAATAAGGTCCTTGGCCTCTGGTGAAATATGTCCCCATTCAGGTTCAGGAAAATCATAACGTCCCTCTTGAATACTTTGGAAGAGGAGCCGTTGACAAAAATCACAATTATCCCCACGTTCCCAACCACAATCGGAACCACATTTTCCATAAAATGGTGGATACCCACAAAGTAAGATGTAAGTTATAACTCCGAGCGACCATAAATCGCAACGTTTATCATAAGCAACAGAATCTTGATCGCAGATGAACGCCTCCACAACTTCCGGTGCCATGAATTCGGCGCTGCCGACGGGTGTTAAAAGTTGCGGTGTTGCTAAAGGACTTGAAACGCTCGCTTGAAATCTAATTCCAGAGCCCAAATCTAAATCGCAAATTTTTACGGGACATAAAGTTTCGCGTTTCACGCAAAGAATGTTTTCGGGTTTTAAATCTCGATGGGCGATTCCTTTTGCGTGCATAAAACTTAAGGCGGAAGCTACTTCTCGGACTATTTCTGCTGCAGCCGCTTCAGAAAAATATTTATATTCTTGAATGCGACGTAAAAGTTGGCCACCATTAATCTAATAATTTAAAAAAATATACATTATAACCTTAAAAAAATGTAAAAAATAAAGAGTATTTTTTTCAACAAATTCTTTTCTAACCTAAAAATTAATACCAACTTAAAATTATTGTCAATCAAAAATCAAATAATAGAAGTTATATAATAGTTTATGTTATAACTCAAAGAAAAACGTTTCTAAAAATATTAGAAATAAGAAAAATATATTAATTAAATATAAGGACCATGTTAGTGACGCAAACTTCTTTGACGTTTAATTTGACAAATCAAAAAAGAGTGTCAAGTTTTTTCTAACCTAAAAGTTAATACCAACTTAAAATTTGTATCAATAAAAAAAACAGTTTTAATCTTAACTGGATTTAGTTTCAAAATCGTTTATCTCTACGGAAAGGATGCCAGCACATTGGTTGAAACCAAGGCTTATTTATTAAAGTTACCAAGAGGAGGGATTATTTAAGCGTTTTATCAACATCAACTTTGGTATACAAAAACAAATAGCGTCATAAGCAAATAAATAAAAATTCAACAGCTCCGTCTGGTTTTTATCTCTTATCTAAGAAAGTGTCATTGGATTCAAGAACATATTATATTTATTTAATATATTTATTTATTTGAGTTGCTATTACTTTTTTTTAATATAAATCTGTCAAAATTGTGGGAATGAAATTTTACCTTTTCAAATACAAGATAAAATTTTTCTTCATCCTCAAAAAACTCCACCAACTGTATGATGTTAGGATGTCCCTGGCAGTGGTGGAAAGTTTCGACCTCGCGGAAGACGCGCGCCCTCGCGTGTCCCGGCACCTTGTCGATAATTTTAACGGCATACTCGACGTCCGTGTACATATTTACACAGGTCTGCACGCTCGCGTACGCACCCTCACCCAAAATCTCCCCAGTCAGCTTGTACAAATCCTGAAAACACGATGAGACAAGCGACGATCCGGTACGACGTTTCTTTCGTCGCTTCCGTTTCGCCTCTTCCTTTCGGCGGGCAACTTCGCGTTCGCGAGCTTCCGCATCCATTTGGTCACCGCTATCAGAAGCGCTACCACCACCATTTTGGCACTCTTCACTACGTCTACCTTCTCCTAAAAATTAAAAAAAAATGTTTTAGAAATAGTATTAAATAAAAAAATATTAAATTTTTTTAAATCAATGACAAATTTCACACGCGTTAAAGGAATTTGTAAACAATTCAATTAACAATAATTTGTTCGTGTTATCATGACCTGTTAATAAACTAAAAGCAAAAACACGTTAATTTTATTATGGTTGCTATTTGTTTTAGCGAGTTTTGCCTGGTTTCAAGCTATTGAATTATTTCGAAATTTAATTGTTCATCAACTAAATAAATAATAAATTAATTGCAAACAATTAATACACGTTTTTTAATAGAATAACTGTCAAGTTGATGAAAAGTTGGCAACCGTTGATAGCAGTGACGTTTGAACTGTCATTATTTAAAAAAGAAAAAAAATGTTTTTGGTTTTATATTTATAAGTACATAAATAAAAATAAAATGAAGTCAAGAAAAAAAAAAATTTGAAACGGAACATATTAGGAGTTATTGAAAATATTACAAGAAAAAAAAATAATTAATTGTAAAGACCATGGTAGACAATGCAAAGTTCTCTGACGTTTAATTTGACATAAATCAAAAAAGTGTGAGAGGAGTAAATGGGTAGGATTTAAAAAATAAATTTGTTAAAGAACGAAACTAAGATGACAGGTGAATACTACGGTAGATGAAGGAAAAAGTTCACCATCGTCTAAAATTATTTAACTTCGCCTACAGTCGGGATCGAGAATACAAAATGAAGTGGGCACGAACACCTCCACTGGGCCAAAGTGAATCTCCTCTTCACAAGCGATTGAATTAGTCCGGGGTGTTCGTCTGCTTCGTAATGGGTCTATTACGTCGCATTCAAAGAATTGTGCATCGAGTCATGTACACACACAACCTTCCTTTGATCGAGAGGTTGTGTTATAACTTTAAATCTCAATGAGAGTGTCAAACTCGACATACTCAGTAATGATATTGCAACAGAAAATGACAACCAAAAAATTAAACAACTAGAACCTGCATGATGTAACATACCTCCAAAAAAGATTAACTGCTACGTCAAGAGAATTCTAAGATGTGCTACGACAACCGCTTCTAAAAACAACTCTGCACAAAGTATTAACATTGTCCAACACTGTTAACTCCAGGTTCTATACATTTACAAATATCTTATTAAAACAGCCCTCATTCAATAATAATTTGAGCAGTTTGAAGAAAATAGAGGAAAAATCCTATTCTTTTGCAAAACTACTCAATGTCTATACTATCAAGCTATGTTGCATTTTATGTGGGACAGGGTAAGTGCATAATAGTTTCGTAACTATGAAATTCCCGATATACACTAAACATGAAAGATGCAGAATCCACATTAATAATAGTCACCTTTGGTGTATCTTATAAGATCGGTCCTGAAAAGTAAAATTTTTTTTGTTTTATATTTCTTTTGGATACAGCCAATGTGATAACATTAAATTTTCTGTGATAAATTCGAAATAATCATAACATTAATAAAAATAAAACTTGTATTAACACTTTAATGAATTATGCAACTTACGTAATAATTACATATTCAAGATAGCGTATAACGTTACACACATAAAATGTGCACAAAAGGAAATTAAACTTCTAGGTTAAGTTAATTGGTTGGTTTATAATCTCACGGAGATAATATCCACGTATTATTTATTTATAGTACTTGAGACAACAAAAAAGGGAAATATTATCTATACAACATCTGATTACCCTTTGTTCCATTCGTCACACGTACCGATAATAACCATTGTTCAAACATTGTTATTTTGCTAGTAAATATAAAAATTAAGAACAGACAGCGGCATAATCTAGTCAGCTGTGTCATGCGTTTCAATTGTTTATTTGTGCACAGGAAGCGGCGAGTTTTAATTAACGACGTTGGCGTTGGAAACCGGTTGCCAACTTGAAAATATACGTGGAGTATATATACGCGTACAACGAAGAAGAGAAACTCTCCTCTTTCCATAAATCCACTACGAGAACCACGACAAAGACTATGAAATGATAGACGAAGAAAACTATACACAAAAAAAACGAACAAGGAATATGGGGGATATTTTCTGGAAAGATTTTTTTGTGCCGGCGTTTTACCTGAGCCGTTGTTGCAGCACTCGGCCTCCTCGATTATCTTTTCCACCATCTCGAATTTTTATTCTCTTCAGTAAAAAACCACTTATTTCCTCCTTCACGCGGGTTATTAAAAATCGTACGATATTCTCCTCTCTCTCTCTCTCTCACAAGTTGGTATAACACAAATCGTTTACGTTTTAACTATCTTCCCATTTTGTTTGACATCCTACTTCCACTAGCGACCGGGTCCGACTGCGACTTCGTTTTCTATGCCGGTCGTCACGTAGTAACGCACATTCAATGCGCAAGCGCGAAAGCCTAACAGCGATCGTCATCTGTTTTGTTTACGATGGCACGATCAAAAAAAAATGTTTGAAGTAGGGAGAGGAAAGAAGGAAGGAGAATTTTCTAGATTGTGACTACCACGTCAATGGTTGATGTATTTTATGGGTTTTTTTGGTGATATTTCCATACATAACTTAAATTTTATCTTATTATCAAAATAAAAATCGTTGTCAAAATTTTGTAGGTTATAAAATTAATGATCAATAAATGTTGTATATTTTAAAAGTAATAAATATTAAAACTAATTATTTTTACCTGGTTTAATATCAATTTCGACGCTTTGGTGTAGGTCTAAGCCGTTCCGGTTGTCTGCCTCCTAAAAAAATAAAAATACAATCAGTTTTTTAGGTTAGAGCTACTGTCAATGTTGACGCTTATATTGACAGTTGATTAAATTGTCTTAAAAATAAACAAGATCATTTTCTAACCTTTAAAACCATTTATTTTAAGTTATAAAAATTATTTTTATCAATTTAATATTGCGTCAGTTTTTGAATAAGAACACGCATTAAAATTATTTGTTGCATCAGAAACTGAGCACAAACATTTGCGGGGTGATTCAAGTAAACATAATTTTATTTGATGTGACTAATTAAAGTTTTTTTTGTCGTTAAACTTATCGAACCACGTTCGTTTTAACCTGGATTAAAAAAGTATATAAAAAAAGAAGATTTTGTGATTTAACGATGAAGCGATAACAATTAAACAAAAACAACTAAACATATTTTTATATTAAGTTTATGGAATGGACATTTGCAGGGAGTTTTACACAAAGCTAGATTATCCTTGTGGACTTGTCGTGGTCTTTGTGGAAAAAATTGGGGTTTTACCCCTGAAAGATTGTACTGGCTCTATATAACTATGGCAGCCTGGTATAGGAAAGCAAGACAGACTTCAGTTATCAGTAAATTTTCGTGAATTCAACGAGTAGCTGTATTGGCAATTTCTGGTGCTATAAGCACAATGCCAACTCTAACAATGGAAGTTCTGCTTGGCCTATCTCCTTTGTATTTGCATAGAGAAAGTAGCTAGAACTACCATTTAGAGGTCTATCCAATATGCTCAAAACTGCTCCGACATGTACTACCAACGAGCTACACCAGCGGTTCTCAAACTTATATCTTTGCGTACCACTAAGTCTATTTTAAAAATCAGGTAGTACCACTGAAACTGTTTTGCGTACCACTTGAGAACTTCTCGCGTACCATCAGTGGTACGCATACCATAGTTTGAGAACCACTGAGCTACACCAAGACACTATAAGCACTGATATGTGCTATCAATGCCGTCAGATTTGGCGGGATCACTACCAGTGATTACTCCTCGTGTAGTGATACCAGATTGTACTGCCCGAACGGCAGTTTTGGATCGAAAACAAAAATTTTCCAGTATTTGCCAGTACTACTGTTCTGTATTCCAGGCGGAAGTATTTGCTATTGACATGGATGCTAAAATCCTTCTTGAGAAAAGGGTGAAGAACACACGTCTCGACTCTAATTAATGACTGTAAAAAAATTTTAAACACACTGAATTGTGACAATAGAGTTTCTCTGATCTGGGTTTGTTGGCAATGAAGCAGCAGACGAGCTAGCACGAGAAGGCATCGCTAAAGTGTTTGTGGGGCCAGAACCAGCAGTTGGTATAATATCATTTGCGATGGCCAAACATAGGATTGGACTGTAGGCTGAAGAGAGACTTCGCCTATTGTGGACCAGTTCTGCTAAAATTAGACACACCAAGTTCTGAATGACTTTTCAACGATCAAGGCGTTAATGTTCGTTAAGAGCATTGGACTGCACGGTTAAATTTGATAATGTTATCTATCGGGGTACAATAGAAACTTTTTCGCCAAGATATGTACATTAAAATTATAGTGTTAAAAATATAAATAGAAACAGATGTTGTCAGAAAATGTTTACGTCATTTTGACATACATATGTCAAAATATAAAGAAATGAATAAAAAAAATAAATTAGTTACGTTATATTCTGATAATATTCAAAAACATACATTTTTAATACTAAAGGAAATCGTTGTGCACCCCATTGTTTAGATTACATAACGCAACAACGTTTAAAGTATAACGGTCACTAACCTCAACCTAATTTAACACGAATAATAAAATAAAATAATGTGAAAGTTAAAATTTTAAAAACACCAAAAAAAATAATAATACCTCTCTGGTATTAAACACGTGGAAGGTTAAAAGGGGAAAAGTGAAGAGGGTTTAAATATAAAAGTCGGGGTGACCTTGGCCCACGATTCATTTTGGTGGCCGTAACCTTGAAAGAGAGAGAGATCCCCCGGTTTGTTGATTTTCGAGTTTCGCTTCCGGATGAATTATCGAGACATTGTGGTTATTCGAAATGCGTAGTTTCTGGGTGGTTTGAATTAATGGGATAGTCGAGTTTGTTTATGCCAAAATATCGAGCAAAAGGGAGAACCACTCTCTCGACGGAGGTAAACGGACGAAAACAGGCTATTTTCGACTGGAGACTATTGTGTTACGGCGACAGCTCTAACTGCGTTTTCATTTTAATACGCAGCCGATTACTTGAAGGTTACGTTTTATAACGTAACTTAAAAAAAGTTCGATAAAAAAGTATGCATTTTTTTAAAGCATTTATCTGTATCACGATTTAATTAAAAAAAATTGATTATTTGAAACATTGTCATTATTAAGCATGTGGCAAGTTATTGTACAGTGCTCAGCAAAATTATGGTACAAAAAATATTCTTTACTGATTTATCTGAGTAAATTACTGTAGTTGCCCTAAGTAAGCTGGTTAATCTTCTTAATTAATTAAATGAGCAGCATTTCACAAAAGGCTCTTTATTGAACATGAAATTAGACATTTTTATCTACAGTTTGCTGAAAAAAATCATGAAAATTGAACGAATAATAAAAAAGTTATCACATTTCAAACTTTACCAAATATTAGCTTGTTGCGTTTTTCTTGCACCTGAGTGTGCTTAATGGGATCATAAAATTTATCTCATTCGCAAACCCGTGGAAAACGGCGATGTTACTAGGTGGCGCAAACGTCGTCACCCTATTGTAAGATGCTACAATTTTTGCAAATGGTTACAAATGTCAATTCTGCTTTCAAATTTGTAAAGTAAACAGATACAAAATACATGTCAACCAGACATGGATCGCTATACCTCTCAAGTACGCAGAATAATTTAAGTTTGTGTTAGCGCAGCATGAATTTCAAAGCAATAACCCAAAAAGCAAAACAGAACAAAAGGTTTTAATTTCTAAAAAAATTACAGCCAAAGAACATCGTGTGACAACGTTTCTGCCGTCTTGTATTAACAATTCTAGAAGCGAATTACAGATAATAGAAATAATTGTGCTAGAGCAAGAAGAAGTTTAAAAGAGAGGACTACTCTCGACGAATAAATTTGTATTCAGCGAATGTATTGGAGCTGTGCAGGAGGCAGTGGATTTCATTAGCACATTGGTAGGTGCTCATATGGAAAGATATCAGATAATTGCGGTGTTATTAGATGTCGAGAAAGCTTACGATTTCGTTTGACAAGATGTCCTGCTGCCAAAGATGATTGACGGGCTGCTGCCAAAGATGATAGGTACATCAAGGGGCTCTACTATGTAATATTTTTGTACATGAAATTCCGGTAATGATAGCTAAAACCAAGGCAGAAGTCAATCAATTTGCAGATGATAGCAGGATAGTGGCTGATCTGAAGATATGAGATTGAACTGAAGAGTATTGGATTGAATACGCAGAATACTGAAATGATAGTTTACAACAAGAACGAAAAAGTGGTAGAGATTAGAGATGCAGAAGCTGAAGGTCTGAAAACAAAGTGCCAAGAGGCTAAGCATTGCGAAAAGAACTGTGAGAGGCCAATCGCCCGATTCCACCACCATCAAAAATAAGGGTAATAGAATCCATAATAACGAATTTATAATAAATATACCTAAACTTCACCTACTTTTCAAAACCTAACCTCTTACTGAGTCAAATCAACGATATCAATCGGCAAAATCCTCTACAGAATCTTTCTACTATCCGTTTTTCGAAGTTATTTTTCCTCGCATGACAAAAATCCTTAAAAACATTTAATATTTTTTGGTTAACTTATTAATTTGTTGATTCAGGTATTAATTTTATCAATGCAAGCTAATTCCATGAAAGAAACTTTTTCAATATAACCAAACAACCTGAAAAAACTGGAGAGATATATAAAAGTGGTGTTCTGGGTGTGTGACGTCTGTGCTCGGAAATATTCGTTCAAAGCTAAAAATATGCGTCCTCAAAACACACAAAGGCGCATTCACAGTTTGAAACGAACGAACACGCCGCACCAAAACTCTTTGTTCGTTTTGAATACGTATTGGGGAATTAAAAAAATTTTAAACGAAGAAAAAGAAAGTAAATCAAAAATGTATGAAGGTGAAATGAATCCATTTGTTTTGTCTTTGGAGTAAGCGTGAATTACAAAACGTAGTTTTCAAATTTAACGAATGTTTTGATCGAAAAAGTGCTGTATCAGGAGATTTTATGCGCACGTTGTCGTTTTAAATTAGGCGAGGACAAACAACATGTGATATAATATTGAATTTTGTTGATAAGAAACTTACGCGGATATTGTTTACAGTGTATATTTACATTTTAATTAAATTATAAATATAGCTTTTAAATAAATTCATATTTTTAATTAGTAAATATTTAAGAAAAAAAGATATATATAAATAAATACTTTTTTTTCTTATTTGTTAATATTAGATTGTAATCGACGTAATCGTATTACGTTAATTTAATTTCGAAATTTAATCGTTAAATAATAATAATAACCTTAATGTGAAGTTGTTGTGATCGCCTCAAGTTCACGTTCTCTTACGACACACATTCGAACCTGTTTATTTCAAACTCTAAAATCATTATTGCTAATTGAATCAAAGAAAAACCTAGTTTTACTCAATTACTCTTTATCTGTCAAGGTGGAATAATTAGGGATTAATATTTCCTAGGGTATATCATCTATCTAGGGTAAATAGATGAGCTTAAGACACTAAATACATTTTTAGAAACGGAAACGGAAATTGGAACATAATAATAAAAAAAAAACAAAACAAATTTGTGTAAATTTTTTTTGAATAACGAAATTTCAAATATCAGAGTATGACACAAATTATTTTATAAATATGACAGAACAAAATTCCCTGTTAATATTGCCAACTGTTACAAAATCAAATTATACTCAGAAAATTATATTATACCTCAAAGATTATACCACATTTTTTTCCGTTAAAAATAAGGATTTCGTATAACATTGAAGTTAAAAGGTTACGATACTTGCCACTTTTAACCAGGTGTGCGTAGTAAATGTATTTGCAAAACGTATTTTACGCGAAGTAAAAACGTTACGGTCGTAATTTCCATAAATGCCGTGCGTTTTAAGAATATTTTATCATTTTTGAGTCGTTGGCGTGTAAACGAACAGGTAACCTTGAAATTTACCATCGACATCTATAGTTGTAGGTTTGTTTTTTTTTGTTTTCAATTTCTAACCTAACCAAGCACTTAACGTTTCATAAACGTTTGTAAATTTTTACATTCCGCGTTTTCTACATTGTTTACTTTATTTTTTTTTTTGTTAATGTGTTGAGTTTCTTCATTTTTAATATTTAGAAATAAAATCTTATAGGAAACGAAAAAATCTTAATAATGGAGTGGAAGTTATAATATTTATCGAGAATGTGTCAGTTTGACAGATGACAAATGATTCTGTCAATGACATATGAGCATATGAAGAATGCGTTTTGTTAGTTAACAGTGGATAAAATTAATGGTATTGTTGATCATAAATTGATAACACTTTCATGGCTAAAGAAATGTTTGATATTCCGGATGACATTTTTCTCTACAGAAAATAGAATTTGATATTTTAATGATATTTCGCTTTATTCCTGGGTACAAGTGACACCTAAACTAAAGTTGGCAACCAATTATATCTTTTTGACATAACAAAGGACCTACATAATACACAAATTGGACAAATGTTCTCTACAGATGCTACTTCTAAAACAGTGATAGATATTTTTTCTAACGTTATTAAGAAAACGGTTGATGAACGACTTGGACAAGCTGAAGACAAAAAAAGATTGAAAGCAATACCAAAAAAGAAGCGCAGGAAGTATGACTCAGAAAAGTTATTAAAACAGAAAGAGATTATTACAAAGATAGTACGGATGAAGAGCACCTGAGGACTTGTATAGAAATAGAAAACACACTAGAAGTCGAGTGTAGGAATCCAGGAAAAGAAACTGATATTTCAAGTACTATATAGCTCATGTATTTATTATTTCAGGAGACTAATATGTAAATTAGTCGAACTTCTGGGAGACAAGAGAAATAGAATACATTTTACATTCATTTGTATCATTAACTCAACATTTGTATAAACTATTGTACAACCTTACACAAATACTGCCTATAGTTACCACAAATACTACCTATGGTTATGCACAGATATCTTAGAGCTCCCAAAATACTTGTTAACATTTACCTCCGATGAATAGGGAAATTGTAAACAAAATTTTTTTTCCAGAAATTCAATTAAATTTATATTATAACAAACATGTCCTACTATTTTCTGAACAAATTTGGCAGCCTGACCAAAACATTACCATCAATATTTTTTACCCATTTCAACCTTAAAATTGATTAAATCGTTTACAATTACCCCATCTAACCCTAGATAATTACTTTTTGGATCAAAATGAATAATTTCCATCAAAAACATTACTATCGATTTTAATGATATCAACAATTTTTGATGATTTAAAATGCAAAGAAAAAAACGACGGTGATTTACTCAAATAATTGAAATTTCTCGCACCAACACTCACTTTGCGATTGTGATGTTAAAATTCTTACGACTCCTGCTTCGGTAAATAGTACAGTAAATAGTCAGGAATGCACTCAACCGAGCCAACATTTTTTCTTTTTTCGTATGTAAAAGATAAGAGGGCATTAAGCTACGCGTCTAAAACTATTCGTCAACTAAAAAAAAAAATAAATAAATAAAATAAAAATTCGTGTTGTATTCGTCTACAACACGATGCGACTCTCTCTCTATTCTTTTAACCTTTACGAGTTCGTTAACATTTATCTCATTATTATTGCCAACGGAAAACTTCTTAATAGAGAAAATCTAAAACTACAAAAATAACAATTTACATTTCTGACACATAACGATCTTTGATCCTAATTAATAAAACCATACGCAATACACAACGGAGGTGTGTCGTTTTATAAAACCGTTCCAATTTTAATCACCTATCGATTAATTCCTTACTTTTACCACACCTCCTCCATTACGTAAAAAACATGCGAGCAAAATAAATCTAATGCGTCAATAATCAAATCAAGTTGATTTAAACTAATCTTGCTCTCAATAGTTCCAAAAACAACAATATTTTTCTATCAAAAAAGAAATGTCCATATCAAAATAAGTGATGTTTATAACGCGACATATCTATAAATTCAAGTTTAGAATCAATCAAGTTTTATCGTTTTTTTATCATCGTGTTACTTTTTGATACTCATCGTTTCGCAAGGAACTTATCACGTTATTTCAAAACGATTAGTAATACTCTAACATAACACGGGGTGATTCAAAGAAAATTAGTTGCCAATTTGGATTTTTTAATGATTAATTTTTGGTTATTTTTATATCCAACCCTTAATATTCTTGTCAGTTGCATTTTTCGTTGAAATTGAAACGTCAACGTCAAGTACATAAGAAGTACTTTAATTTCAAATACGCCCACTTTGAATAGACTTTAACATCTATTTTTAGCAGGAAGTTTCTCTCTCGATAGTTTGAAATATGTTCGAAACACGAAAGAGAAAAATATCTAATAAATCAAAAACGCCTCGTTATTTAATTGTTAATGTTGAATTTACACGCTTAATCGAAACGAGCAAAACGTATTAAACGATTTAAAACAACTTCATAAAATGAAGTTAAAGCTATCATTAAATTTATTTGATTTTTGTGAGAGATTTAGCGGATGATGAAGATAATGCCTCTTGGTGAGTCATCAAGAAATCGGTAACGTAGATCTCTCCTTTCTTCTTTTACGATCAAATTGTGTTCATGAGGGCGCGTAGCGTGAACGCTGCTATTGCTCAACTTTGTACGCCAAAGAAACGCATGACTCACGATTCTAACTTGTAACTCTTCGCGGACATGACATTTCTTATTCGGCCGTGAACGAATCATTTGCCAATTTAATCCATTCTAATCTATAATAAAGTTTTAGTTAAACATTTTTTTTAACTTCTTAATTTAATTAAAATTAAAAATTTTAATTTATCATACGTATAAAATAAAAAAGTTAGGTTATACACTTTTGACATTTATGACATTCAAACAATTTTGATATTTAAACGTCAAAATTATTAAATTAACTATACACGTGTTTTTTCTTGAGACATAACCTAAAAAAATCTTATTTTAAAATTGTGGTGAACCGGACTGAGTTGAATTTAATTTTTGGCAAAAAATCAACATCGCCTACTATTTCTAGGTTCGGAGGTCAACGGAATTCCCGGCTCACAACTTATAAAAAGACACCATCTTAACAGCAAAAAAAAAGTCTTGGCTCGAAAACCAGGAAATAACGAATTTTTACCGGTTCGTGTCGCGCACGTGTCCCAATTCTCATACTTAAAAAAAAGTCGGGATTCTGATACCCAATCAATCAAATTGCGAAACGTAATATTTTCAAAAGGAGACGTAATAAGGTAAAATTATTGTAGGTATTCAAAGCGACACGCAATAAACTTTCAAGGTCAAATAATCAACCGGTCGAGTAAAAGTCATTGGAAATATTGTTTTTGATCGACCAATAACGAGCCGGTCGGTTCCGTGTACACTTTCGTTTTCAGTAAGCGGTTTCATGCTCTTTGCCCTAACGAAAGGCTTCCGTGTAATCCGCACGTGTATCAAAGTTACGTATTGCCAAGTGCTTGAGGCCCCAATTCGGACCACATAAACGATCGAAATAGAGATTTTTACTTACCGACTCAGACAACTCGTTTAAGCCAGCCATCTTGCCACAACAAACTGCGCAGAAAAGTAGCGCACTTCACAACAGAACGATTTTTTTTAATATAAATTTAATCCATAATTTCATACACAGATTGAAACAAATATAATTCATTATTAAATGATTATAAGTGTATTAAACATATAAATAAAAATGTATTAATTAAAATTGTTATGAAATTATTTTTTAAGTGACACAGTTGCCATCTATATCTAAAATATTATATTAGTGTTTGAAGTAATCTGTTGTAATCTGAAGTAATTTATTGATTTATTTTATATTATATATTATTAATATTTATTATAATTTATTTTAACATTTATTATTGCATTTAATAATCATTTCATTAATTTTCCCATTTTTATTAACATTTTAGATTTTCTTCATAATTTATATTATTTTAACAAATGATCTAATGTACAAATTTACCAAAACGTAACCCCTTTTTCTATTATAATAAATTCAAGATATCCCATTTAATTTTAATCTAATCTCAAATAATAATCCATTTTTATTTATCTAATCATTTTTGATTTCTACTCACAAAACATTTTTGAGTTTTCATTATAGTCGGCGAATAAAAGTGAGGTTATATCAACTATGTTTACAATGTTCAGAAGATTTTCACATACATTGAGTAATAACATAATAAATAATCGGAGAACGTTACAATCAGTAAATATAATTTTCAGTTACAATCTTAATTTAAAATTAAATTTTATAGTTAAAGGAAAATATAAATGTAACCCCTCGAAGATTTATGAGTAAAGATGTTCTTCCAAAGAAAGAAGTACCTGGAAAAGGGAGGGGACCAGTTACATGGCAAAGTTTTTCGATTACAGCCGCAATTGGGGGCGGTTTACTTGCATTTATGTGGTATTTAAGACGTCAAAAGGAAGATGGTACTGATTTATGATTTTATAAACAACAATTTTTAATTAAACTATGTTTTTTAATAGCAATGTTAAAGGAAAGACAAAGAATGTTAGGTAAAGCTGCGATCGGTGGTCACTTTGAATTAGTTGATTCTAACAATGAAGTTAGAAAAAGCCAAGATTTTTTGGGAAAATGGTTACTTATTTATTTCGGATTTACACATTGTCCAGATATTTGCCCCGATGAACTTGAAAAAATGAGTTCTGTTGTTAATAAGTTAGATAAAGATGAAACCATACCTACAATCCAACCACTATTTATTTCCGTTGATCCAATTAGGGATACCCCAGAAATCGTTGGCCGTTATTGTAAGGAATTCAGCAATAGATTACTCGGACTTACCGGAACAATAGACCAAGTAGCACAAGCTTGCAAAGCTTACAGAGTTTACTTTAGCGCCGGACCAAAAGATAAAGATAAAGATTACATCGTTGATCACACAATAATTATGTATCTCGTGAATCCTGATGGTGAATTTGTCGATTATTACGGACAAAATAAATCCGATGAGGACATATTTAACTCGATACTATTTAACATGACCAAATTTGATGCTTTAAAAAAGAAATCTTGGTTTTAAGTTAACATTTTGTAAATGAAAATAAATTAATGTTTAATAAATATTTAAAAAAATTGCTTCAGTGCACAAATATTAATTTAAACCACCCGACCTTAAATAATAATGTGTTATTGTTTTTTAAACACTTCCCTTCAGTTCTTTATTATTAGCGAACGTCGAACATTAAAAAAATCGCACGTTAGTAATTTTTCCTCGGTAATTGTTGTAATTTTCGATCACGGAGCGGACATTTAGAGTAAAATATATAGGGTAGAGAGAACGTGAATGAAGCGATTAACTCTCGATTAGTGAACAATGAAGTACACTTTTTATTGTAGTGTGGCAGCTTTGCTGCTTTTCATGCAACAGGCTGAAGCTGCGGTACGTTTAAATGATTATTAAAAAAATATGTTGATAAAATAAATACAATTTTAACGATTAGATGACCGAAAAGCAAGTTTTAGCCGCCATCAAGCTAATCCGTAATACTTGTAAAACCAAAACTAAAGTCGCAGACGGTGAATGATTCAAATTTAATAATAATGTAAAATTAAATAATTCTTTTTTAGAACAAATTGATGATACGCATAACGGCAAATGGGACGATAACGATGAAAAATTAAAAGTAACTATTAAACATATAATCTTGGATATAATCTGCTTTTTTATTTTTTATAGTGTTACTCTAATTGTGTTCTTGGAATGATGAAAATGGTACTTATTTCTGTTTGAAATTATTTTATTTTAAACATAATTGTTATTCTAGCAAAAGAAAAATGGGGCTCCTGATGAAGAATCCGCTATAAAACAGTTACCGCAACTTCCTGAATCGATGAGAGAACCCTTCGAAATTAGTATTAAAAAATGTATTAATGCAGGTAAGAAAGTTTTTTCAATATCAGAGAAAAGTATGCAACCCAACATACACATATATACTTCTTTATCGTTTCCCCTAGATGTCATCACAGCGTTGGGGAGTTGTTGGAATTCTCTAACCATGTTTTAACACTACGTCTGTTCCTTGCCATATTCTTCACTTCCTCCTCTCTTCCGAACTATCTCCTCCACTCCATCCTCACATTTTAATCTTGGCCTGCCTCTCCTTCGTTTTCCAACTATTCCCATTTCCACTACTCTTCTGGGAGTTCTCTCTTCTGACATTCTGAGGTGTCCATACCAGCTTAGCTGTTTGTTTTCTATTTCAGTTACCAGCGATATTTGTTGTAAATCGTCTCTTATAGTTTTGTTTCTAATTCCATCCATTCTTGTTTTCCTGTTGCTATTTTTGATTTGAGTTTATCTATCTTCGGCCATGTTTCAACTGTATATTTGAGGGTGGGTGTATACAGTGAATTTCGCTTAAGACAAAAACTCAGAGTTATCAAAAGACGTCACCTTTTCTAAGCAAATCTTTTCTTTTGCAAAATTACCCAATGCCTGTACTATTAAGCTATGTTGCATTTTATGTGGGACAGTGTAGATGCATAGTATTCTTCTTACTTTCTTCTTGTCCACAATTGTGTTATTCATTTGGTAATGTACATTACTAGCTTTTTGTATTCCATTTTGTATTTCTATGTCTATTGTTCCATTCTCAGTAATAATGATGTCCAAGTATTCAACTTTATCCACAATTTCCAATTTCTCGCCATTTATCAATTATAATAATTAGAATATTAACTTTTTTAGGAGATGGACTAACTAATAAATGCGATGTAGCCTATTCATTTTTTAAATGTCTTTACTTCGATAATCCGCAGGTAATTTTTATATTTATTAAATTACTACTATATTATAACATAACCTAAACATTTTTTTAGAACTATTTCCTTCCATAAAACACAACAATTTTCTTGGATTAAATGGATTTGATGGAATTTGGACATAAAATAAAAACTACTGATGTATATTTTTTAAAAAAACGATTTATTTAAAATATAAATAACGAACATCTCACATTTCTGTATCATTTCAAAAACAAAGACTGTTCCTTGGAAAAATGTCTTTATATAGTTAGAATTAAACACGCAACATCCTGTCTATACTCTTCAATCAACTCGAATTAGTATACTTTAATTAATAAACTTATACTGTAATTTTAGTAAAACCTAAAATTACTGTGCCGATTAGGTTGTCCTAATTGAAGCATTACTTTAGAATTACAACTCCAAGGTATAAAAATTACCCACGTCGAGTTTATTTAAATAAAACCGGAATTGATGATTTAATTTTAATTGAAAATTTCCGATGCAGATACAAAGGCGAAAAATGAAAATTTTTCTTGGTTTGTTCGGAATATTTGTGTGTTCTGATGTTGTGTTTTGTGTAAGTGTTAAAATAGTTTAAATCAAATAAGTATTCTTTTAATCTTTTCTTAAAGTTAACAGAAGCACAGATTAAGCAAACCGGAAAATTAATTAGGAGATCATGTAGTACAAAATATAAAGCCGATATTGGTAAAAGTACTCCAATTTTAGTAAATCTCAAATTGGCTTAGTCTCTTTTTAGATGAATTGGATGGTTTCATTCAGGGAAAATTTGATAATCCAACGGAAGCTGGAAAGTGTTATCTACATTGTGCTTTAGGAATGATGAAAATGGTATTTCTCTCCGATAAATAACAAATAATTTTAACTTTTAATAACTTGTAGGTTAAAAAAGATGGGCATATCGATTATGAAAGTGGAATGAAACAAGTTCCGCTATTACCCGAACCAAGAAGAGCTCCCGCTTCTCATGCTTTAAATGAATGCAAAACGGCAGGTAAATTTTAATTTTTTTGTAGGTTATGTTTATGATTCGTTACAAAATCTTTTTTTTTTAATAATTTAGGTGATGATTTAACCCAAAAATGTGACATAGCCGTCACAATAGCAAAATGCAGTTACGACAGTGGTCCAGAGGTAAAAAATCAACCACCCTCGAGTTCAACTACTTTAATTTTCTTTTTCAGCATTACATTATACCATAACAAATAATAACGTTCTCGATGTTTTGAATATATTTTGATGAACCTTTAAATAAACACTATTAAAATAAAGTTAGAAAAGCATTAAAACATTTTTTATTTTAATTAATTTTTCCAACACCCGGTATATTACATTTTGGCTCTTACCAATAATTAAATAGATGGCGCCACATTTTTCTGAATCTGTCAAATAAACTTGAAAAGTTTGTAAACATAACCTAAAAAATCAACACGTGTTCTAGTTAAAAGCATTAAAAAAGTAATAATATGGCAATAGAAAACGTTGTTGTTAAATCTGAGGAAGATTCAGTACCGGTAAAGAAAGAAGAATTAACTTACGATGAAAAGCTTCAATTTGTAAGTATAATTGCAAAACCGATGGCTTCGAAAAAGTTAACGAAAAAGATCTATAAACTTATTAAAAAAGGTGCGAATTAATTAAAATTGCAATAATTATTTGATAATTAAACGTTTTTTTAGCTGAAAAACATAAGAATTTTGTAAGAAAAGGCTTAAAAGATGTTCAAACACATTTACGTAAAGGTGAAACTGGTATTGTAGTTTTTGCCGGAGATGTAACACCAATTGAGATTATGTGTCATTTACCGGCTGTTTGTGAAGAAAAAAATATTCCGTATTGTTACACACCAAGTAGAGCAGATTTAGGAGCCGCTTTAGGAGTTAAACGAGGCAGTTTGATGGTGTTAATTAAAGAACACGCTGATTATTTGGATAGTTATAATGAAGTTAAAGAAGAAGTTTCAACACTGCCTATCGCTTTATAGAAATTAAGTTATAATTATTAACGCACTTTTTTTTTTAAATAAAATACTACCTACTAGTATTTTTTGATTTCTGCAAACTGTTTATGTAAAATCAAAAAAAATCTTTATATAGGCTCAAAAATTATCGGGCTTTCTATTCAAACCACTCATTTTTTAATTACTTCCTTAGAAGCATTAATTAAACCAACCTTAATTAACACCCTGATTTCCTTTTAAAGCGACAAAACGATTTCAGTAATTACCCCGTGCCATGGACACCAAAAATTGATTATAAAAACTCATTTCATTTCCTGTATCAAATTATTTTTTAAGAAAATATCAACAATGAAGGGTTTTACGGCGATTTTAATCTTATTTGGTTACGTTACTTATTGTTTAACAGCAAACAGTGTAAGTTTAATTAATTTGCAAATTTTGTTTTATTTTATTTCTTTTATTGGAAAGTTAACAGAGGAACAAGTTATACAAGCCGGGAAATTGATGAGGAAATCTTGCAAATCAAAAACTAAATCGGAGGATGGTAAAATTATTTTATGCGATATTTTTTGTATTAATTAGTACATTTTTAGCTGAATTAGATCAAATTAAAAGTGGCAATTTTAAAGGAATTACTAAAAAAGGAAAGGTGAGGTTATCATTAAAATTTTAGTTAGATCTGCTCAAATAGATTATGAAATCGAATTTAAATGTTAATTATGATAAGCATTAGAAGTAACACTAGACTAAGAACTACAAATATACGGGATAAGTCGTGCAAATTTAACAAAAATATAGTTCAATCATAACCTAAAAAAACTTTTGAAATATTCGAATAAACTACAAGATGGCGCTAATTTATAAAATGTCAAAAAAATTTTACGTTCTAAATTATACAGTACATATAATTACTAAACGACTTATTTATCATTTTATTTAATAACAATTGTAAGAAAGATATAAATAATTATTACTTGAAAATGTTTCTAATGGTAAAGTTAATTTTCTTTGATTTATTCATCGTATAGACAACTCAGGGAATACGCCGAGTTTATGTATGAACATGGAATAAAAATTGTGCATCAACGCTTAACATAAATAATTTTTTTTAAGTGTTATGTGGCTTGCATTCTGCAAATGACTCGCTTAGTAAGTCCTGATGGTCATTTAGATTATAATATAGCGAAATCACGAGTACCAACCTTACCAGAACCAAGAAGGGCACCAACTCTTCATGCTTTAGAAGTTTGTAAAGATGAAGGTCTCGAATTAACTGATAAATGTGAAATAGCTTTTATCTTAGCACAATGTTTCTACAACGATACTCCAGAGGTATTCAAATTGTTTAATTTATGTGGAAGTTAATTAAATCTTTTTCTTTTTTAGTATTACTTAGTTCCGTAATAAAGAAAAATCTACAATATTTTCTTAAAAATCTTTATTAGAATAGCAAATTATTGCACAATTATATTATGATTGTTGAATAGATAAATGTATATGAAAATCCATTTAATTACTTCACCCAAAAAGTTGTCTTTTTATCCTTTCCAATCAGATCTTTTGTTAAAAAAATTAACATTCGTATCGACCCCTTAAATCTACGATTATAAAAAAGTGCTCATATACAACGGAAAAGATACACAAGTGCTGAGCTATTATCACCAGTCCAACAAAAAAAGTACATGCTTATTGGTTAATTGAGATTTTTGTTCACTCGATATTTCTCTCAAGTCTTTTATTGTTGTTAAAAAAGTAATTTTTTTCACTTTTATCCACCATACCGGTAAATCGAATTGACTTTGCGTGTGACTTTCGTGTCATTCCTAATTTTAAGAAGGTATATAATATAATCATAGGATTAGGTTACATGTTTCAAGAGCATTAAAAAAAAACTTAACAAAACATCGCATAAAACATTCGTAAGAATAGCTGCACTATTTAGACGTATAAAAATTTTTCTTTTTGGTTTTTAATTCTTTGGTCCTAAAGTAGATTATTAGGAATATATTAAACAATAAAATTTATATCACCTTTTTAATGTACGATTAATTTCTTTCTTTCTAATTTTTAAATTTGTGCCTTCTTTATCTTAAATCGTACATTAAAAGCACCATGTAAAGGTATTGATTAAAATTTGTTTGCGGTTAAATATGCATTAATTAATTTTGAATATTCAACTTTAATATTAACGTTGAATCTTCAAGATTTAGTAAAAATTAAAATAAAATCTCTGGATTATAGAAACCAAGGCGGAATAATATGGCTAAAAAAGCCGTTGTATAGGTCATAGTTTACCGGAGGTGGAAATAGCAGGATCAGATTCAGATTTGCGCGTAAAGCACAAACACCCAGAATTGTTTTTAACAGTAGGTTTCTGTTCGCGATCCCGTTCCGCCAAACATTTCTGATAGTAATCGTAATCTTTTAAATACCAAACGGGGGGCCAACGGTGTTCGACCAAATACGCCTGATTATCCGGATGCAATAATCTCAAACTACGTGGCGACATCTTACACAATTTATTGTAATTTACGCACAAATTATTCATACACCAATCGGCTAATTGATGTGCATTGTGCAATTTTACTGGTTCCAATAATCTCAAACAATGCTCAATTGCTTCCGCTGATGGTAAACGTTCTAAATCTTCAATAACCCGTTGTTCAACCAAAGCCACAAGTCTCGGTAAACATAATCGATTTGCCAATTCTAATAAATTAACACAACGGGCTGCTATAACCGCCGGGATTTCGTCCGTGTAGAGGAAGCATAACAGCTTGTGAAAGGTGTATTCTCGAACACCTGGAAATTCAATAACTTTCGCTTGACCCTCACGAAAATCACCACCAAACATTGCTTTCATTACATCACAACGTGCCGCTAACATTGGTTTGTGAGCAGCACAAGCTCCATCATCCAATTCAAAAATTACATCAGCAAATAAACCTTGGTCTAAACAAACATCTCCAATTCGGCGACGAAGATATATTTCGTAATTTTCATCCGAACGATAATCTGTTGTTAATATTGACTGTAAATGGGGTAGTTCTAATAATTCAGCCAAACGATGTAATTCCTAAAAATATGAAAATTAATTATCATTCAGAAAAAAAAATTTTGACTTAAAAAGTGACATTGACATTTATAACATTTCTTGATTGACCACTAGATGGCGGGATAAGATAAAACGATTTCTAATAATTGGGGTTATGAATTAATATTTACTTGAATATCTGTATTTCTATGTTCCAACAATCCCGTGTAAGCATAATGTAGACATTGTTGAAGTGCAGTTGGAGTAACCATTCTACTAACGGTGATAATAGTTTGCCCATCAACGCATCGAATCGATTGAAAAGCGGGATGATCAAATTCTTTTCCAGATGGTAACCCTTGACAACTTGCTCTTCGTTTACAAATTTTTTGCTCCGCTTTCATTAAACATTCGGTTTCATCGGCGAAATCACCAAGGGAACTAACCATACTAGAATCGCTTGTACTCCGAGCCATTAAATCGGCAGTTAGTAAACGATAAAGGACGGGACTAGCTGCCGATAAGAGGAACCGATGTGCCGGAAATGCAACAGGCCCCGCCACCAATAATACATCAACATGCGACCGATCCAACCATAATTGTCGTGCGTTTTCATGAAATATACTGGTTGGTATAACAACTTCCGGTTTAGGTGGTGGTGGTGGTTGAAACGGTGCTTGTAATAACGGTCGTTGAACTTTTTTTAAATTGGTCATCCAAAATCTTTGTTGTCGTCGTGCCATTAACGCGGCTCGGATTGCATTTTCAAATACCTCATTCACCCCATAATACGTTAAAACCGATGTTTCATAATAATAAAGTCCAAGTTCTCGGGCAACATCGCGGGCTTCATCAGGCATGACCAAATCGCTCTTTCTTGTCGCTCTTACAAACGGTGATCGATCCCGGAAATACGATAAATACGCCTCATCTCTATACATATATCTTAAATCGTTTTTACAACCAACCAACAAAACAGGCGTGTTTGGACAGAACCTTCGTATTTCCGGATACCACATCAGCCGGCAGTTTCGCAACGAAACCGGATTATTAATGCTGAAACACAGAAGGACAACGTCAGATCTGCCATAGGCAAAACGACGATCCTTCTCGTGGTCACCGAATGTGTCCCATAAACGCAACGAAACGTTGACGCTATCGACCACTTCCCAAGACCGTTCCAATACATCTTTGTAGATTCGATATTGGTCGATCGCCCAAACTGTAGGCACGTGAGTCGCTAAAAGCTGTGCTAGACTGACTTGTTTGTTACAAGCTCGAGCGCAAATGAGTCTTGTCTTTCCGACTGCCGTATCACCCACCACGACACACTTGACAAGTTCCTGGTGGGGCTGTTCATTGTCCATCCGTCATTACAATAGAGGCAAATTTCCTAAACCAAAAAATTAACTTTATAAACATTAAAAATTATTAGAATTTGCTTTCTATATTGGCAACCCAAAATACACACTACATAAAGAGGCATTTAAACAAAACCATTTTGGAAATTAACCCAATAAAACATTATCATGTTTATAATAACACAAATAAATAAATATTCTCTTTATAAAATTCAGTCATAAGACTTCTAAAGTGGAGGCAACCTTTATAACACAAGGCATTATTTACCACCACTTAAATTGTGTTTTTAATCTTAATCATTTCCATTTCAAACATCATTTATAAATCCCCACTAAAAAATAACCAAAAAAATATATAAATTAGCGTAGAATTTAGATTATTGTAGAATTCTCTATTAGAATTTGCTTTGTATATTGGCAACCCAAAATACACACTCTATAAAGAGCCATTTAAACAAAACCATTTTAAAAATAAACCTAAAAAACACTATCATGTTTATAATAAGACAAATAAATAAATTTAATATTCTCTTTATAAAATTCAATCATAAGATTTCTAAAGTGGAGGCAACCTTTTTAACACAAGGCATTATTTACCACCACTTAAATTGTGTTTTTAATCTTAATCATTTCCATTTCAAACACCATTTTTAAATCCCCACTAAAAAAATAACCAAAAAAAATATAAATTACCTTAAATAATAAATATTTTGTGTGTATTCAATTGTGGGCGTAGTACTTTTAACAAAAACCAATTTCAATCGTGAAAATTGCTTCCCACAAAAAAATCGTACAAAACTCATCCACTTACATTCATGTGTTAACGTTGTCTAAGTAATATCCAAGGGGGGATTCGCGTTTTACGAAGTGGTTCCTTCTTCTTCACGGTGTGGCAGTGCGTGAGACACTAAAAAACTGGAGATGCGCCGCTGATGCTCTCCTCAACTCACTGGTCCGTTTCGCGAGGACGTCAAACGGCGGTATCATCTGGTTGTGAAGGTTTCGGGGCGGCGGCGCATCGTGTTCGCCGTTTTCTTCAAAAACGGCCCCCGTTATGCACCGACGACGAAAACTCAACAACAGCACAATAAAGACTACCGACAACGTCCTTGCCCCGTTCTAGAGGAATTTCGCGTGTAATGCAATGACTGATGTCCAATTGATTTTTCCCGTGTGACGTCAACGGGAGAGATTCAAAGAGAGAGGGAGTGTGTGAGTGGAGGCGGCTCGGGTCGCGCCGGGTTCACCAAAGATCTTTGAACTCAAATATTATTAGTATGTTAGGGGAAAAATTTCACTTCAATCAGACTCACCCCAGTACTTTACGACGCACTCACAGAAGTTAACTCCGTTAAATAAATGATAACAATACAAAGAAGGAAAATAAAGAAAATGATTTATTTTTGAATTTAAATTATTTTTAAATAGTTATTATGTCGACGTCAAAAAATTCAGTTTGTCAAAATTAAAAAACCTAAAAAATCAATTTTATTTTTAAACTATAATTTTCTTTGTAAATATCATGAGTTAGATATCAAGTTAAGTTAGATTGATTTTCAAAAAATCATTAAATGCATAAAAATTTTAAATAAAGTGGTTAGATTCGTTTTAAATGGAAAATTTGTTAAAACTTCCTTTATTTGTAGTATCATAAAATACTATTTGCTCTCCACTTGTTTTTAGGTTCTAAAAGTAAATATTAGTGTGACAATGACGCAAAGAGGATAAAAGATTAAACATACATTTTAAACATTAATTCTCTAGCTTTTAATGAAAACGTAATAAAATAAATAAACTTGTTTTTGAATTATTAAACTTTTGTGTAAACTGGAGATTGTCGAAATTTCTTCTCCATATCCAGTTGCTTAACCCGAGCGTACCCAGCACTTCCAAACAAAATAATAAAATTTGATATCCACCATAAAAACGTTTTGGCCTCGTTGTACCAATAAGTCGCTAAAACGGTTTGAGCGCAAGCTTTAGCCGTACCAGAAATGTTATGAGTCAACGCTGAAGTAACCTAAAAGAAATTAATCTCAATCAAAAATCTATATCGATTATTAAACAAGCGCAAAGTTGAACGATGTTAAATTCAATAACACATAAGGATACAATCATAATCTAAAAATAACCAACCAATAAATATCCAAACCTGTTTTCTTATGTGATTTGAAATATTTATACAATCAATAATAATTTGCTAGGATATCATTTACATATCGAGTTTTTTGTTTCAAATTAATTCTTAAAACCTGTTTAATAACCTTGATTTGTAATGAAGTCATAAATCCTATGGCGAAACCACAAACACCTCCGAGAGTCATTAAAATCCAAAAGGAAATAGTAGCAATATCTTTATTGGTTAAAATTTCGTTCCATTCACCCAAACTGAGTATAATTGGTATGAATAGTATGCTGCTATAAATGTTGTTGTAGTAAGATAATAAGAGTACTTGTTTGTCAACTTTTGGTAAGACACTTTTTGTAAAAATTGAATAAAGCGATAATGAAAGGGATCCTAAAACACCAAAAATCGTTCCACTTATTGATAAGCTACCTAAAAAATATATATAAGAAATAAAATTTCATTGTCACATTAAAATAGTACCAGCTAAGTTTTCTTCATCAACTCCCAAATAAAATCCAAACGTAATTAGAAGGCAAAAAAACACACATTTGCCTGACGTTTTTTCACCTAATAACAAATAGGTGAATAATACATTAAAAATAGTCGTTAAAGATCTTCCAATGTAATAAAATGCCACTGAAACATACTTCAAACACAAATTATTCATTGCAATCATACATAAAAACATCACAGATAACGGGAATACCTAAAAAATAATAATCATAATGAAAGACAATGAAATTGTGTAAGTTTACTTATTTTTCTTACATCCTTTATTGTTTTCCATTTAAAAGGTGTTGCATCAGGAAATGAAAAGTAGTTTGGAAAAATTGTACTCAACGTCTTAATAAAGTAACATATTAAAGCAGAAACGACGGTTTGATAGAACGCTATAAACATAGGCGCGTTCACATTTAAACCGCTTAATAAAGTCTTATTTACAAATACTGTTAAAATGGAGATAATCCTGAAAATTACAAAAAGAAATTAATATTTAAATTTTTCCGCTTAATAAACGTCAACGTTTCAGTTGACGTTTACATACGTAAACATAACCTCAACAAAAATAAAATGGATTTAAGATTTTATTTAAATGCGTACTAACCAATAACCGCTCACTACCAGAAATATTTGGATGTATTTTTTTAATAATCCATCCGTTTTCGGTAACATTTTGTGTGAATATTTCTCAGTTTTTGATTTTTATGCCGCATCAGTTCAGTATGAATCATAGACTTTTCATGAGCGGTTCGTGTAAAACAAGTGTTGATGTTAAAATGAAAAGAGAGGGTTTATTATAGTAATTGAAAAGAGATGTTATTTTTATCAGAAACAATTTTTATTATCTCAAATAAGTAAGTTGAGTAATAAACAACGAATTTTAAACACTTTTATTTTCCAAAAACCCACCCAATGTTTTAATATGTCGCTTATTAATTTTGTTAAAATCAAAATGTGCCTAATTTCACTTAGGACCACTTTTGACATTCAAATTCAAAACAAGCTGTAACCATGGTAACAACTAGACTTATCTGTCAAATCAATTTGACAAAAGGATGGTAAAAGTGCCTCTAAAATATACGGATTTTATACAAGGAAGGTCTCTTTTCTCTAAATCTATTAGTTATATATTTAATTTACAATTAATAAAATTCATATTAACTAGGTTTCGGTTTATCATAAACTGTTAAAGGACTACCATTGTGTTGCCACATTTCAATGGATTTTGTCACGATTACATCAGCAGTTTTTTCCGGAATCTAAAAATATCAAAAATTAGAGGAAAATTCATAAATAAAATCATTTCTCTATTTACTTGTGATAAACATTTTAAAACATCTTCCGATTTTGTTGCCTTAATTAAACAATGTTTTTGATTTAAAACCATAACGGCAAATACAAAAACTAAAATCTTATAAGATCCTCCACAAATTTTATCCCAAATTCTCACCAAAGCCGATTGGTGTAAAATTTCGGCGAAACAAGAGCCGAACCATTTTTCTAATGGTAAAAACTCGAAAACTCCCATGTTATATAAATATTTAAATAAAATTGACTCTTCTCTTTCAATTATTGACCATGATATTTCAATTAATTTTGGAATATCACCTTCGAATTTAAGCACAGTATCGTAAAAACATTTTGAGACCCAATAAGATTCTGTATCTTTTTCATCGTCAAATATTGATAAAACCGTTTGTGTTATTGGTATAAAATTAGAATCCACGTTTATATTCGTTTTTGAGTGCATTTTACCAAATTGTAGCAACCACATTGCAAAAAATTGTTGGGGTTTCGGTGTTGTTGAATCAATCATTCGCATAACTTGTAAAGCTCTAAGCAAATCATGGTATTCTTGTCGGCGTTGATCCATTACGAATTCGTGACATTCCGAATTCATTGGCAAAACACCTAATTTAAGTTAATAAAATTTATGTTTATTAAAAAAAATAAAATGTTTAATGTGAGGTTATGGTACCTAAAAGAAGTTTCCACACTCGTTTTCGGTAACTTGCGGTCACCGAAAACCTTAAACAAAATAGTTTTAATTTCGAACATTCCAGTTGTTGATCTTTTAAGAGAATTTCTAACGATTTCTTCTCTTCTACACTTTTAAAACCAACTTTTTCGTAATAAGCAGAACGAAAATTTCGTTCATCAATTGACATGACGACCTCTATTGATTGATTTTGATACTACATATAAAATACTTTTATTATTTTAAATATGTAAATTAAAATTATGACTTGAATTTAATTAAAAAATATAATAAAATTAATTATTTATACATATTAAAAATTATTAATTTGCAATAAATTTAAATCATATTTTAGCGCCATCTAGCGACCATTCTAAAACTACAAACTTAACCTAAAAGAACCTCAAAAAATAAAGATTTTTTTAATTTTAAGTTTAATTTTCAATTAACATGGATAAAGAGCTTAATCAAGGTAGTTTGCGATATATTTAATGATAATGTTGCAAAAGAAATTGTTGTAGCCTGTAGTAGCAGTTCAAAAAGAAAAGCTAAAGCTGCATTCGAGGAGGAGAAAGATGATTCTGAAGCTTTCCCATGTTCAGATGATGAAGAGGAAGGTGAATGTAAAGTGGTTGAAAGAACTAAATTTTCGACCATTTTGGGTTGTAAGTTATTTAAGAATAAAATGCGAAGAGATAAAAAAATGTTTGTTATAGATCAAGTTAAGTCCCCTACGATTAAAGAAATCAAAAGTATAAAAGCTGTTTTAAATAATAAATTAAGTTCAAAGGGATTTTTAGAGGAATTTTCTAAAGAATGGAGTTCAAATAAACCCTTAATAAGTGAAACACACGAAATTATAATTGATCCATTTAAAGTTTGTGTTTTAAATAATCTTTTTGAAGACGATTCTATTTTAAAAGCAATCCGACAAGAGTTTTATGAAATTGATTGGAACAGACGCAAAATGGATTTGTATGATTTTCATCAAAGTTGTGATTTGAAACATTTGGAGGCAAAGAATATTACAAACTTTTTTAATTTTTTAAAAGAAACAATGATGCCATGGGTTTCAAGAACAATGAATTTTAATTTGCATTCCGTCTCAGCTACTTGTAGTTATTACTCAGATACTGATTATTTATTGATTCATGATGATTTACGCGGTGATCGGGTGGTGGCTTTCGTCCTCTATTTTTCTGATGTTCAAGATTGGGATCAATCGTGGGGTGGTTCTTTACAATTGTTATCTTGTACAGATCTTCATCAACCACATAAAACAATTCGCGAAATTTATCCTGTTAATAACCAATTGGTTCTGTTTCCTGTATCTTCAACATCTTATCACCAAGTAGACGAAGTCACCCAAAAAAATTTCTCTCGATATTCAATAAACGGCTGGTTTCATGGAGATGTTAATAATAAATTTGTCGCTCCGATTTACAAAGAACCCATTGAAGGATTGTTTTCAACCTCGTATGATGTTAGCAAAAAAATCCCAGTTGAATTATCAGAATGGATTTGGGAGGATTATTTAGATCAGCACCATATAAAAAGTATTCAAAATTTAATTGAGGAAAACTCCGAAATTTCTTTACCTAATTATTTTGTACCAACAAAATACTTGGAGTTATGTAACGAATTCGAGAATGAATCTTTAAAATGGGATATGGTAGGGCCTCCAAATCGTTTCCAATACGAAGTTTTACCAGAAACTGAATTTACTAAACCGATAAAAGAATTAGTTGACATTTTCAAATCAGAATCAATGTTTAAACTTTTAAAATGTTACACCGAGTTGGATTTAGACGATGAAAAAGCTGGAATAAAATACGAAGTTCAACGATGGAAATCAGGGCACTATTCGGTAAATAATTATTTTGAGTTTTGACAGTTGTGGTTATGTAGTCGACTGAAGATAGTTACAAACTAACTTTTTATATTTGTAGTTATTATCCGATTTTAAATGGAATACAAAAGAATTAGATGTAATAATCTATTTTAACTGTAACAATCAAATAATTGGTGGCCAAACTCAATATGTTACTGAAGACGAAGAGATACAACAAGCACTAATTACGTTAACGCCCGAAAATAACTCGTTAAACATCGTTTTTAGGGACACTGCAAGAATCACTACTTACATAAGTAAATATACCAAAGAACCGTTTTATGCGCTATTTTGTTCTTATGTAGAAGATCAAAATAAAATCTAATATCTAAAGAAAACGTTTTTGATATGTTTTTAACTTTTATTTATTAAATTTGGTTATTTGAGATGGATTTAAGACTTGGTTATCATCGATTAAATAAGAAAGTAAAGCGGCTTTTGTTGTAGCGTTTCGCTCCCATCGTAATTTAGTATTGGTGTGGTTTGTGGTTGATTGATTAAATGAAACTTGTTTATTCAGTTTTGATTTCAATTCAAATTTAGTTTCAGAATCCATTTTAAAAGAACATTTTTTAAATTTCAAATTTAATTTGACAGCTATATTTATTTAAGGAATACCAACTGTTTTAAAAGCGACAGATAAATTTTAATTAAAAATATTTTTGTCTATAAAAAAATTAAAATGATACTAATTAAAACAATTTTAATTAATTAATGCGATTATGAATATTTTAGAAATAAATAAAAATATATAACTATCGTAATTAGGAATTTTATCGATTCTATCGAAAAAATAAATTCCCTAGATTTCACTTTGATTCCAACCAAAAACTGGATTAGTACTTAAATTTTCATTTTTTGCCTAATTCTTAAGTGAAATGGCCGGTGATTTTTCGCGATTGTGACAACAATGGACCTGCCGCAACCGCCGCAAGGTGAGTTTGAATTGTCCCGTTGCGTTAAATCATACGAAAGACGCCCCGCGTACAAATTGAGGTTATGGCTTCATGTTTACAGATACCGAACTAAGAAATATTATCGACAAATTAGCGCAGTTCGTGGCGCGCAATGGGCCCGAGTTCGAACAGATGACCAAGAACAAACAGAAAGGCAATCCAAAGTTTCAATTTTTATACGGAGGCGAATATTACGCTTACTATCAGTATAAGGTTAACGCCGAACAAACGGTCATCAAACAGCAAGGAATCATCATGCCGCAACAAAGTCAAAATTCGAATTGGCCCAATAATTCGAACGGTGTTAACGATTTAGAGCAGATTAATCAACAAATCGAGGCTTTGAAGGAACAGATAAAACAGAGCGAACAAAATTTACAAGCTCAACACACGGTTTTGTTGCAACAACAACAAGTTCAAATGGAAAATGTTATATTTGAGAGTCAAACAACTGATTTACAGAAAGAAGCCGGGGAGTGTAACGTTCACATTGAAGAGTTACAACAAATTTTACAACCAATCGTTGAAAGTTGTACTAAAGATAGTATTCAAACGGGTAAATCTTGGATATTATCACACGCTACGAATAAACCCCAAGCTTTTTGCATTGCAAATTGCTTATTGCTAAAAGCAATGCAACCGGGGGCTTCGTTTTTACAACGATTACATGTTATTTATTTAGTAAACGATGTTCTACATCATTGCGCAAGAAAAAGCGCTATAGATCTTAAAGATGCTTTAGAGTCGGTTGTCGTTGCCATGTTTTGTGGAGCTTCAACGACCGCTACGGAGGATCAAAAATTAAAATTAGATAAATTGTTACAATTATGGGAATCCAAAGCTAATTATTTAGCTAAAAGTACCGTGGAAGCTTTACGCAAACCCCAAGAATCGTTGCAGCAACATTTTAATCAGCAAATAGCAAAATATGGGGGTGAAATCACTCGTGTCACTCAAGCTACGTTTGAAGGGTATCGGGTGCAGCATCAAGTTTTTGTCGGACACGCAACGCAAAATATACAAGATTTAGAACAGAGGCGGACGAATATTTTAGAGGAACAACAAAGGCTTGAACAACAAAATCAAATTCAACAACAACAAATACAGCAAATCCAAATTCCTCCACAGATTCCCCCGCCAACGATTCAACAACCCCCTCCTCCGATTAATATAAACCCATCGATCCCGCCTCCACAATTTAATCAACCCCCACCGGGTTATTTCCCAGCTGCAGGAATGTTTCCAGATTTTTCAAAACCACCCCCTGGTTTTCCCATAACCAACCCCGAACCCCCCCAACAAGAAGAATTAATGCCATCGGTGCCTTATTATGAATTACCAGCCGGTTTAATGGTTCCATTAATAAAACTTGAGGATACCGCTTTTAAACCATTAGATCCCACTTTAATTCGTCTCCCACCGCCAGCACCTCCTTCCGATCGACTCTTAGCCGCCGTGGAAGCGTTTTATGCCCCCCCATCGCATGAAAGACCCCGAGACTCGGAAGGTTGGGAAAAATTGGGTCTTTACGAATATTACAAAGCCAAAAATAATGCAAAAAAAGAAAAGGAAGATCAAATCGAGGCTGGGTTAAGAGAAAAATCGCGTTCACCGAGCCCTGTTTATATTATAATCGAGAAAAGTCCTTCACCTCCGAAAAGAAGGTACACAAGTCGGTCTCCTACTCCTCCAAGAAGATCGAGATCGCCTCGGAGTCCTAAAAGAAGACGATCTAGAAGTAGTCGGAGTACTCGTAGAACGAGATCGAAAAGTCCCCCGCGTTCAAGATCCCCATCACCGCTGGTGAGCACGCCAGTGGTGATATCTTCAACAACCCATCATCAATTAGAACAATTAGATTCGAGTAATAAAGGACATCAAATGTTGAGGAAAATGGGGTGGGGTGGAAGTGGGTTGGGAGTAAATGAGCAAGGAATCGATTCGCCGATTTCCGGTGGGGATGTGCGTGATCGGCAGGATCAATTTAAAGGGGTTGGATGTAGTTTGAATGATCCATATGAGAACTTTAGAAAAAATAAGGGAGCTGCTTTTATAACTAGGATGAAAGCGAGAGCCGAGGAACGTGCCCAAGAAAGTATGTGAATGTGTTATTAACAACATATTAATTAAGTGACATTAAGGATTGATATTTTTTTCTTTTTGTGAGCGTGGATATAATAATGTGTAAATATTAATTAATTTTTTAAATGATAATGCGAATAAGAGAATTTAATTATCTTGGAAATAATGTTTATTTTGTTTATTAATTAATAAAAGTTAATTTGGAAGTAATCAAGTAAGTTTTAAATGAATATATTAATACGACGTGAATAAATTATAATGAAACTAAAGTTTTTCACGTTAAATAAATGTATTTGAAACGTCTAATAAATTCCTATTAATTATAGTAGTTAGCTTTAATAAAAAAACGAAAAAGGTTATTCAGTGTTCGTAATTTTGAGTTTCTTGTGTAACGTATTCTCCAGATTGCCTCAAAAATATCTTCCTTCGTTGTTTTTGCCACCGTTTTAAATCTTTGTGCAATTGCCTTCGTTCCTCTTTTTCCCGTTTAGCTAAATCCCGTTCTAACGAACTTAAATTTGATGAAGCAACCACTTCACCACCACTTGGTTCTCCACTTTCAACGGACGATTGACTATCAGCGGGAGTTACCGTGTAAGTTTCAACTTCCGGAGTAATTTCATTTACTTGTTCCTCGTCGTATTGTTCAACCATTTCTTGTGCTTCATTGATTATAGATCTTTGAATCGGATCTATAATTTGATCGTTCATCGTTTTTTCATAATCAACTCCATAACCGGTTTCGTAATGGTTTCTTCCGGTTTGAGGATTTTGTTCGAACATGACTCTAGGGGGATAACGCGTTGGGGATGTTCGATATTGATTGTGATATCTTTGAGTAACAGGCTCGGGTGATGTTGATCTCTGTGGTAAATACGCGGCTTGTTGGAGATTTTCATGGGTACTTGGGTCATCCACGGAGTTGGGTATTTCCGGTACAGGTTGAACGTAACCGGTGGCAACTCCGGGTGGCATTGATGATCTTCTTGGAAGTGGTGTATCTTGTTTTACACTTACATAATCACGGTAGCGAGAGTGAGGTCCTAAAATTAAAATTTTTTAAAAAGATAATATTTTTTAATATTTTTTTGTTGGGTTGGTAATAATTTAAATGTCACTTCTGAAGTTTATAATTTGACATTTAAAGCGTCAAAATAGATTTTTATTGAAAATATAACTTTTAAAAAATCATTTCTTTTTTAACATTGTTTATCATCAAATAATTTTTTGCTCAATTAAAAATTTGCTTTGACTTTGCAGAAATGTTAACTATATTCTCTTACGATCTTTTAAAATACCTGATGGCATAGTATGGGCGACATAACTAGGTACTGCTCTTTGATTTCTCCGTTGCGTATCTTCCGGTACACCATAAGCCACATTCGAAGATGTATCCCATCTTCTTCTGGATCTCATCGCCGACGGATCCTGAGCCATTCTTTTCATTGAATGTTGAACTTTCTTTATACAGGAATTTGAAAACTATAGTTGGAAAGGTTTTAACTGATCAAAAATGTCATTTTGACATTTACATGACGTTTCTTTCTTTTTTTAAATTATACATTTTTTTAAATAAAATAATAAAACATTTAATTGTTGTTAATTTTTTTATTGATTCTAACGAAGTAAAAAGCGGAAGAAACTTTTATGTTAATTTTTCCATTATTTATCTCTTATTATTATTAAATATGTAACGTTCATATAAAGTACTTAACTTAAAATTAAATATTTAATTTTAAATAGTTGAATTTTTTTGATAGAGTTTTTAAGATCTCGAGTAATTGGTATATATTATAATAATAACAATATCATAATTTAATATCAGATTTCAAACATTTTTTGTTCTGATTTTGAAGAATTTAAAGATAAATTTCATGAATTATGTTTCATTATCTTTTATACAAAAAGGATTTTTGTAAATTTTCTTATATTGGGATTGATAATCGTTATGGTTCTGAAGCCATTCGAATCCTTGCTGATTCTCTCGATCGATTATGAACTTCAGCCGTTCTTAATGTTATGCCAAAGATATCTTCATGATAACGATTTTCATCCTAAAAAAAGTTTTTATTAATGTTGTTTATCATTAGTTATAATTAATCTTACCCTCATAGTTAACATATAACTTTCACTTTCTCTGGCAGACATGTTTCCATATTTTTGAATGATAATCCTTAAAGTTTGATAAACATGTTCCGCCATGGTGCAATCGCCGCAAACGTAAAAATGCCCCCTTTCTAAAACCAACAACTTGTACAGTTCAGAACCTTCTTGCATTGCCAAATTTTGAACGTAAGTCTACAATGAAATAAATAAAAATAAAGGTTTAAAAAAATTATGTTTTTTACTTTAGTTATTCCCGGTTCCCTGGATAAAGCTAAAAATAATCTGTCAATAACCCCCTTTTCAACCATCCGCTTCTTTTCTTCCTTGTACAAATCCAATTCGCGTTGTCTACACCCGAAGAATAACCAACATTTTCCTAATTTTTGTTTTGAATTGTTTGCCAAAGCAAATCGTTGTTGCCAAAATGCTCTAAATGGGGCTATTCCTGTGCCTGGTCCAACCAAAATGATAGGTCGACTTGAATCAGTTGGTAAATAAAAGTTTGGTGCGCTATCAAAATAATATTAATTAAAAACCAAATATTATTGAGTAATTAAAAAGTACCTTCTAACAAATAAACAAACATTTTCGCCTACGGGGACATCTTGAAGGTAATTTGAACAAACCCCATAATGCACAGGTCCTTCGCCATCTAAATAATAATAATAGAAACGAGATTAAAGTTAATTAAAAATATAAAAAAAGTTAACCTTGAGTTCTGTATGAAACCACAGCCACTGTTAAATGAATTTGATTTTGGTGTACAGCTCTGCTTGAAGATATCGAATAAAATCTCGGTTGTAATAAACTTAATTGTGCCACTAAAAGTGGCGCGTAAGGGTTCACCGATGGGAACTCCTCGAAAACTTCTAATAGATTTGGAAAACGCCAATGTCTCCAATCTTCATAAGCAGCTGAATCCTAAAAAATAAAAAATGATAACAAAAAATAAATATATTTTTTTTTAAATAATAGCTTACACTTGCTAAAATATTAAGTCTTTTTTGATCTTCTTTATCACTGGCAATAACGGCGAATTGCTGAAGTAAATTGGGGGATGGAGGTGTTGTAATATCTAAATAACGTGTAAAAAGTTCTCTGGTTGAACACGTTGGGATTTTTTCATGTTGGCACCATTGTTTCATAACCCCTAAAAAATGAAAATGTAACTGAAATTTTGATAAGTCCAAGAATGGTAGGATCTAAAAGGACTTCTACATCCTTCTAGCGAAATAGGTGTCCGGTTGGTCAAATTGAGGGTTAAGAATTTGCTAATTCGAGGTGTGAAATAATAGTTGCCCACCCATAAGTGACGTCACGAACGGGCCGTCGAGCTATGAACTTATTCCCGGTATGTATCAGTCCGTTTAGATTCTACCTTCCTTGGTTAACTCTTTGTTAGGTGCCATTCAATATACAGTGAATTTCACTTAAGATGCAATATACAAAAATATATTTCCATAGAAACCAGGGCGTACCTACTTACTTTGTCCCACATAAAATACAACATGTAAATATAACTTGACATTACTTGAATGTTTCTAGTTCTCGGTTTTGCACTAGCACTATCACTAGAACTAACACAAGACCTAGAACTAGAATCTTCGGGTTTAGTTGTATTGAACGCTAAATAACAATTAAAACTAGAACTAACGCTAGACCTAGAACCAGAACCATTCGGGTTTAGCTGTGCATCTCTTAAGACGGAAACTCAGAGTTATCATAAGGACGTCACTTTTTTTAAGCAAAACGTTTCCTTTGCAAAACTACCGCAATGCCAACTATTAAGCTATGTTTCATTTTATGTGGGACAGTACAAGTGTATAGTAGTTTCGTAACTATGGTTATAGCATTCATATATTGCGAGTTATACGAAATTCCCGGTATATTAGTTTTAATACCATTTGATGTATGAGTTTCCTTTAAAATTTGAAGTTCCACGGACGCATCGGGATCGTTAACACCTTTCAGACGTTTCAATATTTTCTCAACTATTTCCGATCGGTTTTTTGGATAAACTCCCACGTGATCGCCAGGATTGTACGCCAAATTGCATTCGAATTCAAGTGCAAGCGTTGCTCTCGTCGATTTTTCACCGTGCAAATTGGTACGATTAAGTAATTTTGTTGAATACACCTTAATAAAATAAAATAAAATAGAATAGAATAAATAAGAACGTATGAGGAGCTTTGAATTCAAGGTTAAAGGATAAACGTTTCGATAAAGGAGACGTTTATTGAAACTTTTAAAGAAATATCGTTCTTTTCTGTCGAAGATTATGCTCCTTTTTGTTTTCTTTTCCCTTAGAAATAAAAAAAGGGAAAAGAAAAAAGAATCCCAAGATAAATTATACATAGAACATCTGCGCCGTTTTCTTTACATTCACCGAATCCCTTTTATTCTTAAATGCAAAAATTTTAATACAAACCGCAATATCAATTTACCTGTTTGTTATAACATTTTGAAAGTGATGAAACGAGATCTTTCGGTTTCGATTCAACGAAACGAACGGTTGATGAGCTTAAATTTTCGCTTTGTAACGTAATCGTGGCTTCTAATAACGCGTCGTCGTCGTCCAAACAAAAAGTTTCGCAAGCAACCTTTAAAAATTAATTTAAAGTTAAGAATCGATTGATTGTGAGTGTTTTTTATTTACTCTAAAAACGTCGGGGGCCCATTTTCGAAACGCCTGCTCTTGTCCGCACATTTCATCGCCGCAAGCCATTTTTAATAATCTTTCGCCACCCAATTCCAATAATAAATTATCAACGTATTGGCCGAAAGCACAAAAATTCGGGTAAGCACTTGAACCAAGTGCAAAAACGGCAAATCTAAAATTAAAAAAACGTTTATATATAAATGTGGAAATAAATTATTTAATAAAAAACATTCTTCATGCATTTAAATTTATTCTTCAAAAGTCATTCTTTTTAAATTTGGTTTAAAACAACGCATTTTCATCTCTCTTCGAAATTATTGCAACTAAGAAAACTGTCAATTTCGTTTATGTTTAAACCTATGCGAAGTTACCCCCCAATTAGATAGGATTTTACATGTACATATAGTATTTTGATTATAATAAGAGAACCAGTCAATCGATTTCGATAAACAATGTCTCATTCGAAAGCTTAATCTTTGACTAATACGAAAGTGGAAATGCAACATCTCGATCAAAGGTAGTTAGTTTAAATTATTTTTTTTATATTGGGGAATAGACTTTCTTTTGCAGGTGTTAAACATTGAAATTCGATTAGTGCGTTTTATTTTAGTAAAATGACGTAAGTTTTATTTGAAATATTTCGAGAAAACGAGTAATTTTTTTATTGAAAGGTTGAGTTTTAAAACCAAAAAACGATTTAAAACCGCTTCGGCCCGTCGTCTTTACATTTTTTGTTTATTCACCTCCAGTATTCCTTCTTCCCACAATAAATTAAGGAGGGGATGTTTGGAAGTTGATTCGCTAATAACGCATTTTAGTTGATATGCGGGCGTTTAAGGGTGATGAAGTAGTTTAGAAAAATAAAACTTATTATAAATACGATATACGATAAATACGTGATAAATACGTGCTATATTTAATAATAATAATAATAATGCTAAGTGTTAGGTGATATTAGTGATGTGATATAGTTGAGATCATCGGATTGCTATTTTATGGATGTTAAAAGGTATCGTATTAATTCATTTTTTTTGTTACAATAAATTAATTATCTTTTCTTTCCAGCTGAGCTTCGAAGTAAAATCCAAAGGAAACAACATCCATTCGGTGAGTCGTTTTCAATTTTATTAATTTACCAAAACATATCGGGATAATTCGCTATTTGAACGGTGTAATGTTGCCAGATAAAAACCGTTTGAACGCTACTCATTGGATTTGTGCTTGAAAAACGGTACCATTCAATAAATTTTTGCATTTTGTGCTTGAAAAATTATAAAGTTTTAATTATCAACATTGTCAAAACATGAAATTTTGAAATTGAGTGTAAACCACTTTAAATAATACTATACTCTGTTTTTAAACCAGGAGGAGTATTTTAAATTTGTCACCAGATTGACCTTGCACGTGATTGGTTGAATGCGAGGAAGGTTCACACATAGGCAATTTTGAATTTTGATTTTGAATTTGAAGGTTAGGTAATTGATAATTCGACAGTTTCGTGTCATTATTGTATATTTTGTGTTCTTAAACCCTTTTTTATTATATTTTGAAATAAATACACTCATAACTTCAATGTTAATTTGTATGTTTAATGTTGACGATAACAAACGAAAATAAATACAATAATAAGTAAATAAATAAATAATAATAATTATTAATTTAAATTTACCGCCAAAATATCTAGTGATATTTTCTGGTGATTTTTCCTAGTGTAAATCTGACTTTCGCGTTTACTCCTCCTGGTTTAAAAACAGAGTATAGTATAATCTAATTCAAACTTTTTTATGGGGGAGTCTCTTTTTTTTGTATCGTTGTATCGGTTGACTGGTTCTCTTGTTATAATCAAAATACTATACATGTAAAATCCTATCTAATTGGGGGCTAGAAAATTTGGGGGCTAACTTCGCATAGGTCATGTTTAAATTTAGCGCCCTTTTTCGATCTGTTTAGGGAATTTCATGTTTTCATTAAATTCCCTTTTTGTTACCCGGGCAACGCAGTTTTGATACAACGAATTTGACATGTTTACTTATCGAGGTTGTTTCAAGATTTTTTCGATTTTGTGCAGGTTGCATGCAGAATTTAATCACCTTACCATCAATTACATAACCCCAAGTGGTAAGTAATAATATTAAGTAATTTATATTTGAAGAAAAAAAGATTTCTTTTTATCTAAAATGTCATGAAGTTTCTCCAAGAAGCAAGTTAAGTTTATGTTTCGAATGTTTCTAGTTCTAGGTCTAGTGTTAGTTCTAGTTTTAATTGTTATTCAGTGCTAGATTATTGTACATTTTTATTGAACTAAAAGTAGAACTAACACTAAACCTATAACTAAAAACATTCGTTAAGAATGGGCAGTAGAGTTGTACACCTGTTCCCGGGATGTATGCCATCTCTAGAAAATTAAAGCAACTAAAAACTGTAAATTTTTTTTTGTTACCTAGGCAACGCCGTTTTGACACATAGAATTTGACATATTTAACACTTTCGCGGACACTATGACTTCGATAGTACGCCCGTAAACGGACCAATTGATTGCATACGCAGTTCTGTCCGCGAAAGTGTTACTTATCGAGGATATTTCAAGAATTTATCGATTTTGTGCGATCTCCATGCAGAATTCAATCACTTCACCATCAAATAACCCCAAGTGGTAAGTAATAATATTAAGTAATTCATATTTGAAGAAACAAAATTCTTTCTTATCTAAAATGTCATGCAGTTTCTCCAAGGGGCAAGTTACGTTTTATGTTTATTACGTTTTTCGTGTTTTTATTCTATTCATGCTTCTCTAAAAAAACAGTGTCGTTTTAACCTCTTACCTTACGTTACTCAAGGGACCAAAAGTGTCTTCCAGTAAAGGTTCGCTAGCTGATCCTCTGAGAGAATCCCAACGATCTAGCTTCTTTACTGCGTTTATGTCGCTCTGGCTGTTAGCTTTTATAAACGATTTCGACGTTTGCATTGTCATACTAACATAAATAAATCACTAAATTAATTATTTCACAAATTGATAAGAAATACGTTTATAAATTATTGTAGTTCTTTAAATTCAATTTTTGTACCTTATCGATGCACTTAACCCGAGAAATAATAAAGTGAGTTAAAATTGGCCTTTGACCTGAATGAACCGGAGAAAAAGGGGAAGAAAATCGAATTATTAGAGGTTTAACTTTGATTGCTAGTCTACCTCTTTTAGCGGAAGGTAAAAAATTGATTCTATCATTTTTATTAATCCCAATCGAGCGGGACGAAATTAATTAAGAAACTGGGTTAAAATTTGCAACGCGAGAAATCGTTTTCGGGTTCTTAAGTTCTTATCTTATTTTCGCGGGGGTTTTCTTACCCCGTAAAGTTAAGAATAAATACGGAAAACTTATTATCAACACTTACCTAAGTTTGGTATCTCCATTATTAAGCCCGTTTTCGTTTAGTTTCAACGTGTACAAGTTTTTTGCGAATTCCTAAAGGAGAAAGAATAAAAAAATTAATTTGTTTAACGAATGATTAAAGATAGGTTGTGGCTTCTATGCTACATCTGCGTTTCAAGCTCGACAAAAACGTTATCCGCTCGTACATTTTAAAGGATCTCATCCCGGATTTACTCCAACGAGTAAAATTAATGTTTATGGCCCTTCCACCCAATAAATAGGGCTCAATATTTTTTTTATAAAATAATTTATCCCATTTTGCAATTTAAAATGTTATAAAATAATAATTTTTACCTCTCCGTTTTCGGGTGGGTCACCATTTCCAAATGTAGAGGTCACCACCAATAGAAGAGCCTCGTGTTCGATGCTCGATATGTCATAGTCCGACATGCAGTAAACTTGCGCGTTGAACGCGTGCCCGAATATTTCGCCCAATTTCTTCGCGTAACCTTCCGATTTTCCCGTTTCCGTCGCATAAAGTACTGTTGCTTTAATCCGTCGCGAAAGAGCACGACCGAATAACTTTGAAGTAAATTTAACAGCCCTGAAAAGAATTATTTTTTTAATTTCAATATAAATAATCGAAAATCTTATAAAACATTAGAAATAACACATTAGATCTGTCATAGGATTGAAAATGACGTTTAAAATGACAGATTCAACATGTCAAAAATAGAAATGTCATATAAAACGTCAAAATGACATTTGATCTGTTAGAAATAATTTAGATTTAAAAAGTGACATACAAAACGTCAAATGTTATTAAATCTATCAAAAATGTATTGAAGATGTTATTTTCAACAAATTAAAAAAAATTACCTTGCAATTTGTTTAAAATGAAACTTTCTTCTCGGTTTCTTTTGATTCTTTCCCGAATCGCGATTCTTTTTCCAAACGTGTGTTTTCCAGGCGGGATCCTATAACATAAAAAAAGATAAATAAATAAATTTTATTATTTTCTTAAACTGATTTTAAAGCAAAACATTTTTATTTGGATTCAAAATTATATCGGTATCTTTTCGTAAAAGGAAAACATAAATTTCTCAAAGCTACGCGTTTATATTTCCGGTTGAGTTAAGGTAACGCCCGTATCCTTTTGCCCTTCCAAAACAACCGACTTTAACCAGAAGGGCCTCCGTATTTATGTCCTAAGGTACTACATCCCATATTATTCCACTACATTTTATTTACTTCACGTGTAAAACTTCACGAATAGGCCATAACTAAGGTTATGAAAGTGACGGTTATGTTTATATTTAAAGTTTATGATTCCTTCCTTTATTTATGACAAGTTAAGGTTAAAAAGTAATTATTTATGTATCAAGATAAGTTATGGGAGTAACTTTTTTTAGTCGCGTCACCGTGAGTTAGAAGTTCAAACCACACCACAACTATTTCGAAACGGAATTTTATTTCCTCTCTTCCCATCTGCCTTTTTTCCGTGTCCGTCTCATCCCTTATTCTGTTTAAACACACCCTTTTCGAAGCGCTACGCTGAAAAAAATACCTAACTTTACCACCCACTTGGTTGAGCAACACACTTTTAAACCGTTGACAGTTATTGCGGTGAGCTTTTTGTTCCTTTTTCAACTATTGAATATATCGGAATCCGAGTCGTTTAGAGATTGGAAATTTTCAAACGGAATTCCGGAGGATTTTCTTGTTTTACGTAGACAAAGTGGTGAAGTGTGGTTAAATTGAAAATTCTTCTTATCTTGACGTTAATAATTATTTTTGTTGTTTTTCGACAAGGTGTTGAAGTGTGATTAAATTAAATTCAACGAAAGTTTAGTTATTGAAGTAAAAGTTCGTACAAAGAAGAAACTTTCCCAACTTAACTTTATTTATACCTTAAAATAAGTCAATAAATAAAATTTCAATAATAAGTAATCAAGCTACTAATTAATAGATGGCGCTATTATTAATTTTTTTAACTCAATGACATTTTATTATTTGTTGACAAATTATTTTGGTTATTTTAAAGCAAATAAAATTAAATATTGAAATTAGTTACTGTTTAAGTGTTGAGTAGAAAAGGTTTTTAGTTTTCTTTTAAATAAAAAAATTCTTACTTGATATTCATACGATGGTTTCATGTAGTACAAAGCCATTTCCTGATGGAAAACCGGCGTTGCAGAACCGGAAAGAGGCGGAACAATCCACGCCCAATCTGCCGGACAGCCGCTTCTTAAACGAACTTCATTCTCTAGGTGTTTTATAAACGATTCTGAAGCTGTGTGATGATCCACTATGGTTACACCTTTCGCTTGGAAGCTGAATAAAACTGCAACGTTGCATTCGACCATGGCTTTATCTTTCCAAAGAGTTACGGGAGTTCGTGTATCCAATCCCATTTTTAATGCTATAGGCTAAAAAAATTTAAAAACAAATTATTTAGAGATAAACACCAAAACGATTTTTTTGTTTTTATAAATTTAATATTTCAAGAGATAAAAAGTGTGTTTTTAAACTTACTCCTTTAAAAGGAGAACAAAATAAAGTTGTCCGAGATAACAAGTTGTCTTTTATGCTTAAAGTTTTTTTAAAATCTTTCAATTCAGATGATTAAGATGAGTAAGTATATTTTGTGATTAATTTGAGAAATTTAAAATAACCGACTGTACTCGGTAATAAACGTGGGATATTCCCAGAGTTGTCTATACGATGTAGAAATGAAGGGTGGTGGCTCTAGGTTCAATTAACAACGTTTGTTGTATAGTTTTCATTGAACTAATACTAGAACTAGCACTAGACATAACTAGAAAGTTTTGGATTTAGCCGTGCATCTTCAGACATTGACACGTTTAAAATGCAAATTAACAATTTTGAATATAACAGACTTTTGGTTATAACGGACACCCCCTTCCCCTTATTAATCCGTTATATCTAGAATTTACTGTACTTACTTCAAGTAAATTGTAACGTTGTGAATCGCATAAATCACGACAACCGATTTCCGTGCTCATATACCACCCGTTAAATGGAGCTGCCGTAAATTGAAGACCACCGCAATCGAACATCATACTTGAAACAGCCGGTAAACAATACCATTTAAGTCCCATTTCTTCAAACCAATCATAACTGCAAAATTAAAAAAAAAACTGTTCGCTATATTTTATTTGGGCAAAAAAAAAAGATTCGAAAACGGACGTATTTTATGGTTTATGGGTTCATGAACACACCCGTAAACCATAATTTGACCGAATTCCCTCTCTGTATCACATTGATTTACAACCCATCAGTGGATCTTTTAACGTTCCTTTTATTTATTTCTTTTTGCACTCAAAAAACTCGAAAACGAAAAACATTAATTTAACTTACTTTGGATGTGTTAAATTAACTTCCATAATTAATTCGGCGGGAATGTCGAAATAATCGGGATCGTGACCGTTGGCCGAAAGAAGTAAAGGTAGAATATCAAATCTTGTACCTGCACCTCTCCAACCGAGTTTTGTGCAAACTTCCGTAAATTCCACATTTATTGGATCGCCGATTATTGAACCATCGGATTGTTTGTAACCGGCGTAAGCTATAAGTTGACTATTCCATACTCTGTAATCATGTTTTCCATCGGTTCGTTGTGGAAAAATTGTTATAGCAGATCTGAAAAAAACAAGGCTATTTCAGTGAAACATAATTCACCAATGAAATAATAATTGCCCTATTATGAACGATTAAAAAATAATTGGAAGAAAAATGAATAGGAAATGAGATTATTAAAGAGAAATATGAATCGTTTGATATTCCGTAATAGTAAACTCGAATTGGTTTGAAGTCATTTTTAGAAGATTAAAGGTTATTTAACGCGCCGGTTAAGCACCTCACTTAGTAATTATCGCATTTGCAGTGATTGGTAATTGCAATTACCTTGATAATGGTATAACCAGCGCTGAATCTAATTCCAAGAAGAGAGGAGATTATAGCCAATTTGTCAATAAAGATTAAACCTCGATTTAATTCGAGTACGAGTGAGTTAAGAAAATTAAAAAAACCTTAAAAACAATTCAATTTGATCTAATTAAATTAAAAAGCTTTTACTGTAGTTAACCTGAATTATAAAACTAACTTTTTAATTAAACATTTTTAACAAGTCAAACAAATTTCCATTAAAAAATCGTGAAATCACTGTATTATTTTATAATTTCAATATTTATTGTTGAATTTCAATTGTGTATTGTTAAAAATGGTATTTCCACCACTTTTAACAACCTTAAAACGAGATATTTAATTTATTAACCGTAAAATTAAGGTTGAAATAGAATTATTCGCAAAACTAAATTCGAATTATTTCTATAGTTTCGTTTTATTATTTTTTTTTGGGTTGAGGAAATATTGTGCCGTTGATGTTTCGTTACTAAATAAACTTTAACGGTCAATACAATCTTCATAACATTGGGCATTGTATTCGAGCCTGCGACGGCGAATGGTAATGAAGGAGAACAAAAGAGAAATAGCATTTGGAAAATAGGAGTTATGCCAAGAGTTTCGTACTGGGTTTACTTCGAATACGTTCAACTTGATACTCTAAAAATTTATAAAATTTATTTATAGCTTATTTAGTGCAATGTTTTGTCGTTTTTAGAATCAGTTTCATGTAAGGCTGCCCATATAGTGGAACCGAACTCGGCCGACTTCAAGAATCAGCCGTCTAATGACCGACCACTTCGACCGATTACATCTCGTCCACTGCAACGAACAAGAATCAAAAATGCTTTAATTTGATACCAAACACGATATATTTGGGTTAAAAAATAAAAAAGTTAGGTTAGAAACTGTCAAATGTCAAAATTACATATCACGATTTTTTGATAAATATTGAAATGATCTTAAGAATCAAAAATGCTTTAATTTGATACCAAACACGATGTTTGTGTTAAAAAATAAAAACGTTAGGTTATAAACTGTCAAATGCCAAATAATCGCCATTTTTTGCTAAAAATTAAGATATTTCGATAATGGTTGGAGATAAATAAGTGGAGTTTGGATTGATTTTAAAGGAGTTTTAATTTTCTATCCATTAATGTTAAAAAAAGAACAGCTTTATAACTAAAAAATCATGATCAATTATTCCTTATTAAGAAATAAATACGACTTTTTTATATTTTAGAATTTATTAGATGCATTTTAAATTATTAATATTCTTTAAAAACAGTGTCAGAAAGCGCCGCGAATGTTTTCATAAACCTCTGCTTTATAATATTAATTGTACATATTACGTTATTATTGTTACGTTTGTCGGAACTGAGTCAAATAATATTCGATAAATCTATTATTTGTTAAATAGAGAACAAAGCGAAGCGTGCAGCTTAATTTCTAGAATATAAACAATTATTTTCAAACTTGAATGGTTTCATTCTGTGAAATCTAAACCGTCATAAATTTCGAAATCAAACCGTATAGTTTTAGTCCCCGGGTAAAGGTATTTAATCATTACGGTTGTCGCAAATCCGTTTCCCCCCGGCTTTTTGGAATTTAACGTTTCAATGTTTATAAGCTACAGAGAACTCCGGTTTACTATTGTTACGTTATTAAACAATGAAATCGTCACCGCGTAATTACACGTGTTCAACAAGCCTCGATTGTTTAACTGTTAGTTAGCGAGAAGACTGTTCCAATTCAATTTAAAGGGAATTAATCAAAAAAACTGTTTATTACCGTTATTTTTAATAAATAAGTTCAAATAAACCATGAAGAGAACAACACGAAAGTAAACTTAAAGGGGGAGTATTTAGGGGGTGGACTCTCGAAGCTAAGGGTTTGTATTTGTTCAAGTCTGTCACCTCCAATTTCACTATATTAGCACCGCCGTCCCATGTCACACCCCTTCTTACCCCATCAATTCACGTGTAAAACAATAGCTTGGCTTTATTAAGGCGAGTTTCTGGGAGAAAAAAGGGGAATTTCGAAATTACGTTTGGAAAGTTAGAAATATAGTTCTAATTAGAATTGAAATGTAACAAAATAAAAAAATAAAAGAATCATTGATGATTCTTTTAAAGCGATTAAAAATTCATTGGGAAATTTGAAATTCTCGTCGCATCGACAACACGTGTCTTGGACACACGGCTTTGGTGGAAGTTGAACAGATTCGATAAAGTTTGTCTTAAACTAAGTAGGTGTAGTAGTAAGAAAGGGTCAACTCACCTTATGTTACCTTTGTTGGTGCTGTACTTTATATGGTTACAAAGTGCTTCGAACATTCCACTTGTAGTGGTGACATAGCGACAATCAAAAACCTAAAAACAAATAAAAATCAGAAAAGACAATATTTTTTGTACTAATTTAGCAAATAAAAGTACTTCGAAAATTCTGTGTACACGAAAGACGTGAAATGTTAAGATAGGGTCCGAAGTAAATTAACTGGGAAAGAAATCGTCCCACAAAATTCACTTCCACGGTAATGCACCTCCTTTTAGATTGCCGCTATAAAGATAGGAAACGGGAAGGTGCTCTGATTAAGACAGAGGTTTTCAAACTTTTCCACCAACTTTCCTACTTCATCTTAAAATTACTTAATATTACTTAAAATTATCTTAAAATTTAAAACAACATTCTTATCACTTTTACTATTTCAACTTGAAACATTTTCGTTTAACATTTTTAGTTATATTTTTAGGTTAATTTTTGACATTTAACCTCTTAATTTTACAATGAATACGTTCATAAACGTTTATTAAGAATACAAACATAAACGTTCATTAAATCAAATTTTGTTTGATAATTCCTGGTTGAAACCAGAATCCTTTTTTTATTTACCGCGCTCAAGGATTTCCGAATGATTAACTTGGATCAGCTTTCTCTTAAGGTTTCAGCAAAAAAAAGCGAGTCCACAAAAAAGTTTCATTCACCTTCCATACACGTAGAGAAGAGATGAAATTGCGACAGTTTGCGGTAGGATGGAAATTTGTCGAAACCGAGAAACCGGCGACAGTTTGCAACATCTGCATAAACGCATTTATTTTCAACCCCGTTTGCAACAACACGTTATACCATGTTGTGTACACGACGAGATGGTTTTAACGCAAATATTACTCTTATGGTAATAAACGTTTTGCTCAAAGTTCGAGTTTAACAATCAAAATCATTTTCTGTTATGTTATAATTAATCTATTTATATCGGTTATTTTGTGATTACGACTAACATTAAGATAGTGAATAGTTAAATGTTACCCATTTCCGGTGTTATATGTCTTTATTCGTTATAAACTAGGTTGGTAGTTAATAGAATTACTGTTTTATCGGCACTGTCAATTAAATTTACGATTATTACAATACAATTAAAACGTTAAAAACATTTTTAATTGATAAAATAAAGATTATTTACGTGTGATTTAAGTCAATAGTACACTATAAATGAAAAGTAACTAAAATGGTATGGACATCTACGCCGAATGAGTAAAGGTAGAATCCCACTTAAGGTTTGGAACTGGGTGCCAGCCGAAAGAAACAAAAGATGTAGCTCTAGAAAAAAATTGATCCAGGATATCAATGTGGATATGAAGAGTAGAGGACTGGGTGAAGATGATTGGAATGATAAGGACAAAGCTGCAAATACTCGCGAAATAGAATAGAATAGATAGTTGAGGTTAGGGAATTAAAACCTAATGACAGTTTAAAATGTCAGTGTGACAAGTTGATTTGAAAACATGATATATTGTAACTGAATCAGTTTATAAATATTTATCAATCAATTTAGAAATCGGTAATTCTAATTCCAAAATATTTGGGTAATTTTATAATCAATTTAAGTGGACGTGAGATATAGTTCCCAGTGGCATCGTTCTGCATATTTCATTCGATTCGGGTTTATGCACAAAACAACTCACAGGACCGAATCTACGGGAGAATGAGATAACGAACCCGTTACCTACTTAATTATTAAAGTCGATATGTTCCTTATTAAACTATGGTTACATAATGAAGCTCCATTCGGTAACGATATCGCATAGACATTATCTCCCAGTGCAAGATCTAACTACTTTGTTAATTTAACCGAGGAAAAATGTTACAAAAACCATGACACGGAAAATGAAGAGGAGATAAATTTTATAAAAGTAATTAACACGGATACTGTTATAAACACGGTTCACGTAACACAAGAGATAAATTGACAAAACAAAGGTTGGTTAATGTATAAGTTTAGAACACCAAATATGAACTCAAAACTCAAATAAAAAATACTAAAAATACATTTATTATTATAATTGTGTAATATTTCGTTAAAGTTTATAAATTTCGTCGAAACAGTTCATTTCAAACTCAATAGAATATGAAAGTAGCCGCTTTCGGGCAAATTGTAGGCTATACCCTGAAGATCTTTGGTAAAGAGAGATTTTGAAATGCGAATAGAATGGAAATTTCGCCGAACCAATGGACACAGCATGAAGGTCCTCCCTCATAAGGCCGTGCAAACACCGGTTTCCATTCACATCCCTCAATTGACGCGGCCCGTTTACCTTCAACAGCATCCCTTTTATAAAACATTCAACTTTCTACTTCAACGTGATAGAGAAGAAACAAGTTTTTTCCGTTTTTATTACGCAATGAACGGTATGGAAAAGGGAAAATATGTGGGAGTTTCGCGAGAAATAAACTAAATTTGTGAAAAATGTTGCCTCTTTATCTTAACTTAACTTGGGACGGTTTGAAAAGACTGAAAAGTTATGAGTTCACTTATACACCCTTCTAAAGCGACGTAAAGAAAGGATTTTTATAAATGATCTGTTTTAGGTAAATGATAGTAATCAATAAAATTGTATTGATGAAAGAAAATAAATTTACTTTTATTAATTATTTAAAAAAATTTTAACAAAAGATCTATTCTTTTAAAAAAGGTTGAGAACCAATTCCGTGTTATGTGTAAGGGAACGTGAAGAATTTGCAGATCATGCAGCACAAAGAAAAAGGAAAAAATCACCTCTAAGGTTTTAGTAACATTATTCAAATACACCATCTATCTTATAAATTTATTAACCTGCAATGCAGAGAAATTAAATTTAAAGTTAACTAGATGACGTGAAGGAACGAAAAGGTAAAATGACATTGAGCGTCGTTATCAGGTTTTAAGAGCCTCCGGCGAAAGGGAATGCTTTGGTGTTAGTACATAAAAGCTGGAAAGCGTTTATTTGGTGATGTGTGGTGGTCCGCGTGAGACAAGTAAGCGTCAGTGGATGCTTTTCAGAACTACTGAAAAGGGGCGCACATCAACGCGAACAGAAACCGTCGGTCTTTCTCTTGTCCCTTCGTTCCGAAGGACAATTTGTCCGTTTTACGTAAATACACTGCTCGTGATGTTAGACCCCTCGGATAAGCTCCGTCGAAATATGGGTATAAACGTGACCGAGATTACATTAAAGCAGATAGATGGGTTTCATCGTCCATAAAAATTTATTTCAGAAAGAGTTATGTTACAAAATTGTCAAATTAGGAGTTATTTTAATGTCGTTGAAATGAAAGGTTTCTGGGGTGTCGAGGAGATCCTGTCTAACCTATTTAACTCCAATTATTGACAAAGTTCGTTTAGTCTCTCTCTCCCGATCGACGATAATTTAAATTTAGGGAATAGTGATAGTTTCGGAGGGTATTTAATTAACTCTTGAACTATTACATTTTAAGAGTTAATAGTTTGCAACTTTTCAAATTACTTATTAAATATTAAAATTAATAATTATACAGTGAATTTCACTTAAAATGCAGTATACAAAAATATATTTCAATAGAAATCAGGGCGTACCTACTTACTTTGTCCCACATAAAATACAACATGTCTGAATGTTTCTAGTTGTAGGACTAATTTTAGTTCTAGTGACAGAAGTAGGTAGCGCTAGTTAACATAAGATATCACTATGTTACATATTTTTATTAAACTAAAACTAGAACTAGAAAGTTTCGGGTTTAGCCGTGCGTCTTCAGACGGGTCTACTGTTAGTTCTAGTTTTAATTGTTATTCAGCGCAAGATTGTTGTATATTTCAATTGAAGTAACACTAGACCTAGAACTAGAAACGCACGTCTGTCAAGGCGGCTAAACTTGAATGATTCTAGTTCTAGGTCTTGTGTTAGTTCTAGTATTGCACTAGCACTAACAGTAGAACTAACACAAGACCAAGAACTACAATCATTTGGGTTTAGCCGTCTTGAAAGCGCACGTCGCTCATCTTTTTCCAAGCAAAACTTTTCCTTTGCAAAACGACCCAATGCCTGTACTATTAAGCTATATTGCCTTTTATGTGGGACAGTGTAAGTATATAGTAGTTTCATAACTCTGGTTACAGCATTCATATATTGCAAGTTATATGAAATTTTCGGTGTTTATTATTTAGATATTTACCTGAAGTTTTGACCATTGAATTCTTCCAATACACCTCGGCGAATTTCTCCATGCCAATTTTGCACCGTAAATCAATTCGGTTTCGGTTAAATGATACGTTCCGGTAGCCGCGACTTCTTTCTGGACTTCTTCCCATCTATTAATATGAGCTTGATTATTAGACCTGAGGAAAGAAATATACGATTAAATATCATAAAAAATAAAAAATCGTTAGATTTCATAAAAGAGCAAAACGGTAATAACTAACATTCGAACACCACATGTCCCATAAAACCAAACTAACCGAAATAAAACCGGAACAACGACGAGAAGAGAATTAAGAGAAGGAAACCCAGAAGGGTGCTACGAGGATGAGATAATTGAGTTAGGTTGTGCAAAAATGGACTGGGTGTGTTGTCCAGATGGTGTCGAAGTGTGTGTAATTACTTTTATAAGGGATGCAAAGGCACAAAAATATTGCAGATTTATTAAAGAAAAAGAAATGTGGTGAAACAGGAGAAGAAACTTTTTTTAATGATCATTTGGAAATGAAAAATCTTGATTTAAGAATATTGAAAATGAATAATTCAGCAAGTGGAGAGAATGAAATAGGAAGGGTCGTGAACCCACTCAATTATGGGATTATGGATTTTTTTGGGTTAGATTAAATATTCGGGGAATTTTTAACTTAAAAAAAAAGGATAAAAAAGGTGTTGTTTAATATTAATCAGCAAAAACAGGAGTGAATTTGATGATTTTTTTTGGATTATATTTTGCTTTCGTGCATGTTATGTAAATATAAAAACCGGATTCTATTATTGGTGTATAACTTGTATTAATTATTGGAGTAAAATTATTTCTTTTAAGTTTAATTTATTTTGCGTTAAAGTTATGTCAAAAATATTGGAGATACCAAATCAATCTACAGTAATCAAACTCTTGCTGCGATCTACCACCAAATTGTATATTTTTCATTGAACTAAAAGTAGAACTAACACTAGACCTAGAACTAGAAAGTTTCGGGTTTCTAGTTCGTCTGAAGACGCACGGCTAAGAGTAATCGTGTCAATTTAGAGCTTTTTTAAATGAACTCCAATCAAGAGAAATTTACTTAACTTTACTTAAATTAATTAATAATGATAAATATTTGAATTTTGTTTATACGTTTTTAATGAAAAGAGATTTTTACCGTTGACCTCCTATATGTAACGGTTTTGTGTAGACAATGTTGTTTAATACCGAGACCGTTGGAAAATTTTAATTCTTTTAACGTCGAACAGCGCTGTAAACTTACATTGAAACATTTGTTACATTGAATTTCTTTCTTAACACATTTTTATTAAATTTAATCGAAAATTTGTTTAAAAAAAATGTCTAGAAAAATCGTTCTTTGTTTAAAAATTTATTGATATTGGTATAAAGTATATGCAAGGTACTTTTTCTCATGAATTATAATATACACGTACAGATTAATGTTTGCGGAACGCATAAAGACATTTACGTTTATGGGAGCCATAAAATCCCATCTCCAGTTAATTTAATACGTAATAAAAACATGGGTTGTTTCTGAATCCCATCAATCTTTATTTTTTTAAATAAAATAACGTTATTATTTATTTATAGAAAATTTTTTAGTGTTTCAAGCCCAATACTAAATAATTATTGTATGAAATTCTTTTCTATACGAGTTCATATGGTTCAGACAACCTCAAAATTGTTGATATTAAACTTCAAAACGGGTTAAAACAACCTTGTAAACACGAATTTATCTACTACATCATGCGATATTGTTTCAAAAGTTTTCGATTACATCAACAAAACCAAACATTTTGCGATATAAATGGTAAATATTAAAACATTGTTTTATTTTTTACTTTGAAACTTTAAAAAAGAGAAACAAAAATTTGTTAAAGTGCAGTTTTTCCCAGTTCTCGCATGAATGGATTTTACAAACAATTTATTCACTTTTGTGAAGTTAACCTGGTTTTTATATTTCAATAAACTGAATACAGTAAAAACCTCAATATAACGGACTAATATGACGAAATTAGTGTCCGTTATATCCAAAAGAATTGGGCTTAGCCGCACGTCTTTAAAGACTGCTAAACCTGAATGTTTCTAGTTCCAGGTCTAGTGTTAGTTCCAGTTTTGCACTAGCACTATTACTGTGAACGAGTTTAGCCGTCTTAAAAGACGTACGGCTAAACCCGAATGTTTCTAGTTCTACATCTGCTGTTAGTTCAGTAAAAAAATACAACAATCTAGCGCTGAAAAACAATTAAAACGAGAACCGTCCTTTAGGTTTTACTATATTACTTTTTTTTTAATCATATTTTAAATGAGCTTAAATAATATTACTTAAGAGTATCATTTTCACATTTTCTTAAAAATATTTCAATTAAATTGTCGATGAACAAGTTTTTACGATTTGTTTATAACATGAATCTTGCGGTATGGAGAGAATAGCAGGTATGCAGTGTTCATTTTGTAATTTAATCTCACCTCTGTATACCTTGCATAGTTTCTCTAATATGGGGAAAATAATTTCGTAGTTTTATAGACGAAATTACGCACAGAATGCCAGTTGTATGCGACGGCGTGTATTAATCTTTCTTTTCTGTTTCTATTTTTATTCCCCGCAGTTTTTATTCTTTTTTGGAAGAAAAGGAATTTTAATACGATGTAGTATGTAAATTTTCATTTGAAATTTATCGTTTCAAGGCGGCCCAAGAAGGTAAACTACAACATAGCTCTAAATAAATGGTTTAACATATATCTTGTAGTAAGTCCGAGTCGTTTTATTTAACGATTTATTGTTTTTAAATAAGGTGAAATCAATAAATTTAATCGAACAATTTATAATTTTGTAAAACGATTAGTTAACAGTGTGTTTATCAATTTATTTTCTCTGCAACAGGTTTCGCCTCTGCCCCGATTCGAATTTTAATTGGAATCGAGAATTTAAACACCCCCATAAACTTATCAAATAAATCTAAAGGTTCAAATTCGAGAAAATTTAATAAATGCGAAATATTACCCGAGTTTTCTGTCAAAAAAAAAATAGGTTGGTAACATTTTTTATAGAATAAATTAATATAACCTCAACTTATTAAATAAAAACCTTCTAATTCTAACAAGCCAAACTTGATTGAACGCTTTAATCGATGTAAATCAATTGGACATCGATCGGCTTTACTTGTCAAATTAACACGTCCATCTCATCAATTTTAATCTAATACCTTAAATCAAACTGTAAATCAAATTTATGTTACATATATCCACGAAAACGTCTGTTTCTTAAAATTTTCTTTGTAAACTCAAACATGTTCTGGTAAAACTAATAACGATTATCGTAAAAGTTAACTTACCTTCTAGTAAAGAATTGATCGAGAAAATCTTTGGCGTGCAATAAAATTTCTTGTGGGCTTCGTATTCTTGCGTTTTTACCATTTTGTAACATAAGGCTACCTAAGCATACGTGATTGTTGCATGGTGTTTCCTAGAAAAAAAAATTTTATTATTTCATATCAAGTTTATAGGTTAGAATATACTATTTATTAATTACAAGAGATGTCGCCAATAGCAAATCCTTATTATCCTTATCTTTTTGATATACAAATCTTATTTACTTTTTTTATACTTAAGTTGAAACTTACAAATTATTGAAATACATTATTTAGAACTATAACTTGGGTTGGGTTAATTTGGGTTGATTGATACCGGATTTATAGATTAAAATAAATTATTTATTAATCCCAAGAGATGTCGCTAATGGTAAATACTATAACTTTGACATATAAATCTTTTATATTGTTAGGTTATGTTTAAACATGCAATATTATTGAAATTCAATATTATTTTGAACTAAAACTTGGGTTAATGCTAAACACTTCCAATTAGAAACTGATATGTATTAGCTTATTGATCCATATTACACTAAACGGTTATTAATATAGAATTAATTGGGAACGAAGATAAGCTAGGTTATGTTGTTAAAACGAAACATTAACTCAAACATGAAATAAAATTATTAAATAAATCTTTCCATACGAATAAATTTCAACTCAAGATTATTTATTTGTGAATCGATCCGGAAAAGTGAATTAAACCGTACAAATTCAAGGAATTTTGTCGATCTCGTTAATAAACGAACGCGGAGCAGAATCGGTTTCCGTTTTATCCTTTTATTTCGAACCCTCTCCCTTTTTCGTATTAAAACCGTTCTCGTTAAAGATAAATTCAAACACTCTCACAATCAGATTTAACTCCGATTTATTTATTTCCGACCTAAAGCTAGATATTCTAATTTCGCCTCAATCTAAACTTAGGAAAACTAATAATTATTCATTTTACGCTTCAATAATACTACATATACATACGGTCGGTTATAAGATTGGACTTCTAATTCAATTAGACACTCAAATAATCTTAATTAAGCCTAGTTAAATTGCGAGATGGTTCAAATCAAAAGATCCCGAGCATAAAGTAAACAGAATGTAGACATATGAAGTTGCGCGGAAAGGAAACGGTGCTTCTCCACCTTCCCTTTAATAGCTCCTATGGTAGGAGGGCGTGTGCACAGCGGGCGATACGTGATAATCTACTTTAGACTCTATGCACGCCCTCTCATACCGGCAATAAATACATTAGGATTGTGTGCGCACGTCGAGACTCAAAGTTATTTCACCTTCTTGAACCTGCAACTTTCTTGTGAAAATAATCGATGGTACGCGATAAAATTTTGTTCCTCCAAGCAGAGATAAAGAAGAAAATTTATTCTATGTTCCCAAACGATGAAGAACTTTCAATGGTGTTATTGGAGATCACGCAAACAAATCATTAAAGGTTTTTTTTTACATAAAACGTTGAATAAAAAAGATTTGTTCCCCTGTTTTCTGTCTGAAAGGAAATTTATGGATTATTTGTAGCAATTTCAAAAGGACCCTCCTAATTTAACATTAATAAATATAAATTGAAATTTCAGGAAATTTGTATAAGTGAGGTTATGTGGAAATGTCACTTAACGTTATGAAGTAATTTTAAAAAAATATCATGTATATTTACTTTTACACTGATTTACCTGGATTAAATTAATCGAAAATTAATAATAATCGCTTAATTATTAATAAATAAGAAAATAATTTAATTTTCACCAATTTAGATATGAAATTTGAGACGTCATTGATTTTTATTAACGTCAATAAAATAGATTACTTTTTTAATTATATAACTCGCAATATATTGAACTTACAAATGATTCAGTTTTAAAATTTATTTAAAAATTAAAATTGTTTCATTAAATTTTACCTTTTTTATTAATGTCGATAAAGTAGGTTACAGTAGGTTACTTATAATCTGTCAACGATATAAATTTGAAACATAACCTAATTTTTTCACTAAGTCAGCTAAATCAGATGTGTTAATAAATTACATTTTAAGCAAACAAAACTATAATTAGAATCTCCGACTAAAGGTAGGCCACTTTGCACTTTTACTGGTGTCGTGAATGTAAATTTTCAACGCAGAGTTCCGTCCTATCGTTACAATTAGTTTAGTTTATTACCATAGGTTAATTGAGTATCAAAATTTACCTTGGTCTGTTTAGATAAAATATGTATATGATTCGGAAATTCCCAGAGAGAAACTTCTCTGAAAGTCGTCTTTTAAATACAACTTAGTTTCGTGGTATAGAGTTGCAAAAAGATTGAAAGTAACCACGAATTCCATTTAGTTAATAAACTCTTTTTATTTGTGTTATAAAAGAAAATAATTTTTTTATGTCATGTTCTAATGTTACAACATATATTTTTTCGAGTTGTAAAAGGTGGATCCAATTATTTTAAAACCATAAAAAGATTTGAAGAGCGAAAAATGAAGCGAAAAAAACTAAAACCTTGCCGCAAAGCAAATTTACTTTGGAAATTTCGTCGGAATTCCATGTGTACACAAACTCTGACTACGAAACAACTATAACTTAGCGAAGTTTCCAGATGAATCCCCTTAAAGTTGTGTCATTATAAGATTAGAAAGGAACTAACTGTACAGTTTCTATAATTATTAAACAATAAAAACTATTTATTTTTATTATCATCATAAATAAATAACGGTAAAAATTGTTTTTTTTAACTGTCATTGTAAACGTCAAAATGACATTTATTTACGTCAAAAGATAATTTTTGATTAATTTTTTTGTAAGTGATAAACGATGAGAATTAGATCGTCAAAGTCACTGTATGGGTAGTTTAACGGACAGCCTTTGGAGGTAAATTGAATTGGCTAGAGCTTGGAAATCTGCATTGCAAAGTTACAGTGAGGCCACGTAATCTTGGACCATACAATGGCTTCTACCGTAAGCATGCAGCTTATGGGGATGATGTCATAGTTAAATTTAATTAATATTGTTATTGGATTTTACAAAAAACTTATGATTTAAGTGCAGTAAATAAATAAATGTATTTATATAAATCTTATGATTCTTGTGACAATATTTACTCGATGATTTCTTATCGATCATATGAAAAGAAAAAAATCACATGTTAAAATAGAATCGTATTGAGGAAAAAAAGCATGTGATTTCTTTAGTAAACATAAAATATTAAGTGAAACTTTAAATAATATAGATTGATTGCGAATCGAAACAAGCAGAAATTAATTAACTGAATTATTCAATTTCTGCGGGTTGATAATTCCGGCGACAACTTCTTGTTGAACCGCGCTCGTGACATGGTAAATCGAAACGGAGCTCAACAATTAGTCAACGCACATTCCAATTTATAATAAAGTTTTCGGAGTCTCTAAGAGAAGACTACTCACTGTGACGCGGTTACGGAGATGCAAATTCGTGACACTTAAACTTGTTAAATTTAATTATCTCTAAAGTAAAGTTTCCTCTTAATATATTTCACTAACTTGAAATGATAATTCATCAATGTTCGAAGGGGAAAAATAGAAAAAGAAAGGAAATGTGCGTAGTCACGGATCACAAAAAGTTTAAAAACCTGTTCAAAGGCTCTTTAAACGACTTAAACCTCTCGAAAACCGTTTAGGGGAATTATAAATCAATGCGGGAGCTCAAAGTAAGCGAAATTCCGATCGCCCGATTTGAGTTTTAAATACTTTGCAAAGACCGCAAAATTTTAATTATACTTTAAAAGATGTTTTGTAGCATTTTACGGAAAATTAATAAAATCTTTTTGTTTATTAAAATAGAAAATGACAGAATTTAACCTAAAAATTGGTCGCTGTCACTATCAATATGACGTTTTAAATTAAAAAAAAAGGAATTTATTTAAGTTACATTTATTTATGTTATACAAACTTGATAGAATTGGAAGTTATTTTTTTTTCGGTGGGTTTAATCCGAATATTTCGTTTATCACAAAAATGAATGCCTTCTAGGTATTCCTAAATGTATTGACATAAACAGGTGTTTTCGATTTACGAGTTTGAAGTTGCATCGCTGCTAAATTCACTGTCAAAAGCAGCGTTCGTTATCACTACCAATCTCGGTGTTTAAACACTATAATAAAAATACAAAATAGCCACATATAATTTCAATAATCACTTTAACAAGATTTTATTAAAAAAGTTATTAAAATGCTATTCATATGGTATTGTGGTATCAAGTATTTTTTTAATCTATTTAAAAATATATTTCTTTTAAATTTAATTAGGTAATGATTAAATAATAATAATTACATTACTTTTTTTGTAAACGTTTTTCAACTGAAAGTTAGTACAAATGACGTTTAGATCAAATGTAAAATGATTTGACATTATGCAAAAACGTTACAGCTTATTAATTTGATACACTAGATAGTTTAAAATCTAAAGAGGATTAACAGGATTAACCCGTTGTATTTGATATGACAGATTTTATCATCAATATCGATTAAAATAATTATTTTTTTCATTTATTGTAACTAATTTTAGAAAATCTCACCGGATTAATTCCAATTTTCGTTGCAGTATAACACAGCGAATCAAATAAGCATTTATCGCTATCGGAATAATTATTCAAACAAATCGGTTTTTGATTGTACTCGCTCATTTCATCCCACTTTAATCGGCTTGTTTATTAAATTTGTTTATTTATCTTTTTTTTAGTATATTATTGGGATATAAAGGCTGGTTTAACAAAACTGAGGAGCATACATGCAGTTCCGAGGATTTTATGTTATTTTCTGTTGCTGTGGACACATTTAAATAGTAAGTTATTTACGCAAGAAATTTTTTTAGTTTGCGCAAAATGATTTCTATATCAAATTTATGTACACATAAAAAATTAACAAATTCCTTTTAATTTTGAAACTCTTACCTCTTTAATTCCTGTGTGGGCTAACGAATCAAAAACGTCCTTATTGCGATCAGAAAAATTATTTAAACAAAGCGGTTTTTGTTTAAACCCGTGCATTTTTTTAAATTTTAACTCACTGTCGATTTAAAATTTGTTTGTTTGTTACTGATATACGGAACTGATGTTTAAACAGTTTCAGACTGAGAAATAAAAGTGAATTTCCAAGGATTTTATATACCGATTTCTGTAGTCGTGTACGGAGCGATGAGATTTTTAGTCATCGGAGATGATATGGTCGTGGAGTTGGAAATACCTTGACGTTTGAAAAAATATGTGTCAAGAGTAACGAAGAGTACTCAAACTATTCACTCACTAAATACGTGATAACAAAAACGTTTCTTTCTTAGAAATTCGACAACACAAATAATACGAATGAATGAATGAAGGAAAAAATCCGTTACAAAAATGAGATTACTTTTTAATTATTGCGAGATGTTTCCAAAAACAAAACTTGTCAACGTAATTTTTCTGGCAAAAAAGGCGAATAGAAACACTGAAGAGTAATCAGTGCAGGTTGTCTTCGCGTTTTCATTTAATTCCTAAATGGAGGTTTTGTGTTTGGAAGGGTCGCGACTTTTTTCGCGGTTTTTTTACGAATTTCATCTCCCAGCGAGAGTGGAACTATACGAAAATCAAACACGAAAAATATATATCCGTTTTTTCACTTTACCTTGTAATTCTTTTTATTCGTTTTCTTTTTTTTTAATTATTTTCAAAATTTTGATTTTTAATGTTAGGTTATATCTAAACGTAAAATTTTTTTTTACTGTCATTTTAAACTTCAAGTTGACATTTAAAAAGTCAAAAATAATAAATTTATTTTGAAAGGGTACAATTCCATTTCATTTTTAACATTTTAAAGTCGACGTTTAAGTGAAAAACGGTCGGTTTAAATCAGGAAAAATCGACGCGATTTACTAAATCGACCACCAGGGACGTTCCACGTGAAATATATTATATTGGAAAACGTATTGTGTCCCTAGGGTTGTATTTTATTTGTGAAAGGGTGAAGCGAGAAATGCAATAATAAAAACGATTAAATCAAATATTATATTTGCGAGTTATTAAAATAAAATAATTAACTGATTTAATTAAAACATAACAATGTAATTTTATAAAAATTCCCAAATTTCACAAATATATGAGTGTAATTCGGATACGTGACCACAGCAATGTACGGAAGCGATTCTTAAGAAGAAATTCCCATTTCTTTAACGATGACGGCATCCTTAAGGACGATCGTAACCTTGTATACCGCTCTAAACGGTTTCTCATTCTTAAAGTTTTATAAAACTTTTCTGTTTAGTATTATAGTTTGTTATCGAATACGTTCAAATATACTACTTTTGATCTTCTCATCCACCTTTTAGTAGTTGTAAAACATGACATTTTGCACAACCGTATCGGATTTCTGTCAAATGTTTGAGTTCGCCATTGTAGGTGCTTTTGCGAGGGAGAAAACGCACTCCGACAACGAACGCGAAACAAACCTGGCCGGATCGGGTCGGGTCCTGATTTGGAAAAGTGGAGATGCTAATATTTACAATGCTGTTTTACCTTTTATAACGACCCTTTTACGTCATTTTCCGTCGTTAACTGGGAAATACTTGTTTGTTTTCTATTATTAAATCGAAAATTGGGATGATATTTGATCTAAAAATTGGTACTTTTGTAAATGTTAATTTGACACATTACATAACCTGAAATAAAATTTAATAATTTTTGTTGAAAACTTAAAGGGTGAACCGCTATCAACGATGATTTAGAATAATAATTTGTTTAACTTGTTTAATTCCCATTGACCGCTGTCAAAACACTCGACGTAGAGGGATGACAGCACTTAAATTTCGATGGCCAACAACAATTCAAACGATTAAGAGGGAAATGTAAGAGGTGTTATATCCATAGTTTTAACAAAATCATTAGAAATTCATTTAACGTAAATTAAATAAATAAAAAAATATTTCCTTTTAAGCATATTAGCAAAATAAACACAAAAATGCTTTAGTTGAACAAAATTAGAAAATGTAAAACGTAAATAAGTCTTTAAAAAAGTTTGTACAGTATATCCCATGTTGTCTTCCTTCAACAATTCAAACGATTGAAAGGGAAATAAAGAGGAAATATTAAAGACAAAGTAACCATGTTAGCAAAATAAACACCACAGAAATATTTGTTTAAAAAAACGCTTTGGTTGAACAAAATTATAAAAAGTAATAAAAAGTAAACAAGTCATTACAAAAGTTCATGATTAAGCAGATTTTTTTTATTAAATTCTTCATAAAATATTTCCGGTTTGAAAAATATAAACACTCTTCCTGCTAACCTAAAACATCATAAAAAAGTCGATTTACATTTTATTTCTCCCCATTTCACCATGGTAAAAAGGTTTTATTCTAATGCGACAAGCAAAAAAGAATAAAGGTTGCATTAAAATGGATTTGGTATTCAAATAGATTCTGATAAATTTTCCTTGTTGAATGACAAGGAAAAAAAACGGTGCGGAGTAGAAGGATTAGCAAAGAAAATATTTACCGAAAGATTCACTTAAACATTAATAAAATCCTCCTTAACGTTAAATTAATTTTCCTCTTGACGAAATAATACAATATCCTTCATAACTTTCTGTAAAACGTTCAGTTTTAAAAGCGTATCTAAAAGATATACGTAGTTTTATTATTACGACGAGATACGGGGCAAATTTACGGTTGGAAAAACACAAAATTGTAGCATTTTCTGAACGTCTCATCTGTTATATCCTTAAATACGTTATTCGTCATAAGATACACATTGAATTAAAATTAGAAAACAAAGTTTTATTTGAAGTTATAAATTAGACTTAATTAAATTTGACATTTGAACTGTTAAAAAATATAAATATGTATTTAAGATTTTCTTATACTGTTCGAGAGTGGTAATCCATCCCGCTATTTTTAAAGAAACATGGAAATGAATGTCTTTAGAAGATATAATCCTGTTTAATGATATTTAACCAGACCGCGTTATCCACATTTGCCAAAAATGAAGATATATTACAAATTTATCATTTCACCAGCTTCTTTTATTTATACAAGAAGCTTTCTAGCGGTCTGCAAGCACTATTTAGTTATGCAATCACTGTTTTGTCTTCTGCAAGCACTATTTACTCATCTATTAACAAATGCTAGCGTTTTGCAAGCATTATTAAGTTTTGGAAACATTATTTAGTCTTCTGCATGCACTATTTACTCTCGCTTTAGCGATATCTAGCGTTTTGCAAGCACTACTTAATCTTTTTATGCAATATTCTTCTAATAAAAGTAGTAAGACTTCTATTAGTAGTATCTAATCATCTAGTCTTCTGGAAACACTATTTAGTATTTGCAAAAGGAATCTATTAGTAGTATCTAATCCTTCATTTAGTCGAGAGAGGATGCGGAGTGGTTTGAAAAATTCATTAATTGTTATTTTGTGTTATTATTTAGTAATTTATTGTTAAAATCAATAGAATAATATTCAATTAACTGTTCTTGTTTGGCATGTATTAATATTTATAAATAAAATCCTGATGGTAAATACCTAGGTTTACTCGAAATTACTAAATTACCATAAACTGTGTTATATATATGTGGTGTTCGTGTGTGGGTAGGTAAAAAAATTGATTTACTCGTTTGCGCATAATTGATCCTTTACAATAACAAAAGGGAAAGAAAGATTTTGTAACGAAAACCCACGTAAAGATAAATTTATATTTGCCAAGTTAACCAGTTCGTATGCTTGAAACGAATTGTTTAATCCCATCATACAACAATGAAATACTTAATGAAACATGTTAAAGCGTGAAATTTGTAAGCGAAAATCCCACATAAAATGGAAATCGAAACACGGGTCCAACTAATATTTTCACGTGCACACCACACCACGCATTTAATTTGATCATCGAATTTTTCCCATTGTATAATATTGGATCATTTTTCTTAGAAGAAATTGCTGAATTGTGCGACGTTTTTACCATCATTCATTGTATTTATTTGTTTAATTTTCTTTTTTTAACAATGATGAATCAGATGGATTACGAACAATTATAAAATGTAATGTGCGTTTAAGAAAAATATACAAATCCAACAGGAATCAAAACCACAGTTGTGGTGATTTCGATTATGTGGACAAAAAATTATTAATTTTTTTTTTTGTAATTTAACATTTTACGTAAAAGGTAATTTTTTTTAAATAAAACTTTGTAACCAAAGTTAGGTAATCACGAGTAATCTTAAAATCTCTCTAATTACAATCCTATACGTATAATACATGACAGATGTCAACTTAAATGTCAAATTGATGTTTAAGTTTTTTTTGGGGTAAGTTAAACATATTAACTTATTAATCGGGCAAAGTAACCGTTTTTTTGTTTATGTACATATACGTCTTACCCGGTTAACAAATTGATGATTGCAAATCCAACATGAATCAAAACCATTTCGACAATATATACGTATTTATAATAATGACAGACGTCAACTTAAATGTCAAGTTGACGTTTGAGTTTTTATGGGTTAAAATTACACATATTAAGTAACAAAATATAAATAAAAAGTAAAATAGTAAAACATCTTTAAAAAAAGTCGTGAAATAGTATTTCACCAGATGTTCGTTGAGGTCCGTTGGGAAAACTGCTAACGCGTACATAAATCGCTCGGTAATCTTTTTTCCCACACGATACGTTCGTTCAAGGGCCCCTTTCCTCTTGGATTTAATACCCCAACACTTTTCCGGAGGAGAAAGAAAACAAACAACATTGTTATTAGTGCAATTACACGAGAAACTTTTTTTAAGGTTATGTCTACGTTTGTAATTGGATTATAGAGTCGTTTGAGTAATTAGTAGTTATTTACCTTACTAGTTGTGCGGGATTTCGTCGAAATAATCTCTTTATCATGCTTATTAGAGAAACGTATTATTGTCTTATAAGCATAATAATAAGTTTTAAGGTATAAAATTGGTATTTATAAATTCAATTTCTACTTAAAAAAAAATGTTGAGTTGAATTAAATAAATATAACTGATGAAAATTAGATACAATACCCAAAATTTGAATTGAATGCGAAATTTGAAGCGTTAAATTAAAAATTGCTTTCTCGATGAGGTTGGGATTAATTTTTTTTTTTCGGTTGGTATTACGAGTATAAATACAACCCTAATTTCACTTCAAAATAGCGTCATCAACGTATATTTTCACCCGGGTTTTCTTTTATCTCACTTTAATAGTCCTGTTCTTTCTCGTTTTTACTTGTTTTAATATACCTATATATTTCGAGTTGTGGTTTCCAGGATTTTTTTGATGTCAACATAACTACCTAATGGATGAGAAAACCATACAAAATAAAAACGTAAATAATAACGGTTATGAAATATTACATTTTATTGATTGTAATCTACATTGAACGTCGATTTAAAATGGTACAAAATCGTTTTTAAATTAACGTGAAATTTATTATCTGCCACATGCCACATTCCAATATGTCAAAACTAAAAACCATCTCATATTTCATTTTCACTACGTTTAACCGTTCTCTTCGTTGAATTTTTCCGACCGAGTATGCCGTATAATAGAGTCAGATTTTGATCTTTAAAAGTATTTGTTTATTACGAATTTCGATTATAAATTTATTAATTTTAATGTTTTAAATGTCAACTTAAAGTTTAAAAAGACAGTCAAAACAAACTTGACATTTAGATATAACCTAAAAATATGCACACCATGGAATAAAACGTCAGATGATAATATTTGTCCCTGGATTATGTAAATGCTTAAAATCAAACAGTGGAATGATTAGTATGGTAGATAAGGAGATTGAGTAATACATAAGGAACACATGGCCGGATGCACATTGCATATGTACGGATGGTTCGCTGGTTCAAGAGCCGAAAAGTGTTTTATACAGTATATTTATGTCCCTTCATTGGAGATTGAAGAATACTATCGCTTGCCAGATCAATTAACTATTTTTTCTGCGGAGGCTTACGCCATCTTAAGAGCAATTGCACTAAACACGAATTCGGGTTTAAAGCACGTCTCTAAAGACGGCTAAACCTGAATGATTCTAGTTCTAAGTATAGTGTTAGTTCTACATAGTAACAGTGCTGGTATAAAACTACAAGTTAGATAGTGTTAATTCTAATTTTACACTAGCACTGTTACTATGTAGAACTAACACTATACCTAGAACTAGAATCATTTGTGTTTAGCCATACGTCTTTTAAGACGGCTAAACCCTTAGCGCTGCCTTAGCGCTAGCGCTGCTTAACAATTAAAACTAAAATTAACAGTAGTCGCACGGACGCACGGCTAAACCCGAAACTTTCTAGTTCTAGATCTAGTGTTAGTTCTAGTTTTACTTCATTCAAAAATAACCCTATATATCAAGGTTTTACTGTATCAACATTTGTTTTAAAACTGTTTTCTTTAAAATTAACATTTTTTAATATTATTTTTTTGATATAAATGTAGACGACAGATTCTTTTCGTCAAAGAAATCCCATTCGATGCCGTTTCGAGATATTGCGAGGTACGATTCTATACCCTCCCAATGTAGAATGAGGTTCCGTTTAAAAATTGCGCACAACCCCCGACCCTTTCGTGCTTTCCCTTTGTGGTAAATCAGAGAAGCGTTTTCGAAAATATTCTTTTAAAGCCTTTTACCTCCAGTTTCTCAATGCAATATTGCATTCAACTTATTTTTCGATGAAACCAAAAGATCTTGGTTGAATATAAAATTGTCAATTTTAATTTTAATATAATTTTTTTCGATAATTCATTCCAAAATCCTCTTAAAACAAACTTTTATCGCCGGGACTTTACCCCCGTAAGGACATTATCGGGGAATTTAAGACCGGGGATGACTCTCTACAAATTCGAAGCTTTAGTTTTAAACGTACTTTACGTCTTGGTTTAAGCTAAACGACAGAAATTCGATCATAAAATAAGAAAAAAAAATCTTTAAGGCGAATAATTTAAATCTTCAAAATGTCAAAAAATTATATTAATTCACAAAAATAATTAAACATAAAATTTAATTAAATCATTTTAACTAGGAGCACTATATAGTAATTAGTTTATATAATTTTAATTTATTAATTAATTAGCAAATTTTCATAAAATATGTAATAGACATCTATCAATAATTTTAACAACTAATAAGTTATAATTAAAATAAAAATGAAAGGTGGCGCTAATAAGAAGGTAAAAATAGGCGGTAAAATATTTAAATTCAAATAAATTAATTAAATTTTTTTTAAGAAATAAATCAGTTGGACACAAAAAGGAGCTGATTGGAAGTGAATTAAAACCGAAATAGATTTCAATTACGTATCAGGTGTTTGAAACGTCTCAATCGGTTTTAAACATAAATTTAAAACGTCGAATTGAATTGATTTTAATTCAAAAGGAATCAAAAAACTTTTTTTTTAAAAAACTTACGTGATTATGTTTCGTGTGTAACGAATCAAAGGCCTCAACTTTCGTTGCAATATTTTTCAATCTGATGGGTTTTCTTTGCGCCCCCGGAGAGTTTTGCAAACTTCCCGTTGAAGTATTTTCTAAACCCGACACGTGATTATTATGAATCATTTTTTTAAATTATTGAAATCTTTTTATCACTTTTAAAAAGTTGCAATAAAAAAAATAGTACTACACAAAAACACCAAAAACGTTCATCAAGTTCAATTCTTAATAACTATTATAGAAAGAAATTTCCGAAAGCTTTCCCTTTTTATAACGATTTCAGTTTTCCTTCAAGCACAGATGGCAACGGACTGTACGGAGAGCAGCTTTTGGACCGCCTGAAAGCTTATCAGAGCTTCAACTCCCCCACCACAACCGGACACCTGTTGATATACAAACGGCTACGGTGTCTCTTAACGTGTTTTGTACTCCCTTTTGTATCATTTGACCCAAAAAAAATTAACCATTAAATTTCGCAAATAAAAAATTTAAAGCATTAAATATCATTTAAATTAAATTTTTCCCGCGATATTAACAGCGCCATCTCTTGGTTTTAATTCATTATTCATTGAAAATTCAAATTAATTAAAATAATAAAAGAAAATTATTTAATTATAAATATTAATATAAATAGAAATATTAATTCCTTTTTTTAATGTAAAAGTATTAAATTCGAATTATTGTCATTTACATCAGATATTTTTGACATGTCATTTACGTCAAAAAGTATTTAATTTGAGTAAGTTTTTTTTATTATCTATTACTAAAATAATATTACAAAAATATGTGTTTTATTAAACTTTGAGTGTATTTATAAAGCTTTAAATTAACCACCACTTTGTCGGTGGTTAATTTTTTAATTAAAAACTATTAAATACGAATTATTTTATTGTGCGAAGTTCAGATCAGTTATTTTTGACATGTCATTTACATCAAATAGGATTTAATTTGAGATACGTTTTTTTTAGTTTTATTATTGTCTGTTACTAAAATAATATAATAAAAATATGTGGTTTATTAAAGTTGGAAGGTTATTCATGAAGTTTTGTACGTCGGTAGCTAATTTCGCATTCCTCTTGGAGAGTTATGGGAACGTTTCAAAATAAACTGACACAAGAGACTCATTCGAATTTTGCATAAAAACACAATATGGTAAGAAAATATCGATTAAACGGTCTATTATGAATAGAATTTGTCGTTAAAAGAAAATCTATTGTCCCCAGTAAACTGACACAGCCGAAGAAAATTAATTACCCTTATTTTCCTTCTACCATTGAGGAGGAAAAAAACATCCCGCAAATATTTGGTTTGGAGAGGGTGAGTTATTAATTGAATTTTCTTTGTTTGTTTCGTTTATGTTATTATCACACTTTTAAGATCTAAATTATTTCTTATACAAAGAGAAATTTCACTTTTAAAATGAATTTTTTTTATAGATTTCGTTCTATCGTATGGATTTAGGGCACATTTCCGGGATATATGGATTCAATGGAAATCCTCGCCACTTTTATAATCTATTAGTAACACTTTTCCGGTCAAAGCGATGAAGGTTCTCTTCGAAATTGCGGGCTAAGTGCGCTTTCGAACACCACAAACAAGCTTAAATTAACGATTCTTTGAAAAAGTGGTCTTTTAGCTCAAAGAAAATGTGGGTTTTCTTTTAAAGAGACCCTATTAAAAATAAAATTTCATTAAACATTTTCGTCTAAATTTACGATATAAATTTTCTTTCAATATTTATCAAAAAATGTTAAATATATGAAATATTTTTTGCGACATAAAAAAAGGATTGGAAATGGCAACCGTTTCAGTGGTTTTTTGCGAAAATACAATTTCACGCGATATAAACCTTTTTGGCTATTACCATAATATTGTCGCATCGCATCAGTAAAGTTTATACTTTGCACTCTTTGGTTATTTCAAAAATCCAATTTTGTTTCACCTAAAATATAAAAGTGGGGAAATAATATTGCAATAAAACGATGGCTTTCCCTGGATGTGACACAAAAAAAGATATTTTAATTGAACATAAATATATGTTAGTTTTCTGTCGACTCGTGGAAAAACGTGACGGTACTAATTAAATGAAAAGTAACAAGTCGGGAGACGAGAGAAATTCAATTTAAAGAACGTCCGAAAGACACCAGTTTTACGAAAGGTTGATTTTCCTCCTTTTTTTTCGATTAAACCAACAGGAATTCCAATCCAATCGGAATTAACCACGTATTTACTAAGAAAACATTTTCTAGTTCAATAATAAAAGTTTTTTTTTATAACTTGAAAATTAAATTAAAATAGCATAAATAAATAATTAATAGATCTTAAGATATATATCTCCCACGAAATTGTGAATTGCCACAGTACATCTCTACAAAAATCGAAGTCAAGAAGGGATCAGAATCTAGAATGATTTGATGGAGTTCGCATCATAACATCACTAAACAAGAAGCGACGAGAAAGTCGCTTGGTATCTGGTTTTTGTATTTGGATTTTCTTTGCCAATCTTTCCTCACCCATCCTTTCAACATGATCCCTCCAGTATCTCTAACCTTTTTACGCAGGCTTAAACCTGTAATAGTTCTCAGGGTTCTCATATTTATGGCTCTCATAACTTGGTTATTTATGGTTCGCCTCTTACACAGGTTTTATAGAATTTGGCACGTCAAATACAACATTTGGACTTGTTGAAAATATAATTTAATAAATTAAATATTATTAAATTAATAATTGATAATTTTAATGTTTAAATCAAATTGATATATTCTCGATATTCATCCCGCTTAAAGGTTTTGTTTTCGTCCGCAACGAATCGTAAAATCGCCGGCCTAATAATTAATTGAAATCGAATAAATCCGAATACATTGATTACTTTTCCGGTTGGATTTTAAAATCCGTAATTAAAGGATTTCGTACAATAAAATTATTTATCGATTTTAAAACTCAACATGACTCGACTCTTGAAAAGTCCAAGATTTTTTATTGTTGTGACCAACAATAACATTTTTATATAGTATAACAAATGAAAGATAGGTACATTCTTTATTCTGACATGGATAGTTCTGGTAGGTCATTTCGCTTCAATGTTTTAATAGTTGCCCGATACAACAAATTTTTGCAAGTCGTTTTGGATGAACTTGCAGCCTTTTCAGGTATTTGGAACTTGACTGGACAATTACTTCTTTTACAGTAAGCGAGGTCTTGATGTAAGATGTAATTAGGTATGAAGCAAGGTGCGTTACATATTTGTCGAAGAACTTTAGACTGATATCGCTGCAGCTGTAAAATGTTTGATTCGCTAGCGGTGCCCCATAATTGAATACCGTATTTCCAAACAGGTTTCAGTATGGCAGTATATATAAGCCACAGAATTAACCAGAAATGACACTGATGTCGATTCGTTTGATGTTGACGGCATCTCGTTTTATGACCTCGATTTAAAATCCGCCATCTCATCTCAAGGAACAATAGACGTGATAGACATGTTGGATATGATAGATGGTTTTAAGTTTGGCTATAAGATCGTCATGCCATACTCTGTCGAAAGCCTATGACACGTCTAAAAAAGCTGCTGATCTCACTACTCTGTGCACTTGTTGTATAGTACCATGCTGTTTTCTAATCCCAAATTGATAGTTAAGAATTAACTTTTTGTTTACTATGATGCTCTGCATTCTCTTCAATAAGAGCTTTTCGAACTCTTGAAAGCAATGGAAGTAAGAAGCCACTTGTTTTTATTTGGTTTCAACACCATAGTTATCTGGGACACTTTCCATTGTATCAGGAATGATCCAATCCGGTTATGAGATCGTAACCGGTCGATTTCTTAACTTTAGGGAGACAATGAGTCTTTTAAGTTCAGATAATTTAAATTTCTTTATCGGTGGGCCCGTTACATAAGAGACGCCCAGTGTAGTTTCATTTAGTTCTCTACGCTGGGATAATTCTGGGTGAATTAACCTAAAAATATATAAATAAAATAAAAAAATTGCTTTTTTGGGGTGATATAATTTTTTGTTATGGAAATATATTAAAACGTGGGAAGTTTGTTTTTAAATTTTAAACTGTTTAAAGGTCATCTCATAAATTTTACCGATTCAAAATGTTTTGAACACATTGAAGTCCTCCCCGGAGAAGCTGACCTATTCTAATATCACAACATATAGAAGTTTGTTTATAAACTGTACCAGATGTGAATTTTAAGTGGCAAACTGAATATAATAGCTGTTTATGGAGTCAATTTATTAATCGGGGGTAAATACACAAGAGTGAAAAATTAAAAATTAAATTATCCTGAATTAAAATCAAGCTCGAGTATATTTTAGTGAGATTAATACACGACAATTGCACAATTTATTGACAATTTTTAACTATTTATTAACTATTTTTGACTTAATTACACTTGTCAAAAATGTGACAGGTAAACAAAAGTATGTATCAGTACCTGATCAGTACCTTAAACGTAAAGGATTGTATCTCCATTATTTTAGGTTTTTTAGAAAACAAGGTTTAAAGTTTTATAATACTATTATAATAAGTTTTATAATAATTTAATTCGATATTGACAAAAACTGGAGTTACGATGAAAAAATGTCAAATCATTTTTGATAACATCAAATGAGCGTGATTGTGGATGAAACGTTGTTTTGACGTTTCAAGTTTAAAATAAATAATTCTAACTCTTGTCATAATTTTTACATTTCTCCTAAATGATTAGTTTCCTAAGATTTAGTAATTTTGTAATTTAACATTAAATAATTGCTCAAACAAACATAAAACATGTATTATTTTCTGACCCGCGTTGAATAATAGTTATTGCATGTACAATTACATTTATTCCCCTTCCCCATTACACTATCGTTTCACTTCTCCACATTTCCCTTCTGCTTAATTCCACAACACAAAGATCCTTCTAGACAATTTACTATAATGAGTTTCGGCTGCGGATCCGTCGACGTCGTTTTCGTCTTGGTCGAAACTTCTCTAAAACGAATTGATGCATCCAACAACTCTTTAAACTCTCCTCCCCCTCGCCCCACCCTACTTTATTCAGCCACCTTTTCTAGTACTATATATGCTATATATACCACGGCAAACTACCGCGTCACGTTTCCGGAACTTTCATAACGACACATTTCTCCTTTCTGGAGTATGTTACAGTTGTCCGGAAACGCGTGCATTATGTGTTTTACAAAGGGAATGTGTGCGAGGGAACGATATGAAAGTGATGTTCGATGACATACAAACGGAATAAGCTTTATGTAATCGTTTTATTGTTACTTCCTCTAAAACGACGTTGGATTAAAAAAACTTTAATTTTTGTTGAAGTTTGATTTTATCGCCATCTACGTTTTAAAAATAGTATTTCACAAAAATTAAAGTAGATTTCTGTCATTTAAAATGTCAATTCTGACATTAAACGTCACATTTTGATTTTTCATCAAAAATTATAAAAATTATAATAATAATTTCTCTCCCCCAATAATAAATTCAATTAATTTCATTTTATAAAGAATCCTAAAACGATTAAATTTTAGAATTAAAAATGACATCATACCTAATAATAAAGTTTTTAACAATAATAAATTTCAATGATAATCGTTTTTAGTCGTACGAATATTACATAAACTTATTTATGACACGATTACAAACAAGGAAAAGTATATTTCTTATCAATTTCAAGATAAAGAAACGCCTATTTCAACAAAAATACCTATTTCCTCAAACGTTATTATATTTATGCTAATTACATTCTTTATGACATCACCGATTGCGTTCTCATCATTGTCCGGAGTCGCTTCGAATTCTCGGTGATTCTATTCGGTGTGTTGAAGGAGTTTAAGAGTTCTATATCAGTTGTATTTGAGAAAGTGAGATCACCGCGTTCGGAGTTAGTCAGAGTGTTCCTTTTCCTTGTAGCGAAATACTTTCGTCTTGTTTGGGTGTGAATAGTTGTTTAAGTTTTTAATTATGTCTAAGTCGAAAGTTAACAAAGAATTCGTTAAGAAGCCAGCAGAATTTTTTCAAAATTCGACGACAAATTTTTTGGAGAATGAAAGAAGTTTTGTATTAATTGAGAGAGGTTGTGTAAATAAAGATAATGAAGGTGTTAAAATTAAAGAAAAGGAACTTGGGGAAGTTAAGAAAGAATCGGAATTTTCCAAAAAAAGTTTAAATAATTTTTTAGAAAACGAAAGATATTGTAAGATAAATTAATTTATTTATAAAATTGATGTAATAAAGTTTATTATTTTTTTTTTTAGATGAATCAAAGAATTTAGATGAGTAAGTATCAATTAGAACATAATCTTTTTAAATTCAAATTTTAATTTTAATCCAGTTTTAACATTTACAAAGTGAGTTTTTTTAATTTCTTTCTCTCTCCAATTCATCACTACAAAAATCTCATCATGTCAGAACATTCTGCAGAAATAATAAATAAACCGAAATTAATCCCAGCTAAAATAAAATTGGATGAAGATGGAAATTTAAAATTAAAAATTCTTCAAAAGCCGGTTATAATGTTGATTAATTAATCTTACAAAGGTAAAAAAACAATTTTTATTCATTATTCTTTTTACTTTTGCAGAAACCACCAAAAACCAATTTCCCAATCGCAAGAACGATACGTTTTTTCATCAGGAAGTTTACAAAGGTTTGATTAAACTCAAATCTCTCAACTACATCATTAATTATATTCTTTTAGATATGTAACAACATGCTATTTTCAACCGAAACAAATTCCTGTTTCTTATTCGGAAACCATGATTTTAAAAATTGGATCTTCAAAAAAGAAGTTTTTTGAATCTGTTTATTGCAAGGTAAGTGTATGTTTGTTTCATCCTATTATTTTTAAAATTAATATGTTTCTTTTTCTGAATAGAATACTTTGCTTCCAAGTAAATGGTCTGAATCGATGCATACAACAATTAAACGAGAGACTGAACCAAAAACACTCCAAACATCAGAAATTTATATTCCCATCGAAAAATCAACATTTAATTATGTTTCGTTGGAACCTCAACAAATCATAGCTCAAGAAGTTGCTCAAGAAATAACGGCTGTTTAAATTAACAACGTTATAATTATGACTTGATATATTATTTATCATTAAGGTCTAAGTTAACCAATTAATTAATCTTTAAGCTAATAGAAAAAGGGTTAATTTATAAAAATTGACAGATTAATTTAATATGTTAGCGACATCTACATTTAAGTGATTGAACTATATACTTAAACTGTAAATTTTTTTAAAATTAATATTTTTATAAAGTACTCAAAAATTAAACATTCCAAATCAATAAATTATTTATTTTTATTTATTAAAAAAAAATAACGTTTAAAATTATGCAACCAATTTAACAATTTCGAACTGTCATACGTCATTCCTATCATTATCATAAGAAATTTAGCGAAATTAACAACCAAATGTTATCTCGTAAAGGTGATGGTTAGTTGATAATTTCATGTTTTAACAAAAGAGCTGACACCTCAAATGCTTCCAAACGTATCGTACTCGTTAAAATGTACACGCTTTTGCACGGTTTCTATAGGTATATGGTCCAAAAAGATGAGTATTGCGTCCTCATACTTGGATTGGACAACGCTGGTAAAACCGTAAGTTATATTTACAAACGGTAACGTTTAAAACAAAAAGAATAATGAAATTATTAGACGTACTTAGAAGCCGCCAAAACAAAACTAACCAAAAACTATCGAGGCATTCATCCGAGTAAAATAACCACAACCGTTGGATTAAACATTGGGAAAATCGAATTGTCAGGAGTTAGATTAAATTTTTGGGACTTGGGTGGTCAAACCGAATTACAATCCTTATGGGATAAGGTATTTTTCTTAATTCATTTAATCTTGACATCTGTCATTAATTTTAGGTTATATTCTAATTTATTTTATTTACCACTTTTTTAGTATTATGCAGAATCCCATGCAATCATATATATTGTTGACTCAAACGATCGTGAACGTATAGATGAATCAAAAGAAACATTCGGTTAGTAAAAATAAATAACTTTATTATTATGTTATACCAGGAATTTTATATAACTCGCTTGCATCTTAAGTGAAATTCACCGTATAAATACGTTTTTAGACAAAATGATAGCGAATGAGAACTTACAAGGTGTCCCTTTATTAGTCCTTGCAAATAAACAGGATATTCCCGATTGTATGGGCGTTCGTGAGGTAAAACCAATTTTTAATAAAAACGCTCATTTGATCGGGAAACGGGATTGTATGGTAATGCCTGTTTCTGCGTTAACCGGCGAGGGGGTCGATGAAGGTATAAGATGGCTTGTGGATTGTGTTAAAAGGAATAGTATATTAAGAACTCCAAGGAACAATGAAAATACATAAAAAATGCATTAATTTTCCTATATTTATTTAAAAAGTAAGAAAATCGTTGTAAATATACATATATTTATATTATTTTTTAATAAAAATTTAAAATTATATATATTTTTATTTATTATTTCGATAACCTTAAAAGAAATATATAGGAAATTGATATCTCGGTTTGTTTTCTAAAAATAAACATTTTCCATATTTAATACATAATGTTTAGCGTTTACATATGAAATATTTTAATGAAATTCCTTTAAGCGTTTCCACCTGTATTATTTTTGTTTCGCAACATATTGGAATAATAAAAATATCTTATCATTTTGTTTGGACTAATCGTGGAGGTCTGTGTGAGTGTGTGTAACGAGATAAAACGTGTGAAACCGCTTAAAGAATTATAATTTTCGTGTTTTCGGATTTCCCATCGAAATTTACAACAATATGTATCCTTATTACGAAAACGAATGGAGCGTTTTACCACCTGAACTGAATAGAAGGTAAGTAATAATCAACATTTTACCATTATTTTTGTGTAAATCACCCAAAAAAATCATTAATCAAAATGAAACTTATGTTAGCACCTGTACATTACATAGAAGTACACAAAACTTAATTATTTTACTAACTTATATTAAAAATTGCTTAATAAGTATCAGAAGTATATTAGTTAGAACTAATTAATTAAATTAAAGCAAATTTTTGAATATAAAAATTAATTTGGACGAAATCACATTTAAATTTTAAAACAGGTGTAAGTTGGCGATTGTGATTGTGACGTCACGCGTCGGCCATGTTGATTTGGTTAGTTGTCAAAAGACGTCGAACGGGGATGGTCTGAAAAAAACATTAAAAGAGAAAAATAAAATTATAGCCGGGGGGTTACTTTTCCAAAAAATACATTTTTTCAGTTTACCTTAAATAGTTTTTCGTTCGTGATTCCAATGAACGCGACACTTAGTGCTTAAAAACGGGGTCAATCGCCTGTATAAAAAAAAAACTTACGTCTCGTTACACCTCGATTCAACCTTACAGGTGACTGCTAACTAAATAATTGATTAAATTGATTTGTTAACCCAATTTTTGTAAATAGATCAAAATATCGTCGTCGTAGTAAACACTCACGTGTAAAGTGTGGTTTCGTTTTCTATTATAAAAAAAAAACAACATGAACGCATCAGAGCAAGGGTAATTTATATTTTATACTGCAGTAGTTAAATATTTTATAACTTTATTTCAATTTTGAATCGATTTTTATTTTTCATTTTCACAGATTTAATCCGGCGTTTAATATAACAGCCATAAAACAAGTTTTAACCGAAGCTGTTGAAAGAGGTTGGTGTTTTAATTTTTATGTATTATTAAAACCACTAAACCCATATTGTTGTTAATTTAAATTAGATTTGTGTAATATAAATAATCTAACCTTAAATATTTGAAATGTCTACTTGTCATATTTGTATCTGTCAAAATTTGAGGTTATAAAAACAATTATATCTTCATAAAGAAATTAATTTCGATTTTTAAGATTTTTTTTTATATTTAATAAATTATTTAGTAATTAATTGAATTAAATATATTCAGTGTAAATAAAATTTACTTAATCTATAATTTTAAATCGTATTACATTTCTTGTCAAAATTTAAGGTTAGGATTAATATAAATTACGATATTAAAAGATTCGTTTTAAATTCATAATTTATTTGTGTTTAGTACGAATGCCGACCCCAATGCGTTTACGAGACCTTATACGGCAAATTCGAGCTGCTAGAACGGCAGCTGAAGAACGTAGCGTAGTTAATAAAGAATGCGCATGTATTAGATCAACTTTTCGTGAAGAAGATTCCGTTTGGAGGTATGTTTCGATTAAGTTCGTTTTGTAACATCCATAGTTTCTTTTGTATTTTAGATGTCGCAATATTGCAAAACTTCTTTATATACACATGTTGGGTTATCCCGCTCATTTTGGTCAATTGGAATGCTTGAAATTGATAGCAAGTCCACGTTTTACCGATAAAAGAATTGGTTATCTTGGGGCAATGTTGCTTTTGGATGAACGGCAGGATGTACATCTCTTAATAACGAATTGTTTAAAAAAGTAATAAATTTTTTTAACGTTTTAATTTTTTTTATATTATTAAATTTTTTAGCGATTTGAATTCAACTACACAATTCGCGGTTGGTTTAGCTTTGTGTACATTGGGGGCTATCGCTTCTCCAGAAATGGCAAGAGATTTAGCGGGGGAAGTTGAAAGATTGATGAAGTCGCCGAATGCTTATGTAAAAAAGAAAGCGGCATTATGTGCATATAGGATTATTAAAAGAGTTCCAGAGTTGATGGAGATCTTTTTGCCAGCAACCCGAAGTTTATTATCAGAAAAAAATCACGGTATAAAAAAATTTAATTTGAAGTACTTTTAATTTATTTATTTCTTTTAGGGGTGTTAATAACTGGAGTTACCTTAATCATTGAGATGTGCCAGAATAGTCCTGATACCTTAGAACATTTTAAAAAGGTAAAAATATTTTTAATTAAAAGTGAGGTTAAATTTTCCTGTCAAATTTTTTTTGAGGTTATCTAATTTAGATTTTTATATAAAAATTATTCAAAAATGCTACTAAAGTTTGAATCAAATAAATTTGTAGTTTATTTTCAGGTTTCCATTTCAAACAATCGCAGTGTATGTATATTTTCGTTAACATTAAAAGTGTAATCGCTTTTAAAAACATTTTGATGTCTCGTTTATGATGTTAATTACACAGTTGGACACAATTTCAACTTTACTCTACCCTTTCGTTTTAATTATTTTGTGTGGGTGATAAATAATAAGAAAAATATAGTTTTAATGTGTGGGCTAGTCCAAAAGCTTGCGTTTTCTTTTATCAAAAAGCACATTACAGTGAATTTTACTTAAAATGCAATATGCAAAAATATATTTCCATAGAAACCAAGGCGCGCCTACTTATTTCTCCCACATAAATTCGACATGTCTGAATGTTTCTATTTCTAGGTCTAATGTTATATAGTTCTAATGACAGTTGTGGGTAGCGCTAGTTAACATAAGATATCAATTTTGGCTGTACCAAATTCAGAAAAACGTCCTCTTTCATATTCCGTAATAAAAATAGGGGATTGCTATTTAAAAAAATAGCGATGGCGTCATAATTAGTTTAAAAATTGCGGAAAAATTTAAATAAATAAATAAAATTCTATAAACCATTTTTAATTGTTTTAACGAATTTATCCATTATTTTTTGGAAGCACTTTAGATGAAATTCCTGGTATATATTTTTTTTATTAATATAAACCTATACAATTAAACAATTCTGAGGATAGAACAAAGTTAAAATTAAATTATAAATACACTGTGTGTAGTTCTTGTTTTTATTGTGTGTCATCGTCATCTTAAATTTAGAATAAAAAACTGTTTATTTTAGTTTATTGTTAAAAAAATATTTATTATTATTTAATCACATCTTTTTTCTATAAAATAATTGTTTTAGATCGTTCCAAATTTGGTGCGGATATTAAAAAATCTTATCCTGGCCGGATATTCACCAGAACATGATGTTTCCGGAGTTAGCGATCCATTCCTTCAGGTAAAAAATGATTTTAAAATAATTAATTATAATAATTGTATATTTAAATAGGTGAAAATCTTAAAACTTCTAAGAGTGTTAGGCAGAAACGATCCAGATGCTTCAGAAGCAATGAATGACATTTTAGCTCAAGTCGCAACAAATACGGAAACAAGTAAAAATGTTGGAAATACAATTTTATACGAAACGGTTCTATCGATTATGGATATTAAGTCAGAGGGAGGATTGCGAGTTTTAGCTGTGAACATTCTCGGAAGATTTCTATTAAATAACGATAAAAATATCCGATACGTTGCTTTGAACACTTTATTAAAAACTGTTCACGTTGATACCTCGGCTGTCCAAAGACATCGTTCGACGATTTTAGAATGTTTAAAGGATCCCGATGTCTCAATAAGGCGACGCGCTATGGAATTGTCGTTTGCTTTGGTTAATTCGCAGAATATCAGGACAATGATGAAGGAGATGTTGGCGTTTTTAGATAAATCCGATCCCGAATTTAAAGCTCAGTGCTCTTCGAAAATTGTTCATGCAGCCGAGAGATTTGCACCAAATAAACGGTGGCATTTAGATACTTTATTAAAAGTATTAGTAGCTGTAAGTAATTACAACTAATAATCATTATTCACGGGTAATCATCTTGACAGACTAATATTAATTATTTTAAACGTCAAAATTTCAAAAAACGTCAATTTAATTTAATTTTTTAGGACTTTCTAAAGGTTTGACATTAAAAAAACCCAAGCAAATTCCTTTTTCATATGATTTAAGCATGAATTAATTAATTTTCGTAAAAAAAACGACGTTTCTTAAAATTGACATTTAATATTGACAAATTGTTGTGAAGTTGGTTATAGTTGGTAACATTGACTTTGTGTCACATTGACGTTTAAACTTTATTCAAAAATTTATTTAAAAAATAAATTTATGGAATCAATTTCAATCATATTTCAATACTCATTGACGAAAGTTTACAATTAAAATTATTTTTTTAAGGCTGGTAATTATTTAAGAGATGATGTAATCACATGTACAATACAACTAATATCGGAAAGTACACCTCAACAAGCATACATAACCTATCAACTTTGGAAGGCTTTAGAAGAAGACACAATGGATAAACAACCTTTAACGCAAGTTGCAACATGGGCTATTGGCGAATATGGTGATTTATTATTAACAGGGAACATAGACATTGATAATGATGTCTTTGAAAGACCGAATGAGGATAAAGTAATCGATGTTTATCAACGATTACTTTGGTCACCTCAAAATACGCCCACAACCAAACAATACACCTTGTTATCATTAACCAAATTAAGCACGCGATTTCCAAACAGTAATCAGTAAGAAAAAGAATTTTTTGAGGTTAGCTTTTTAAAAAATAATTTTTTCTTTTATTAGTAAAATCCAACAAATTGTTAGTTCGTTTTGTTCGAATTTACACATTGAGTTGCAACAACGCGGCGTTGAATTTACCCAATTATTTGGAAAATACGGACATTTAAGACCTGCCTTGTTAGAACGGATGCCTCCAATGGAACCTACAAGTAAAGAGGGCGAAATTCAAACTAACGGAGATATCGAATCTCCAGAAACTAAAGTCGATGATAGTCCAACTCGTAATATCAATAATGATTCAGTAAGTTTTTAATAATTTAGTTATTTTTTTTAATCTAATTGATTTATTTATAGAACGCGTTGTTGGATTTATTGGGTTCAGATCCTTCTGATATGGAAATAATAAAACCAAGTAGTACATCGATTCCAATTCAACCCGTTTCGAAGAGTAACAATCAAGATTTGTTGGACTTATTGGGAGATTTAGATTTGTCGCCATCGATTCCACCTGCAGACACCGGATTAACATTAATATCAGAAAACAATAATCCAACCATTCCAATCACAAATACAAACTCTAATTTTCTTACCGGCGATTTCTTTAATACCAACATTACAAATGGTTAGAATGAATTTCGAATTAACTTTTTCATTAATTTAATTTCTTTTAGAGAAAAATGTGCCTATGATAACTGCTTTTGATAAGAATGGATTAAAAATAACATTTTCTCTTGAAAAAATCCCTGATACAAATAACACATTGTCCATAAACGTTTCTGCTACCAATTCAACACTGTCCAATATGACTGACTTTTTATTCCAAGCAGCTGTACCAAGAGTAAGTTAAGAATATAATATATATATCGTTTCAAAACATTATCTTTTTTCTTTCTTTTTTTTAGACATTCCAAATTCAAATGTTATCGCCTTCAGGAACTGTGATAGTTCCAAACGGTGAAATAACACAGATTTTAAGAATTGTTAATCCCAATAGGGTAATGTTTCTTTGTCGTTTCTAAATTTCGTTTTTAAATTAGTTCATATTTGTAGAATATTTTAAAAATGAGGATACGAATTTCATACACAATCGGTGGAATGGCAGTTCAAGAGCAAACGGAAGTTAATAACTTCCCAAACACCATTTGGGATTGACAGGAAACGGGGTGAAATCTTTTCTTTTGTGAATTGGTGAATTATGAAATTAAAAAAATGAGATGAAAGAATATCTAACACGTGGAGATATATACATACATAATTTTTTCTATTTCTTAGATTTAGTTATTTTTTAGTGATATAATACTGTAAATATACATAAAAAAAGGATACTTAATTATTATATATGAGGCCTTTTGTAACGTAATTCCTTACTTTTCTCAAACTCGTTTATTCGCCCCGCATTATATTATAAAAAGAAGTATTTTGGCCAGAATTATTACATAACCTAGTATTTTTTTTTCTTTTTTAATCACCGTTTATTTGATTTCTTTAATTCTTGCTCTGCTTTGTTGATATGTTATCATGTTGTTTGCGTCCATCCTTAGATTTAATAATAAAAAAATGTAAATATATATTATTAAAAACCATTTTATTTAGTATTTATTTCTAACTCCCTAAAATTAATTAATACATTTTTTTATAGGTTATGTATTTTTATTTCAATATTTCTTTTTGAAAATCGCGAAAAAATAAGCTTTGTGTTTAATGAAATTGTAGTTATTTTTAAAAAAATATTTTTGATATATAACCTAAAAATGTTTATTTTTGACATTTTTAGGTTATGTCACAAATAAACCTTAAAAAATTAACATTTTATTTCTTTAAATATTTCCTTATCAAACACAAGAAATTTGGTTGAAACCATCTCTGGATAACCATTCCAAATATAAACGCGCAAGGGGAGACGCAAGCCTTTCTGGAAATAAAAATATTTTTGATCACCTAAAAATGTCAAAAATAAAACTTTTAGGTTATGTATCAAAAAAAACCTTAAAAAGTATAACATTTTATTTCTTTAAATATTTCCTTATAAAACACATAAATATTAAAAAAATAAATAATCTCATTAAAATAAAAATTAATTAGAGTAATAACTAACTCTTGTTCTAGGTAGATTCTCTAATAAAGGTAAAGTTTCTTCCGTTGTCAAACTAGAAGAAGAATGAGATTTAATTAAATGAACACGACTAAAAGACAACTGTTTGAAGCAATTCCATGGCTTTACAATTTTCTCAGCACCTTTTGTCCATCTTCTATATACGATACAATTAAATAAAGCTTGTAAAGGATTCATCACAGCCTTTAAAGAAAATATATATTTAAAAATTAAAAGAAGAAAAAAGTACTTAATTTAATTACCATTAAGTACCACAAAATAATGATGATTTTTGATGGAATATGAAACCATGATGACCAAATAAACACTCCATTAATTAAATTTGGTGCCCAACACAACACAAATGCTAAGTTTATATAAAAAAATTTTCTTTTGATTGCATCCATAACTTCTCTTTCTTTGCTTGTGAATTGACCAGAGATGGTTGCTATAACCGTTTCCATATCTTTGGTAGATAAAGAATATAAAATAGGATTTACAATCATCACAATTGTGATTGGAACATAAGTTACTAAAAAATTTGGTAGGATCTTAAATGAAACATTTTCTCTTGTATGGCACCTAAATTTAAAATCAAATATTAAAAAATCATATTTGTTGTTTTAAGAAACATCTCTCACTCTCCATTAGGAATATAAAGTAACCCTAATCCGATTGTGGTTAGAAAAATCGGAATAATCCACGCTGCTAAATGATAATAAATTCTTGGTGATTTCTTCTCAAGTAACAACAACTTCATATCTATTGTGTAACAAATAGTCCATACCCAAGTTGACGTATAAAAATATTGAGCAACCGCCTAAAATTACAGCAAAAATCGAATTAATCTATAAACAATATAATTTGAATACATACGGAACAAATAGCACAAAATAAAACGCTTGTTTTATCATTTAAACAAGGCATAATGCTTCGATAAGTAATCCAATGACTTGCACGAACTAAAACACCTTCAAAAAAACGTTTAAAACCACCTTAAATGGTTCACAAATAACTTTTTACCAAGTGAGGCTAGTAAATCTGAAAAAGCTAACCACACTATAATCTTTCTTCCTCTTATTGCGGTTATTGATATCCATTTATGATTATAAACGTACTGTTCCCTTGGAAGAATCTTCAAACACTTCAATAACAAAGATAAAGTCTTTGAAATGTTTCCTCACCTGATACAAAGCTCCTAAAACCCCCAAAGTTGATGATAAAATAGTTATGGCATTATAAGCCGTCGTGTTTAAACTTTTCATGACCAATAAGGCCATATCGCTTCCATTTACGTGATGACAACAAAACGTTTGTATAGTTGGATCGGCCATTTAAACGAATTATAAAAGAAATGTATCGCAAAAAAATGATTAGATTTCTTTACTCTTCGTTGAACCCGACGCGACAACTTTGTATCAAATTACATAGCTTTGAAACGTCGATAACTGTTAAGTAAAGAACTCTTAAAACTGATAACAAGAAGAACGTAAGATAAAAGATAAACCTTGTTCGCATCCAATTTATTATTGTAAAGATACTATACTTTATTTTTTAATTCGGAGGAGTGTTTTCAAATTGAAGCGCCAAAAAGATGAGTTTCTATTGGTCAGTTTTAAGCAAAAATTACACTATTAAAATTTGAGATGTTGCCGGCGGGCTAGAAACATGCGGATTTAGCAGCACGTCTCTCAAGACGGCTAAACTCGAATAATTCTAGTTCTAGGTCTTGTGTTATTTCTAGTGATAGTGCTAGTGTAAAATTAGAACTAACACTAGACCCAGAACTAGATACTTTGAAACACAAAAATAATAAAACAAACATTGTTTTAATTACATTTATTTCGTATTATTAAAGAAAGAATTAAACTTTTAAATTCTTCATATAATTATTAAACATTTTTTGATTAAACCCGCCTTTCAACACATCCGTCCATTCTTTATGCCAAGATCGTTCCAATTGATCTTGAATTCGAGTTGCGGTTCCCTTATGAATATGATCCCGCAATTCCATTACCTTCGAATTTGATATTTGTACATCAGAATAATCGTAATTAAAAATTTTTAAATTGACAGTAAACAAAACAAAGCTTTGAGCATTTTCCGAAATCTTTGTTAACCAGTCCATCGTCGGATTATTCCACCAATCCCACGAAATAAACTCTTTATTATCTTCATTTATTTCGTTATTGGTGTCGCAACAAAACGAATCGTTAGTGTGAGAATAATAAGATGTCTTTATTGATGCCAAAATTAATCCCGCCTTTAATACATTAACGACATCAACTGAATGTTTATTATTTACGAACTTGGTTAGTTCGTATTTAATTGGTGTGTTTATAATTACACTATTATTTGTAATTAAATTGTTTTCGGCTTCTTGTATAGGTTGCAGAGGTCTCAAACAATTTCCTGGTATGTGGCTAACAATAAACATTGCCCCAACGATTGTTAAAATTCCAGCTGTATATGTTACAATTAAAACCATAGATAAAGAAAACAAATAGTTATAAAGCGAGTAAGTGTCAAAATTCGTCGAAAGATTACACAATTCTGTGTAGGTAAACCAACCACGGATTTTACCCTCTTTCTTTGCTAAAATTCGTTCCAGTTCACCAAGTTTTTTCCAAAATGTTACTTCATTTACGAAAATGTTCCAATCCTTGAAACGAAATAAATAATTAAACAATTAATTACAAAATCTCTGACTTACTATTGCTTTGAGGAATTCCTGTTCAAGTTTAACAAGATCTTTTTTAGTAACCCCACCAGATAAAGCCCATTCGTCAATAAAAACTTCATCATCTTCACCATCATCGAAAAGAAATTTGCTTGAAACCATCTAAAATTAAAAAATAATCAACCTAACCTCCAAAGTTTGACTCATTTTTATAAATGTCGTACTAATGAAACCAAAAATAATTCAGATGGTGCAACTTTTTGTAAATATTCAGGATTACAACTTTTTAACCGTTCCAAATATAACATCGCCAATATAAACGAGCAAGGGGAGACGCAAGCGTTTCTGGATATTGTAGCAGCATCGTTGTAATGTAAACGTTCTAAGGAAGCTCCTTTCTTGGCCTCAGAAAATAATTCAGTTGCAAATTCTAGTATAAAGAGAAATATTTTAGATAAATTTGTACATTATCAAATAAAATTTTGATTATTACCCGTTACAGGAAAACTAAGTCTATCTGTGGTTGGAAGTTTTCCGTAATACAATGTTTTCGTTATCCTCGATAAAAACGTGCGATGCTCTCCGAAAGTCTGTAAAAGTTAACGCGGAGAATCTGTTATTTAGGAAACACGTGTTGAGGAAAATTTATATCTTACTTTGAGGCACTTTTCTTTAGCTTTCTTAGATATATTGGGCATTTTTTTGATTGTCAGGTAGATGATGAGTCTAAACTTATTATTATCACATCTAACGTAGCCGATTTTTATGTTAATTCGGATATTATCTGATTAAATTGGGTCAAAATTAGTAATTTTATCTGTTTTCTACTCAACAATTTTTATAGCGGGGGAGTGACATCTAAATGACATTCGCTGTCACTACGCTTAACAAAATTTCTAATAATTAATTTATCTTACATCAAATTAAACAACAACAAATTTATTCATTATAATTTAACTTTAATCTTCACTAAGTTTCTTTTAACGATTCAAATTCAATTAATTAATTTTTTATACTGTAAGAAATCAATGTACCTAATAATCAAACCACCTAAATTTGTAACAAATTAATATTCAAAAACAGCTTATTAATTATAATTTTTGTTTTATTTTTGGGAAGTTATTAACAAGAAGAAATTTAAAAATAATTTTTTAAAATTGAAATTAAACAATAAAGTTTATGTTTATAAATAAACCTAATCTATCTTTGTTTACCTTATCCTAACCTAAACTTTCCATCCTTTTTGACACTTGTAAATGTCAAACGGTAGCAGTCGCAGAAAACCTTATTTCGCGGAAAAACGATCCCGTGTTTACAAAAGTGCGAAAAGTGACGACACGACAACAACAACGACAGCAATAAGCAATTTCCTTCGGCTACATATCCTTAAATCTTCACGTTAATGTCAGCAGACGTGAACATGAAAAATGTTACAATTTTGGAAGAAATCAGGTTTGTTTTTTAAACTTGTATTTTCCTCTTAAATACTATTTTTGGCTTTTAGGTCGAAACTCAAACAAATCCAATTCATCTTCTCCTACAAAAAGCAACTGTAGTAGCCCCTCTAATTCATACTCGTACAAGACAAACAACGTGGAATGTGTTTGCAATGGCCCCATCTTATCTTTGGATGATGAAGGATTATATGATATTGGTAAGATTATCATCGTTTTGATACATCGAATGGGATAAATAAAAAATGAGATTAAGGAATCCTTTTTTGTTTAATTTTTTAATTGGTGTGTTTAGCATTTTTCTATTAAAAACAAAGTTAAATAAAAAATCAAGGTTATTCTCAACATAATTTATAAGAAAAAGACAAGAATATTCAAAACATAACCTCAAACAATTTTTTAGGTGAATTGGATCTTCAAAAAGAAAAGTCAAGGTTAACAAAAACTCTTGAAGAAGTTTTATTGGATAAATCAGCGTTGGGTTATTATGTGCAATATATGGAATCACGTAATGCTTTGTCAATAATCCGATGTTGGCTAGATGTGGAAAATTTCCGTGCCGCCGTTCAACTCCATTCATCATCTGATGATACCACAACAAATGGAGATGAGAAAAAGCTTGATCATGACAGTCTTTCAGTGAGTACTGATTGTGAATCTTGTACTGATTCGACAAGTTACTGTGGTGGGGGTGATGTTTTAATCGCCGATAAATCAAATAATTCAGAAAACAATAAAAGTAACGATTGTTGCGATCAAGGTGAAAAAATTAATTGTGATAATAGAAATGTGGTTGTTAGTGATATTAAATGTAATAATCAACAAAATGAATTAGACGGTACGGTTGAAGAAGAATTTACTGAAGATGCTTTAACGATTTTTAAAAAATATGTAGCTTTGGAGGCTACCGATTCAGTAAATTGTCCGGAGAGTATCAGAAAAGAAATAATCGAGAATATTTGCAATATAAATAGAGTGAATTCGAAGATTTTTGATAATGTACAAAAATTTGTTTACGATATTATGAACGCGGAGTACTTTGATGGTTTTCTTGGGAGCGATTATTTTTGTAAATATCAAATTGATGTTTTAACAAGTGGAAATATCGTTTTGGAAGATATATTGTACAACGAAACCGCTTTATTTTATTTCATGGAATTTTTGGAGCAAGAAAATCATCGAAATTTGTTAGAATTTTGGTTGGCAGCGAGTAATTTTCAACAACAACTTAATGTACAAAAAGATTTTTTCGATCCAATCGAAGCCCAAACTGACGCTGTTGTTTTATATGACAAATATTTTTCTTTGCAAGCTCACTCTCCGTTAGGTTTTGGTGATAAAATCCGTTTTGCTGTTGAGCAGAGTATCTGCGGCGAAAATGGGTTAACATTAAACTGTTTTGATTTACCGTTAAAGATTGTTGAGCAAGTTTTAGAAAAAAATCATTTCAAATCGTTTTTAACTTCACAATTATTTTATAAATATCTTTCGGAATTAATCAACACCGTACAAAGTAATGGTTACTCAACGATGTTGTACGAACAAAGACGTCAACATTCTTCCGATTGTGGTAGTGAGAGAAGTTTTAGCACCAACAGCACATTTTTGGCGATGGAAAATCCTTATAATAGACACCGCGTTAAAATTAAAAACACCAACAAAACAAAAACTACCGACATGAACATCGATACAAGGCAACTTTACGATCCCGATAGTTTATGGAAAAGGAAACGGTATCGAAATCGATTATCATTTGGGAGGGTTACTGAACTGGGCCGATTTGAAACTGATTTTGAACCGGAACCGGATAAAAATCAAGGTTCAAAGTTACGGGATGTTGTTAAGAAATTTGTTAATTTGGATGAGGATAAGAAAAAGGAAGAAATGGCCTGGCAAGTTGCTGAAATGATTGTTAAAGATATTACTAATGTTACATTAAGTGATCAAAAGTATTAATTTGAAAACTAATATGGTATAACCTACGAATTAATACGGACTACTACATCAATATGTGCACAGCTTTATTGTTTACAGCTTTACATTATGTTTAGCCATGTGTCTCTTAAGAAAGCTAATCCTGAATGTTTCTAGTTCTAGTTTTAGTTCAATAACAATACACAACCTAGGGCTATCTAGTACCAGCTAGCGCTACTTAGAACTGCCACTAGAACTAACACTAAACCTAGAACTAGAAAAAAAAGCCGCACGTCTTTAAAGGCGGCTAAACCCGAATGATTCTAGTTCTAGAATTAGTTCAAGTTGTAGTTCAATAACAATACACAACCTAGGGCTATCTAGTACCAGCTAGCGCTACTTAGAACTGACACTAGACCTAGCTGTAGAATCATTCGGGTATTGCCGCACGTCTCTTAGGGCGGCTAAACCCGAATATTTCTTGTTCCAGTGTTAGTTCTAGTTTTAGTTCAATAAAAATATACAACAATCTAACGGTGAATAACAACTAAAACTAACACAAGACGTAGACCTAGAAACATGTTTCTAGTTCTAGGTCTAGTATTAGTTCTAGTTTTAAGGGGCTATACCAGTGCGACTGCTAAAGAATTTGGGTGATATTTGGGATTTTTTTTAGTATTTCATGGAATGTTTTGAAACTTTAAGAATGTATTTGTCTGTTATTGAACTATGAACAAAAATTTTTTCATAGAAAAATAGTAACATTTTAGCGATTTGTGCGCTATGTCTCGAAACACTCATAAAAAGAGTTCCTCCACTGCTGCAGCGATAACAGTTGATTGTAACGGTGAAAGAAATGGCGGAGTTTTGAATAAAACTTCGACTGTCGATGTCAAATCGAAAATTTTCATCAAATCAAAAATATCCAAAATTGGCAAGTTCGATGAGTTTTGAAGCCATTGTGTAACTTTCATTATTATTTTGAGTGTTCCCACCTTTACATCTCTAGTAACTCTCTTCTACTTAAATCTGTATAAATTGGTTCTAAAGCTTCTGCCACTTGCGGCCACATGTTTGAAATTTGTCATTTCTATTTGTTGAGCCTCCGCACGGCGATATAAGCACCAGTTTTCTTCAGTCAGGGCAGTTTCCATGGTTGGGGTTCTGGTCCATGATAAATGATAAAATGTAGCCCAATTCCATTTTTAATAATTATGTCCATATAAGTTTAAACTATCGAAAAAAGCAAAAAAATCGATTTTTTTAAAATTTCATACTGGTATAGCCCCTTATTTCTTATTCATGTTTAGTAATAAAACATGTAGCAGTCCTTTTATAAAATTATACGAGGTCCGTTATTATATTATCGAGGTTATACTGTATCTCTATTATCTTTTTTAGACTTAATTATTTGACAATTTAAAAAATGCTGTCTTTTCTCTCTCTGTGTATTTCTTTTTTATATGTTTAAATAGATGTGTTATTAATTAATGGAATATATTTATAAATTGCTCTTCTATAACATGAAAAGAACACAAAAGTTTTAAAAACTGTTATTGAAAAAAAGTTTTGTAAATAACGATGTAAAATTAAGTTGTAAATAATCAAAATGATAATATAAATATAAAATCGGTATGCTCTGTATTTAGATTAATTGTGTGTATTTTCTTTGAAACGTTTTAAATCTTTTAAAAAACCTTGCCCGACCAACGTTTTATGTAAAATTTGTTTGATTCCATAATTTGCATTAAAAAAATTATTTTAAGAAGTAAATAAATTTTTGTTAGATGTATTTGGACTAGTCACAAAATAAAAATCGGCGCTTTTTAGTAGTTAATTAAAAAAAGCTCATCACACAAAAATGAATAAAAATAAATTCGCAATTTCTACCAAAATGGGCCGATTTAACGTTATCTAAAAAAAAAAAAAAAACTGATATTTTTACTATTTGTCTATATAGAGGTAAAGCGTTGAATTTAAATTTCTACTTGCAACAAAAAAAAAATGTGTTTGTTAAAAAAACTTATTGAAATAAAAGCGTAATACTTTTAATAAATTCAGAGATTCTTTAATAAACATAGAATTTATTATTAAACCTCAACATTAATAAGATTTAGATATAATTCCTTTCTTAATTTACTATCAAGTCAACACAGGAAGGTAAAAGTTATTAATAATTTCTTATTGGCACTTCACATCACAAAAGAATCTTACCATTGTGCTACTCATCGTTTAATTATCTAATTTTATTCTTTATGAGATTTCTTGTCTCCGGCGTATTTAAAACAAAGATATAATTGTGTGACACATAAAAGAGTACCAATCGTATTTTGAATCTAAAAGTATATCGATATTAAAAACGAAACAAAACCAAATAAACTTACTATCATAAAATCATTCATTAAAATTATTCCGTAAAGTAACCATAATATTGAAACAAAAAATGCCATGAATGTTATCGGAAATGGAATGCATGAAGCATCTTTCTTACGTATTATGTCTTTCTAAAAACAAACTTATTAAAACCTTGATTTAGAAAGCGTTTTACATACAATTTCCATTAGAGGACTTCCCATTAATAACAACATTAATACAGTTACAATCAAACCATATCTAAATTCGATTTTTGTTGCATCCTCCCATTTAATATATAAAAATAAAGCAGAAACTAAAGCAAATCCTCGTGCTGATGGTCTATAAACTTCTTCATAACGATGTTTTGAATAAACCAAATAAAAAATGAGATACATAACATTAAGTATTATCGCTGCCATATTCACTTGGTACATAGCTTGATCATTTAACATTATCGCATATTTCAACACAAGGATTCCTCTATAAAATAAAAACAAAATTAAGAAATATTTAGAATTAATATAACCTTACATAACAGTGCCTCCAATGAAAGGCATTGAAGATACACCCTGCGTTGTTTTCTTTTTGAATATATCGAAACATATTACAGATCCAGAAAAAAATTGTATTGTTGTAACTATACCGGCCACATTACCCACGGTAAGTTTATACGGCCGTAACGTTCTCGAAAGGGTCTCCATTGTACTAATTAGAATAAAATGATATCTTTTGAATGCTATCGAAAGTATTTAAAGTATGTCAGCGAATGGCATTGAAAAGAAAAGTTTTGAATTAAGGTCATTTCAAAGGCGATTATCTCCCCACTCACCTTTATATCGTTTTTAAGCAAACAATATGAGTTAACTTTAAAGAATTCAAGAATAAACTATAGAATAACATGGAAATGATAACAAAAACAATGAGATAAAACGCTGAAACGTTGCGCAATCTCAAGATATATTATAATCTGAATCTTCCGTTCGTATTATTTATGAATAATATAATATATATGAAAAATCTGCACAAAGTGAATCAGATTCAATGATTTTTAAATTTACATCAACAGAAACGTCACTGTAAACGTCATTTTTATACATTTAAATTTCCCGCAAAAATTGAGTAAATTTGACATTGTTAAATGTGTTGAATTAAAATAAAGAAAGTTAAAAACGATTTAGATTAATTTTAATTAAGAAGGTAACTAAAAAAAACATCATTTCTATTAAATTAATCATTAAAACCAAATTTAATTAAAAAATTAAATTTTTTTTTATTAATTTCGAACATAACCTCACTTTACATTCTCTAAGGATGTCGCAAAGAAGCGGTTCTTCGGATTCGCAGTCCAATGTGGCCCAAAAAACATGGGAAATGGCTAATAAAATCGAAACCATAAACACCATAGATGAGATTTATAGGTATAATAAACAACAGCAGCAAGATATTTTGACTGCAAAACCATGGGAAAAAGAGTAAGAATAAATTTTGAGGTTATGTTAAAATTGAAATCTTAATTAAAATTTTAGCCCCCATTTCTTTAAAGACATAAAAATCTCGGCTTTGGCTTTGTTAAAAATGGTGATGCATGCTAGATCTGGAGGTAACTTAGAAGTTATGGGGTTAATTTTGGGGAAGATTGATGGAAATACCATGTTTGTTATGGATTCTTTTGCTTTACCTGTCGAGGGTACCGAAACTAGAGTTAACGCTCAAGCACAAGCTTATGAATATATGAGTTCGTACATGACAGCAGCTAAATTAGTACGATTTAAATTAAACAAAAAATATATAACAATAATGTTATAATTTGAATTAATTTTAGGTTGGAAGAGAAGAAAATGCAATTGGTTGGTATCATAGCCATCCTGGTTACGGTTGTTGGTTATCCGGAATAGATGTAACAACTCAAATGACTAATCAAAGTTATCAAGAACCATTTGTTGCGATTGTAATCGATCCGGTTCGTACTATTTCTTCTGGAAAAGTTTGTTTGGGTGCTTTTAGAACTTACCCCAAAGGTTACAAACCCGCTAATGATGAACCGTCTGAATACCAAACAATTCCCTTGAATAAAATAGAAGATTTTGGTGTTCATTGCAAACAATACTACTCATTGGAAGTTTCTTATTTCAAGTCAACTCTCGATAGAAGACTCTTGGACTCTTTGTGGAACAAATACTGGGTAAACACTCTAAGTTCATCAAGTTTATTAACCAATGCAGATTATACAACCGGACAAATGGTTGATTTATCAGAAAAATTGGAGCAATCGGAAACCGCTTTAGGTCGTGGAGGGTTTATGGTTGGGGGTCCGGATCCGCACGAAAAACGCACTGAAGATAAACTTATGAAAGCCACTAAGGACAGTTGTAAAACAACAATCGAGATTATTCATGGTTTGATGGCTCAAATGATCAAAGATAGATTGTTTAATGGGATTTCACCAAAACCAGTTGGTTAATTTCTGTTGATATATTACTTATTTAATTGTATTGGCATTCAAAAATTCATTAAAAACCTATAATTAATAAAGATTATAATTTAGGATTTAATTTATTAATTTAGATCAATATCAATGAATTCGATTATAGCATTAAAAGTTACAGATTTCTACTTATATTGTAATAATACGCATTATAGATGTCGCTGAAATTCTATAACTTGTCAACTTCAACGTGTTGTTTTATCATAAACATGCGCAGAATGACGTTTAAAACGTCAAAATTAAATTAGTTGGTGCCAAAAACTCGTCCGAGAGCGTTTCGGTCTGTGGCGAAGAGATATGATCTAAAACAAAACCGAGTTTTTAAAGAAAGATTGTTATTTTTAATCAGAATAAGTTATGGCCAGTGGTTCTTGTGTGTTTAAAGTGTCGCGTCAAACGCTTTTTAAATGCTCATCGAGATTATTATATGAAAACACGTGTTTACCTTCAAGAACTAGTAATAACTTGTTTAAAACTTTTGGCACGGTGAACAAAAATTTCGATAATTCAGTGTTTGGTACGCGGATGTTTGGCGTAGATGTAATTCGGGGGGGAAGTGCCGCGAGGGCCGAAACAACGAGCACCATCGTTGGTTTATCGAAATTACAAGCTCAAGAGTTGGTTTTGAGATTAACGGACGATGAAAGGGCTGTTTTGGTCGCGGCATTGGAAGAATACGATTCGAAGAGACTCAAAGAGGAATTTCAAGGTAGGTTTTAGTTATTCTTTTTGTTAATTAAAACATTTGAGTTAATAATTAAACACTTTACAAACAAAACACTATAGTAGATAAATAAATTCGATACATTTAGAATTAATTTATTTTAAAATTACAATTTAGTTTTTAAGACTTTTTAAAGAATAATCTTGTGATTTGATATTTTTGTCTGACTATATTGAGAGGGTATTTATTTTTAGCGCTTTCTTACCGCAATATGCTTTCAGTGACTTCATCGATGACGTCAGCGAATTGATCTCTATTTAAAAATCGAATTTTTGATTGAAAACTGATATAAATCTTTGAAATTGAAGCTTCCGGCTTCCTCTTTGTGGATAAATTATAAAGTTTGACTCGTTAATCTTTTAGAATTTTCTTAAATTTGATAAAAAATCAATTTGGTTATAATGACAACATAACCTCAATAAAATACAAATAGAAATGATAAATTATTTTTCAGGTGAAGTTAGCTGTAGGTGCTATTTTAGTAAAAATGAAATTAAAATTAAAGAGCCGATTTATTTTTATTTTGATACATTTATACTAATTTAACAAAAGTTATTTAACATTGAACATTATTAAATAAATAAATTAAATTTGCGGTAAGTTTTTGCTTAATATAGTTGTTACCACTTCACGTATATAATCATATTTCAGCAATAATTTAAAATAAAAACTTAATGGAGAAGTTTTTAAGTTGTTTTAATGTTTTACACTTGAAACTTGCAAAGAATTTGCTTTGAATTTCACGGGAATCGTGGTCAGTTTGCATTTAAAACTTAAAATTGTAAAAAAATTGTGTCAACTTCAAGTTGATCTAATTGACAAACTTGTAGATGTTAATTTGTTAATGTTATTAAATAAAAGCGTTTATAATTAAAGAAACAATCTAATATATTATATTTGATCTAATTTAAGAAAAGTTATTAAACTTGGATGTTATTAAATAAGTAAGATTAAAAATAAATTCAAGTTTCATTGCGGTAAGTTTTTATTTGACAGAAACTGTACATTTGTTACTAACTTCACGTATATAATAATATTAAAATGAAAACTTAATGGAGAAGCTTTCAAGTTGTTGAGAATCGTCGTCGGTTTGCTTTTCAAACTTAAAGTTGTCTTAAATTCGACTTGAACTTCCAGTTGAAGGTTCTAATTGGCAAATTTGTAGATGTCAAAGAGTTAATTTAGTAATTTTATTAGCGTTTTAACTTCTTCGAACTAATTTCTTTCTATACATATAATTTATCCATTAATAGTCATTGTGTTAAAATCTGTTAAATAATCGGGTCACATCATCGTAATCTCAATGACGTTTTCATTGTGTTAACGGCGTTATCATTTATTTGATAATGTGAAGTTTGTTTGAATTAAAGTGTTGGATTACTTCAAAGTTTACATTTTATACTTGTTTGTCAATTTTAATAGACATCACGTTGTAAATTATTGATTTTACACCTCGCAAACACCCTATTCAAGTACCAAAAGCACAACTCCCTGTAACAACCCCAAAATTGGTTGGTAATTAATATTAACGCTGCATTAATTTGTTTGCCTTTATCGATACTGTTAATTGTCATTAAACAGTATCGATATACTTAATCATTTTTATTCAATATTTTATATCGAAGGAAATTGCAAAATGTTAAATGTATTTGTTGAATGGATTTCTTAATTAATTGTAAATTATAAAGGGCAATTAGGAGCTTCAATATGGAGGAGCAAATACGGAAGACCGAGCAGGATGCCTAAATTGGGTGACGTAGATCCAACCGGATCTTATTGTAAGCTGCCGGAGGATTGGATGAAGCGAAAAGTTGGTACGGAAGTTGTCTAACGATTGATTGAGAGAGATAGACGGTGGTTTTAGGGGCATTAAAGCCGATCTTATAAGAGATTAATTAAATTATTTTGGAGCGGTTGTAGTTTTTATCTTAATTAGTTTGATTAATATACAAAATATTAATAAGCATGCTGATTTTATTGGTGCAAATTGTATTCTTTGCGGTATTCTTATTGTAAAAATAGATGAGAATTTTTATATTACTAACAAAATAACACTCAACAACTAACACAATTTTAGCATGTACGCTTTGTATTTATTTTGGCATGAACATATTTTTATTGTAAATTGAGGTAAATTTATTAAGTTGAAGTAAATTTTTATATTTAATTAAATTTAATATTCACCTGAGTAAGAAATGTGAGTAATATACGTAAATATAATTAACAAATCTCTATTTTTATCTATTTTTATTTTTTTGCAATTGTTTTAGATTTTATTATATTTAAAAGCGAAATCAAGTTATTTGTTTAGTAAACATAAATTCGTAAGTTGTCATTTATCATTCATGATTTGATACATAACCTTGTTTATGTCAACATAAAGGCAATAAAGACGTCCAAATACAAAGGTATAACCTGATGAAAGTCACGTAGTGGTCAAAAACGAAGCCTTCGGTAAAAATAGGGACAAAGAATGAAGATGACGTAACATTGTGAAACATTTTTAAGGGGTATTGTGAAATGAAAAAGAATTTAAAATTAAAGGATATTATCGGTGTTTGTAATTAATATTCGTTTTAAAAGTTCAACAACACTTTGTTTACTTATTCGTTTTTAACAATATCAAAAAAATAGGTGGTAAAAATATTTTTGTTTGAAAATATTTATCAGGAAATCATTAAATTTGGTTGAAAAAGAAATGTAACGTCAAAATTTGACAGATTGATAACCTAACTTTATGTTTATTTTGACATTTTAGATCTTTTAATTTAATTTTCAAATTTACTATAATTTTTATTATAATTATAATGTGAATTTTATTACGGATTCTAAAACTTAATTAAAACGAGATTTAATGAAATATGCGTCTCGTATAGAATTCAATTTGAATAATGCTTATGTAAAGTTGTTTGCGGCTAATTTCAATCTGAACGAGATTTACCTCAATTTACTTAAAAACAATATTTATTACTTTTATGCCGATGTTCATATGATTTAATATCTAATAAAGCTTTATGTTTTAGCTGAAAGAATACCAAGACCGACCACGAAAAATTTAGTTGATAGTAAGTAGACGAAATTCTATGTAATGACTCTAAAAAGTCTGGATAACTATTTTAAATTTTTAGTGGCCGTAGCAAACTCAATACCATTTATAGGATTTGGATTTTTAGACAACTTCTTTATGCTAATATTTGTAAGTAAAACTTATTTTCTTTATTATGTATAACAGTTTACTTCAAATAATAAGTAAGGTTATATACATTCTAATTCAACTGTCACTTTGAAAACGAGCGTCTCTATATTATAACCTCTTCTCACTTATAATTAGTACAATTACAAATTAGATCAAATTAGCTTTGTTCGTTGGGACTGCACTACTTGCACTCACTTACACTATGACGTCATACGAGTGCCATGTCGTGCAGAGTAGTGCAGCCCCAACGAACAAAGCTATTGAAAGACTCGAAAGGTACCATACATTTATAAGTTGTCAAATGTCAATAAAATAATTGGGACATGTGCTGACATATGGGAGTAAGTGGAAATGAAAAAGCTGACGAATTGGCGAACAAGGGACACCAGGAGGAGGTTCACAGAGTAAAAATCTATGGAAAAGAATTATATCGGCAAGATATTGATGACATAAACCATCAATGGGAAGAAGAGTGGCTTCTAGCTCAACTAAAGGATGTTCAAAAAAGTTCCCTTTGTATCACGCCAGTTCTACACTCTCATTCTAGACTGAGAATAGGACATGCGCTATGCCCCACCTATCTAGACCTAGAAACATTCGGGTTTAGCCGTCTTGAGAGACGTGCGGTTAAACCCGAATGTTTCGCAGAAGAAAAGTCATAAAAAAAGTATACAATACAACAAGAGTTGGTGGAAACTCTATAGCTGGTACAGCATAATAGAGACGTCAATCAATCAATCAATAACCTCTAACATTTTTTATGTCGATTTAGGAATGTCAGAAAATTAAGGGTAATTTGCGGACTGTGAGTAGATAAAACCGGTAAATTCCCCCGGATTACTCGTGTCGAATTAATGTGTTCTAAAGGGGTATGTAATTTAAATTAAAAAGAAACATGTTTGTTAATTTTAATTCTAACTCAACTTGTGTCTTTCACAATTACGTTAGTTGTAACAAGAGTGTTTTAATATTGCGAAAATCGATTCTTAAAATAAAAGAGGGGAACCCTCTACTTCTCCAAGGCCAAACCCGTTAAAACTTGTTACCTACCATAAGAGGTTATAATATCATAGTAAAGTACCTTTATGTTTAAGTATATTTAAGTGAGTGCTGTCTTGGACGCCTTTATTAAAAAGTTAATATACTTTTGTTTCTATTTCTAAATATGATTTTATTTTTTTTTAGGGAGATTATATTGATATTTATTTGGGTTCGTATTTCTTTTTATCGACGATGGCAGCTGCAGCTTTGGGAAATACTTTTTCCGATGTGTTAGGAATAGGGACGGCTTTTTACGTGGAAAGGATGGCGAATAAGGTCGGATTTTGTCCGCCGAAATTAACTCCCGCTCAACTCGATATGCCAATATCGAGAAATTTTGCAAATTTGGGTCGTGTTATTGGAGTTACAATCGGTTGTCTTTTGGGAATGGTACCGTTGCTTTTTTTCGATCATAAGGACGACGACGAAACTAAAGATAATAAATCTAAGAATAAAAAATAAGATTAATAAAATAAATTATGGTAAAAAAACTGTTTAGAGCTTAGTAATGTTTTAATCCTTTCTATAAAAAAATCGAAATTTGTTAGGGACCAAATTTTTTTTTCTTATTTTTCCGGTAAAATCATGTTTCTTTGTCATTTTAAAATAAACCGTCCGATTACAAGAAAATTAAATCATTTTAAACATTACTTATCCATATCAAACTCAAAGAAGAAAGCTGTTCAACTCCTATGAATTAATAGATTTACTTCTTAATATAGCATAACTAATTAAATAATAATTAAGCAAATATTGATGTTCAACTTCTGCCTTAATTAGTTGTTAATCGCTGTAGAGAAAAAGTTTTCTACTCTACTTATTGTTAACGAAAAAAAATCTTTATCTTGTTGTTTGTATGTTGATTATTTATTGATGCTGTTTTTATCTTTTAATTATTTATTTATAAAATCTCTTGGATGTGTGTTTCTGTGTATTAAAAAAACTTTGTGTAAATAAGGCTCAAAACACCAAATTCATATTCAATTTTTATGTAAATGTTCTTTTTTATTGTATATCTACTATTTAAGTACAAATTGAATGTAGATAAAGAAATTAAAAGCAGTTAAAAAAATATTCTTTGATTTATTACAAATTTTTTCATAACATAACCTCATTTGTGTTGGTTTTAAACTGTCAATTTTAATTAATTTATGATTGTCAAAAGAGATGGCACCATAACTTTTTAATAATAAACATTTAAATATATTTTTTATTTAAAAAAATCAGTTTTCGTTTTTAGAATCTGCATAATATTTAATATTATCTAAAGAATTAACTTAAATTTGAAGAAATAATTGCGATTTTGACATTTATTTAAAAAGCGATATTTCATTGCAATACAACTACAGCCATCTGCTTATTATATGTTTAATTAATGTATGACAGTTGTCAAAATAGAAAAATTTTAAAATGGTATGAAGACATTAATCTAAATTTAATGGTTTTTTCAAAAATTTTATTTAAAAATTTCCTCTTTGTTAATGTTTGGTATGTTTGTTGAAAAATGTGAACGTTGGACAAAAATAATTGCCATTGATATTATTTAATTAAAACGTTTTTTTCTAATAAACCATCATAATGAGTAGAAGAATAATCGTTCCTAAAGGATTAATACAAAACGATGTTACCGTCGTTATTGAAATTCCCGAAGAACTCGCCGACGAATCAGATTTAATCGCATCCCCTGCATCGAGTTTAACCGATAACACAGAAAACATAAAAGTTCATTGTAAATCATCAACAAAGTCTCAAAAATTAAAAAATCAATCAACAAACGTAGATGCAGAAGCTATAAAAATTAAACAAGGAAGATCGAATTACACTCAAAATGAGGCTTCCAGCTCAAATCAATCGCCAGTACAAAAAAGACATTCAAGCTCATCTACTTCAAATCAAAGACACAGACAGAGTTTTCATAAAAATGAAATATTTCCATCACAATACTATTCGGAAAGATTTCAAAGTGTACCGAGGGATCAAAGTTTAAAGTTAGATAATCCTATAAATTTGATTGCGGCTTTTGATGTGGTTGAAAATCAAAATTATGAAATGAGATGTAACGATGGTGTAAATTGGATGCTTAATGAACCTTCAAATCAATCATTTTGTTCTCAATCTACTCAATATCCATCACAATGGAATCAAAACCGACATCAGTTATTTTGTCCAATAACTTCAACACCAAATAGATGGTTAAATCAAAATGATTGTTTAATTGACCAACCATTGGGAAGATGCAGAACACCCCCACCATGTAAACCTCAACAATGGGTTCCTATAAATCAGAATCGAGATAGTTCTGTGCCCTCATTTCCTGTTAAGAGGTCCTCAACACAATACATAACAAGGAATCAAGAAAATTTAAGAGATTATACCCCAAATGAGTTTCCATTTACGTTATCACCAAAATCTAATCAATACATTACTGATCATGGTAGTTTACCACCGATTTCGTCGTCAAAGCTAGGTCATCACAGATTGAAAATATCAAATAACCAATGGGTAGCATCTTCAATGACAGATTCAAATCGATATATTGGTTCCACATCGATATCATCTTCTTGTCAAACACCGCTATCAAATGGTCAACGATTAATGAATGTGATTTCTCCTTCAAAAGTTGTACATGAAAGACAACCATCATCAAATATTAATCATTGGATGTTAAATGATCAAAGCAATTCAAATCAATGTAATGAATCACTTTCTTTTTCAATATCTAATTCTACTCAGCAAAGACAAAAACCATCCCATTCAAATTATCCAAAATTAAATTCTTTGGCAACGTCTTCTGAAGGATTTCAAAGTTCCGGTTCAAATAAAAAACGGTGTGATTCTCGATCATTTAATTTAGACAGAAGAAATAGAAATTTTCAACCCCCTTTAACGGCGGTTATAGAAGATGACGACGTGGTTGAACAAGGCATGTTTTCTACTAATTTATGCGGCGATTTTGAAAAAAATATCGATAATAAAGCACTTCAAGGACAATTATTCAAAAAAGATAAATCTTTTCAATGTGTACTAAATGGCGAAAGAAATTTGACCAGAATTGTGGTACCGCAATTGGATTTGGATTGCAACGATCTAAATGGTAGTTATAATAATTTAAGTGGTTCAAGATTAAATCCGAAATGTTGTAGAATAGATTTTAAGTTATTTAATAACGAGATAAAAATGTTTTTTAGGTCGCTTGGGATTTGCATATCTCGAAACTGCTTACGAAGAGGGTTCTTCCAAGTTTAGTTCTGATTTTTCGGATAATTACGAATCTAGTTGTGCGTAAAATGTTTCAACGTGTGGAGCTGTTATTTCAAAGTAAAAAATAAAAAAAAATAATAAAATAATCAGAAAGGTGTAAATCAAAAATTTATAAACGAAAGGTTAGTTACTTAGTAGAAATCTGTAAGAGAGAAATCAGTAATTGGATAACAGATGGCGCTTATAACTAAAAATTAATTTATTAAAAATATTTTTTGATTTTAATAATTAATATATTTTATTATTACATTATCTATACTACAATTGATTAATAAATAATGATAATTAATAAGTGAGGAAAAATGGAAAATGATTATTTAAATGATTGATGACATTCTTTGAAAGTTTGACGTGACACCAACTTCAACTTCAATCGGTTTTCTTTTTATTTAGAAATGGGGTAAAGAAAAAGGTTTAGATCGAAATTTGTAGAGTACAGTAAACGATGAAGAAGAAGAAAACACATTATCAAAAGGTGGTCATTCCTAAAGGCATGATCAATCCTGGTGAGACTACCATCATCGAAATACCCGATTTACTTCAACGACAACCGGTTTTAATTGCGAATAAACGAATCGATAATGTATCATCGAAATTTCAACCGTCGGCGTCGTCCAGTTTTTCTCATAAAGGGATAATGACTTCAAATAAACAGAATTATGTTGGTCAAACTGAAAAAGTTCCAGATTTTACCCCTCCGGTAAGTTTAATTTACACCATTTGAAAGATTAGCTAAATTTTAATTTGTAATTGTTTTGAAGGTTATTGATGAAGAAGAATCCTTTCTAAATAAAACAATTCCCCTTGGAAATTCGTAAGTAAACAACAGGAAATATTGTGTAAAAGTAACTTTCTGAAAGATTTTTATCTAATAAAACAGTACGATGTATCTAAGTAGCAACACAAACGACTTAGACGCAACGGAGTACAAGGAAAAACAAATTATGGAAAAACGTTTATTAAAATTCCAACGTGCGAGGAGAAGACTTTTTGAAAGAACAGCCCCCATCGCTGATGACACCGATGATGATGAAGATGACGAATCATTAACTTGGTAAATTAATCTCTTTAAAATTAACCTTAGACCGTATAACATTTAATTTTAAATGTATTTATTATTTTTTTTCTTTTCAGAGATAATGTTGCGCTTCGTGTTTAGTTTTCGAATTATTCTTCTAAAATTAAAATGTCTTTTTGTACGGTCTAAGGTTGTTTTGTCATCTCTATTCTTTCAATAATATCGTTCAATCTTTAAATTTCTCTTGAAGGTGTGTCGATCTTCCGAAATCTTCAAACATCCGAATGGTTCCGAAAATGTCTAAGCAAGATAAAAAAATTTCATGTAATTTTAATTCTTCGAAAAATTCAATTGCTACAGCAAATTTCTCGAATTCGCTTACAAGTTCTCAAGAATTTATTCAAGAAAGAATTCGCGATTATTGGTCGGCGAATTGTGGTTCGCAATGTGATACTGAGCCCCCTGCTTTGCAAATGCAATGTTGTCCTCAAAAATATACTAGTAATAAGAAGTCGTCGGTGAAATTGTTTCCGGAATGCACTTCATATTTATGCAATTCATCGGATTGTCGAGGATCGAGAAAGCCAATGGCACCAAAAAAGAAATTATAAATTATTTTTTCTTCTGATTTTCTGTGATCTTCTTTGACTCGTTTATCTTGTTGGTGATGAGAGTGTTGGTTGCCAGGAGTAGGTGTTTTTGATTTTTAATCTTAGTAATAACACGATTAATTGTGGGTTAATTTTTTTTTTATTTTGATTGTAGGAAGAAATGTGCAAAAAAGGCCAAGGTGAACAAACGAACTAAATCGAAACCACGGTTATAAGATGTAAGATTCTTTCTTTTCAGAAAGGCATTTTTTGGTTTTTTCTAAATACCTTTTTTCTTTTCCTGGAAGATTTTAAACTTTGAAAAACTAAAAGAAATTGGAAACCAAGTCAAATTTTTTAATTTACACCTAAAGGATGTTATGCTTTTACATTAATAAATATTAACATAGATAATATGTATTTTTTATAGGTTGTGTTCAATAAAAATTATTGGCTTGTTTCATCTATCATATTATTTATAGTCAACTTTAAAATGTGAATAATCTTATTTTATAGGTTTCTATTAAAGCCATCAAAACTCTTAACAAAAAGAAGTTCATAGCAATTTAATAATTTCACTTTACTTAGGCATACATACAGATTCATAAACTTAAACAAGGCGATATGTGTTTAAGAGGATATAATCCTTAAGATAGAATTTATCTTTATCGATACACTAATAAAAATATTAAATTTTACTGTACTTACATTTATTACTATAAACATTTTACATGGTTTACTTCATCTGTTATGTATGTGTATTTAGGGACATATGGTTTTAAGGGGTTGACGCGGAAATGGAGAGCGCGGAGCGGCAGCAGGCATAAACGTTGTTAACCGGATTGTGTTTAATGTAATATGTAATAAATATTCCCGCGAGTGCATAATAAAGTTTATATCAATAAATGCTAATGCAGTGTTAATTAATAAGGACATTTTATAAATGTTCTCCACCTGTCATCGTATGCAAATGGCCGCCATTTTAGGAAACGTCAAATTTGTACGTTTCGTACGTTTCCTAAACAGTTCTTAACCAATAGAAATGGGTCATTCACCAAATCCAAGGTTTATAGAACATATGTTCTATAGACCTTGCACCAAATCGTCATGACAACGCGGCCAATGTTAAGTGAGGTTAGTTTTCGTTTGAAACGTCAATCCGAGAAAAACTGTTGGAAAGGGTTAGTTTTATTTTGAAATGTCAATTAAAAAAAATTTAATTTAAAAAATCTAATTATTGTAGCGTGTAGGAATGTCGGTTTTCTTTTGAATCCCAATTATAGCGCGAAGAAATGTTAGGATAGGTGAGTTTTGTTTTCGACCACTGACAAAGGAACGTCAGTGTGGTCAATATACAGAAGAGTGAAGTTAGGAAGGGGAAATGAATGTTAAGTAAGGTTAGTTTTCTTATGAAATGTCAATCAAATATTTATTTTAGGAAGTTAGTAATGGATTTTAAAGTTACTAGATTTAAGTTGGTAATTTTTTTTTTAATATTGATATTAAAATTATTTTAATAATTAAATTTTAAATTTATTTCTTTAAACGAATACAAAGAGGCGACACAAAATTAGTAAATTAATAACATTAATTTTTTAAAAATTATAATAATCATCAAGACAATCGCCGTTTGCGTCAGCACCATGAGCACATTGTTTCGGAAAAAAAAGAATTTTTTTTACTTTATTAAAACGTACTTTTCTCCTTAACGATTTCACATCAGTTAACGTAGAGGCTTTAACAACAGTACCTTTTGATCCAACCAATTTATTTTTCATTTCGTTATCAATAGAACTTCTCGTAAACTTGGCTTCCTTCGCAGACACTTCGTCAGATTCAAAAAATTCATTTTTAATACGCTCATCCTTAAATGAATTTGATAGGAATATATCTTTCTTTTCAATTTGTTTTTTTCTTAATAACTTTTCATCATTATTTAGTTCTTTTGCAGAAAGTGAAGAAACGACTAATAAAAACCCGATTAAAACAGAAAAGTTTTTCATTTTTCTTCTTGTGTTTAAGACGAAATTACGGATTAAACTGATTTATATTAAATTTGAATAGAGAACTTTATCGCCCCGTAAAAAATTCTAGAAAAACGGAAACCACGAACTTCCCAAACATTATCGGCGTTTGCGTTTGGTGGTTATATAATTGGTGCGATTAAAGAAAAAAATTGTTCTTGAGATTATTTTCTATCGATAAAATTACGATTAATATTTGTTAATTAATAAGTAGTTTTTGAGTTGCAATAAATAATTAAGATTTTTGATGTTTTCATTTCTTAACCTGAAATTAAAAAAAAAATCACTATATTTAATGTTTTAGTATCGGATTTAGCCGTCCTGAGAGACGTGCGGCTAAACCCGAATGTTTCTGCAAGTAGTCAAAGTTCTGAAAAGTAGAACTAACACTAGAACTAGAACCAGAAACATTCGGGTTTAGCCGTGCGTCTCTTAAGATGGAAACTCAGAGTTATTATAAGGACGTCACCTTTTCCAAGCAAAACTTTTCCTTTGCAAAACTACCCAGTGCCTGTACTATTAAGCTATGTTGCATTTTATGTGGGACATTGCAAGTGCATAGTAGTTTTGTAACTATGGTTACAGCTTTCATATATTGCGAGTTATATGACATTTCCGGTACAATTTATATAATGTAATGTAATATTTAAACTTTAATCAATTTAATGAGTTATTTTTCATTTCATTTTGACCTTTCATATCCTAATCGCTATCGAAATAACAAACAATGAAGCCTTTTATTTTGAAAGTATAGGTTTTTAATACTTTCGAGTACATACAATTTTCGTAAATACGTTTATCACAAACATGTCAATAATATGTTACAGAATATGTGACATAATGTATTTATTTTGTTATATGAAATCATTTTAAGGTTGGGTTACGTAAGGTATATATTATAAGGAAGTCGTGGACAAACTTACTTTTTTTATTCAAAAGTATCAGTTATAGCGCCTCCGTTGGGATCAACTTCTTTTGGGGGAACTCCAATTGCAGATCTTGAAATTACCGTTGGTTTAATTTTATCAATCTCCGAACCAGCTTTTCCCGCAGAATCTTCTTTAGACAGTATCGGCTCTTTATCCGGAACCGGTTTTCTTTGCTCGTTTTCCTTAGATACCGGTTGTTTTTGAAGAATTGGGTCATCCGGAAATATAATTCTATCGTTTTTATCACTCATTTTAAACTATTTTTAGTACACAACGCTTTTTTTAATCTTCAAATTCAAACTTTGAGCTGTAGCCTAAAGAACTCTCAAACAAATAACCTTACTGTTGGGTTTCTTCGGTTTTAAGTGTTTTAACCGGTTCATTTTTACATGGTAGTGGGGGCTTTCAAGGTTCTCTAAAAAGATCCGTATGAAAAATAAAAGAATTAGTGCTGAATGAATATTAAAACGTTTTCTCTTTTGAAATATAATTGGTTTGTGTTGAAATTCTTAAAAGGAACGTAATTATTGGATTGATGTCCTTTTAACAATCCGGCTACTCCCCTTTTATATTGCAATAAACTGCATTGACGTCGAATAACAAGAAAAATTTATGTGTACAAAAGTGTGGCTTTTTAACTAACACATTTCAAGCTTATCATTTAGAGACTATGACTAAAAATTGCAATTGCAAAGATAAAATTTTAGTTAATTATCACCTCGCAGCACGTGTGCGTTATTTATCTTTAATTTTGAAACTTCTTTTTGTGGTCTAAACGTAAACATGTTCCAATTCTCAATTGAGCATGACATGTGTATTTATACAATATTATTTATGGTTCTCGAAATAACAAATGAATACTTAATTCGTGTCAGTGTTGAAAACAATGTTTTTATTTCCCAAAAATGTTTGTCGTATTATAACGTTTTATAACACTTTTAAGTTGTTATAACACATTTTTACTATTTTATTTTATCTTAATAATTTCCATTTTTGCGTTTATTAAAATATGGTGGCTTCGGTTGACGCTTCGGTGGAACATCTACAACATATGAAACTGCACGACCAGAAACAGTCAAGATAATCGATAAAAACACGAGCAAAACCCATAATTGTTTAAAAAACATTTTTGTAATATTCAACGTTGAACAATTTGAGTTGATCTTTTTCAGTACAGAATTTTAAAACAATGCTTGTTGGGTATTTTATTATATTTATTCAATAATCAATGATCATTTAATGATTTATGTGTAATTTAACAATTAACAATGATCAATAAAATAATTGTCTTAAGTTGACAATAAAAAACTGTAACATTTCGTTCTGTTAAAACAAATATTAAATAATTCCAATGACTTTATTTATAATATCTTAATGTTTCAAATGTAAATCGAAAACTCACTAAAATCAAACGATAATTAATTAAAAAAATAATAATAATTTTTTAAAATACAAAATTAATTTAAATGGTTTAATTTTAATCACGACAGATGGCAGCAAAAGAAATGACATTTTTAAAAATATGTAAATGTAATTATTTAATAATTATCTTTCTAACTAAATATAAACTACTTCCTTTAACATTGAAAAAGGTTCTAAATTGTAAATTTAAATAAAATATAATTCAAAAATATTTCCAAAATAAAATGATAATTCTATAATATTTAACGTTAAACTCGATAGATGGCGCTTATATAAGTATTACAATATTTAAATATTTTTAAATAAAATTTAGTATTGAAACCTTTTCATTTACCCTAAAAATTGCTTTCCTGGAATAATTTAATTAAATCAAAATTTTATTCCAATTAATTTCTTTAAAAAATATATTTATCGTTTAAATTTTTTTAATTTATAACCTCAAAAAAAGTAAAACCATTTAATAAAGATCGAGCGTTTAAATAATTACGTACAATTGAAAGACCTCACTTATCTATTGACCCTTAACACATTAAATGAACCGTGTTTGAATTGAACTCAACTGTACAAAGAACACTCTCACACTTCAAGTCTTGATTCAATCAAAACTTCATCGTGCGATTTAAAACGAAGTCTAAATCTATGTTTAAGCGCTAAAACATGTCATTAAAACTATTTTTATTTCTATTTTTAAGTTTGTGTGTGATTTCTTGTCGATGTAATAAAGATCAAGATCAACCAGAACACCACCATCAACACCATGACACTTATGATATTAATAATGCTCCTATGCCAAGTTTACACGATGGCCCTCAACATCATATCGATAGAATACTACAAATTACGACCACCGAAAAGGTTAAACCCCATGAACAACATCACCAATTTGTGCATAAAATCGAAAATTCCCCGCTACCAGTTGCTCACGAA